AATAGAAAGTGACACATCTGATTATGCTACTGGTGGTGTACTTTCCCAGTTGGAAGAAGATGGACTATGGCATCCAGTGGCCTTTTTAGCAAGTTGATGAACAATGCAGAAAGAAACTATGATAGTCATAACAAAGAACTTTTAGCTATCATTCGCGCATTGGAAGAGTGGAGGCATTATGTGCAAGGCACACCTCACCCGGTGGAGATTTGGACGGACCACAAGAACCTCAAATACTTCATGACAAGTCAGAAGTTAACTCATAGACAAGTGAGGTGGTCCTTGTTCCTTGCAGAATACAAGTTTACACTGCAACACAAACTGGGAAAGGTTAACAACATTGTCAATGCTCTGTCCAGGAGGCCAGACCACAGAGGGGGGTAGAAAACAATAATTCCAATCGTGTGCTTTTGAAACCTGAGCTTTTTCATATCAAAGCCACAAAAAGAGGTCAGATCCTGATAGAAGGAGAGCAAACACTGTTGAAACACATCAGAAATTGCACAGACCTTAATCTGGAAGTCTGAAATGCTATCAAAACTCTCAAGAAGGCCCCTGTACAGTTGAGAAAAGAACTAGAGGAATGGAATATGGAGGATGGACTTGTTCTATTCAGAGGATTGGTTTATGTTCCCAATAACAAAGAAATTCATCACTCAGTGCTAGAGATCTTCCATGACTCACCTACAGCAGGACATATGGGATGTGCCAAAACTCTCAAACTTGTTTCCCATAACTATTGGTGGCCTCAGATGCAGAAGTGGGTCAATGACTACATAGATGGATGTGATCGATGCAAACAAACAAAGGTGTTGCCATCAAAACCCCATGGCCCCTTGAAGCCAAATGAAATCCCTGAAGGTCCATGGCAAACTATTAGCTGTGACCTTATTACTGATCTACCTATTTGCCAAGGAAAGGACAGCATCTTGGTAGTTGTTGATTGTTTCACCAAGCAAGCACATCTTGCCCCTACCACCAAGGATATTAATTCCAAGGGAATCACAGACTTATTTCTCAAACATGTATGGAAGTTGCACAGAACACCAAAGAAGGTGATTTCCAATAGGGGAACACAATTTGTGTCAAAGTTTATGCAGGAAGTCTCAAAAAGACTAGGAACCAAGTGGTCCATGTCAACAGTGTATCACCCTCAAACCAATGGACAAACTGAACAAGTTAATCAAGAAGTAGAACAATATCTTCAACTCTTCATGTCTTATTGTCAGAATGACTGGGTATTGTGGCTTCCCATTGCAGGATTTACACACAATAATTCCATAACGACTACTGGACATTCTCCTTTCAAAACCCTCTATGGCTATGACCCCAAATTCATCATTTCTCCTAACTCCTTCAACACTGTCCCTCAAGCCAATCAGCAAGTAGCCAAAATGAAAGAAGCAAGTCAGAAATTGTCGAATCACCACCTTGGCCCCTTTGAAATACTCGAGTGAATAGGCGAGTTAAACTACCGGATCAAATTACCCCAATCATATCAGATCCATCCAGTGTTTCATGTGGGATTACTTAGTCCACACAAAACTTCCACACTAACACCTCAAGTCACCCCAACACGTCCACCCCCTGAAATCATTCATACTGGAGAAGAATATGAAGTAGAAGCAGTAATATCCAGCCAAATATGGCGACGCCAACTGCAATACTTGATAAAATGGAAAGGATACCCATTGGAAGAAGCAACATAGGAAAAAGAAGAAAATATGAAGAACTCCCCCAGATTAGTCAGCGAATTTTATGCCACACATCCTGACACTCCAAAATCACACCGAGTCACCAGTTCTATCATTCCAATTCTCCAAACACCCTGTTTCCTAGAATGGCGACAGAAAAATATCCGACTATCCTATATTTGCGAGGATGCTCATCCTAAAAAGGGGGTAATGTCACAAATTCCCCATATGAATCATTTTTCATTTCTTGGCTTTTCTCCAGTTACTTCTCATTCCTGAACTGGTCATGTGACTTCTCTTCCTGTCACAGTTTCACCTCTTCACATTTCACCCATTGTATCTCCAATTGGCTCTCCTACTCCACAGGCTAGAATGATCTCTCTTCCTATCACTTAATTTCTGTCTATGATATCATTGCTTATATATCATGATGTCATGCTACATCATCCGCAGTTATTGTACAACTCTTTTCTCATTGGCTAATTTGTTTCATACTCAGATATCTCTGATTCAATGTTATGTATATAAGTAGGCTAGTTAGTGTAAGTACTCTTTAGACTTAACCTCTTTGTTCTCTACACTTGTAGTAGGCTCAGATGTTCACGCTCAATCCTGTCTTTGCTCTTGCTCATCATCAGCTATGACCAAGTCCTAGTGGTTGTGATCTTACCTTTGCCATTTGGTGAACATTAGTCATAACAGCAACAGTCTAATGTGACTTTTCCCACATTCCAGTCTATCCTTGGATTATGATATTGTAGCCAATCTATTCCAATGATAACATCATTGGTTCCTAGATCCATGATCAGAAAGGCTACTTCTTCTTCATGATCCCCTATCCTGAGTTTCAGGTCTACATAGCTTTTGATTGGTCCAGCAGAATTTTTAGTTCCATTGATATTGTTGACTGGCAGTGCTTGCAACAACTGCTTGATTTTGACTTGATTCTTTTCTACAAACCTTTCACTGATGAAGAGGTTCATTGCTCTGCAGTCTACTAGAGCATTGATGTCTGCTTTCTTGGTTTTCCTTCCCATGTAACTGGCAAATAGAAATGCTCTTGTTTATTCCCAGAACAAACTTCTGATACTTCTGTAAACATGATAGCCAAGTCACTAAGAATGGAAAAACAATTGTTCTGGTCTAAGTTTGCAGTCAACTTCAACCCTTCTAAAAACCCTTCTTCTCTGGGTTGTACATGCTTGACATTGCGATGCGTTCATTAATGATCCTGTTGATGTCTTCCAATGTAAGAACCTTTGGAGGCTCTTCTTCTTTGACCACTCTGATGGCTGGTCCCTTGCCCTTGTCTATGGGTTCTCCTGTGTGTATTCATTGGGGTAGTGCAGATCAAGGGAGTCATGTATTTTGTAATAACCCCAACAGCAGAGACTGCAAGGAGCCAAGGCCCTTTTCCAGTGTTTTCTCCAAGCATCAAGTGAGGCCCAAAGAGCCTTGGATTTATTGGCTTGATTCTGACCATGAGAAGAAGTACAAACTGTGATATATTGAGTTTAATTTTATTTATACTAAGCTAATGGGTCGCGTGATAACTAGCATTGTTGCGAGCGACATGTCTTGTTTGAGTCTGACTCAAATATCTTCCGCTCTCAGCGGGCATGTTTGGCATTTGATCATGTTTGCCATGGTCAGTGTGCCTTTCACGTTGTCCTTAAGGATTAAACCAATCCTTTTTTCAGGCTCCATCCTCCTATGGTGGAGCTATGCTTACTTAGTGGGCGACTCCGTGTTAGATTGAGTTTGCCCTCTTTCTAGCCTTTCCCGTCACCTTGCTAGCTAGTTTTTGATCACCCACCACTCCCTCCTGCTTGGTTTACATTGATTAGTGTTCATCCCTTCAGTTTTTTCTTTTTTGGAGGCTCTACTACCGTTTGCCGCATGATAAAAGAGCCAGAATTATCATAAATATCAGTGCACTGCTTTGTGACATTGTGTGACAAATGTGAAATTTGGAGCCACCGTGAATTTTGGCTACACTTCGGTTGAAATTGCTGCAAGATCAAATTGTATCAATTTCAAACTGAAGTTGCCGAATGGGCCCAAATTTGAAATTTTGAAATTTGAAAAATATGTAAGTCAAGACTGTTGTCCCTTAACCGTTACACCAAAAGGCAGTGATAATGAAAGCTCACGCTTCATTATCTCGGACAGTATTTATGCTGATTATGGGAACTCAGGTAAGCCAACGGGCTTACACTTTGAAAGTTTTTTAGTGATTTTTTTTGGCGTGATTTGACTCTTATATATATATGTAAGTGGTCAAGACTGTCGTCCCTTAACCGTTACGCCAAAAGGCAGTGATAATGTTAATGCAGATCATGGATAAATGAATAGTTTATTTGGAGATTGTTCCCAGGATGATCCCCACTGTGCACATGGGAGATGCAATGCTCCAAGTTACAGCCGTTACTTTCTGGACAACCATAGCGTCTGGCAGTGTTCAACTTCTGTTGGATTATTCAATATCAATTCTGTGATCCACCCATGTCGCGGTGCCACATCACCGTCATCTGACGTTATCCCCACTGGTCTCTCTTTCATGGAGCTGAGATGCATTTTGTTGCACCGCCCCGTATCATGAAAGACTTCTCGCAGGATGTTCACCGAAAATTTGATCCTGAGGGCTTATCTGACGTATGGTGCAGGACAAATATCATTATAGATCATAAAATTGCACAGCGTCTCTGCAGATCTGATCCAGCAGACACCCGAGTAGTTCATTAAACCTGTGCAGGATCAGCGGACCTCATGCAGAACTTTGACTGTGTCAGGGGTTTTGATTCCAGTCTGAGGCTTTGGAATTCGCGCCAACGTTGCACTGCCATGATAGTGTCGACGTTCGACCTTGTGCACGTCGGTTAGACCATCAATGCACGAGAGTAATTGGGGAGGCATGCAAACATTACGATGAGCATTATTAAAGCAGGAAATGACACGCAAGCAGCTATATTTTCCGGGTGAACGAGGGGCCAGCATACAATATAAGTATACTCGGCATAACTTCACGATTAAATGCACCAGTGTACCTGGCTGTGGTGCACCACGCATTCGCAGTGATGATTGCCATAATCCGTCAATTAGGTCGTTAGCAGGAGGCCCTGGCGAAGCGGGAAGAAGCTGTTTGCCTAGCACTTTCCCCCGCCTCACGCGTAATCATGTGCGTACACAGCAGTTTGATTTCATAGTGGTCCTATTGTAAAGTTCCGATGGATAGGTTCAGTCAATATGTAACAGGAATAATAGAGTTTATCGCGACAATAATAAACACTAAGCCAAGAAATGATAGACCGGACACACAGCTATATGGATATATAAATGTCGTCAAATTATGGTAGGGGAATCACATCCAATGGTTATCTTTGCGCTCGCATTCAAATCTCCGGAGTACCAGTGTACTGCCCAGGACGCGATTGTTGGGAGAAGACATGAGAGGGTATCGATGGGTTTTGGTAGATGTTAGATGAGGTGGTTAAGACGGTAGGGGAGGGAGGAGAAGTTGGGAAAGTGGTCGGGTCGGCGGGATCCTGTGCAGAAGATGAGTTAACGAATTACTAAATCATTAGAAACATACGTAGAGACGCGGTTGCTGCGTCATTTGGGATTGCATTGGGAACGGATGAGGGTTAGCAGAGTAAACACTTTGAGTATAACCCGGACCTCCACCAATGTCGCTGAACGCGGCCGATGGCGCTTTGGAGGAACGACGGCGTTTGACAAAGAACCACGCCGCAAGGCCTACGATAGCTGCAAGTCCGACGACTCCACCGATAACACCCCCAGCTATAGCTCCAACGTTCGAACTAGATGACTGACGACGACTGACGTAGCTGAAGATCCTGTGGCTGTGGTCGGAGGAGTGGTCAAAGAACCAGACACAGTGGTCGAATGAGTGGCTGTGCCAGTGGATTGTGCTGTGGTCGCGGAAGATTCGGGAGAATCTATAAGAAAGTGAGTGAAAGTGCATCTGCGACGGGAAAAGGTATGCCCGAATGCTAACCTCCATCGGCTTGCGCCAGGGTGGCGTCGAACGTGCCACTCCCGCTGGTCACCTTCAGAAAAGACTTAGATTATGAGAATTTAAAAAATACATGTACTAACGTTCAGGTAAGCCCAATTCGGAACTAGAGTGCCACTTGGAATGTTATATGGGTATCTGCATGTCAAGGGGTTAAAAAAACTTGGAGAATATAAAGAACCTCGCAGACTGACGCTTGTGACAGATAGCTGGGTACCGGCGGCTGAGCAATTGTAGCTCCAGAGACTCCAGCTGCGAGAAAATGAGTATCCCGTGAAGTCGAGCATAATTCGATACGACTCACCTCAGAAACGTGCGGTTCTGACAATCGCCACAAGCGCTAATCAGCGAGTAGACTACGGTACTACATTCGCAAGCGTTGGCTTCTGTGACCTCAGGAGCTGCATAATGGGTACCAGCAGGTAAAGGATAGATTGAGAAGTCTGCACCAAAATTAGTTATGCAAGGCCAAGGCATGCTAAGAAACGAAAAAGGCGTACCTCCACCCCAGCAGACACTCTCGAGGTAGGCAGCAACCGTGCAAGGGTTCTGCTGGAGAGTGTTGTTCATCTGCAGATCACCCAATCATGCATCAGACCCAAATCTTTAAGCTAAATAAAAAGAAATCATTCACCCAATCAAAGCCGGAGACGCATGTCGCATTGGATGTCTGCGCAAAAGCACCTCTGGGTACGATCGCAGCAGCAGCTAGAACCACTATTAACGACCATGCCTTGGTGAGTGGGGACATGATGGGTAAAAGGACGGGGACAAGAACAGAGTTAGCTCGAGAAGCCTTCGAGTTCTAGTAATTAGACCCTTTGTTCCTGATGGCAGTTCGACGCCAAGCTTGAATAAACACAGCTTTTGAGAGCACCCGGCAGGGTCGATAAGTACCTCTCTTATTCCATTCCAAGCGTTATATAGTGCCTGACTTAGAAGAAATTTGGCCCATGACTGGCAACAAACTGGCCATGACCATTTTCTGTGAATGAAAGACTCGTTTTTGGGCGGGATAAAGTCTGCTTGGCATCCGAGCGCTCGAGCCTTTGAATCGGGTCGAACCCGTAATGGCAATGTCATGCAACCATATGTGATGCACGTCAGGTGTGTCAGGGTCGGGACGTTGAGCTCCGTTTGCATCCGCGAATCGTGAGAATATATGACTAAGACTATACAGTTGCCAGCCACCGTGATGTTCCAAAGTTGTCTCCGTCAAGGCATACAGCGCCGACACCATCCTCAAAACTCGCCATGGCCCCCTCGACAACGTGAGTCTGCGAAAGTTTCTGAACGGTTAATAGTTGTTTACACTTTTACCAGGGTTCCTACAGTCTCGGTTCGTCCATCTGCTCGCGATCTACGTATGTCTACTGACTTCTGTCACAGGACATCGAAGTTCCAGAGACCCTCCTTAAAAAGCGCAAGCAAAACGAAAAGGCCCGGGAGGAGCGCCTTGCTGCCGCCACTGCCGCACGTAAGGTTCGTGTTAACCTGTTACTTGGGGCCTTGCTCTACATGTGATGCATACGATTATTTCGACCGAATGGCTAGTGGGATTCGTTCTGCAGTGCCGCCTTCAAATTAACCATCTTTCGGGACTGATTCTTTACAATTGCTCTACTTCCGATCGTATACTGAATTTCGTTTCAGGCAGCAAAGGCAAAGCGTAAGGTGATCTTCAAACGGGCGGAGAGTTATGTCAAGGAGTACTTGTCAAAGGAGAAGGAGGAGATTCGATTGAAGCGCGCTGCACGGACATCTGGTGACTTCTACGTTCCTGCAGAAGCCAAGGTTTACTTCGTCGTCCGTATTCGTGGGTACGTGGAGTGTCTCCCGCGATGATACATTTTTCTCAGATCCGCGTAGTATCAACGAGATCGCACCCAAACCCCGTAAAATCCTACAACTTCTTCGCCTTCTTCAGATCAACAACGGTGTTTTCGTCAAGGTCACGAAAGCTACCCAGCAAATGCTGCGACTGGTTGAGCCCTATATTACATACGGGCAAGTCGACTTTTTTTTTTTTTTTGGAATATGGATGGAGATTGATTGTTTTCCTTAGCGAGCCAAACATTAAGTCCGTCCGTGAACTCATCTACAAGCGCGGTTACGGCAAGGTGAACAAGCAGCGCATTCCCCTGACCAACAACGCCATCATCGAGGAGACACTCGGCAAATATGACATTCTCTCTATAGAGGATCTCGTTCACGAGATCACTACCACCGGCCCCAACTTCAAGCAGGTCAGCACCACCATATCCGAAATATTTTCTTCTGCTGACAAATCGACACAGGCATCTAACTTCCTCTGGCCTTTTAAGTTGTCGAACCCTAATGGTGGCTGGAGGACGCGCAAGTTCAAGCACTTCGTCCAGGGTGGTGACTTTGGTGACCGAGAGGCCAACATTAACAAGCTCATCCGCCAGATGAACTGAGTGTATATGTTATTGCGGTATGACGGGGGGATGGTGGCGAGATGGAGCAGTCGCAAGGTATGCTTGGCATGAATGAAATCCATCATGTTCCTCTATTTTTGCCATGTATGCACTATGAAAACATGGATTTCTTCCGACACTTCAGGATTCATTGACATGATGAGATCGCTTGTATTATTCCATGTCGCTGTAGTAATGCAGGTCAACTCGGTGGCGTCTATGTCCACTCAACTACCATGCATATGGTGATAACGATCATCTGTTCTATTTTCATTCGTCGACTTCCCAGTTCCCGATCCACGAGGATGCTTGACATGATAATACGGTAACGCAGACGGTATGCCTCTGCAAAGAACTGTTCCGCAGAACACCAGCGACGAAACTTCTCGTCAAGTAAACAATATCCTGCAGAATTTGAGGTGCGCTAGCCTTGTGTGACATTCTTGCGCAAGCGAAGCGCCTCATTCCCTCGTCCAGAGGAGAGCACTTTCGCCACTCACGCAACATACAGCGTGCCCCAGCGAGCCTACCCGCGCCTTTGCACGTCCACAACCTCCCAACTCTCCCGATCAGCTTGATCTATCCCTCCGCAGAAGACGGCAGACGGCAAATAGGTGCAAGGCACCATCCTACAAGACCTATTTGGATCGCAGGACCCGATCCACCTCGCAGTTGGACAACCCCTTCATCTCCGAAGATCGCGGAGGCAGACTCAGTAGACAGCAGCTCCCCTTCTTGGCGCGAACACGCCCTTGACTTGGTGTTTTCTGCTGGCGATGCGTCAGTGTTTCCACCGGGTAGCACATCCCTCCGTAGCTTTCGGAAGGACGAGTTCCCCACGCTCGCACTACTATCCCTTCATGTCATCCGCATGGAGTGCAGTGCGTACGAGATGGCTGAAATCATGCCCTATATCCCGCCTCACCTCCGTCGCGTCTTAGTGCGTCACAGCGCCATAAACTATCCCCTCTCTCAGGCGGAGCTGACTGCAATTTGCGGAGAAGAAGGACACGCAGACGGAGAGCTCGTAGTCGTTGGGCCGCATGCTACATTGCGCAGCGATCATTTCTGGCCCATACATTCCTCAAGAGAATCCGTGCCAGAAGAATATGCAGCAGAAGAGTCTACGTGGGACTCCCTTGCACCACAGGGCGAACCTAGTGTGGTCTTCTCCCTTACCTTACTGTCCACACCATCAACCCTCACCTTGAGCAACCTTCCGCCCACAATCACTTGCCTCGCACTCATAAATATCCCCAAACCAGTGTCCCTTCAACGATTACCATCATATTGCCCTCTGGTCTCGCTGTTAGACATGTCTTACAACACTTGGCTCATCTCAGCATCAGGGGAGAAGCTGCTAGAAGAATACCCGTGGACGAAATTGCACTACCTGAAGGTCTTGGGGCTACGAGGGTGTCACGTCACACCAACGCTTCTGTCGCAAGTCAATAGAGGTCGGTGGGATGACATAGACGTCATTCATTGATGATTTGGACTCTGCGTATACAATGTACACGTACATGGACGAACTATACAAGCTCTGGAGCGGAGAAAATATTACAAATTTGCGAAGTCTCCGGTGGGGTATACGAAAGTACAACAGCTTGAGTGGAGCTCGGATGAAATCATACTCGGGCATTAAGGAATAAGCCCAAATCGAAAGGTGGTAAATACTGCATCCCATATTAGATTCCGCAGATACAATATCATTGTAAAACTTACTTCAACAGTCGGTTTCTTCTCATCAGAAGTCGACGCAGTCCTGCTGGCAGGCTTGGGTGGGAGAGTGACTCCCGCGGGTCTCCTGGTAGGAACTTCGGCATGCAGTTCGTTCAAAGCTCCCCAGAGAGAAGAATTATATCGCACGGCAACTTCCAGGTGAGATACAGATAGTAGGTTGTTGTGATCTGAGAAATAGCCCTTAGCATACGATCCTTTTCATGCGAGGAAATATTAAAGGCACTCACGGAGTATTGCGCGGTTGATCTGGTCTGCAACACGTTCTCGTCTTGCCTGGTCAAGATATTTTGACATGGGGCTAATCTCTGGCACCTTGTATGCGAGAAGGCCGCCAACGTTCTCCAGCTCCTTCAAATACGTCGCTCGGTCCTCTGGTTTCCGTAATAGTTCCACCAAGGCATAGAGCTTTTGCGCCCGCAGTATCAACTCGGTTTGATAACGCTCACCAGTCATACGGTCAGGGGCACGGGAGAGATTCATGGGGGGTTCCGGTGTTTCTATGGGTACACCCCGATGGGGTGGAACGTAGGGAAGAGGAATTGTACGGCATGCTTCAATGAAAGCATGAATACGGAGGTTAAGCGATAGGAGAGTCGGGTCCAAGACGGTGCGGGGGGCGGACTCTATACGGTCAGAGGAAGAATTGACGGAAGAGGACGTTTCTGAGTGTGATACACTTGACGAGGCAAGGACGCTGGGGAAATGCTGGTTGAGGAGGGCAGTGGCCTCATCTATTCGCCCCGAGAGAATTTCTGTTCGTATTTCTGGACGGGGAGATTAACATTAAGAAACTTGACAACCGACAAAGTCACTGCACCTTCACGAAGCCGTATTCTCCGAAGACCCTCTTCCGTGAGGTCTACTGAGTTCCCTTGCAACCTTCTGTCGGGCGACATGATTTCGTCTCCGTCCTTGTCGAGGTGTCTCACGGTGGTATCCCTCGCGAATGCCTGCGCAGTCTTGGTGTAACAATTATGGCAGAGGTAATCGAGTACAAAGGCACGCTGCAAGAGAAGAATAGGATCAGTGACAACAAAGAAGACTTCTTGGCGGATCGGGACGCACGAGGTGATCAGGTTGTGGTTCCGCGAATTGCTGGTTGCTAACTGGTGGAGACGGTGATGGGATGCGCAAAGTAGACGCTGGACTCCTAGTGAAAGACATGAAGGACTTCAAGTGACACTGCTTGTAGTAAAGAACAAAAATAAGAAGACAGGGTGCGACAGCACTGGTGGTGACCTGTCACCTGTGCTAGCTAATATATATCTGGATGCTCAGAGACTGATTTATCTTCAACTTATCATTTCTGTATGTGCAGTACATATGTTGGTATGATTAACATTAGAGTATGGGGCGTTATGCAATTACGGTGTTAAGTCGGGCGTGAACCGGAGGTCCGACTCCTGGAGTGCGCTACAACACTTGCACTTCTGCCACCGTAGTATGAACCTGAAAGAGCATCTCCTCCCAACAAACCAGCTTGCTCTTCAGCGAGAGAAGCTCTGTGTACGATAGATGCACCACGACCTCGCCGACGCGGAGGCTTCCCTCGGTAGATGAAGGATTGAGACACAATAGTGACATCAAAGATGAACGTGCCGCCACTTCCAAGTAGGTATCTAGAAGGTCATCAATGAAAGGTGAAATGTATATAAGACAATGAACGTACGGGAGGCTCTCCTTGAAAAATTGAATTGATGCAGGTGGAGGCACTCGTGCCTCAGGAGATGTCAATATCGAGCAGACGTAGAAAAAGTTGCCAAGGAAAGCGAAGACGAAGAGATACATCGAAAGTCCGTCAACAGACTTCCTGGCATACTGGAGAGGCCGATGAGAGGAAAGTATTCCAAACAAGAAGGAAAAAGTAGAACTCACGTTCTTCCATATCTGGGGAAGGCGAGAAGTCAAATACAATGAGGTACACAGCCAGGCAAATATTCGTCCAATGATACGTTCCGCTGAGGGTAGGTCTTCTGATTGAGATCGCAGCTCGTCCTGGTCAAGTGTCGAAGGGAGTTCCACAGTCACAACTTCTGCATCTGATGACGACTCATAGTAGGCCGCGTCCTGCACGGAGGACGCCGTCACTGAATGTGGTATGACAACCTCATCTGCTAGCACTCGCCCTATGCTGTCATTTCTCTCTGCTAAAGATCTGGAGCGAGCGTCGGTTAGAGCTCCAACACTAAACAATGCCCCAAATCCAAGCAAGACCATGCTTGCCGCGCGTCGACTCGCGCGAGAACTGGTCCTATGGCCACTCGCCGCACGCGAGCCGGCTTGCCCAACCTCAACCTCAACCTCGTCCGCATCTGCCGCACGCTGCTCCGGACGACCCCGGGCAAATGCCGCGAACTCGCGCTGAGGTGACGTTATTTGCAATGATTTGGGAACCGCAGATAGGTGATCGCGACGTTCTTGGCTCCATGAAACACGTTTGCGCCCAGAGTGAAAACTTTCTGAGAGTGCTGACAAGACCGCATCATCGACCTCATCTTGCGCTTCTTCAGATACTTGGGGTGTTGTGTCATGAAGCGGTTGGTCGACGGGATGCTTCCGTGAGACACGATGTTCGGGATGCGCTTCGGGAAATGCAACTAATGCTGCGGCTGCGGCAACATTACCCGCGACTGCGGATAAGGTGCGATAGTGGGATGCGTCTATTGAGAGTCGACGAGCAGTGGAAAGAGTTCGTGACCGCGTGCGTCCGTACACCTCGGATGGTATTGCTGGCCCTCCACCATAGTAAAAGTATTGAGCCAGCAACGAACAATCCACTATGCAAAAGTAGGTCGCAAGGTAAGTCTGGAAAGCAAGTCACTATATGAAAGCACGATATCGATGTCAGTAGCCTACCTGGAAAGGAAGTTGGTGGGTGAGCAGACAGCCAATTAAATTTGAAAAGTCGCCTATGCAGAGAATGCGACGTCAGTGAAAGGCGAATTAATCGATAAGGATGGGCCGCACCAAGTAGCCAGTTACACAAGAACGGTAGAGCAAGGCCCTCACACGACTGCCGTTTGTGGTTTTCTATAACTTGACTACGATGGCGAATATGGCGCAATTCGTCGTCAGTTTACGAGGTGTAACATAATAAAGACTGAGCGCTGAGCACTGATTACTCACGGAAATTGGGCACCGAGCCAACACGCGATAGAAGTATATCCGAGCAACTCGCTGAATGTCGCTGAAAGGAACATCCTCAGTATTGCCCTCGTAGGATGAAGAGGCTAAGTAGAGTGGGGTCGAGCGCCTTGGATTGCTTCCAATTGGTTCACACACACACTGGTGCGTGGCAGAACATCCAAACCGTCTTGTTCGGTCGTGGGCGGCAGCCTAACTTATACTTCGAGACAAGCCTGTGTATAATCCACCTCTACCGTTTCAGTAACTCTCCGATATCCGACAAGGTGCGCTGGCAGAGTGTGATTTAAATATCTTTAAGCTTATAACCTTTATACACCTGCAGGCGCACTAGTACTAACGTGGGCGCTGGACCGAGTATCAGACGGTAAGTACTGAATCTACGCTCTTTCACCACAGTCCCATGCATATCGCATCAGTTGCCAAGTGTCAGCATCTGATAAAGGTTCAAAATCACTACCCGCGGATACCTGCGGATACCTGAGTTTAGCAAGACCTCTGACCCGTACCCGTGCGGATGGAACCATCCAAGTTACCCACCATCCATACCATCCGTCCCACGTTCCGTCAGCGGGTGGTACCCGGGTGGATATCCGCGTAACGCCTACCCGTGTCACACCCTAAATACTTCTGCCTCGGGAACTCTCGAGGACGAATACTAGTCGCTCCATGGCCGCCTCCCCGGAAATCCGCCCATCTGGCTCATATGAACCAACCACTGCAGACATTCTCTTAGTCAAACGATACTTCCAGTTATCTTCAATCCCACTTCCAGATGAACTCATCGATGACATTATCGATGCTGCGTCCTATTGGGCGCACACCTCTGTAACAGTTAATCGCACTGTTCGCACAATTGCCCACGGCACCTCCATCAAGTGCGGCCGAGACATGATGTACATACGTACATTACCTCTTGCAGTGTACGGTGCAGAAGGAGACTTCGTACTCAACCAGGAGAACTTGGAAGGAGGCGAGCTTGTCCTCGGCGGGCTACCTCCAACCGAGTCAAATTGGGTAGCGCCTGCGCGTGTCAAACCTTTTCGAAAGATCGAGTTCCAGCTTTGGAGTCATGACCAAGGCTGGGTTACTGATCATCGCAGTCGTCGAGCAACGTATGAAGGCTCTTTCTCCTGGTTCGATGCCAGTGTGGAAAGACTTGACTCCACTTCATATCTCACGGAAAGCATCGAGTGGCCCTCTTCACTCTTCTTTACCGCAGTTGATGCAGCAAATCTACCATACGACGCCACATATGCTTGTCCCGCTGACGTACCATCATTCGATGATCTGAAAGTCTTTCCACCCCCTGGAGCCCCCTTTAGTACCGCTAATCCAGTTTCCTTCGGTCCCAAATCTATCAAATTTACTCGAAAGGATGTCGAGCGTCCATTCTTACCTTCTCCTACGACACTCCAGAAAAATATCGTCGCGGAAAGTCTTACAACACACCATATCGTCACTTGGACGGACCTCGACAATGTCAAAGAGCGTTCCCCCGAAGCGATGGCGGCGGAGAGTGCGGGACAGGGATGGAAATCATACGATGGTAGATTTGTACGTGACTTGCAGGTCGGAGACTGCATTACTTTGTGGATGAGGGCTCGGTTTCAAGGATGGAGTATGAATGCTGAGAAGGCAAAGATAACAGTCTATTGGGCAGTATAGGCTAAGTGTCGAGATATGTGGACAAACAACCTCTTGCATATGTCTGTGCATTTGATGCTTATAGTCTTCTACCACGTCCATGGGATTTCGGTTCAAAGGGTTTACAGATATAGACCATTAGCAGAGCCAATGTTATCTAGACTTCAGCGAGGGAGGGGGTGCAACTACATATGCTAGTTTATATTCCCTCGCCCAGTGCGAGAGTGCATGACGCGTACAAACCTTGTAGCAACTCTCATTGCTTAATCCATCCCCTACACTGTTCGGCGCCACATCTGCATAAGAGCGCGGTGGGTGACATCTTTTGCTTTTGCTTGGTAGTGCCTGCAGCTATTTCTTCGGCAGCGCTTGGTTCATAATCAATATTGAGCTCCTCTCCGGCAGGTATGTCTCGAGAAGCGACGAACGCCACGTAAGGCATATTTACCTACAACCAAGGTCTCGAGCGCCAACAAAGATTCTAGGCCATAAGCAATTACCTCTCGAATGGTGTCAAAGACGACACAATAGACCTTCATATTAGGGGCGCATGAGTGACTGCACGTCAGGTTAGCTCTTCAGAGGCTATCAGGCAGAGCATTTCGACTCACTTAACGAAGCGGGTCCAGTTGCCTAGACATAAAATGTGATCAAATTCGAGTACATCAAAGGAATGCTGGTGGGCATACCGTAATCATAAGAATCAACCGAAAATTTATCTCCTGGATTGTGTTGACCACGGATCTCTGTGCCATCAAGATCGAAAACATAACCAATGTGCTCCGGAGGAAGGTTGTCTACATCTTCCCGCCGTCTGTGAAGCTAAGTGAGGACCCGCGGAAGCAAGGGTGGAAGAACTAACACCAGTGTCCTACAACAAAAACCTCAGTAGATAGATGAGATGGCATAGGCATGCAAACCCTGTATATATTCCCAAGACCTTTCCTCTTGGTAGTGCAACACGACAGCGAGCACCCCAACCGCACTGCTTTGTTTTGAAAATCTCGATTGGGACATCACGAGGCTTCTGAGCAACGCGGTTACCGCACGTTAGACTGCATCTACAGAGCTGTAGCGAGTTTAGCGTGACAGATGTGTCGCCTTAGATGAAGCTGTACCTTGTTGCACTCGATCACTTCAGCTCCTTGCGGCGCACGAAATGCGAAAAGTCCCTGCACAAGTCGTCAATATGTACCTGCGACAGAGAGAAGTACTTACCCCGCTATATGCGAATAACTTATGGCCCCTCTCATTCGTGATTTCTGATTCTGTCTGACAGTCGCATTGAGATGCTCTGTCACACTTTTTGCAGACACATGCAAGGAAAGCCCCTGTATCCACGTCAAAAATTGTCTGGAGACCAAGATTTTCACTAGTTCATAGGATGAAATGGGTCCAAAATATGAGAGATCAGATGACATACAAATGATATTTTCTCTCCATGTATTTAAACTTGTGCAGTTGCTGCCCAATCTCGGCATCTGTGATCTCGTCGGAGATGCGTACAGATTCAGCACCAGCCTCCTTTGCTGCTTGGTTCCAGTTACTCTGTAAGCGTGCTCGCCCGCGCCTGCGACATCTTAATAAGATAGACCTGTAAGGGCACAACATGAAACTCACAAAGGCTTCATGGGACGGACAAATATAATATCGCCCTTCACGTCTGATTGCGGAGTTTTCGGTAGCCCCACTGACGTGCTGGCCTGAGCAGGCTGTTTGACAGAGTGACCTATGGCTATATTCTTGGAACCTTCTGCGACATCTTTGGATATACCTACTGCCCCTGGGAGACTCTACTGAGCTTGTAGACAACTTGAAATCGAACGTCAAAGAGCGAAATGCGTCATCCCCTATGGAAGGTGAAATTCTTCTTTTAGATGAAGATCGGGTACCCAAAGGAGTTAGTCCACGGGTGCGTTTGACCGAGGACGAACGTGGTACATCAGACGATGTGCTAGAACGTGGGGTACCTCGACGAACACGTAGGCGGGACGCCGCATTACCGTCTTTAGCATCGGGCTCATCCGTGTTTCTGCAGGCAAGCTTCTATTTCTTTGTCCCAATCTGCTGCTGAGAGATCGCCAGGCCGTTCGCGCTTCTTCTTCTCCTCGTATGCCTGCGCGCGTAGGGAAGTGAAACGCTTATGTACTGCGTCGTCTGGCCAGGCTACTTCCATGTCTAGACTGTCCTGGGCGAGCGCATTGCGCTTGCGACGCTGAGTTCCTTTTCCAGCGGTTGACCAAATCAATGCGATCTGGTATATCGGATTGCCAAGTCGTGTTTGTGCCATCCTTTCGCGACCAGTTCCCCCATCTCACCTAATGATGTTAGGCACAAACCAAGTACAGATTCCTAGTTAAGTTACCTACTTCATATCTAGCAAACTCATGAATGCGGGCCCTTCGATGAGATTCAAGTGGAGCTTACTTTAAAGTACCATCAGGATCAACCTCTTCACCTACGATTCCCTTGATTGGCCACTCTCCATTCTCATTCCCACCTTCCGCATCGCTCCAACTTTCCTGTGGAGAGGGAGACCGTTTCCACATATCCATCATGCACACTCAAGACAGCGTTGAGAATGTGGTGGCGGAAGCAAATCATAATGAACGCGTTGTTTGCTCAGATGATTGTCTAGTCATGTGACCGCTTAATCTACGCGTCACACGCGTCTTGATGACTTGACTTGGAGCTTAGACCCTTGGTCTTTCTTCACTTTCATCCTACATGTTTATGCTGCGGCGCACTCCAACGACCTCAGACGGGAAATCTGTGGATAGGTTACAAGAGAGCACACGCGTAAATAAGCCATTCAAACCCCCGACGCTTGTCAATGCTTCCGAGCGCGTCCAGCCTCAGCGAAAGCGCAAACGAGTCTCTTATAAAGATGCGGCGGGTGACGAGAACGACAGTGACGACGACGACGCGAGAACGAAGAAAAAGAAGAAGGGAGACAAGGACGGGACTTATAACAACCAGGAAGAGTTGAAAGCTGCTATCAAGACCTATCCGGTGTACAAACCCAAACCATTCGATACGCTGCGCAGGTTCTCAATGCCAACTATGACGAACAAAAGTGGGGAGAAGGTACACATTCTACCTACGAACGTATCTCTGGGGTTTCGTCCACTGGCCAAGATCATTCCTCGCCCGTTACATGACCCCATGGAGGATCATGCCATTGTCCTCTACGACCCTACGATCGACGACCGCGAAACCGACGAAGAAAAGAAGGAACGGGAGAAGGAGGAAGCTAAAGAAAGGGCAGCCAAGGAAGCACAAGAGAAAACAGCAGGGATGTACAATCCGCACAAGAGTCTGCGGACGCTCCTGGGCGAAGGCAAGGACAAGAAAGAGAAGGCACAGAAAGTCCCTGTAGTAATTGACCCTAGACTCGCAAAGGTCCTACGTCCACATCAGGTTGAAGGTGTTAAGGTGGATATTTCCGTATGGCGTGCTTTTCCTGTACTCATCCTAACATGCAGTTCTTGTACAAATGTACGACCGGCATGATGGTGGACAACCAGTATGGCTGCATCATGGCCGATGAAATGGGTCTCGGCAAGACCCTACAATGCATCGCGTTGTTATGGACGTTGATTAAGCAATCTCCTCACCCAGGTAAGCCCACGATAGAGAAGTGCATTATAGCCTGTCCTTCTAGTTTGGTGAAGAATTGGGCGAATGAACTTGGTGTGTTGTTTCTCTATCAGTCCTTTCGAGACACCCCTCATCTTCTCTCAGTCAAGTGGCTAGGAAAAGATGCCATTTCAGAGCTTGCAGTGGATGGTAAAGGTGGCAGAGGCGAACTCCATGGGAAGGTTGTTCGGTGGGTGGAAGCAAAGGGTCGGAATGTTACACAGCCAGGTTTGCCGTTCACCTTAATGGTGGATGCCTGAAGTTCATGTTTCTCTCAGTGATGATTGTTTCATACGAAACCCTTCGTACTCTTACCGCACATCTGGCCAACTGTAGCATTGGCCTCCTGCTCTGCGATGAGGGCCACAGGCTGAAGAACTCTGGTAAGCTCACGCTTCCACGGAGCTTAATTGGAGCACTATTAATAAGGTGTCTTGTTTCAGGCAATCAGACATTCCAAGCCTTGAATTCGCTTAATGTCAAGAGACGAGTCATTCTTACCGGAACACCCATCCAGAATGATCTCTCGGAATATTTCTCCCTCCTCAACTTCGCAAACCCTGACTTCCTCGGCTCCCGAGATGATTTCCGTAAAAACTTCGAGAACGCTATTATTCGTGGCCGCGACGCGAGTGCCAGTGCAGAAGTCCAAGCTCAGTGCGAGAAGAAACTCAAGGAACTCGGTGGCCTTGTCACTAAATTCATCATTCGGCGGACAAATGACCTATTGTCTAAGTACCGTGAGTTGATACCTGTGGTGCTTTTGCGAATTCTTACTTCAATCATTATTTAGTACCGGTCAAGTACGAGCACGTCGTCTTCTGCGGCCTGTCTGACTTTCAGCTTTCCTTGTACCGCCTTTTCATCTCCTCACCCGATATCAAAGGCGTTGCTTCGCGGTACAGATTCCCAACCACTAAAGGCAATCAATATCCTCAAGAAGCTGTGCAACCATCCTGAGCTGCTCAACCTCCCCTCCGACCTCCATGGTTCTGAGCAGCTTCTACCCGAAGGCTTTGGTGGTGCGGGGGCTACAGGGCGGGACAAAGGCAAGAACCAGACGGTGCGATGTGACTGGGGAGGAAAATTCGTCGTTCTCGAGCGGTTCTTGCATCGGATCAAAACGACTACCAATGATAAAATTGTGCTCATTAGCAATTATACACAGACGCTCGACTTATTCGAGAAGCTATGTCGAAGCAAAAAGTGAGTGTATGATGTTTGACGGTACTTCTGACTTATGTTGACGGAATGAATTTAATCAGGTACGCCTTCTTTCGCCTTGATGGGACCATGACAATTACCAAGCGCCAGAAGCTGGTCGATCAGTTCAATGATCCTAATGGGAAGGAATTTATTTTCCTGCTAAGTAGCAAAGCGGGAGGATGTGGTATCAATCTTATAGGCGCCAACAGACTGATCCTTTTTGACCCTGGTTAGCACGTTCGATATACTCGTTAACTCAAACTGACAGGATCTGGTAGACTGGAACCCCGCCGCTGATCAGCAGGCTCTCGCGCGTGTATGGCGCGACGGCCAGAAGAAAGAGTGTAAGCCTGGCAAGCCTGTCTGTTTCAAAGCATCATTGACGAGGATTATGATAGGCTTCGTTTATCGCTTTATCTCGACGGGAACGATCGAAGAGAAGATATTCCAACGTCAAGCATCAAAGCAAGCTCTATCTTCTGCTGTCGTTGATGAGAAGGAAGACGCCGAACGGCATTTCTCGGTCGAGTCCCTTAGGCAGCTGTTCACATTCAACGAGACCACGAATTGCGATACTCACGATACCTTCAAATGCAAACGCTGCAAGGACGGAAAACAAGTTATAAAGTCACCTGCGTTGTTGTACGGGGACGCTAGCACGTAAGTCTGCCTCTTGGAAATGGATACACACCTCCTAACTTTCGTGGACAGGTGGAACCACTATACCAACGAGGAGCTAAAGAGTAATCATGACGACCTACTCCGAGCTGAAGTGGGCTTGGCTGAGATCTCTTTCGTTTTCCAATACATCAGTCACTAGAAGATACCAGGATTCTTATGGTTGTTTTTGGCCGCATTGGTGGCCATGGACGTTCGTTGCTCACCATTTGTAACACTACTTCGCACCACACATGATCATGATACTTCAAGAGAATAAAATTACAACTGTACTAGTGAAAGAACAATCATGCAGTTATACAAATGCTATGTAACAACATCATCCCAGTCTCCCCAGTCGTCCCCGACCTTCCTCACTTTAACCTTTTCGCCTGATTGACCGAAGTATGCAGCCGCATGCCACATCTTCATTTCTTCCTCACTAAAGGGCCCAAATGTCTCCCCGGTAGACTGCTCAGGGATGTTCCATTTGTACTCGTACGTGACGTCTGCAGATGGAGGTGTCCAATTAGGTTCCACCTCTCCGCTGGAACGCACTGAGCGAACGAGTTCCTCGTATGATCGAGAGTAAATGTCGGTGTCACCGAGCGACATAAGGTTGGATGCCAGATGTGTGATCATGTCAATATCGTTGAGACCCTTGGGTTTCTCTGCCGGCTTGTCAACGGCCATAGCAGTGTCATCTTTAGCCTTTCCATTGACTTTCCTGCAGTTGCTCAAATTAGCTGGCTGGTCCTAAAGAATATTTGTTTGACAGCATACTTGGTAGAACGCAAATTCTGCTTCGACTTGGTGCCTAGTCGTTGGAGTGCCTCAAGCACTGTTTCTCCTTTTTTGAGCATTCCAACGAGCTGGATTTCCAGCGCGCCCTTTCCACCGCTCTGTGCAAGCTCCCTCTCCTCCGCCTTCATCTTGTCTCTTTGTATTCGCTCTTGCTGTCGCTTCCTCCGACGCGCCTGCTTGATCTCCTTATCATCTAGATTGTCCATCCACCGATCGTGTACGGCGTGTGCGTCAAATGATCGGACATAGGTGCCATCAGCAGCAAATTTGCCTTCTTCCATCTCTTCCCGCATATTGAACGAAGACAACTCGTATCCCATGCCAGCCTTCTTCCGCCGTTCTCTTTCGTCCTCGTCTTCGGGTTCATCTTCATTCGCTGAATCTGAATCATCGCCCTCGTTGAACTCCTGTCCTTCTATATCCCCTAGGCGTAAGAACTCTTCTTTCTTCTTGCCCTGTGCCTCGTCTTTCTTCTCTTCCTTGTTGGCCATGGCAAACATGTCGTCATCATCTTCTGCCCCTTCCGCGTCCTTCCTTCTGCTCAGTACAACCCCCTCTCCGTCATCACTGGAGTCTGACTCGTATCCCTCGTTCTTGACCCGTCCTTTCCGCTTGGCTGACGGATTTTCAAGCGCAGACTCGACTTCCTCCGCGAAGTTCACTGGATCCTCATCAGGGTCAACAAAACGCGTCTTTTTTGGAGCATGCGAAGAGATTTGAGATGTTGATGCGTCCGCGCTGGACGTCGCTGACCGCTTCTGAGCTGTTCGGGGTGGCATATTGTAGTGCCAGTTGGTAAAAGAGATGTGTTTGGTTGTGTTTGTCACGAGATCGAGCCCAGGCTGGGCGTTCAGATCCAGATGGAACTCTCCAACTCTTGCGACTTTTCACTGAAGTTCAACGTGTAAACTGCATTGCATATGCGCAAATGATCGTAGCCATACGTAGAGTATTCAAGAACAATCCTAAGAGTGTATACTATATAGCGGAAATCATAATCAGTAGAGATCGCTTTACATCGCAGTGATTTGCATGACAGCATTCGCATATCCAGTACTATCGACAATCTGGACGCGCATCAAGAGTACCGTGTTCGCAAGACCTATCAGTGCTTGCGGCGGGGCAAGCTTCCCCGAGATCTCCATATTCTGCGAGCTGAAAAAGACGAGTAACTCTTTCCCAGCCTTGGCAACAAACTGAGGTGAAGATAAAATAGTTCAGGGAAAGTAACCCGATGTAAATGGATCTGCTTACCATCTGGCCAGTTTGCAGACGTTGTTGAAATACGTCGAAATGTGTCTTGTGGGTGTCGTCCACGGAGGAATCGGGTACAACCCTCGCGCTGCCGAGGCCTGAGAAAGTGTTGACGATCCTGACTGCATCTTCTAATTGATAGAACGACCCCGCTCGACCGTCCAGCGACTTATCAGCATATATGTCGGTGAATGAAACCCCTTTCATGTTGTTTGGATCTTTCAACACAAGTGGAACAGGTGGCGCATTCGCATTCAGAATGAGCTTAAATGTGGGAACAGATCTAGGGATTGTCAGATCAGGAATCGTCCGAAGATTACAATACAAACTCGTTGATGTTGGTGGGTTCTTGAGCTGGCCCCTGTATCTTATACCTACTCAGGAGTGAGATGACACTGCTGAAGGGGAAAAACAAGCAAAGCCGCACATTGGTCCAAAGATAGTGTTGTCTTTTGACGTCCTCCAGGAAGAGTTTGAGATGGACGTAACCGAAGTGGTATGCACAGACGGGAACAGCTGCTCTTTGGCGTCTGCAAGACTGGAAAAATATCATTCAGGCGAGGTCTGGTCACACTCGATGACAGTATCTCACCTTTTTCGTGCCGCTTCGTCTTCCATGGTCATGGTAGCCGGAGTTGCATCTTCGGTTGGAACATCATCAGCGAGAATTTCTACTGAGATTACATTCGTGGGTTGAGGCGGCTGTTCAACATCCGCTTCATTTTCGAAGTCAGGTAGCACATCCATATCCGGCTTCAAACCTGCTATCTCCAACAATTCATGTCCGGAGGGAACTGGCAAAGGAGCAGGAGGATTAGACGCAGGCTCCATCTGGTCAGCTAAGGGTGCAATTGTTTGATGCTCATGATACATCTCCCCCACAGTATCTTCATCGCTCCAGGATGTGATGGCAAATTCACGCTCTGTAAGATGAGACGACTCTAGCGCATCTTCAATTGGTTCTGGTTCTTCCCTTGAATCCTTTGCCGGTCCGGAGCGACCCTTCACGCTGGTTAGGCCACGCTTCGTGGCTGTCAATAAGGAACTCCGAATCTTGCTCCGGGAACCAGCGGAAGGTCGACCAGGACCAGGTTTAGGTCGTGCCTTTAAGGATGCTCCTACTACCACTAGCATCTTGGGTTAAGCTCGAGGGCTTGCGAGAAATCAAGCGTGTCTTCGTGGGGATGGCAACCCCTGAATCCTTGTCCGTCCGCGGAGCATCGATAAACTTGACCAAAGGGTTAGCCACCCGAGCACGGTGCAAAGGTACTGCTGGCTCGACGGGAGACCGAGATCCGTCCCCGTTCCTTAGTTGCGAAGGAGAATCGAAAAGAGGGTCAGGTGAGCTACGTTCCTCATCGACCGAAAGAATTCCATCTTCGCGTGCTTGACTGACTTCAATGGTGTCCTCGATGTCTGGCGAGTAGCTTGGAAGGTCCTCGAACTCCACGACTGTCCCATTGACCTTGGCAGGATCAGCCGGGGGGTTTGGGATGTCCCGAGTATCAGGGTCATCGGGGCTCATCAACATCAACTCTTCCTCCACTTCTCCAAAGACATCCATGTCAAGCTCCCCTTCAGCGTCCGCGTCGGTCAGTTTGGTTAGGGAAAACTGACGCTCAGCCTCAACTTTGCGAGGGCCTGGAAACGAAGCACGCCTTTGTTTCGTCGGTGGTGACGACTTGGCTTTGCTTCTGGGCCCAAAGGCCCTCACTCGTTGAGCGGAGGCACTACCAGAAATGCCAGGTTCTGACTCGCGCTTCCGTTTTGCCTTCGGCTCTCCCATGGGTATTTGATGCCTGCGGCGCTTCTTCGTGGTCAAGGGTTCATCATCGGAGGAATCGTCATCGGATCTCTCAGGTGATCCTTGCACGTTGTCCCTACTAGATTTATTTTCGAGGCGTGGATTCGCCCCTATCACGATGAATCGTTAGACAAACGCGCTATTGAAAGAGAACACGTGGCATACCAGGAAAACCCGAAACGTGAACCTCCTCCCCTTTCTCAAAAAGCTGTGGGTTCGTATGGTCTCTGCCGCGTGTTAAAGCATGTGCCCAGAACGTCTTGAGGAAATGCTTCGAGCCGCCTGTAAACGATTTTTCGGGTTCCCAACTATACAGAATAAGCAAGTGCCACACAAAGCAAGATGACACCCTACGTGCTATCATCCCAGCCGTACCCTTTCCACTGCAACGCGTCAGTTGAGCAAAACGCAGTGCTCTTATGTACTGTGTACCCACTTTAACATAGAATTTCTATTTCGACCGAATATTTAGCTTGCATACCGAAACGTTGTCCTGGACTTACCCATATAATTCTCTTGCCCCGCTTCGCATCAACGCGCGCCTTTGTCACAGACTCTGAGCCACCATAAGTACGACCATGAAATGGCCCAACAAGAGGCGCTCTGAGACTCACCGACTTCGTACTCGTCGCTCATGGATGGGAAGCAGTAAGCCTCAAGCGGGGTCTTGCATTTTGGGTTTCGTGCAATTGACGTGTGAAATTCTTTCTAATTGCAGCCTAGGTCGTCATTAGGAACTTTATTAACAGATCTTGGCATCCAGCAGTCAAGCGAGTTAGATTGCAGCAGCATTTCAAGAACATGGGAATCAAGTACACTACAATTATACCACCACAAAGCATCATAGCGAGTAAGTACGTTAGCAAGCAAGAATAAAACATAGTGTACAGGGAAATAGTCAAGATACCAATGAGATCGTCAGGAGGATATCGAGTCTGTCAACGACTAGCGGGCGTCTGTAAAAGCCTTCCTGAAATGAGGCAGTCCTTCACCCATGGAACGTCAGCGAGTGTTACGTCGTCCTGAATGTCCTTGGGACGCTCAGTGGATTCCTTGACGACAACATGATCATACGCAAGAAGCTCTTTGGAGGCAACCTTGACTTCAGTCACCGCTTCCACTTGAGAAGCACCCATGCAAATCATAATCCAAGGGACGATTCGACTTGCGTCTTGCGTAGCATCGAAGCCACCCTGTACGAGGCGATAAATATCAACACAACAAGCGGCAATAGACTACTGACTTTTCTCCCCCCGCGTGGCGGTAAGGGTACGAAATCAGCGCCGATGCACAGTATGGTCTTGCCAGAGAATAACTTGGAGGCTACCGTATTCGACATGATGTCGATCAAGTGCTCCTTGCAGTTACCCCAGTCGAGGTCAACAAGTTGAGATACACGAGCACTCAATGACTCCGAAAATCCAGCAGGAAGCAGGAAGGGTTGCCAGTCCTAGACACAGAGCGGTTGTCAGCAGAGGATTGGGGAGCATCAAACACACTGTACCGGTGATATCTGGTGTTTTAGATAATCATCTCGCATCCATTCATGAGACAGACATGGAATCCCAAGTGCAAGAGCCTCCAGAAATTTCGGCTTCTGATTGTAATCGTCGGCCAGGAGGAAAACACGTTCCAAACCCTCGAACTCGGGCTTTGGGTTGAACTTGAAGTTTTCCCTGGAAGCTATCCAGCGCTTGTTTGACTGGCTATGGGAACCCTCCATGGGAAAAATGCTTGACCAGTCGTCAATGACAGTGCCTCCATTGTGCTTGATAGCCAACATCACACTGTCCTTCATCTGCTCGGGGTGCTTGTTGCGGACGGTGAGCGTCACAACGAAACCGGTCTTCGCGAATGGCTTCTTCTGCTTGACCGAGGTGGCACTCATCAAGGACATCCCGGAAGGCGAGGGCGTAGCATGTAGAGGCTTGGGCCGAATGATTGTGACGATGGAATCAGCAGTAAGGGTGCGGTCTTTCCAATGCGACTGGACAACTCTTGAGGCGATTCGGATATCCAGAATCTCGTAGTTGGAGCTTTCTGTGTCAGAACCGTCGTCAACTTCGACGTGGACGGATCCTGATTCCATCTGACTGACATCTGCCACCAGTGCCGCGAAGATTGCCGTGGCCAAGGATCACTGCATCTCCGACCCGTAGTTCGTACCGACGAAGCATGGTGATATCCACCTGGTCCTCCGTCTCATCGTCAAATTTGATGAGATATCGAGTACCGGTCAGCAACGAGTGGACGGTGCCCGAATAATAATGGCCGTCTTGCCTCCACAACGCGAACACCCGAGTGGCGGGCTGAGCTGGAAGAGCGCGGCTAGTAGATACAGCGGGACGAAGTCGGTTTGCTGCTCGTGTAGGCGGCGCAGGAGTATCAGAGGTTTTGCTACGAGTGGATGCCTTCGACGGAGCACGAGCAGGCTTGACATCTTCAACGCGTCTGCGCTTCCATGATGAAGGTGCTTTCAACTCAGCAGGAGCAGGACCAACGTCCATATAGTCTTCATTGTCAGTGAGCTCTGTCTCTTCCTCCTCCTGTTTTTCGGCTTTCGGAGTTGGATGTGTCTCGCCCTCATCAGAGGCCTCAGTATCCGAAGAGTGCTTACGTTTCTTGCCTGCCGCAGAGGATGCAGCACGATTACGAGAGCTCTTGCGCGTAGGTGCCGGTGGCGCCTTCCCTTTCTGCTTCTTATTCTTGACAGAAGGAGGGACCACCGTAGGGGTAGGCACTCGCCCAGGCATTGAGGTTCGATCTTGCAGGTCCTGCTCAGGAGCAGAGGTGGGAATTTCTCCATACTCTTGTTTCGCATTCTTCTTCCCGCGAGTTGAGCTTTTCGGCTTTATTGTGGGAGGATTCACCTGCGGATTCGACTGATGGTGACCCTTGGTAAGTCAAGCGTCAAGAAACACTTAAAAATCAGTCACCTTCTTGACTAGCACAGGAGGGGGAGGGGGGAGATGGTGGCCTCCTCGAGGATCGCGTTTTTCCCGAAGCCGGTTTTGCTGCTGACTTTGCAGATGATTTGACCTGCAGAAGAGCGGCTAGAGGAATATCGCCCTCCGGATCTTGGCTGCTTTCGGACACCTCCATAGAGTCTGCAACAATCTCTCCTGAGCCATGCTCAGACATGGGGCTAAGAGGACGGAAAGGGCGCTTTGTAGGACTCTGGTTGAACCTCGCATCTCTTGTTGGTGTGGCAGTACTCGGGACGGGTGGTTCAGAGTCGGGCACGATGTCAAGGTTATCAGCTTCTTGGGGCTGCGACAACTGGAGGTGACGAAGAGAAGGTGGCTGTCTGATGGGCGGAGGCATGTCGTTGTCCTCGGAAAGTAAGTCTGAAGTGGGTGTCGCTACAAAGCTTGAAGGTTGGGTCTGGGCATGTTCATATGGCGTCTGATTAAACGGCTGCATGGCGGCATTGTCACTCGCGGGGGGCGGGGGCGCACTAGGGCCGTTGCCATACAGCTGTCTAAGTCTACGCTCCCGTTGTTCTGGGCGGATTAAAGATAGAAGACTACGAGGACCCGGCGTGGAGGTGGTCCCGACAGTGGCACGAGCACTTCTGGAACCCAAGGTTCGCGCGTAGTCTTCTGCCAGGGTACTGATAACAGTATTTTCCATTGGTGTTGATAGCTGAGTGGGCTCAAACTGTCCAGGGATTGCCGCGGGTTTCGTATCTTCTGTGGGCTCATCTTCCGCCACAATAAGTGAAGATTGTGACGCGTCTGCCTCGACCCCGTATCGATTGCGTCGTGCCCCAATGGATTCAAGCGAATCCTCTGCGTCAAACGGATAGTGATAAGCTTGGGCGAGACATCAGTTAAACCAAGAACCTTACCATCGTTCAACAGCTGCGATGCGTCGGGATGGGGAAAGCTTACATTCTGGGAAGAGCCTTCACCGCTCGATTGCGAAGGAGTACCTGCCACCAGTATGCTGCCGCTGGCTTCGCTGGTTTTCGTCTGCTCATAAGCGCGTCTTATTTTGTCCATCCATGAATCACCTTCCTCCTCTTGCGACTTGGACGAATGGGCCAAGGGGTCATCCATAGTGAGATCGTTTGCGGTGGTATGCCCTAGGTCAGAGAGTGGCACCTCGAAAACCTGAGTAGCTTGTGCCATATAAGTCGCTGCAGGATCTTGTGATACTGCGCCACCAAAGGAATCTTGCGAAGGAGGGGAGGGAGATCTCTGGCGTCGACCGGGTGCCGCAGGGAGGGATTTGGTGGGTTGGAGAAGTGGTTGGGCCAACCTGGCTGGACGGGGAGACTGGAAGGAAACAGACTTTGGGACTAAATTGCAAAAGGGACGTCGCGATCTAAAGCAGACTGTTATAAAGGTTAATTGGTGGCTCACCATTTGCCTTTCCGATGCCAGATGCTGTACGTGAATCAGGGTGGCTCAAAGAATCGGCATGGGAACCCTTTAAATTGACCGGTTTGGCGGAAGATGCTTGTGGAGAAGACGAGCGGGTACGCGCAGCAATTTCGTGCTTGATCTCACTTGAAGCTGGAGTATTTTCTTTCTGGGATCCTTCCTTGACTATTTCCTCCTCCCTGTGCAAAACCTGTGGTTGCGTCTGTGTGGGGGCGAGCCAGTTGAACTGGTAGCGGGGTGTTGAACCTTGAGCAGGAGGAACTATCATTGAATTAGCTAGAAAAGGTTGTGCTGAGATTCCTCCCGTCTCGCTCCAATTGGTCGCATTCTTGATTCAACCCCCAATTGTCATCAATGTGCTCCACGGTTGATTTTTGTTTCGTAAGTGCATGCTGTAGGAGCTGGGTCGGTTGCGATTCTACGGAATCACTAAACGTCATGGTAGGGAAATTTTAATTGAAAGGCCCGCTCAGCACGGAAGGACGACGTGCCTGTGGTCGTTGAAAATATCCATAAGATCTTTCTGAGTATGTTGATTAACTGCAATCACGTAGATACTCCAATCCTGCCTGGGCACCGAGAGGTAGTAAATCTACGAGAATGCAAAAAATAACTAGGGTGCAATCGCAAGGTTGGTGATCCGACGCGAATAGTAGCCAGATCTGCGCCTGGACTCTGGAAGCTGTAGTCGGCCAAGTTCCAACTCAATGGTACTGGTGAGCACCTAGCTCAGGGTCCATTTTAGAGTTAGCGTCTCGATACAATGTGTACTGCCACTGACCTATTAGCTAAGCAAGCATCAATCTTCCGTACTCCATGTCACCACCTTCAATAGGCTACTAATATTAGACAATGGTAAGTAGATTGGGATAAAAAAGCGATGGCCTGAGGTTTTATCACTTTCCATCCACTCGGATCAACTTCGAGAATTGCTACACATTGTCAGTTCAGACAATTCTGAAATCCTAGCCGAGTCAGGTATGGTGTAACTCAAACTCATTGCCACCCAAGCTGATGTTGTTTGATCTTCAAGGTAAAGTCCAGCAAGTGCTGGAGTTCCATCACGAGAGAAAGTTCGCAGTATGATATTCCAAGTTGATGGGAAGAAGACAAGCACTGATTTTATTATTTTAGGAATTTTCCTATATTCGCTTGGAGGAATACGAAGAAATATTGAAGAGCAGGGTAATATTAGACCCAGGTAGATCATCGTGATTCGTGACCATGGCCATTCTCACGACTGATCATGATTTCCTACAGATCGACTTACATCGCCCTCAGCACTGTAATCGCAGAGATGTGGTACCATCCACGAGGCGCCGTTTGAAGTCATTCTTTGGCGCTGTCCCGTACAACACCAAGCGCCAGAATTACGAGCTCCGGTCCAGCCGGGACGGGATCGTAACCATGCCTTATATGACAGCAGTATCCGCGGGACTATGTTAGTTCCTATTGTCGGGGAGTGCAGGTTCTCGCAAAGCACGAGTTCGTTACTGCGAAAGCTGAAAGCAGCAGTAGCAGCTGAACCGGAGGTGGAGATGATTATCGCGGTGGTAATCAAAGAACGTAACCAGCTACTGCACAAGGAGCGGATGGCAAGCAAAGATTTCGTGTCTCGAGCCACGATACCCTACACCTCCAACGAGGTTTCTGTTACCGGGCACACGCGGTGTTCGATCGAATCAATGCATGTTAAACTCTGGCTCCGTGGCCACGGCCCCATCGACGTCGATGCTAACGACAGTAAGTTAACGGCGGAAGGGGTACATATTCATGCAATTTTTCCAAGTTCATTCTACTGACGTGATTTACACAAACCCCATTCCCGACCATTGACATGGATGCCGTCAACATTATTATGAGGAAAGGGGCAGATACGCATCAGGGATCGGCTCGTGACGTTTTGTGAGGACAGGAGAACCTGGCACCAATCTGGATGACATTGGCTCGGCATTTCGTCCCCCGTGGGACGACCTATCCGATAGCCTTCCTATGGCCGTTCAATCGACGGCTTATGACCGTTACAGGAGATAGCACTCCAAACATGTACCACAGTCTCCTGTCTTTGTGAACAACAACCTAGCAAGTAGCGGCGAGCCCACCTGCACGGAGTACTCTTCCCCCATGCGTATCAGAGGTGTACAACAGACCCCCCGCCGTGACAAGCCCTGCGACCAACACTCGTCCTCGTGCAGCCAGCGTGCACACCAGCCGACAGACACGGCGGTGCGCAGCAGATCACTGTCATTGACCCGGCAGCGGTGCCATTACAGACGCGCGCGCGCCAGCCAGCTTGTCACCCAGAACCTGCCTGCCGCCACGATGGGTCCTGCTTCAACACCCGTCACCGCACGGGCGTGGAGGCGGGTCTTCTGGGTCGCAGCGCCTGCCACCGCTGCTCGTGGAAATCAGCCTGGGCGCAACCCCACAGCAGAAATCAATGTCTCGTCTGAGCCGGAGTTAGACTGCAAACATTCTATTTCATATCATATTTCATCCTCTTATAGGTCATGAACGTTATGGGCTCCATACAGTCAGAATAATAATCAATGCAAGCATCGTGCTCTATAAGCAATGTCTACAAAGGAGAGTTTCGAGGTTTGCATACGTGAGAAATCAATGCACGTGCTCTCGACGCGTCAATACTACAGGGTGGTTGAGTTTCCTTCTTCTAATATCTTCACTGTATTTTACTTCGTGCCAACCTACTTTTTCACATTCGCTCCTTTTTCCCTCTGCGCTGGCCGCCGAAAAGTAGGCTGCAATGTACCCGATACACGAAACAAAAAAGAATCGCTCTTTATCTCCCGCTCGAGCACTCCTCTCTGTTGACGACTCGGATGCCGCGGCCTTGATGCCTGCTGTCAGCGCAGACAAAGTGTCCACCGTTAATACAACCTCCAAGAAAGCGCTCACAAAGACACTGGCAAAAGATAAAACATTGAAGGCGACCCCCGTCAGGCCCGTTCGTGTCGTGGACTACGACTCGCAAGAAATGACGAACGTACCAAATCCTGTACCAGACACAGGCCTTCCCCCTCCAAGTCCAAGCGGTAATACAGTATATTTCACGCCGCCCCCAATCACTGCGTCTTCTTCGGAAACTCGTCAGTCTCAGGATTATCACGCAGTGATCAAGTCCACCAGCGCGACTTCTGTCTCAACCTTCATCCCGTTGCCACCACTACTTACTCTTGAGCCGACACCACCCGCCGAAAATGTGCATGCTATCGGGATAACCTCTGCTCCTTCCCGCACGAGTTCAACTCAGTCTCATGCGGTCCAATCAATACAAGTACAACGTCCCTCGCCATCGCAACATATTTCAAAAACCGCAATAATTGCACTCTCTGTCGTCGGAGGTGTCGTGCTACTTGGAGTGTTCATCGTAATCAGGCTTTTGAGACGTCCTCGCCGCCGCAAGTGTCCAACACCCTCTCTCCCCATCCTCCAGGACGGTGCCTTTCCAGATCAGTTTGAGAGCGAAGGATCCGGGTCCCCAGTTTTTGGAGGAAAGGAGCGATTCTCGCCCTCACTGAGGAATGCACGAGGAAACACGGGGCTCTGGACATGGACTCAATATCACTCCGGACTGCCAAAGCCGGCGCCAACTGTCATAGTGACAAAGTCGTCCTCAGGCACCCCTGTGAAAGGATCAGGCAGTCAAGAGAACTTGCTCGCCGAGAAAATGGTCTCTTTCGGTGGACAGGACCAATACCCTTTCGCCGGTCAGGGCAACTTTGGACAAAGGACCCAGCCGCCTCTGCAGCCTATCCAGAATGCAATCACCCGCGCAGTTTCTCGGCTCTCCACAGTTTCCATGTCTCTTTACCCAAACTCGCCGGCCAACACCACCTATGGTGCGACGAACGTGGGTATAGCCATCGATGGCACAGCACCTCTAACAGGCGATGGACAAACTATGAGACGTGCCAAGGATAGGGTTGCGGCAGCACGGGCGCGCAGTAGCATGGTTTTTCCTCCTAACGCCCAGGACGCCTCCTCGCTGCGGCGCTCCCAGAGTTATGCTTATGGTGGAATGGACGTCAGCACCCCAGCCTCACCTGGATGCGGGAGGGACCCGCAGAATGGGGGCCGTTCACGCATCAAGTCAACATACTACACACCTGGTTCATATCCTCGCACTTCCGCAGCTCCTTCTGCGTGGATAAAAGACCGCGGACAGTATGATGGCCTCCACCCTGACCGCGCTCATGATTTGCAATGTTCTGACTCTCGTCGTGGCCGTGAGACACAGGCACTGACCTGTGCTCTTGGCCTTGCTTCGCCTGTCCCATCATCCCCTCATCCAACGCTGTATCCAGACGACTCCATGAGTGTAATCGGAGAAGCAAAAAGGGTCATCGTGACAGGCACCCGAAGCCAGAAGAAGCCAGTTCCGAAAGCTATGATCAATTATGACAAGATGTTATCTCCGCCCGCTGACTCTGCGGCTCTCGGAAGTTTGATGATGGTGGATTTCGCGGCATCAAAGTCGACTGCATCACTGGTAAACATACGTCCGTCCGAGGCAGCCAGGGAGATGCGGGAGCCTCAATCTCAGGCAGGGCAGAGTTCCGGGGGGTCCGGTCAACCGAAGACGAACATGAAGAAGAGAGTGGAGGACAAGCCGCCCCGTGTTCCCTCTCCTCCACCATTGCCATCACTCGCGCAGATGGCGCTTGCTCACGCGAACCCGGAAGCGTATGCTGACTATCACAGTCCGACATACAGCATCTATGGATTGTATGACGGAGACAGGAAAAGTCGGGGAACTTCATTCGGATACTGATTTAGGAATAAGACGAATTCTCGCACATACTATATGACAGACGAATATGTTGTCACCTACTGTAGTTTTGTATCGAGAATGGTTTGCAGTGTGCCTGGAACGATACTGAACGCGGTATGTTAACTCTGTGCCAGCTCTCGTCGCCAGCTGTGTTGGCCAAGTCTATCAGTGTACGCTTGGCTAGCACTGTCGTTCTTATCTTTTGATTTGATCACGATATGTACAGGAACTGGTCCCGGCAAGCAAAGATAAAATTGATAGCTGTACATGAGATAGCGCTAAGCGGGAGTTGTTATGTTTGGGATTCGTGAGAGGTTGGACTCAGCTAGCCAGTGCGATATTTCCTTTCTGTGTCTCCTCAATCCTGCGGCTGCGGACAAGAATTTGCAAACAACCGCACTAGCGGAAAAAAAAAGAACCTGGCAGCTGCGGACTACTCAAAGCCAGGATTATACCAGACTAAACTTTGGAGTTGTTGCTGGGCACACCCTAAGTTATTCCAACCCTTTGGGCTACCCTTTTTCACATACATACCACCCGTCTGTGATACCCCTTTGCGCCTTTTCCCTTATACCCTATCATATCTTGACTCATGTCTCAGCTCGCCCTCCCCGCCCATCAAGAAAATCTTGTCCTCAACGGCGACGGCGACGATGAGATAGAGTATGAAGAGCTCGGACTATTGCCTGCAGATATACCGCCTGTTCCCTCCTTTCGCGGCATTCCATTGAAATATATATCGTGAGTGTCGCGTCTCTTTCCGCAGTCAACTTTCTGCAACGTTGAATATGAACATGGTCCATCCTGCCAAAATTTCTGTTTTCCTTGTGTTGTATCGCGGACAACTTGATTGACACAAACTCATGTCTACAGACTTGTAACATTGGCGGTTCAAAACTCTCTTTTAACGATAATAATGCACTATTCTCGCGTTTCCATTCCTCCATCCCAGTCCTACTCTGCACCCACTGCCGTTCTTCTCAACGAGCTTCTCAAAGGGTCCATATCACTCGCTATTGCTTTCACCCGTATAAATCGTTCCACGTCGGATACGCCACAGCTACCACTTACTGTCAGCCGCTCCTGGCATCCTGCAAAGGTTCTCTTGCGTATCCGACGACTGGGCAGAGAAGTCTTCTCACCGGACTGCTGGAAGCTGTCAATCCCCGCCATCCTATATGGTATGTACTCTGCGCCGCCCATATAAGTCACCCTCATTTAATCTCGCTTCGTGGGCTTTTCTCAGTCATTCAGAATAATCTGCAGTATGTTGCCGCAACCAATTTAGAAGCAGCAACGTTCCAAGTCAGTTATCAAATGAAAATCCTTTCCACGGCGGCGTTTTCTGTGTTACTCCTGCGAAAACAGTTGAGTGCCAGTCAATGGCTGGCACTGCTGTTCCTGGCTATCGGAGTTGGCGTTGTGCAGATACAGACTGGCGCAAGTGACACAAGCAAGGTTGCATCCTCGTTGTTGTTCCGAGGGACCTCGATGAATGCCCTTAAGGGGTTCCTTGCGGTCGCTGCTGCATGTTTCACATCCGGCCTGGCAGGTGTCTATTTCGAAATGGTCCTCAAAAATTCTCAGACCGATCTCTGGATCCGCAACGTCCAACTCTCTGCATTCTCCCTCCTTCCTGCACTCGTTCCCATCATCCTCTCACGACCATCCGAAACGGGACTCATCAGTTCCTTGTTCGCGAACTTTGGCGTCTGGGCGTGGGCCACGGTTGCTATCCAAGTGCTTGGCGGCCTGGTCACTGCCATGGTCATCAAGTATTCTGACAACATCCTCAAGGGTTTCGCCACAAGTTTGAGCATCGTGATTTCGTTCCTGGCGTCAGTCGCACTCTTTGACTTCCAGATGACGTTTACGTTTATCCTTGGCTCTGTCATCGTCCTCATCGCAACCTGGCTGTACAACCAGCCAGGGCGGAGCCCCAGCACAGCAAGGCTGGTGTACGTGGGCAAGAACTGAGTGTAAAGGATGACAGTGCATATTGGGACATAACACGTTTCCGAGCTGGACTCTTTCAGCCCGTTGTCGTCGCTCCGGGAGTGCTCGGAACGCTGTCTTCGACTACTTATATATACCGATAAGGACGGTCACTCTTGTTACATTGGACATAGTTCGACTGGACGCTTAAGTTTACGGTACATCCCCTATTCCGTGTCCCTATCCTCACGTCGTCCTTAATTTGATTGCGCGACGATAGTCGACCTACGATATACAATGTGATATACACTACAATCAATACTCCATGGAAGCTATCTCGTAGTTTGTGTGATGCCCCTGCTAGAGACCTTGAAAGCGATGCGAAGGAGTGGAATGTACAACATGGATAGCGTAGATATATAGAATGAGAATGCGGGACTTCATGCTCTCTGCTCCAAGCCTCTCTTGAGAGCTGCGATGGAGACATCGTCAGCGAAAGAAAGCTATGGTCTTACTCGTGTACGTACCATCGCACGTGTCTTTAGCGTCACCAAACAACATCTTCGTGTTTGGCATATAGAACATGGGGTTTGGGACGTCAGCTGCAGAAGTGTAAGCCGACCGCTTAGCAATATGAGCTTTATCGCGTACCATAACCGCTGGACATTCCTCTCTTCATCACAATGACCTGTTTGCTCTTCCACGCATGCAAAACAGGCATGCCAGCAATCGGTGAACCAGGCTCGAGGGAGATGGGATTCACGGTATCATTGGCGCCGATGACGAGCGTCAAATCGGTCTCATTGAAATCGTCGTTGATCTCATCCATCTCCAAGACGATATCGTATGGCACAGAGGCCTCCGCCAGCAGGACGTTGCACTGGCCGGGCATGCGACCAGCTACAGGGTGAATCGCGAAGCGCACTTTGATGCCCTTGGCTCTTAGCATGGCACATATTTCCGCTATAGGATATTGTGCCTTAGCGACAGCCATGCCGTATCCGACAACCTAGGATTTAAGTCAGGGAGGATGGTGTCAAACAGGCTCATCAAGGCATACCAAGATCACACTGTCGGAATTGGCAAGAGCCTCCACCGTATCCTCGATATTCGTCTTCGTGATAGTGCCCTCAATTTTAGTGGTCTCACTTGGTGCGACAGTGCCGATACCACCGAACAGAACATTGGGTAGTGATCTGTTCATCGCCACGCACTACGAGAAATTTTTTGAGCTACTCAAAAACTGGGAGGACATGACGCGTACCATGATGTATGATAGGATTGAACCACTAACACCAATCAGCGAACCCACTGTCGTAAGCAGGGGATTGTCCAGCATGAAGCCTATCTGAAGGTCAAACACCTCCTTGCAACTCAACTCTGACGCTCACCTTCTGCAACCAGCGCGAACCCTGAATAGGCGTTCAAGACAGTGATGACGACAGCTTCAAACAACATATCAGAAGCAGACTGAAAGTGCCCGAAGTGTACATACGCATGTCAGCCCCACCAATAGCAGCTGTCGTTGTAAAGCCCTTGATGAAACTGAGAACCGTGCTAATTCCGAGATACCCCGCGGCAACCAAGGGTACTGTTGGCGCAGCCGAGACAAAAGCAGCCATGGTTAATACATTCACTCCGAATAAACTAGAGTTAAGGAGGTGTCGTCCGGGCATCATCAAAGGCCTCGAGCCCATCTTTCCAGCAAGCTTCAGGAACGCAACAATGGAGCCGGTGAAGGTGACACCACCAATGACAACCCCGAGGTAGGCAGTGACCAGGTGTAACGTGGAGACATGAGACGGGTCGGCGAGGACACTGCCAATGGAGGTGAGGACAGCAGCGAGACCGACAACAGAGTGCAAAGCAGCCACCATCTGTGGAAGCTCGGTGGCCGTGATACGGCGGCCAAGGATGGCGCCGATCGTGCCTCCAATGGTAGCAACACCAGCGAACTGAGCAAGCAGGGCAGGGGGGAAACCGACTGCCAGAAGTGAGGCAACGATGCCTGATCCAACACCGAGTATGCCCAGCACATTCCCTTGTCGTGCAGTTGCCTGGGATGCCAACCCAGACAGAGAACCTGTAGGTCATATGTAGCCTATCAGTTTCGTACCACCAAAAAAAACAGAAGATGTGTTCACCAATGCAAAGCATGCTGCTCGTCAGGTAGCCTGCCTGCACAAGACCCGCCATACCGGTGCTTGCAGCGGCCAAGAAACCACCGGTAAACACAACAGCTGGGATACCGTACAACCAAGAGTATTCAGGAGGATCCGTGGGTCCTGTTGACAATGTTACATGGCAGTAGTAGGCGAGATCAAGGCTAGACTCACTCTTGAACATGTCAAGCATCCGCTTCGTTATGACGAAACCACCGGCGACATTGACACTCGCGAGAAGTACGGAGAGTGCGCCCAATACCTGAGGAATGGTTTCTGGAAGGTATCCTCCTCCCATAACGAACAGACCACCAACACCAACCATCCCTTGGAAACACTCAGCTTAAGTTCATACCTAAAGAAAAGGTACATACCAGAGATAGCATTGGTAACGGACATCAAAGGGGAGTGGAGCGCTGGAGCAACTCCCCAGACGACTCGGTATCCAACAAGACCCGCGAGGCCAAACGTAAAGAAGTTGCTCATGAATGCGGCGCCTGTCATCTTACCGAGAGCCACTACGGAACCCATTCCAGCCGTCACAGTAGCTACCTCGCGGGTAGCCTTCTGCCAGGGAGTGATGGCCAGGGTCTCTGCCTTCTCCTCGACCTTGGGAGCGGGACGCGCGACCGGAGGAGGTGCAGGTCGGGGCACAGGAGGGAGGATGGCACCTTGGTGGACAACGATAGAACCGCGAACAACTTCATCAGCAAGATCAACATTGAAAGCGTTGTTCTCTCCCATAGACAGCAAAAACTTGGTTATGTTGTTCGAGTACAGAGTGGACGACTGCGTTGGAAGTCGCGATGGAAGATCGGTGTAACCTTGTTCCTCTGAGAATTTCCTCTATCACGCAAAGCAGATGGCGTACCTATGATAGTTACGCCGTTCTTCACTGTGAGTTTGCCAGGAACCGTCGCTTCGCAGTTACCACCAGCTTCGGCAGCCATCTATGCATAACAGCCCGTCAACTGTAAAATTTTGATTCTTTGCCAAAGGTGACTCACATCCACAATAACTGAACCCTGCTTCATAGCTGCAACCATCTAAGACAACGATCAGAGACGTCACAAACCCACCAGTGAATACTTGCATCATTACGAATGAGTTTGGGTGCAGGTTTACCAGGGATGAGAGCCTATGAGCACTGGTTAGCAGAAAGACCACGAAAAATTGCACTAGACATACTGTAGTGATAACAATGTCGACATCCTTGCACTGTTCCATGAACAGTGCCATCTCGGCCTCAATGAATTCCTTCGACATTTCCTTCGCATAACCGCCGCCGCCTCCTCCTTCTTCCTGCATGGAAACTTCCAAGAATTCACCACCGAGTGATTGCACCTGTTCACGAGCAGCAGACCGTGTATCGAAACCGCGAACAATAGCACCAAGTCGACGGGCCTGGTGTAGTAATGGCACCATAAGCAAGACGTGAAGTATCAGATTGTTCTTACAGTAGCGATGGCACTCAATCCAGCAACACCTGCACCGATGACGAGAACTTTACCAGGTGGAATCTAAGGTCGCGTGAGACAAAGCGAAACCCTTGTGCCGAGGATGGCATACCTTCCTGAAGAACGACCACTTTTAGTTAGATACTGAGAGCCATACGAACAATTGAGGCTGACCCAGCTGCGGTAACCTGACCCGTAAGATATCTTCCAAAATGATTAGAGGCTTCTAATACAGCCTTGTAGCCAGCAATGTTTGCCATCGAGCTGTCAAAGCTGATCAACGCTTGCTTCTCTATACCCAGCCATGATGGAAGCTGACCTCAGTGCATCAAACGTCTGAGCACGAGAAATACGAGGAATCATATCCATAGCAAACGCATTAACTTTACGCGACGCCAGTGCATCTAACACGGCCCTGTTCTTTGCGGGGTATAGGAACGAAATGACCGTGCTTCCCTCCTTCATGCCCTTGGCCTCTTCATCAATGGATGGTGCTTGCACTTTGAGCATAATATCCGTTCTATCGAAGAGTTCATCTCGAGACACGATAGCAGCCCCAGCTGCTAAGTATTCTTCATCCAGGAACTGAGCCTGTGCACCAGCATGTTTCTCGACAAGAACATTAGCAAAGCCTTTCTTCTTGAGGAGCGCGACGTTCTGGGGTGTAAGAGACACCCGTCGCTCATCCGGGAAGATCTCCCGCGGCGCTCCCACTGTCAGAGACGCATAAGGGATGCCTAGTGTTAAGATGTGTGTAAGAGACGCCTCAGGCTGAGACGAAGGGAAAGCACACACCAGAAACCTTTGGTGACTCTGGAGCAGCTTTTGCTTCGTTTGCATTACGCGATGACCGGTGAAATGAACGATGCGCTATACAGTGTAGAGAGATGTCATTATGAAGGCTTCGAATGTATGAAATGGCACTAACCTGAAGTGAGTGATCGGAGGCTGCTGCGCCTTGAAATGTAGAGATTTAATGGCCGACAGCCGAGCCTCACTGCTGGCGGCCTGAAAGCCGGCATGGTCATGGTCGCGGTTGACGTTGAAGATGTGTCTGAGGTGGATATACATATGTGTTACATAAAACACTCGTTAAATACATAGTTCATGATAACGGAAGTAAATAAAGATCATCATCGGAAAAATGAGGCCCGCGGCACCCTCGAATACTTAATCTTAATTGCAAGCTGCTGGCATCCATAGGTAACAGATAAATGACTTTGTCGACCTCAAGGCTGCCACGTCTGCTGTCAATTTTAGCTTGGACCTATGCAGTAAGCGGTTATAGGATTGTGATCAGAGTTCATCCTGTTCAGCACCGCTTCGTGGAAAGCATGAGAATTAAAATGTGAGCGTGCATCAGGAGCTCGCACTCGTGCACAATGAAATTAGATTCAACACCTTCTACTTCATGCATTGACAAGGCCGCCTCTGATTCTCACAACAAAACGGCGGTCCGACCACGCCAAGCAGCTAGATCTCTGGTTCTACTAGAGTCTATTGCTGGTCGCACGCTCAGCGGCCTTGGACAAAGGTCCCTGAAAGAAGACTCATTGCGAGAAATTGGGCTTTGATAGCGGATCCACGGAGTACTCCCTGGTCACACGTCGTTGTGTTAATAATATGGGTTAAATCACCTATCCGACGTCTTGTTATCCCCAGAGTGGATGATCTCCAATCTTCCTGAGAGTCAAATATTTGGTAAAATATTTGCACACGTACACGAATAAGTCAACATGATATACCCATAGCTGTCATCATCGAAGGTATATAACATAGCGAACGGCCCGCACGTATATGAGTCTTCCAGCGCATCCATACACAAGTGGTACCCGTCCGCTCAGTCTACGACTCTTAGCGCACCTCTCCGCTGAACTCCTGTTCGAGACGCACGAGGTCTTGCGTATGCGTATGCTCCCACAAGGCCTCGGCTGCCGCAGGCTCAATGGGCGGGAGGGGCCTTCGGGGGTGGCCACCATAGCCGTATAATTTCTGGAGAAGGTATTTCGTTCCTGAAATCGACGCCTTAGCAATGGTAGCGTCAGCACGCCCGACGATTCCTTGCAGCCGCTGTGCTTCGGGAAGGAGGGATGGATCAGCCATCGAGGCCTGGCATAACTCGAAGAGTTTCACAATAGCATACTTAACAACAACGCGAATTAGCAAAGAAAAATTTCACCAGCAACTAGGCACGTACAGGAGCAACGTTCGCAAGACCGGTTATAGCACCATGCGCATTTGAATAGGCTGATGGCAAAAGGAAGTCACTGAATCCGCCAAGGACAAGGAAAGGTGCGTTCTTGTTTTTCCGGGGATGGAGTGATGAAAACGTCGGATCCGATACGGTAGCTGCCACGCGGGTAAGCTTCCCGACGTCACCACAACTAAATGGCACACTTAATGGACGCCTTGCACGATTGATGAGGAACTTACGTGAGTTTGACACCACAGATATTCGGGCACTCGATGGCGAGTTCAGTAATGAGGTCCGAGTCCAAATTGATGCCTCCACTGGCACCAGGGTCTAGAAGAACGATCAGGTACTTGTCGTCAAAATATATACGAAGAAGACACTCACAATTGTAGATCATGACCGGTATAGGGCTCTTAGAGCTAACCTCTTCCCAGAAGGCTTTCAGTGCTTTCTTGTTGCCAGAAAGTGCACCAGCAAAGTAACCACTGGCGATAGCGATGGTATAGTCTGCGCCAGCTGCAGCGGCTTCATTTGCTAGGTCTATCGACTCGCGAGTGCTGCCAGCACCAATGCCAGCGATGACAGGTACATTCACTAATCCTGAATCATCAAGCACCTTCCTTGCAGTCTTGATCAACGTGACCCGCTCTTCATGTGATAGATGGATGGCTTCGCCCATCGACCCAGCTAACAACGGTCCCACTCCGGCAGTCGCGACACGGACGACATGGTTCTCAAAAGAGGGAATGTCTGAGCGCGTGATCAGCACTGTGCTCTGCGACTCCGAAGTACTATTCAGATATGCAACGAAAGAGACTGACCGAGATCCTCGGACTCGGGAAGGAAGAAGGATGGAATGGGCGCGTAGATGCCAGGTTTCAAAGGGCGTATCATGGATGCATAGACACCGTTCATAACCATGATGAAAAGAGGTCCTTGAAGGAGAAACAAAGAACTTGGGTTTCATGGCGGGTATATAAGGACCCTGGACTTCATGATGGCGGCGATCTCGTGTGTCCAGGGTGTGCGGCCCGAAACCGGATGCTGCGGCTCCTTGCGGGCCGTTGGCAAATTTCAAGGTATTGCCAAGACACCTTGTTAAAGAACATCAAGAACTGCAATAGAAAACATTTTCGACGAGTCAATGTGACTCATACAGCCAGGCAAACGGGAGGTTTTCGCTTAACTATTCACATTTATTGCGGAGCATTAACACCACCCAGCCGCGCCTCCCTACCGGTTAGATGAAAACCTGCATGCTTGACAATGGAGTTCAATTGAGTTGATATCATTCCTAGTCTCCTGTCGGCGGGAGAATTCGTGGCAGATTTGGTAAAGGCGTTAGTCGAGACAACTTTAGGGCTGAGCTGCACGCGCGGACAAAAGCATCGTGGCGTGCTTTGCCTCAGGATATTTCGCAGGCTTACTGCTGCACGAAATACTCATGAAAGTCACCTGGGTTCGAGTGATCTCGCATGTGATTGTCTGTTCCACTGCCAAGAGTTTGCAATGCACCTGAAGGTAAAAACAAGCCTATCAGAAGGTACTCATCAGTTCGCAAGCATGAAAGATACCGATCCTGAGGTGATAGCCATACTAACGGATTCATACGTCAAGAAAACCATGCATCAAGGGTCAAGGCGAAGGAACCAAATTCGCACCTCATTTCACGCAAGCGACCTAACAGCGCTGCGAACAATGGTAAACATTTCTCCCATTCAGACTAACGAAAACTGCATCAATGCAAAAGCATGAGGTTTTCCAAAACTTCTAGGAGTATCAAACTTTGAGTCGCGTGAGGTGATAAGAAAGACACACTAGGCCCATCTACTGAGGCGCAAGTTACACATTCGGACTGCAACCACCACTTTTCGCATCCCGCCCGGACCGTCCTATGTGGTGCAGATTGCTATAAATGTACGATAAGCTGTCTGCACGTCAGATATGACGTCCATCCATAGAAGAGATGTGCAGGGACAAAACGCTCCAAACAAGCACCACCTAATGGAGAGAACGACAAGAGGGTAGCAAGGAGGCGTACTGTAACGTCAAGAAGTCTTCTGAAGCTTGGGACCTTCGACGATTTCCAAGCAATCGATGACCTCTCGTTCCCATTGTGCCCAGCCCCCTTCATCTACATCACCCTCCGATTGAGAAGCCTGGGAAAATACATCCCAAGGAATGCATCCTTTGTCTTCGGAGCCAGCAGCTGGTTCTAGCGCAAAACGGCCTTGTCGAGATCGAGTCAGAGTTACGACATGAGCAGCTGACCCGACAGCATGGCCGAGATCATGCACGATCGAGCGTACGTATGTCCCTCCGGACACCTTCATGCTGAGGACGAATGCCGTCGGAGACTCGTTACCCGCCGCAGACTCTAGTTCGTCTTTGATGATAGGGTTTTCCTCGACTCCTTCTAGGGCCTTTTCCATTGCCTTCTTTTCATCCGAAGTGAATTCCTTTTCTGGCCAACGAAAATCATGGTCACTTCCTTTCCATTCGAGAATTTCCAAGGAATGTATTGTGACTTTCCTCTTCTCGATAGGTCGGGGCAGGGGTATGCCCTTCCGAGCATAGTCGTACAGCGGTCTACCTTCCATCTTGAGCGCAGAGAAACTGGTAAGCAGTATATGAAACCAGAAAGGTACAAGGGAATCAGATATTTACATTGGGGGTGCTTGGTATATCTCCCCTCTGAATTTGTTTAACGCGGATTCCACCGCTTCCTGTGTAACATGTTTCCAGGGCGCAACGCGGACGCGGCTACCTTCGCTGTCGTAGGTATCAGTTTCGCATCCCAAAAGCGCTGTTGTGCGGTATTCCTGATGTCTCGTGAAACCTCAAACTTAGATTCATTGATGCGGGGATGAAGTACCTTTACACAATCTAAGAACTCGTTGAGACGTTTGGTTCCTTTTCCGACTCCTACAACTGAATGACAGAGATGAGATAACTCCAAGGTCTACGGTACCGGGAAGGCGATCATACCCAGAACACCATCAGCAAGAGGATCAAGTGTCCCTCCTTGTCCTATCTTCACTATCTCTCGTGCGCGCTTCCCCCTAGTAGGAATTTTACCTTTACCGCGTCTTTCCAATTTGTCGGCTTCCACAAACAAACGCGAGTTGCCAACCAATTGCTTGATATCGTTGATGACAGACATCGATGTCGGTCCAGAAGGTTTTGCGATGGCAAAAAGCCCAGACAGAGGCAGCTGTGGCAACGTAACTTTTGGCATCTCAAAGTAGAGACCTTTCGTCTGAGTGTAGTCGCAGAGGATCTAATTAGTCTGACAACTACATAGGTCTTTGTAGCACTTTGTTTGTACATCGCCCACCAAGTCCCTCCGAGAGATGCGTATGAAAGCGATCCTTAGTCCACGCCCATGTCCAGGAACACTTCAACGTCACTCACAATGTCCTGAATCATCTTGACAGCATCTCCCCGTATCATCGCGCTCGCCATCACGAGGCTTCAAAAATTGATTCAGAACTACCTAGCAATTGTATCGTTGGCCAAGTATTGCTTGTGGGTTGTGATTCGCCACTAGACTTTGTAGCAGAAATGACACGGCTCATCATGAAGTAGATGCACCGTCATGGCTCTCGTGGTTCCATTGGCGAGGACAGATACATAGGACGATTGGTTTAGACACTCGATGTCACAGATTGATTGATTTTGAAATGTATGGCTTTCTGATAACAATTCTTGTTGAAATACGAGATGGATATCTTAATGGACGCTTCATGCACTTAGGGTATGGCACGGGTATGGGACACACCGCGGGTACGGGTACGGTGCAGAGATCTGGTACCCGTGGCCACACCGTACCCGTCAGCACGGTATACGGGTACGTTCACGGGTACGCGCTATCTCCGAGTCTACTCCGCGGTGTTATATTTTGCAAGGGATTCACCACTTATGATCCTTATTTTTCGGAGGTCATTGACTGCAACAGCGACCCAATGCTTCGATCCTATTTCTCGCTGCTTCAGTACGTCTAAAGTTGGTGTTCTTCCCCTTCGGCGACACATTACTGGTACTGATTACAACTTAGTGATTCAACAGTATAAAGTGAGGTATTGTAGAGTCGAAATTTTTTCAGTGGTACTCAATTTTCGTCATGTCTACCGACTCGGACTCGTTTGCTGAGTCTACCTCGACGCACTCATCTGTATCATCGTCTCTGCGGTCCTTGGCGGGTACGATAAAGACTAACGTTGTCAAGCTTATCCTTCCTCATACGGAAAGGGCCAAAGCAACCCTCTCCGAGTTGCCCTCCACCATTCCGGAAGTGATCGATGTCGATGTCGACGTTGCTCTAGTTTGTACCGGCTTGAATTCGGACAACAGTCCTGCCGCCGAACAGGACGACGAGACTGATTTAAGTAAGTGAAGTGTTCTCTTACAAGCAAGACCAGCTGAATTCCACGTCAGATTTTATTGCTGAAGAGGTGGATAGTGTTTCGGGACCTGTGACTAGGAATGCCATAAACAAGCTCGTGGCAGCAAGCAAGCTCGATGCACTCAGCAATTCGCGAATAAGAATGAGGATTAGTACTTAGTCTCTTGGATTATATCGTGAGGCTATAGCTACATCTGGTCAATCTATTATTTCTGCCAACTGTCGCCCATTGCCGACTTCGCGAAGTGGAACGAAGCGCACTTCGACTTACTTCGTCCACATCGAAGTGTACTGAAGTGTATCTAATTTCCACTTCGATTCGCTTCAGTTCGCTTCGCGGCAACACTAACCCGTACCCGTACGGGTATGGTGTTGATCTTCTGACCCGCGGGTTTACCCGTGCTATACCGTACCTACATGCGCTCACACGTTACCAGATAACGTGCCCCCTAGTGGGGACAGTGTTTGTGAATAAGCTGATTGAGCAGTATGCATGCGTTCCATACTTCAGAACAAAATCATCCACCCCAGCTTCACAATTTCTAAGGGAGATAGCCTCTCACTATGTCTTGTATGATGTCACTCGGCTGTGGGTCTAGCAAAGTAAGTCCCTTATTCATCTACGGGGCTCTCTACAATGTCTATTTCCAGAGATGATAATCCACCTCTGTCACCCAATGCGTTGCGTTCCGACCAGAAGTTCGAGAGCATCTGGACTTGTGACACCTTTCGCCGCAAATAGGGTTTGGGAAATATTCACATGCGCATGCCACGAGCAAGCTCGTCGGTATCATTACACTATGAACAGTGAATCGGTGGTTTGGAGTTCTTATATTTTCTGCAGATGCGATGGACCTCAATTTGCTTTATCCTAAACGATGTCACCTTTCCTTTATCAATTTGCGGGAAAGATATGGATACTCCACTTGGAACATGCTCCCTCAATACTTTCGTCGATGCGAATCATTACAGCACAAGTATTCGGTTCCGGGACGCGACTTGTGGCGTTTGAATTCACGAAATGTCTTGCTCTTGAGCTAAATATGGTGAGTAATAAGCGAGGCCAATGAATCCACGAAGCGTGAAGGTGGGGATTTCAGCAATTAGCATTGTCGTCGCCGTCGATAAGTAAAGACGAGGGAAGGGAAGCAAAAGGTGTATATTGTAATTGTCCGTAGCAGGTGGGTGTTTGGGTTGAGTCTTACCTCATGTTGGAACCTGACGAGGCGTCACAGGCTAGTTGAGATCCGAGCAGCAAATATATTTACTCAATCCCGGTACTAGATGTACCCGGGTGTTACGCGTATTTCGGTCATTCCTCCGCACAAGACAATAAAATGGTCAACACCTCGCGTAAGCCCAACTGGCGTATATAAAGGACTAGTGCACCGAACTGATAAGCCTGTCTCTAGCTTTGTATCCCCAAGGATGTTGATTCAAGGTCTTCTAAACTGGCTACCCCTAGCGTCTCTAACGTTCAATGCGTATAAATCCGATGATGATCCTCTCAAGAAACTTGGATATTTAACTCCGTATAGTCCAGCTCCTGCTTTCCACGGAGTTGACGCAGAGTTGCCCAGCGATTGTAGTGTCAATCGGGTGATGCTTGTATGGTTGAGTTTCTTCTTGCGATGCTGGGGTGTCTGATGCACTTTTAGATGCATAGACATGGCTCTCGTGGACCTGAAGGAGAGACGAGTCAGATCAACTCCCTTGTCCAAACGTTGAAAAACGGTAAAGATGCTATCCAGAATGCTCATCTACCTGAGAACCTCCGTTTCCTCAAGAAGGGATATGAGTCACACCTCGATCCCGGAAAACTGACCATCATTGGGCGTCAACAACTCTTTAACCACGGCGTGGAGTGCGCTTATCCCGTCGATTGTTATGTCAAATTGCACTAACGTGACATCTAGATTTGGGTTGAAGTATCCAAACTTCGACACAGACACGCTACTATCCAGCGATTCACAAAGAGTGAAGGACTCCATGAAATTTTTTGGTCTGGGACGTTTTGGTCTCGAAATCGAGAACAAGGAACTACTTGCAGTTGATGATATGCCCGATCTAGTGTCTTGGATCACTCCTTGGACTTCGTGTCCCATCAACGGGTTGCACGCTTTGGCGGTAAGTACTCAACCTTTTGGACTTGAAATAACAACTCATTAAACTTCCAAGGTGGTAAAGGGATGGACCGATTCATACCTTCCTGATATCACTAAGCGCTTGAATGAGCTCCTTCCTGGCGTTAACCTGACTGATGATGACACGCACGGAGCTTTGTATGCGTGCCCATATGACCTAGCCACGGGGGATGAGTCACCGTGGTGCGACGTTTTCTATGCGGATGAACTCGCAGACTTCGAGTAAGGATACTCGAACACTGTAATGGTGCGATACTGACATCGTTCTTAGGTATGAAATGGATCTTGCCATGAACGCAGGCGCATACCTGGCACCCAATGACGTTGGACGTGTCATGGGAAGTGTTTTTGTCAACAGGCTGATCAATAGGTACTACGTTCTACCGCCAGTTAAGCTACCTCTCATAAAAATACTTGCCAGGTTCACCAATGCCAGTGAGGAAGCGCCATCCCTCTATCTTGAATTCGGACATGATATTACCATCCTTGTTGCAATGGCTGCAATGGATCTCAATAGGTACATTCCTATGCACATAATATCGGATTGTCTTATACATTCACTTGTAGGGACGATCCCCCGCTTTCTTCACAAGGACCACCCCAGTACCGAAAGTTCCGAACCTCGTATCAAATTCCCTTTGCTGCCAATATGATCTGGGAAAGTTTTACTTGCGAGGAGTCGTGGGTGTTCCTTCGTTAGAACTGTGATCTGATAACTCATTACCATCAAGATTCGATGGACCACAGATTCGCTTGGTGCTGAACGACGAGACATATCCATTATCGACTTGCGCAGAAACCAGGGAAGATCGCCGATACGGGACTTGCTCGTTGGATGCATTCATACAAGCCAATCAATTTAGCACCAACATCAAGTTCGGTGATGATACGTGGCAAGCGGCCTGCGGTCCCAACTCAGAGGTTTTGTACGTCCAATGATAGTACGTCTTTCGGTCTTTTAATTGCCATCAGTCCTTGGTAGGTACCACTTGCTCAGTACAAACCCCAATCTTTCCATCTACACTGTAACAATGAATGACGCATATCTCTGTACTCGCATATCTTTGTACTTTAACCGTGCGGTTGTTTTGTATGTAGCTCCTCAAAGTGAAATTTGATACTGTGATGGAAATGTATGTATCAAGGATAGTGAGGCGCGATGCAGTATTATAGGATCTAGGTCAATCAGATCAAGGGTAGGACGCAAGCCAAAAAACTTATATGGACATACAGTAGTACTGGCGCATATGGATATCTAAATATTCCCGCTCACCCATGATCCCCCACAAATGCACCTCGCCGCCCATATCCTTTCCCAAGTCTTCCATCTAGGAGATGAATGTCCCGCAACCATTACCTCTCCTCCGACCTGAGAGCGTCTACCACACCGAAGGCAAAGAAGCCCAGGACTTTGGTTCGAAAGCACGCCCTTTGTCACCACGTCCATTTTTGGATCGTCTCCTGGAGGACGATCTGACGCCGACAGATTTGCGAACCCGTCAACAAGATCAGATGATTTGATGAATAAGCGGGGCTTGTCTATCGCGGATGAGGTCGTGAGCGACCGGATGATTTTCTTCAGTTGCCCGTGCTGCGCGGGGACAGGACGTCCTTCGGCAAACGAAGCCATGGCTTCCTCCACTGAATGAGGAGTTCAAGCTTTTAGCAATGACTACATAATGGAATTGATACACATACTTGGAACTGCACTCGCTTCTGGGATCGCAGCCTTGAGTGTGTCTTCGAGAATTTTCAAGTCCAAGCCTGAGGAACTGACAAGGTCCAGCATTATATCTCTCGCGAACTGTGAGTTCTCCCGCTTCGCCGTCATCGAGGCCAAATACTGGTGGAAACAGTTGACATGAGAAACCACTGCCCTAAGATTCGTAAGAGCAAGTGGATGAACTAGATGGAGAAGTATCGGCGCGTCAAATGACACAGAGTGAGACGATCGGTTCGTGACTTGTGGGGGATGGTCAAAGAAGCCATTGTGCAAAAATGGGTTATCATCCATAGGCTCCTCCTTCGGTTTCACTTCATTGGGGTTGAAGCTCGTGTTTGGGGTCGGGTCAGCGAGGTCAGCGAGGAAGACGCATTCTTTCATGAGGTCCTCCAAAAAGACAACCACCCAAGTGGAAAGGCTGATTAACTGCCAGACAGGCTCTTTAAGAAAGAAAATGGCCACGTTAAAATTTTGTTTGGACGGTCATGAGAGCCCAACAGACTCACCGAGGTCATACCCCTCTGACTCTTTGCAGTCTTCAAAAGCAGCGAGACAAGCAGCGACAGAACACATGTTGAGAGCGTTTCGCGAGAGCATTAAGTATTTCTCTTTCTCATCTTCGTTCTTCGTCCGACGAGCCCTAGCTCTGCTGCACATCAGAAGGCACACTTATAAAAATATGAAGTTCATTACCTGTAGATCTCGATAGCAGCTCCTATCACGTCAACCATCGAAAACGAGTTCGCGATGCCGATACGGACGTTCACTTCATAGGATGACAAGGTCCCAAATAGCGTATCGTGAAGCATCGTGGCTGGAGTACTGGTTAGAGAAAGAATGTGAGAGATATCTGCTGTTGATCTTCGAGATTGAAGTGCAGTAGTCAAGGCTTGTGCAAGCGGCAACTGATGCAGGGTGTCTAAGGTGTGTGAGCATCGACGAAGGTGGATGATAGCGTTACCGACCTTTCGATCCTGAAGTGATGTGTACCCTTGGAAGAGTATAAATGGATGTCTGCAGCATTGAAACTGCACTAGCAAGCAATTTGTTGGGTGATGTGGAAATGTTCAGAGGACCTGTTCCAGGAAACTTAATCATTATTCTGTAGACGTGAAGATTAGCTCACAATCGCTGCTTGCCCTGTTGATAGGTGCAAAGATGCTTGAATGATCCCAGTCGGGATCGTCGGAGAGGTCAGGTCTACTAACAATCAGACGAAGATAACTAAAAGCGAAAATCGAGGGCTGACAGTTGCAAGGTAAAGAGATTGCCTACAGGGACTTCTTTTGGCTTGGTTTTGCTTCGTGCCAACGACCCACCTGGATCGGTCATTGCAACAATTACCGTTGCCTTTCTCGTTGCAACCGACAACGAGCCAGGCGCAGCCACTGTCAGAACGCGAGGAGAAAGTAACCGATCTCCGACAAGCCGAGCGGCCTGCCAGCAGTTCAGTGAGAGTTTTGCTTACGATGAAGTAGAAATACTCACCCAAGGAGTTTTGCTATTTGGAGGAATGGCCCTGACTATTGAGTATGCGACTACGCGAGACTTTGGCAGCGAAGTGTCTTTTCAATCGACAAATAAGTGCTCAGACGATGTCACTAGGACCGTGAGTGAACCTACAGTCCTCGAAATCCAAGAATGATGCGACTAGATATGCTGTAGTCGGTTCCAGCTGAGTACGTTGAGGTTGCTTGTCCTTCTTTGGCGATGCTTTGGGCGAAGTGGAAGCATCTGGTTTGGACCCAGGTGCTGAGACAAACACAAAGTTTGTCAGGCAAGGCCCAGTATGGTAAAGGGGTGGGAGAGGCGCGGTGACGATGGCTGCAGGAAGGTGTTAGAAAAGCACATTTGTGCATTTTGCAGGGCGTACCCATGTACACGCCATCGAAGCGTAGTTTCACCTCACAAAGCTCGATGACATGCTCCTCTTCATAAGCATTCCAATCCAATAATGGCGGACGCTCATCCAGTTGATTGTCCGCAGACATATCGAGAGAAAGACCAAGATCGAGGGAGCTGTCCGATGTTGCTCTCAAGGTATCTGATAACGGATACCGTCGGGATCTCATAGCAATTAGAAAAGCAAACTCTGTAAGATGTGCACATCAGAACAAATCGACCAGAGCCCAAGCGTACACCCTCACCGTTGAAAATGAATCCGAACGAAGCTGCGACACATAGCCTGGAAGTCTTGGGTCCACGGGGGGAATCATTAGCAGCTTGGCTATAGTTCTCAGCGGTGTAGCATGGCTGCACAAGGGAACACATCAAAGATCTTAAACCTGACGCGTAAGTCCGCAGAAAATAGACATTTAGTTGGTGAGCCTGGGTTACTGCGAGTAGGGTGGGGTTGGAGACAGGAGTAAGAGGTCCGCATTGAAGCAAACGAGAGGTAGAACCATCTGGACCTGTGGCCCACTGGCATGACGTTCAATGCTTGAATCTTTAGAATATGAATAAGATGATATCACCTCGCGTTCAGCTCCGATGAACACAGCGTTGACTATACCAGCACCTCGATCACAAGCCCAGTATTCTTTGATGTTCCACTTGTCAAGGCTGTATCCCCGTTGCCACAAACATCCGACGCCGTCACAGTCACGGCCTGGAAAGTAGGCGAATAGCCAATGGTCATTGGATGAAACTGTGATGACGCTTGGAGGTTCATAAGAAGCAGGATTGTTCAATATTTGATCTGGAGAGACGACCAAAAACTGTTTTGAAGAAGAAAACAACGTTCCAAGTATTAGAGGCTGAGAAGGGTGGGCAGTGAATATCGTTGATGAGTTAGACCATGCGACGGGTCTGTAAGTAGAAGCAAATTAGCTAAAAGTCTGAATGAGATGTTTTGGAGTGACCTTTGGAGATGTTCAGCTAGGGGATGGAAATCCCACCAGTGCGAGTGCCAGTATTGTGCATCTTGCTTAGCTTTTCCCTTGGAAGGAGAGTTTCGGATGTCAGGGTACATATCTCCTTGAAGAGAACATGGGTTCACGGAACAAATAGACGACAACGCGCATCTACTTGTAGTTGGTCTCAGCGTCCACATTGATCACTGTGACCATGCTCAGCATACATTCCACATCAGTGGACATCGAGGGCGTGCCTACGGAAATCATGGTGCAAGCTTTTGCAGATCGTATTCTCGTTCTTGTTACGCAGATGGGCAAAGTTGGCAACTTGGTGCACTTGTAGCATTTGCACTTTATTCAATTGCTGATGAACGATGTAAAAGATTCAAGCATCCATCCCTTCGACCACGCCGCTGCTATCAACTCATGATCTTGATGATCCTATTGAAATTTCGGATTCTCCTATTGGAATTCCTGCGCCCTCCGTAGCCATTCAACTCACACCCCTACTTGGCAGGCGCTTCCTCTGAACATTTGCAGACACTTCATTCATTATATGCAGCACAAATTGCCACCATCATCTGGGTTGAAGAAGAAAAGAGATCGCTGGGCATAGACCGAAGAAGCGTTGTAGTTGGTATTGCGCTTCGAAAAGCCAGAGTTATGGAAGGTGATGGACTAGATGCTGATGAGAGGAAAACATTCCATGGGGTGATGAATCATCTTTACGGACTGGTTAATCAAGCTACTAAGACTCTTCAAATGATACTTGCAATCGTTCAATCAACAAGATCATAACACTGTGCCAGATATGATAGTGTTTCCATTTTTAGAATACAATAGGGTTAGGGTTAGGACTAAAAAAGATGGAAAAAAAAAGAATGGCCTGCCCAGCCAGAGTGGCCGTGGCAGAACTGGAAAATATTGAGACGGTGCATGAGCCGGAGCTCATACAAACCGCAGTTACCCTCTGTATGGACAGGGTCGCCGTGCTATGAAGGGACGCCGCGGCCCACAAACCCAGGTACATGAAGGAGCCTATGCCATCAAGGTAAGTATGAGCTTATAATTTCGTTCAAAGCAGATTTATATACATCGCAGACTTGCGCACGGACCACTACATCGACCACTTTCCATTTATGGAATACGGGACACTCGGTTAACTTTTTCAAAGGCTAGAACTTACTACTTAGCAGACAGCAAGTTGGATCTGCAACATGTCTCAAGTATTTCGTCGGTCCCTCAGTACCCTCAAAAGAGCTCCCCAACTAGCTCAATCGTTCCCAGTCGCTGAGGATAGCGCACAGTTTGCTGCTCATCTAAATAACGTATTCCCCTCCCTCCAATTTCCTCCCGAGCTTGCACAACGTATCCTCACCCACGGAAGTCACAAGACAGCTGTTCACGGGCACAATGGGCGCCTTAGCTTTGTAGGAAAGCCTTTGGTCATCCGTCATAGGTATTCTTGAAGTACTTAATGTTTTCTTTTTTCTTCTAATAGGACGTCGCGTGCTCGAGTCTTATTTTCTGCTCTTCCTGCATTCTGACGCGCGGAATCAAAACCATTACGACTTTGAATCCCTCTCTTCTCGCGCTTTAAATACCTACCTCTTGGGCGAACACATTGCCCCTCGGTGGTCTTTGGGTCGTAGTTTGCGATGGACTCCTACTGTCTCTCAAGATGTTCTACAGACACACAAAAATCTCAAAAAGTCATCCCAAAAACAGCCAGCCGAAGCTGAATTAGAAAACGCGTTAACGGCGAATCCTGGTATCGTCAGGAGTGTAGGTCTTTACAAAGTCATGGGAGACGCGGTGCAATCGGTAGTGGGCGGAGTCTATCATCAATTTGTACGTCCCTGGCTTCATGCTGTATCATATACGAGACTAAATTGTTGCGATCACCAACTACGCGTCGATTGTGTTAGGGTGGTTCTGTGGCTCATCGCTTGTTTCACACTCGCATTCTGCCGCATATTCTATTGCCAGGCAAGGCTGAGGGAGTCCCCTCAGAATTCCATCACAAAGCACTGGCACTTTGTGAACGCATGGGTGGCATGGACGGGAATTTATTGGTTCAAGGGCTTCCGTCAGATCGTGCTCCTTCGGAGCTTGAGACAGTAGAGACAGTTCAGCCAAAGAGAGTTGCGTAAGTGTGCATTCTTGGTCGCCGTCTTCTTCTATCCAATCTTTTTCCACAGGGCTGCTAGCTTCTGAGTACTCATGTTCTCATCATTTATCATGTTTATGTTATGGATCGCATTAATTCCAATGACACTCTAGCTGACGTGCCCAAGACATCGTGGGGAAGGGTGCTAAGCAGGGTCGACTATAACTTTAAGATGACCAACTTTACTCATGCGCGGGTGCAACGCCAAGGAGCTTGGGGTATAGGCATTGGATTATCTGCTAGCCCTGACCATCAGGGCACCATCATGTGCAAGGACGAGCAGACAGCCAACTGACATACAGATCTAGGATCACTGTCGTTTCCTCCCGCAGTGGAGCGCACCATCTACACTGTCGTTTTCTTATTACATCGTGCAGCTCACACGACATTGTTCAATTTGTTGCATTCATGTCGCGCGTGCTCACCAGCAGAATAAAATCGTCCACCCCGTCATGATGCGACTAACTGGCAATTCGAATTTGCAAGCAGCGTCTTTCGCAAGGAGCAGCAGTGTCTGACATTGTTCGGATCAGGATTGCCACCGTATCCTGTATACCCCGCATTATGACTCAGATATCCAAGTGCTTCGTGTCTCCTTCACGAACCTCTTTTGATCATGACTCTGAGCGATGTCAATGTCAGTCGTGCTTGCATGACGCGCCCTTTCACAGTAGCGGCTGTTCCAATACGGTGTTGAATGTTCGTATATGAAATGAGTGGACATTGGCTTGTGCCCCGTACTAAAAGGATGTATGCGATCGAGCAGCGCGAAAGCCGACGACGCCATGCATGATGTACATGACATAGATCCGTTCGCTCATGTTATATGTCGTTCATTTATACCACACTGGCAAGTCATACTTTCAATCGCTGCAATCACTTGGTCAAGAATTAAACGCTTGCGAGTCGAGATGATGAGTGAGACTGTGAGCAGTGCGTGTTTTGACACTCCTGATATATCCAACGCTGCGCATGAAACTCAGCACAAAAAAGGCAGGGCTAACCGCTACATACCAACTACGTACATCCCGAACGTACACTTTAACTGAGGGAGGGGGTCAACTGACTGCTCTAGAGGAAGCTTCTGCTTCTCTCTCGAGCGCATTTAGCTTTTCCTCCCGGTCACGCTTCCATTTGGCCCATTTCCACTGCACGAGCGCTTCAAGGCGATTGTCTGGTGGGGGCGCGGTGCGCGGATGTGTTTCGTGGAGGTAGTACGCAAAGCAGCCTGTGAAAATCCCTAGCACTGGGTCGAGTCCACTATTGTGTGTAAGCGCAAGCTTATTAGACTGGAAGGGCTGGTACATACCGAGACAGTAAGACAGGTGTAGGCATTGCTCAACGAAGTCTGCCAGGTAGCTTCTCGGAACCGACAAAGAACGAAAACGTCAATAGACTCATGTGATCAAGGGTAGAGTTACCGCTTCGGGTTACGACGGAAAGCTTGGCGACAAATTGGCGAGAAAGTTTGAAAGAGCTGTAAAAATTCGTGTGTCCAAAGCTTCACCTGCTGCTTCATTGGACCCTCCACAAACCTCTCCAGCTGCAGTTTCCTTAGTTCCTCTCATCAAAATATGTCAGAAGCTGCACTCGAACGTCAGATTCGTCCCATCTATGGTTCGCCATCGTTTACGCGTAAACAAGCTCAGAACTGACCTATAGCAGATGCTCTGGACCATGGATCAAACAAGTCTGCTATCAACGCAAGCAATAAGGTGCTGAAAAAGTATCCTAATAATACTCTTGTTAAAGTATGTGTATTAGTGACCTTGCGCAGGTGGTTTGACATCTTATCAATGTAGGCTTTGAAAGCACTTGCATTAACGCGTTCTCAGAAAGTAGAGGAAGCGTTGGTTCTATGCGATGAGATCCTTGCTGGCGTTGTTACAGATGATTCCACACTATCCGTGATGACCCACGTCCTCAAGGGCCTTGCCAGAAGTATATTATGGTCCCTCTCTCCTCCACGCCTGTATTGAAATCACCGTGTAACAACAGATTCCGACATGGTGGCCATGTTTGATAATGCGTTTAAGCAGCAACCACAGAGCGAGGAACTCGGTGCACAAACGTTCTTCGCTCATGTGCGAACCGGCAACTGGAAATCCTGTCAACAGGTGAGTATTCCCGACTCTTCCATCTTCTGAATACAAGCCGAATCATGTGGTTCTTGAGGTTGCAACCCGAATGCACAAGCAGTTCCAGGAGGACCGGTACGTATACTGGGCTGTAATAGGCGCAATTCTTCAGGTTCGTGCCATCGCATATTGTATTGTGAAGAATGCGTTTTGATTATGGGGAGTTAGGCGAATGAGCTTGGCACTCCTCCAAACATTCGCACGCTGCTCTACAAATTGGCTCACCGTCATGTCACATCATGTCCAACGCCATCCTACACGGCCGTAGATCGCTTCCACCTGCACATGATCATCCTGCAGGAGCTCCAACTGTGGGATGAAGCAAATACCTTGTTGGAAAGTGATATTGGAAAGTCCATCTGTTCAGCGAGTCTTGTTTGCAATGAGACTCGTAGAGACATTTGGCGCCAACGCGGTCTATATAAGGACGAAGGGGGAACGTGCTCAAGAGAAGATCAGAAACAAGTGAGCGGACCCGAGGTGCTGTTCTTGATCCAATCTAATGTGCACTTCAGTGACCGCAACTGGCTCGAGTTCGTGTCTGTAATCGATGCCGCTTTTGCTCCAGTGCAAGGGTCCGATATCAGCGCAGAGGGAAAGTCAGAGTGCTCCGAGAACATTGCGAAAACACGTGTTTTCCTCTCCGAAATCGCAGAGGTGGACTCAAATGACCGTTCTGCTTCCTTGGCACGTTTAGAGCTCGAGAAAAACGCGTTTTCTCATGGGATATCCTCTGGTATGAACCTTGCCTTGGGACCGTCATGCCCTGATTTCGATCTTCGACAGATGAGAGCACCCTGGTTAGTTTGATGGAAAACTACTTCTCCCAGTTTGGCGACAAGCAGTGTTGCTTCGAAGATTTGCGACCTTATGTGGACCTTGGTGCCGACGCAAAATCGCGATGGATGAGCTTCCTTGCATCTCGAGAATCCTTCCTTTGTGCGCACTATCTTCTTATTTGGGTCTTCCTGTGCCCTAAGCTCAGTTTGATAAAAGGCTACTACGGGAGATCTGCAACGGGTAATAAATGTGCGGAAGATACAACGCATCAACCTTACGGCTTCAGATTATCCACTAGACAAAGAGTTGTCTTTGGCATCCAAGTATATCGAAGACTACATGGCAGGACTGGAAGTTAGGCTCCAGCTTACCTGTGACTGAACTTCAGCCGGTCGATGATCTCGCGATCCTTGTCGGTCATGCGTTTGTCAGCCTATGGACAATGACCAAGGAAGAGACTTATCTATACAACGCCGCCGTTGTGCTGGAATTCGCTTTGACGAAGAGTCGCATGTCGTTCCAGATTCGGCTGCTACTTGTACGCATATACCGTCTACTTGGTACGTGTTCTATGTATGTGCCAGGGTGTTTGCCGACCAGTTTACAGGTGCTTCATCGTTGGCTCTGGAACACTACCGTGCTATTAACATAAAACAAGTCCAAAACGATACTCTTTCCCACTTCCTTCTCACACGAGCATCAACCTTCTCCCTTTCTGCCACTGGAGAATTGACATACCCTTCGGAATGCATAGAATCAAGCCAGATCTATGTCAGTAATTCCCAGGATGTAAGTGCTCTTCCTGTGTGTTAGCCTCCCTCTTATTGTTCATAGACCCCGGATTTCATCATTCGTGCATTCACGTCCGAGAAGTACAGTCAGGTCAGATTCCTATACTCCTGTACCTACGGAATACTTACATCCCTACAAGATACCAGAGTTTGTCTCTTTCGACGACAGGCTGGAGAACTCTCTCCAACGCGATGTTGTCAAGCTTGAGCACGTTCGCATGCGCATCACGCATGAGCCTATCAACTCTGATCTGATAGACATGGAGCTCATAGAACTGAAGTTCGTCTTTGATCGCTGTAAGAACCTCCAGCGTCATACGTACACGTTTTTGACTTCTGTTCTCAGTCCATCATGACAACCGGGATTTCGGCATGCTACCCAACTATCAACCAGCATGTCAGCCTTCGCTGAATGACCAGACCCTTATGTTTGGCAACTCGACTGGCGTAAGCTGTTTATCTATGTTGACACATGCATTCGTTGAGCGTTTCTCAAATAGCAAGGATGGCTGTGGTATTTCATCAAAATCTACATCCGTGCTTTCCAGCATGCCAGTGATTTGGACGATATTGTGGAGGATAAGCTACTAATTGGTGACCGGCCAAAGAAGAGCCCGGAACCTGAAGTCCGCCTTCCTCTCCGGGAACGTCTAGCCATCCGAAAACCTGAAGAAGCGGCAGAGGTAGGACATTGTGGTCGAAGCATAACCACCACGTTAACACTTCGTCAGTTGACAGTTGATGAGTTGCAACTCATGGAATGGGCCACTGCTGTCGGTGACTGGCTCGAGCCCTACCATGACCACACTCGCCCGCCTCCAGCGGTGGTCCTTGCCGAGGCCAACAAGCAGAATGAGCTTAGGACCGGGCTTCCGCTAAGGGGTGTTGACCTGAAGGCCCTAAACGGCGACGCCAACGCTAATGGACATGCAAAGAAGGACGAGGAAGCTCCTCCTGTGAAGGAAGCGCCTCAGTTGGTGGCACAGTACTTCGAGCGTATGTTTTGGTCTTGATACGGCTGGCTCTATACTGACTCTCCTCACAGATATGCACGCTCGCTTCGTGCAGTTGCAGCAGAGCGAGTGCCTCCCCTCAGACCTGCTGCATGTGGCAACACTCACCCAAGAAGTACACCTTCACTCTGAGTTCCAGTTTATGCTTTACTCACTCTAACTCTAGGCTTTCCTTCTGTTTGCGGTGGAGAGTCATCGCTTCAAGACCGCATCTGTTGTCAAGATTCACAAATTGGGGGCAGTAAGTGGAATGTTATGCTTCAATGAGACGTCTCCAAACATCTTCTCGCATTTCAGCTCGTGCAATCCCTCAAGGATATTCGCTCGAAGGCCAGCGCGGTACTGAAGACAATGTCGAATGACCTTGTGAAGATGGGTGAGGTGGCCGGGTCGGCTGAACGACGGAAGAGCTTCGTTGAGGCTTGCAAACCAATTATGGAATTTCCGAAGGTAGGATTCCGTGCGGCTTCAATTATCAGACCGTGCCCTGACATCATTCGTTAGCTGCACCACGACTTTGTGCTCAATATTGCAAAGAACGTTGGCGAGTCGCGCAAAAAGGTACTCGAGGGCGTTGGTAAAGGGATGGTCAAGATTTGCACCAATTACCAATAAGCTCGGCCCTTCATTTTAGATTCTGGCATCGCATATTACTTTACACCTACATACACACTGCTCACCACTCACCACAACTCACCACTCATGATACTGCACTATACTTAGGTTGCCGAATGTAATTGTGACATCTTGAATTATGTCATGCAACACGTCGCGTGACTTGTGACACTACGCGTCTCACTCATTGCGCTCCTCACGACAAACTCTCGTGCTAACGAAAAAAAAACGGTAACAACTCAAGAGATGAGTCAATGTAAGCTGCTGTACTATCTCTGAAAATCCCACTAATTACAATGGGAAGCCAACGACTACTACGGAAACAGTGGTGCTGGAGGTGGCGGATACATGACTGGTGGATCGCCATACGGAAGCGCGAGCGGTAGCCCTGGAGGAGCTGGTCGAGTATGTTGCATGTGATCGTGCCAATGCTCTACTAAACTGAGTGCAATATAGAAAACCGAGATAGCCCACTCCTTACGACCTCTGACTGTCCTTCAGCTCCTAAATGCAACACAGGCGCATTCAGACGCGGAGTGGATGCTGGATGATACGGAACTTGGCCAGGTAATTTCCACCTATCTTCTCATATCCAGTTGTACGAATCGCGAATTTGCAGGTTACAGTCGTCGCGCACGTTGTATCAATACAAAGCCAAGCCACCAACAACTTATACTGGCTCGACGATGGCAGCGGTCGCATTGAAGCCCGACATTGGATTGACTCCTCGATAGAAGAGAGTGGGGCGGGGCCAAGCGCCATCACGTAAATTTCATCCGTTGTAGGCCGCAGCGTTAAAACTAACTAATGCAATGGCAGTGAGGGATCATACGTACGCGTGTCCGGCACGTTGAAAATGTTTGGCAGCAAGCGATACGTGAATGCAACTCATATACGGCCAGTCAAGTCGTCCCATGAGATATACTTCCACCTTTTGGAGGCGATGACGGTCACATTAACATGGGCGAAAGGAGCGGTATGCTCAGACCGAATTACAATGTTACTAATCTAATATTCTTGAGCAGCCCCCTCGTCCTGGACAGAATCCGTCAATTCCACAGGGCCCCGTCGCCGGAGGCTCTGCATACGCAGCTCAGTCGCATTCCACCGCTGCGAATAATGATCAATACTCTCAATTACCGAAGTTGGAATATGCGATCGTAACATTCATGAGGAACCAGCCCAGTAATGAGGAAGGCGTGCACGTTGGTGCTATTGCGCGTGCTGTCGGAGGTAATGCTGTCACAATCAAGTATGTTGTCGCACGAGACTTGCTCGGCCCCACTAGTCTGACGCAACCCCCAGTAATGCTTTAGATAAACTCATGGACGACGGCCTCGTCTTTACTACTATCGACGATTCGCACTTCAAGCTTGCTGATTGATGGACCCAGGATGGACCTGTATTTTTGACAATGAAAGCTGCTTGCGAGCGCTTGAGTCGTGTTGACACTGCCGGAATTCTTGTTCGATTCTTGCATCTTGATTAATGTAGTCTTTGGCTCGTTTCTGCAAGAAAAGTATTAATAGTTTGCCTCAAATCGGAAAGATGATCAATATCGTGGACATTGTTACACAGGGGTAGATCTTCAGGCCTATACAGTTGATCGGTAACCTGGCAAACTGTCTTTCCACGCATCTGTACAGGGCTGACGACGATGGAAGACTCTGAACCTTTGCTAGTGGAAACAACAATCATTAAGTCATCGGAAGCAGCAGCTTCAATCAGATCAGTCACGGTCTATCAGGCGCTGCAGGCGGAACGCTTGCCTGGCGACGAACACTTCACACTTGATGGGGCCAATCTCGACAAGGTGAGCCACTGTATTTGAATGTAGCTCCAGTAGCGATGAAGGATCAGACATACTCAATGTAACTCGAATTCTTGAAGGTCCTGCTTGTTACCCATGTCATGTTACGACCGGGTCCTAATGTTCGAGGTACCTATGATCTCGAAGATGGCACTGGGAGAATATATGGGATACGAAACAATAACGTAGGTCCTGTAGGACAGGATCCTGCAACGTTCTCGGCCATGGTACAACAATGGTACGTTGTGGCATCGCATTGCAACACGTTCCTAATAATATTTTGCCATTCATCAAGCGACAATGGTCTAGCTTGCGTCATTGGGAGACTTACAACCCTGCGCAATGGCCAGAACATGCTCAATATTGAGTCCATGAGTGTGGTAGGATACCACCAAGCTATGTTTCATATCCTTGAATGTATGACGACAAGTTTGATTATAATCAAAGGGTCACCAGTATGTGCATGATCAGGATCTATCATTGACATGGGCATTCCAACTTTATGCAGGCACGCAACGAAGGTTCGGAGACGGTCGTTGCACAAGAACTCGAAGGGGACTCGGGAGCATTTGACCAATCTTATTCGAATCATTCGTTTTTGGATCTACCCCAGAATGATCAAGGTGGAGGTGTCGGCTTTCCTCAGACCGCCGCGCCATTGCTACATGGTGATCATAGCGAGAGTTCGAGCTCCGTGTTAACCTTAACACAAGCCGCACCGGAACTTCCTACACGACCTCCCGCCCTTGAGCCCGAAACTACACATTCTGCCGTTCGGGTAGCCCATCCTCATGCAGTCGCGCGAACACCAAGCCCCCTTTCTTCATTCGGCTACTCGCTTCGCATCAGCTCTCATCCCGTTCCACAGTACTATGGCCAACTGGCTCAATTGACAGCGACACAAGATGCTATCGTTTCCAGCCTCAGTCAGCTCCAGGATAATACTCTGTATGGAGCTTGGATAGCCGATGTATTCGAGAATGTCACACGAGTGATCGCGATCACTTGGGAAGAATTCAGGTAAATGGATCGCTTCACACAAATGATAGTTGCTGGTTGATTCTTTGTGGCTAGCGCCGACATAGAATGGCTTCTTGAGCAAGTATACATATTCAGACCACTGGATGACGATCGCATTATGCTCACGTCTCGCGCATCGGCTTAATGGCTTAGCGTACAGTAACCTGCATATTGTGATGGTGAAAGTCAGTGAGTCTCGCATAACTTAATATTATAAAGCATTCCTCGAGGTAATGTGCTCATGAGTATTCATCTAGCCTCCTTCCGGAAAAACATATTTGGGCATGGGGCATTATATAAGTAGGGGTCCTTTATAGAAGGAATTTGAGCGTGTTCACTCTGTACTTTTGTTCATAATTGCAAGAAACCTGAAGTTTATGATACCTGTACGCACTTAGACGAAAAAGGCAACTCCGAAAGATGTACTTACTGCTACCCCCTGCATCCGCCCACCTGGCTCAATACGAACTTCTACAATATCATGCAAAGCACTGGGTCATGAACCAATCTCTACATTGAACTCGCTTTCAAGTGACGTACAGACCATGTCTACTTGGTCTTCCTGGTTCCCCGGGCTTCCGTCGTTCGATTTCTCCTTACCCTCCACAATTCAGCGTCGGTTTCTTTCTTTCGTCCTCAAGAAGTTATTGGGACATCTTCTAAAGCCAGGGCAACTCGATCTTCATCAAATAGACTCGCAGATAGGCTCTGGTGTCGTGCAAGTTAGGGATCTCGAACTAGATGACCAGGTTCGGGTCTTACCTTATGGTCTAACTACCCATTCGTTGACCATTCCACAGGCGATCAATAAACTTCTATCAGGATCACCTTTCAGACTCCATGATGGCTCCATATCTTGTGTAACTGCGCAAATACCTTTCCCCAATCCTCTCACTTCTAGTGTGGGGCTTTCGGTACAGTCACTACGCCTCACATTGCATGCGACACCTCCATCCGACCCCTGGCTCTCCAAAAGGTGTCAATCTTGCGCATTCTGTTGCATCAGTAGCAGAGACGTTCATTCATGGCGAGCTTACCCCTCGGGAAGAAGCGACGCTCCGAGAGTCCTTACATTCAGATTCCCGACCACCGCACGTCTTTGACGAGGGTCATCACCTTCCTGGAGGACTAGATTCCTCTACTAATCAACACCCTGAAGAAGATATCGGAATCGATTCTGATCCTTCTGGGGTATCTCTATTTGCCACCCTCTTCGAACACTTACTTGCAAGGTTCGAGTTCTCTGCTGTGGACACGAAAATAGTCATCGTCCACCCCGGACACTCAAGCTTTACCCTGTCAATACCCGACATTACATATAGTACAGACTCGGGTGTTCAAAAGCAGCAGAGTGCTGAAGATGGGCTATCGAGAAACATTGCTCCTGAAAGAAGCCCACGGAGCGGTCACATACGTACAGTCTCGATATCAGGCGTCACCGTCACCTCTCGGGATATTCGACCTACTTCACAGCACCCTGTCGCCTCGCCACGGACCTTGTCGCCTGTGTCGCTCACTTCGTCCCGTGTTACGCTGAACGACCATCGGCTAGCTCATCGTCCCGTGTCACCAGCATCCTCTTATTCCTCCATCGACGAAGACACGCAGATGATGATGTCGCAGTCCATTGCTGCTCTTCCACCACGTAATCAGTTTCCTGCTTCCCCTTCTAGCTCAGTTATGAGTAGCATGTATCAGAGCGCGATCTCTACTACTGGCGGCAGCTCTTCAGCCGTTCTACCAGGCCTTGAGCCACTCGGCAACCTCAATACGGGAGATATAGCTCAGCCACGCTCGCGCGATCACACAGTAGGCAATCGAGAGTCCACCTATGTACCTCACTGGGCTACAGAAGATCTTGTTTTTTCTGTTGGTGCAGACCCTATTGTTGTTCGACTACAAACGCCGCTCGGCTACACGAAGCATGACGTAGCACACGTGTCGACTGTCGCGCCTGAGATAGTTTCACCTGCCATGAAGAACGTTGCGGACAAGGAGGACGAAGCCTTAGGTCTCAGCGTCAGTGTTGGCGTCATGTCCTGTGCTCTTCGCGCTTGTCACGTCCGCATGCTATTGGAAATGCTCAATTACTGCGGATCCAAGGATGCTGGTACTACTCCTCAAAATCCTGAGGTAACGTCAAGCACATCGGTTCTTCCATGCGGCTTGCACGCAAGTCTAAACATCCGCGGAATTGTGACCCTTTTGATATCTGAGGCCGTAGATCAAGAAGTTCCTTCGTTGGAAGCATTTTTCCAGTGCCCACTTGTCCCCCCGAGATTACCTTCGACATACTTGCGCGTATTATTGGAGAATGTTGCTGGCTCTTTTGATTTATCTGGGGCTTCTGGAAATCAGACTGATGCTGCAGTACACACTTCTCCGATAACATCCACCATTTTTCTCTCGAATCTCTCGGTCTTCATGTACCACTCTCCCTGGAGTGCCGATAAGGACGAGGCGCAACTTGCGCTACCCGTCCTCATTACAGACCATCATCTACATAACCAATATGTCGTTAGTCATTGTCGCCCATGTTTCTCTTCGACGCCAATTCCGGCACAGCCACTTTCCGAAGTAGCGTTGCCGACCTTTGAGGTAGTAGACTGGACTGCTGCGAAACTTGCAGGAGGCTCTTCGAAGCTCTCGACCTGGAGAGTGAAGTCTCACACAGGGAGGGATCAGTCATCTCACAGTCCACATTCGAAGACTTCTGTATTTCCCACTTCTCCAAAACCACCCGTAGCAGCTTTGTTGAGTGAAGGACTCGAGAAGTCATCTCCTTCCAGTGCTGTTACCTTCACCGCTCATGTATCGCCTGCAACCACCCGTTCAGGGGGGTTGACCAACATCTCGATTCGGATTGCACCGTTGCACGCGTTCTTCGATATCGACATCATGCTTGAGGGCGGCGGTATGCTCAGGTTCCTTGAAGAGGTCCTAGCAGCTGAAGGATCTCCTGCTCAGGACATTTCCGACACATCTCAAGGGCCCAGTTCACTGGACGACACTGAAGAGGAGGATTCAGTAAGCAATGATGAACTCACTTCATTCATGACACCGAAGCAACTCGAACGCGAGAGGGAAAGAAGACGCTTGGAAAGACTTGTCCTCGAGGATTTGGACTTAGACATTGACTATCGGACGGGGGCACCGTCATCGAGACAGAGACCTCGCAACAAGCGAGCCACGAATGCCGAATTCAAGGTAGATGAGAGCCTAACTTGCAGTTGTGGGAATATATCTGACCTTATCGTTTAGTCCAAATCCAAGCAAACGTCACATCCGAAGATCACCATTATCTTACCTGCCCTCCGCGCTGAGCTTCGATGCGAATCCCCATCCCTTCAATCTTCCCGATCAGGAGGCATTATACTGGATTTCCATGACATACAGATCTGTAACAAACCCCTCGACCAAGACACACCGACTGTCAGATTCGGAGATGGTGGTGAATCAAGGAATCCCGGCATCAAAACTCTGCCAGGACAACTCCTGAGTGGCCAGATTAGGGGGATTGTTTTATCGTATGCGCCTGCAGGAAATTCAAAAGCTCATGCCTTTGTCTCGCTTGGTTCTTTACCACGGACGGATGACATTCACCCCGGATCGGCTTCATTGCTGTTATCGGAACAGGCGCCGGACTCCCTTCCCATTCGCTTTCAGTTGACTCAGCTGGCTCCATCAAAGTCTGCTGTTTCGTCTTCGACACGTAGGACTTCCGTCGTCGTCAACGTCCCGTTGGTTAACGTCGTCCTGGAAAAGCCGATCTTCGATGGATTGCAAATTTGGGCTGACAGTGTCACACAAGCAATCACCACCAGCACGGACGAAACAGATACTGAAGTCGCTCACAGCCGCAACCCGAGCCTGATTGGTAGCAGGTTTTTCGCAAAATCAAGGCGTGTTGGGAGTCGTGGAAGTGACGAGAGCAGCTTCGGCACTGCAGTGTCGACGCCGAAACAAAGCGAGACGGCTGTGAAAGTGATCATTGCCGAAGGTAGAGTCGTTTCAGGTCCAGTTCCCACCTACGTTGATATCTTCGAAATGCAGCTTTGGTAAGAATCCTGACATCTCGTTCGCAATCTTCCGTGTTCTCGATTCGTCCTTTCGATATATCCGCCTCTGACATCGACGTCCTCGTTGAACTGAAACCTGATGGCAAGGTGTGTGGACCAGCAAAGGTATATGCTGGAATACTCACTTCAATCAGGACGAGACTGTCATAACCTCAAGCTTGATGGACCTTCATGTCGGAGAGGTGTCACCAAAGTGGGAGCTCATACCTCTCCTCGTATTGACATCACCTCGCAGTCTGGTATGTTATGTAGGTTGATTTGTCGCAGATACCTCCCTCACGCTATTTAGTCCTCTGTGCCAAGACCGATGATAAAGGCTCGCTTCACTTCCCTCATCATTCCCGAAACCAGCGCAAAAGAGACCAAAATACGGTTGACTCTCTGGGGCTTCACTTGCCATGTTTATCCAGATTTGCAGTGGATTTCGGACGTAGCTCAGTTTATGAAAGCTCCACCGGGGGTAGGTGTGCCATCTTTGAAGCAGAATAGATCAGTGATATTCTTTAAGGTCTTCGAATCAGTCGTTCCTTCCGAGCGAACGTCTTTTTCTCTCTGCGATTGCAGACGTGTCAATCAAGACATATGCCCCCAGCCACCCCGGAGCTGCAGTCTTGTATATCGGCGAAGCCGAACTAAACACTGAGCTTGCTGGTAATTCCAGCGCGTTCAAGTTCAAGTTGCTGGTTCCTTCCTTGTCATTTCTATTGGTCGATTCCATAGCCGATGCCCTCAATGGTCCGGGATCTGCCAAATCAACCGGAGGATCCAGTCTCAACTTGTGGAAGGTGTTTTTTCCTTCAGTTTTTAAGTAAAACAATGTAATGACACTCATCCACAGAATTTTGGTTTTGCATCGATTGCAGATATTGGAGATCTGGACCTTGTGTTCAAGACTGACAATGCATTGGTCCCTCCAAGTGTTGGCGTAAGTTATAGCATGCCGGGTTATGTTTTTCGACCCTCAATCATATTTAGGTCCTCGTGAATCGAGTCAGCTTACGGGTGCACCTATGTGCGGATACTATAGCTGCGCTAGCAGGCTATATTGGTGATTTCACGTCCATATTCAAATCCCCCTCTCCTGTGAAGTACGTAATTACCTTGCTAAACTTTCAGTGTCGCAATGTTAATCATCATTCCGCAGACCAACGGTGTCTAGCAAGAAAGTTCCTGCTTCTTTTGTTCATCGTCCGCCTGAACAAGGCATGATGGGTGATTATTATGATTGATGCAAAACATGCGAGGTCACTGAAGTTATTTATTCAGCGTCTCTCGACGAGCAAGCTTTCAGGCGAATTCCTGATGTCGGTAATGCAGCCGATATGATTAGCGATGACTTACCGAAGAATCTCGATTACCTGGACGAATCCTTTGGTTCGGCCGCTGGTTTGCGGGAGCTTCGGGATGATGACCTAGAAGACTTCGATATGCAAGAGGATAGCCAAAATGCACCAGTAGCTGGAGAGACTGGAGTTGTTTCCAATGTCGGCGGAGAAACAATCCGGATCATCAAGCCCATTCGTCCTATCGAGCATTATTACGACAGTATTCCTCCAGAAAACACGGACGATCTGGCTAGGTAAGGTTTTTGCCATTAGCTTGTATTCTCTGTAATCGATTCATCGGGCAGTCTACGCGAGACTATTGTCCGAGTGCGCATCCATGACTCTGACATATCGCTTTTCCTACACGATGGTTTCGATTGGCCCCGCACACGAAAAATTGTGGAGCAAGAAATCAAGGACATGCGCAAGAAGTTAGCCAAGATTAGGCAGCTGATTGCGACTGGTCAGACCTCAGACCCCAGCGTGGAGGAGACAAGCGCGATGTTATTCAACTCAATACACATTGGCCTTGACCAGGACTTTGATGGTCTTGATCCGACAGCCCTGGTCGCTGCCATTGACGATGAACTCGACGAGAAGGCGGAGACAGAAAGTCACAGCTCTTGGCAAACCCTTCCTCCAGCATCACCTGGACAACAACAGCGAATGCCCTCCACTCGCATCCATGGGCGAAGATTGACGAGGTCTAAGGGCCCAAGTATTGAAATCAGGCTAATTGGCCTGGATGCTGAAGTCGATAATTATCGTCCGAAAGATGAACTTGTCTCCAGGACGCTCGTTGTAGTAAAGGATGCTGAAATTTTGGATCACGTCAAAACGTCCACCTGGAGAAAATTCTTGACCGAACTACGGTCGGACTCTCGAGGCAATATTCGTGAGACGGACTCCAGCATGGTTCGCATCGAGCTCAAGACCGTTCGACCGTCTCCTTCCCATCCCTCCGAGGAAACACGTTTACGCGTGAGTACTTGTCGAGTTAAGGCGTACTGACAATGCTGAGAAGATGCCACCACAGGCCAAACTCCTGCCATTGCGACTATATGTTGATCAGGATGCACTCGACTTTTTGAAGAAGTTTTTCGCATTCAAAGATTCTGACAGTCCATCTGCACCCGCTGATGCTCCCAGCGAGGAAACATATATTCGTATGTCCCTGATTTCAAATGCTGAATGGATAACTATATCGATATTTGTCCGCAGAGCACGCCGAGGTCTTCCCCATCGATATCAAGCTTGATTACAAACCTCGACGCGTGGATTACAGGGCTCTGCGAGAGGGAAAAACGATTGAGCTCATGAACTTTTTCCATTTTGATGGCGCGGAGATGACTTTGAGACATTTGACCTTGCATGGGGTACGTGTTGCTTTGGCATGCTTCTTTGGCATGCTGCTTCATGAACTCATTGGCCTTCACAGATCACGGGTTGGCCCCGATTTTTTGATACATTAAACGACCTCTGGACGCCGGATGTCAAGGCAACACAACTTGTGGATGTCATTTCTGGCGTAGCACCCATTCGTTCAATGGTCAATGTTGGCTCTGGAGTAGCAGACCTTGTTCTGCTACCTATTGCACAGTACAAGAAGGACGGGCGCATCGTCCGTGGAGTTCAGAAGGGTACCAAGGCATTCGTACAATCAACTGCAATGGAGGCGATCAAACTTGGGGCTCGGCTGGCTACAGGTACTCAAGTCATTCTGGAGCAAGCTGAAGGCGTGCTCGGGGGCCAGTTTAAGGATTCAATCACGGCAGAAACGTTTCACATACCATACGATGACTCTGGAGACGAACCAGATGAAGAATTGATCAGCAGATATGCGGCTCAGCCGGCTGATGTCACAGAAGGAGTTCAATTCGCATATCGCAGCTTGCAAAGAAACTTGCATTCCGCTGCCCAAACAATACTTGCTGTTCCTATGGAAGTGTACGAGAAGTCCGGAAACGAAGTGAGTAGCATCCATAATGTTTGTTTGGTGGGCCAAGCTGATGTAAAATCAGGGTGCAGTCCGCGCTGTGGTGCGCGCTGTCCCAATCGCAGTCTTGAAGCCCATGATTGGCGCCTCCGAAGCAGTCAGCAAAACTTTGATGGGACTTCATAATACCCTGGATCCCAACGTTCGCCATGAGAATGCGGCCAAGTACAAACATCGCTAACATTCTGCTCACGCACTGTAATATATCATCGTGTTCGTAATAGGATTTTTATCTCATGATGTACCTTTCCTTATCACTAGCTATGCGCAGCTTGTAACTTCATGCTTTCACGCACTAGTTCCTCTGCCACCGACCGTGTTACATGGATTAGTGAAGGTATACAATGTGTAATGCATGACAAGACAAATACAGATCAGTCAATGTCCATGCCCATCGAGCGCCCTTCCCCTTGCAAAAGTGCGCTTCTGCTTTTCGCTGGCACCTTTATTTTCTTTAACACTTCATTGGTTTCCTCCATTGCCGTTGGCTCAAGTAGCTTGACGGACACCGACTTCGCGGCCAATTTCTTTGTCCTGTGCGTGCGTTGTTTCTCCCGAGCAACCGACATTCTATAATAAAGGAAGTCAGTCTGGCATGGCAATACTCCGGGACTGGAAGTAATGACCTTTGCTTCCAGAATGCGTGCTCTCTCCGCTGCTTAATCTCCCCAATGCGTTTCATGGCGTTGATTGTGGTATGTACCAACTCGCGATCGTAGCGGACAGGTACATTTCTACGCTTCTCAAAGTCAATCGTAGAGTCCTTGTTGCAACAAGTGAGCAAAAAAATCTTCAGATCAAGAAAATAAATATACAATCGTCATTTCCTTCCCTGCTGCTTTACGGAAAGCCTTCGTCCATCTCACTTTGCGAGGATTTCGCTTCATTCTAGGAAGATATCAGAGATTGGTCAAGAGATATCACTAAGGAGTCGCTTGCTTGAAGTTTTTGTGGCATCTGAAGGTTTTGTTCAGTATGTGGACCCTGCGTGCTCTAGCATGGGACCGACTCACTTTGAAGTGCAAAACCGGAATACCTTTGAATCATTGCGGACGAAGGCACTTCCTGACCATGCTGTGAGATGTTGTATTGACAGTCCCAGTCTCTATTGCTCACCATGCCCAGGATACACGTTCGTTGAGCAGAAATAACATTTCTCGATACGCATATCTGCTTGCTGTAGCCTGTGGATGAAAGTGCAAAATATGAAGCTAAGATTTGCCGTGGGAAAAATATCCCCGACACCCCAACTGTTACTGAGAATTGCTATAAAGTTATCCTAGCTATGCTCTTCGGTGGTTACTGCATATCGAGGTAGTGAATGTCTGTTCTGTTGGCAACGCCAGCCCTACTAACTAGTATATTGGGCACGCAGTGAGCACAGGCTGAAAATTGAACATGATCATGGGCCCATTCTATCATTGCTTCAACTTCTCGACCATCTCTGGCACTACCTCAAAAAGGTCTGCTACTAATCCCACATCCGCCACTTGGAAGATGGGTGCGTCGGGATCCTAAAAACAATTTTAAAAAGGCTTGGGGCGTTACGCGGACGCACTTACCTTGTTTACTGCTATAATGAGTTTGGAATCCTTCATGCCGGCAAGGTGCTGGATAGCACCAGAAATGCCCAACGCCATGTACAGTTCAGGAGCCACCACCTTGCCTGTTTGTCCGACTTGCAGGGAGTTGTCTGCGTACCCTGCATCCACAGCAGCACGGGATGCTCCAACTGCAGCGCCAAGTGCATCAGCAAGAGGATACAGAGTAGACTGGAAAGTCTCGGCATTTTTCAATGCTCGCCCCCCAGAAACAACGCGACTGGCAACACCCAAGTCAGGTCGATCGGATTTCGTCAGAGATGTACCAAGATGCTCCGAGGGTGCATCGGAGACCTCAACAGGATCGAGGGCTTTGACTTCGCTCCCTGCTGCATCTTCTGCTCCAGCAGCCGCAAACGCGGTGGACCGGACAGTGAAGAACTTGATGGGAATGGAGGAGGATGCGCGGACTGTGGAGATGGCGTTACCAGCGTATATGGGACGAGTGAAGGTAGTGCTGCCCGATGCTGCGTCATGTTCGAGGGATGTAATGTCAGATACGGCCGGAACATCTAGTTTTGCCGCAACTCGAGGCAGAATAGACTTTGCCGAGCTCGAATGGGCGGAGACTACATGCGTGAAGGGCGAGTTCTGTGATAAGAGCTTCTCAAAGAGTGGAGATATTGTCTCAGGTAACAGCGTGCTGTACTGTGGGGATGCGGAATGGAGCAGTGTACTCAAACCATTCAATCTAGAAGGGATCAGCGATGATCCTAGGTAGCTGGAAGACATACCTCTTGGCTTTCTCCACGACAGATGGCACCTCCTCGGGGCTGCCTACGACAAGACCAGTGACTTGACCACCCAACTGAGATGCTGCCGTCAAGGCAGAAAGTGACGCGGAGTCGAGATCACCCTGGTGATGCTCCAAAAAGACCAGAGCATGGGGTGAGGGGGCTGTCGCGTAGCTGCGAGCGAGCAACCTGTTTAGCAGTGAAGTCCGTACTTTTAACATATCCTTGACTGAGCTTTGTCGAGGCCTCGGACGTGGTACCGGAATGGTTTATAATCATGATGCCGCTGAGTCTGTATGTACCTGTATGCGCACAGCAAAATCGTCATATGATTCTATTTCATTATCAGTACTGACCAATTCAACTCACAAGGTCAGTAGACTTGCAAGTTCAAAATAACCATCCGACCATTCACTGATTTCATATGGCAGACTCGATTCTATAAGACATGAACTCAGATGTGCACACGTTTCTAACAGGTTACCAGCATGTCGCGTTTCCCGACCTTTCCGACAGTCGCATTCATGACAACTCTGCCACCTACGTCAAGTCAGTCTCTCTTGATTTGGTGCCCTTCCGGGAGCGCGGTATGGAACTGCCGGCTTCTGCTGCCCTACTGCTTGCCTCGTTTTGTAACATACTGGGCTTGTACTGTGCATCCTCGGACATCATGATCGGGATTCTATTGCCAGACGGACTTGTCCCCGGTCGTTTCTGTTTGGATGCCGAAATGGTTTGGGACAATCTAGTAGACGAGGCTCGCCGTTCCCTGGACGGAATCACAGGCCCGAAGTTCACGGAATCTGAGTTGAAGAGTGAGCTCGGACTGAAAAAGGACCAGTCGCCGTTTACTGCCCTCTTTATCCTTGATGGACCAGAGAATCTACACATTCCAGACGACTCTCTTAGATCTCCTTTACTTTTATTCGATTCATCGGCGGCTTTGCTGTCTTTCCGGGCTTCATCGCGCCTTGTACACCCCTCTGTAGCCAATCAGTTGCTTTCCCAGATAGTGGTCCTGTCGGTACACGCAGCTCAGAATCTCACTTCAAAAATATCATCCCCTCCTCCCTATCCAGCCGACTTTGCATCTGCCATCGAATGTCTCTCCACAGATGCTCGTGCTTCCGTCTATAAGCATATCAGTCCTGTTGCCATTGCCACAGACTTTATCCTCCCTTACGTCCAAGCCTATCCCAATGCCCCAGCAGTGTGTTGGTACCATACTTTGTCAGCGGGCCTTAAAGACACGCTCGTCCCCGAAACATTGTCTTATGGCGATCTCCATGTCCGAGCCAACAGGTTGGCTCGATACCTAATATCTCGAAAATTGAAGCCTGAGGACAGGGTTGCCGTGTGTATGGATCGCAACCCACTGTTTCACATAGTCCTGTTCGGAGTTTTGCGTGCTGGAGGTTGTTATGTCCCGGTTGGTACTAGGTTATTGTTATTATTATATATGCTGATTTAATGCAAGATCGACCCCGAGCTTCCGGATGAAAGGAAGTCGTACATCGCAAAGGACTCGGGTGCTAGATTTGTAGTTTTGGAGTCTCATAAGCACTCCCCCGAGTTATTCGGGGAAATTGTTCTCGATCTTGACGATGATCGTATCTCGCGAGACATACTGGCATCGAACACAGCAGATATAGATGTCGCAGATCCCAACAATCTGGCGTATATGCTCTACACGTCTGGTAAATATCAGATAGCTCTTGTATCAAGTGAATCTGACAACAAATCCAGGCACCACCGGCACTCCGAAAGGCTGTCTTCTCACCCACGAAGGTCTCGCTGAAGCGATACTAGCGCTAAGCTCCTTCTCCGCTGCCGTCCGAATGGGTAATATTCGAGATGGAAGGTTTCTCGGCGTTGCCTGTAGGAACAGTCTTTCCCCCTCGTTTATCCTCCTGACTAGGGCTCTGGACCATAGCTGTTGCGTTCGACGTACATATCGCGGAGATTCTTATACCTCTCTCTCTGGGCATGGTGTTGCTTTCTGCGCCACGCAGCATACTTTTGGAGAACCTGCCTTATTATATCAGTCTTTTGGGCGTGACGCATGTTGGCATCGTGCCCAGTCTGATTGATGCAACCATGGGTACTGTTCAAGAGGACGAAGCGATGGGTGGAATCAACCTGCGATTTATCGCCAGTGGTGGAGAGAAAATCAGTGACTCGGTAAGCATCTTACATACTGATGCCCTACGGGTTCTGAAATGGGAATGATAGATTCTAGATAAGTGGGCGAATCATCCCAAAGTCAGACTCGCAAACTTCTACGGGTAACCGGCTGGTTATTCTTTCTACCGATCTCATTCTGACTATCTTCCCCAGGCCCAGTGAGGTAACCATAGGATGTTGTGCTCGATTTATGGATGTCAGCACACCCAAAGGCAACGTTGGGCAAGCCTTCGCCAATGTTGCGTCTTATGTCGTCGATCAGGACCTCAATATCTTACCACGGGGGGCTGTTGGAGAGCTCATTGTTGGCGGTCCCCTTGTTGGGCGTGGCTACCACGGACGTCCGGATCTAACGGCTAAAGTATTTATTGAGTGGCCGCAGAAAGGCTCTTGGGTGTATCGCACAGGGGATCTAACGCGCATGATGCCCGACGGATCATTGGAAATCATCGGCAGAATCGACACTCAGATCAAGTTACGCGGAGTGCGCATCGAGGCCGAAGGGGTGTCTGCTGTGCTTCAGCGAGCTGCTCGATCCTGCCTCCAGCTCAACCTCGATATTGGGACCATTCTAGGGACCCACCCAGAAATTGGAGGTGGCAACGCGCCGCAGCTCGTCTCTTTCATTTCCTGGGACACAGGAGTGTCAATTGCTACTCGTCGGGGCAGTTCTAGGCCAGGACTAGTGAAGCCAGGAAGGAACCTCTCGCGCATTTTGCGCGACGCTTGCGAGAGGGAACTCGCCAGTTACATGCGCCCTGCTCATATAATAGCTCTCAATTGGCTTCCGCTTAATGCTAACGGCAAGGCGGATATCAAAATCTTGACCTCTATCTTTTCAGAACTAGATATTAACGAATTGATCGGACTAGCTGAAGACCCTACCGGCCACGTTGACACCCCAGACGGTGACAGCCCTGTTTCTGACCTCGAAGAACGGATATTAGAACTCTTGAGAGAAAACTTTGGGATTGCGAGCTCCAGTGGACCTGTCGGTGTGCACACTAGTTTATTCGCGCTTGGAATGGACTCTCTGTCACTCGCACGGCTTGCATCCACGCTTAGGAGGTCCTTTGATATCGACATACCTGTCGCAGAAATCATGAAAACTCCCACTGTCCAGGCGCTGTCAACACGATTGGGAGGTCTCAACGTTTCGCGACCAGAAGGGGCCGTGTCGGAGATCCACCAATTCTCATCATTGTGGATGCCAGAAATTCAGAAGAAAATGCCACATCTTCACATAGAGCGTGTTCTTCCCTCTTACCCTATCCAAGAGGGTGTCCTGTACCGCTCTGAGAGCTCGCCAACCACGTGTGTGCAGCATGTCGTGATGCGCGTTCGAGATGGTGTCTTTATACCACAATTGCGTAGCGCCTGGGAGAAGGCAGTAACAGATATCGACATCCTAAGGTTTGAACTTTATCATATATTGATTGTCTCTTAATCTCACCCATGTTATCATGGTAGGACTGTATTTTTCTTTGGCAAGACCTTGGTTCAGGTGATTTTGTCGCGTGCGACCTGTCATCTACAGTGGGAGGAGTCTTCCATTCCGGCGAGCGACAATGAAACCTTTTCCAACTATTTCTTTGATGAAGAAGCCGCCGGAGCTGCTGCGGAGATGAACACTCGTATCACTTCTGTACCGCCCGTTCGTCTTCGGGTCTACCGTGGATCTTGCTGTGCTCATATTGTACTATCCATCCATCACGCGCTGTTCGATGCTATTTCTCTATCTCGCATGCTGAAGTACGTTGAGGACACATATCTTAGCAGGCCGCTTCCCCAATTAACCCCTCCCAATCAAATACTGGAGCACATAGCGTTTCGAGACTTGTCCCCTGCTCGAGAATATTGGACGTCGACACTTCGCAATTTTGACTGGTCTTCCCGCGACCTGATGGGCGTGGCCCAATCAGCCTCTCCTAAACGGATCTCCATAATCTTTGATACGCCGCTTTCATACTTTCAACAAATGCTTGTCCATTGTCAAGTCACTTTACAAGCCGTGTTGACTTGCACATTTGCTTCTGTGCTCGCGAACCATTTGTGTCAGTCCGACGACCTAATATTTGGGGTGAGGCTTACCATACTTGAGCTGGGCGTCATTGACTGTGCAGCTCAGATCATTAGATCAGGGAGATTAGCCCCTGTCGAGAGTATGGACGACGCCCTCATCCCTCTGCTATCCCTTGTCCCCATGCGCGTCAACCTCAACAACCCTGATTGTCTTCGTAAAGTCCAGGATGACATCATTGCTGCCATTCCATTCGAAAATGTTTCTCTTGGGCAGGTGCAGAAATGGGTTAGACCAGGTGCTGCTCTATTCGACATTCTTTTCTCGGTCACGCACAAAGACAAGATTGCGTACGAACTTTTTGACGTCGTGCGGAGTGAATTGCCTCAGCCTGACGTGAGTTTTCTACCTCATATTCGGTCATGCTTAGCTTTAGCTAGCTTCATTCAGTTCTTCCTGTCGGTGGAGATTGTGGTGGACATCTCAGCGGACAAGCTCATTCTTCAGGCAGCCTTCTATGACGACGGATCGCAAGTCGCCAATATCGAATCAATGCTTCTTCAATTTGAGTCTGCGGCCCGCGGTGTGGTAACTTCTGGAGTGCCCAGTGTCATCGTTCCACGGAAGTCTCTAGCCAGTCGAGCGGAATCCACACCACTGGTCGATACTACCGATGGTAACCATGACCCGAGCATGGAAAGGGACGTTAGTGTAGCCCTATATCCTGTCAGGGAGATCATGGCTCGGTTTTTGGGTGTCGATCCCCAACAGCTATTGTCGAGAACATCGTTCATTGCTCTGGGTCTCGATTCTATCAGGTCGGTGGGGCTTTCACGAGCACTCAAGGAAGAAGGATACTATGTAACTGCATCGGAACTTATGAAGTTCGCATGTCTGGCTGGGCTAGAGTCCTTACCAAGCCTATCTCAAGATGCTGACCGTGCGCAGTTGGAGTTGGAAGCTCAGGATCTACTTCAAGAAGAATGTCGCATACTAGAGTCACATTTTGACGTCGCTACTTGTCGATTTTCTGATCGCGATGAAGCCAGGATACTTCCAACGACCGCCTTGCAGGCAGGGATGTTATCGCAGGTATAAAAAAAAGCTCCTCTCCCTGTAGTGCAGTTGCTGATATATTTCATGTTCAGACGGTTGTCTCCTCAGGCTTACTTTATAATCATGTATTCGTGTTAGAGCTGTCAGCTTCCGTGGAGCACTCCCAACTCCGTCAAGCCTGCCACTCCGTTGTCACGAGCTTTGACATCTTGAGGACAACGTTCCATTACATCGTCGACCTCGGGAAATGGGCGCAAGTTTCGCACTCTGATGTGCTCGTGATTTGGACCAAAGCACTCCTGCGCCCTGGAGAATCTCTAGATGCGATGTTAAAAACTGTCATCGCATCGATGAGCGTATCAGAGCAGGGAACATCCACGTCACCATTGGCTTTTTGTTTGGTCGAACAGCAGGAAGACGCCAGTGTCAAGAAATATAGCCTTGCCATTGCCATGCATCATGCTATATATGATGGTGTTTCCATCGGAACGCTCCTCGAAGAGATGGAACGAGTATATCAAGCACATCCTCCCTCGAAACTGCCTCAATTCTACGACGTGCTTCCCTTGATACTCCAAGAAGAACAACAAAGTATTCCCTTTTGGGTTCAATATCTTCAAGACTTTCATCCTGTTCCACTACCTCGCGTGGAATCTACACAGCTTCCGTCGGTCATCTGTTCTCGCCAATTGAGGCTAGACTACCATGTTCTGAAGACGGCTGCTAGTGATGCGGGTGTTACTCTTCAGTGTTTGGGGCAGGCAGCTTGGTCCAAGCTTGTCTCATCGAAAGTGACTTCCTATGATATAATGTTCGGACATGTTGTTTCCGGACGCTCTTTTCCAGGCTACGAAGACGTTATTGGACCCATGCTGGTACGTCCTTTGATCGAGGGGCGAGCTTACGCTGACCATGCGTGTAGAACACCATACCATGTCGTGTTCGTTTCGATGAAACTACGACGAATAGGGATTTATTGCGTTCTATTCACGCAAATAACTTAGCTGCGTTAGAGTGGCAACATACTTCGCTCCGTACCATACAGTCAAAGACAGGGCTCTTTGGTTTATGGGACAGTATATTCGTCTTTCAACCTCTCAAGTCCAGCAATTCAAATCCCTTGTGGAGTTTGCTCAATCCAGATGAGTTTCAAGCTAACATCCAGGTACAGACTTTGCTCTCTCTGTATACTTTTACTCATGGGGCTACTTTAGTATCCATTGAACTGCGAGTTTCACGAAACGGATAATGGATTTTCCGTGACGCTGGCCTGCCTGTCGAATGTCATGGATCTGGAGTCCTTGGATCATGAAATGTTACAGCTTGAAGCCTTTCTCGGAACTATTGTCTTCCAGCCAAATGCTAAGGCCGTCGCAGATGTTCCCTCTGACGGCACAAAGTCTTCCGTCTCTAGCGGTGTGCTGGTCGCCAGCATTGTACCCCGTAGAGCAATCCACCACTTACCTATCGCGTTAGTCAACGTGCTAACTTCAGTCACCAAATGTCCCCTCGACAGGCTGGTCTCGGACAGACCAGTTGCAGCTATTGGGATAGACTCGATAACAGCAATCCAGCTCAGTGCAAAATGTAGGGAAGCAGGAATTGCGTTAACCATTGCGGACATCGTCGCTTGCCGTACAATTGGTGAATTGGCCACAAAAGCCGTCGAAGTGGAAAGACGGCCAAGTCCCCATCCACTGCCGCAGGCTTATTTAGTCCCTGAGATCGATTGTCAAGCTGTCGCCAACAAACTCCCATCCGACCGGCGCGAAGACCTCACGGTTACTCGGGCAGCCCCTGGCATGAAATGGATTATTTGCGCTTGGCAAAGAAGTCACTATGCCCGATTTCAGCACGTCTTCGCCTATAGAATAACTCAGAAAGTCGACCCCGAAAAACTGCGCAGCTCTTGGATAGAGTTCATTGCTCGACATCCCATTCTTAGGTCAACATTCGTCTCCACAAAGTCTCATTCAAATGTCCAAATAGCGACCTTCAGTACTGACAAAATGGGAAGTTCATTCACCGTCGAGCCATTCGACGATTTGCCCAACAACACAGAGAACCTGAATGCGCGGATGAACGCGGTCATCTCTTACCCACCTCCAATTGATGGACCTCAAACCTGCGGACTACTTTTGAATGGCTTGCGCAGCCAATATTTCCTGATTAGAATGCATCATTTCCAATATGATGCCTGGAGTCTTGCGCTTTTGATTGAAGATCTTTCTCGTGCCTACCTAGGACAACCTTCATCGGTCACGTCAGATTATGAAACCTTCATGTCAACATTTGCACCGACAGCAGAAAATCTCCGGGAACAGGAAGAATATTGGCGGTCCATCTTCTCACCCTCTTTCCGGCCGCTATACTTTCCTCAGCTCAGTACTCCTGCAGCCCAGGATGGGGTTGCCTCTAGAACTGTCGTTATCGTAAAGGATGCGGTGCACGGGGTATCTGCTCTTGAACAGCGTGCTCGGCTGCATGGCGTGTCACTACAGAGCGTTTTGCTGGCATGCTGGACGTACATCCAGTCTTTCTATATCTCGTCAGAAGAAGTGACGTTTGGGTTATGGCACGCAGGTCGAACAGGACCTATCAAAGATATTGACAGATTGGCATTCCCCTGCATGAACGTGCTACCAATGCATGCTTGTATTGGGAGCAACAGCGTCATAGACGTTGCTCGTAGCATTCAAGAAGACCTCCGGTTGCGCACTCCTGTCGTCCAGCAGACTGATCTTCAAATGGTAGACCAGTGGATAGGAGGCATGGGTGCACCATTGTGCAATGTGTTTGTCAACTTGATTAGACTTCCGTCAGACGACAAGGAGGCAGAACTATTTGAATCGGTAGATGTCAGTAAGGTCCCCAAACGAAATTGCTTGCAGATCTGACTATCATTCACAGATTACCTACACGATACCGGAAAACGTTCCAGAACCCGATCCAAAAATCGTTGATTGGATCCCTATGTCGAATCTTATACAGGTCAGATTCACGACATATTTCTCACCAGCAGACCATGCTGAATTGCAATTTAGGACGATGTTATGGTTGAAATTATTGTACACCCTTGGGATGATACAATAACGATGACGATCGAGTGTGCTCCAGCTATCATGGATATCCAGCTCGCCAGGAGAATTATTGACTACTGGTCAGAAATAGTTGGAGATCATTGGGAGAGTGCTCCTGTCGACGTTAAGACTACAGTAATGTAATGGATGGCCAGTACTCGAGTACTCAGTCTAGATGCGATGACCTCTGCGGGCAGCGTCCAAGCACTCTTGCTCTAAACCGCCGTACCAGATAACCTCGATACCGGCATCCTTCAACTTTTGTGCACCCTCACATTTGACGAAATCATCTGGCTCCCGTACACCTATGATGCAACGTCTGATCCCGGCGCGAATGAGGGCATCAGCGCAGGCAGGCAGGCCCGATGTTCTGACTGAGCATGGTTCAAGCGTGGTATAAACGTCTACGTGGCGAAGAAGGTCTTCTATGACAGGCGCCGCTTCCCATGGCCATGGGGAAACGAGAGATTGCAGCTGTGGGGAAGAGAGACTTTCCATCTTGGCCAAAGCATTTGCCTCGGCATGAGTGTTCCCTGGCAATTCCCTTGAGAAACCCTTCGACAGCACGATTGGGTTCGAGTCTGGCAAACGTGCCACAAGAACACATCCTACACAGAATGCTGTCGGGACGGGTTCGCAGTACGCAGCTTGCTCTAATGCCTGACGTACGAATGAATCGTGCTCGTGCTCATCGGAAGTCGGTAGTTTAAACGTCGGCGTCATCTGTGGTTTAAGTCCTGCCAGATTGCATGTCAGCTTCGTTACTAGTGCCTCTTCTACGTACCTTACTTACTCCCTCTTGGAGACCCGAAGCAGGTCGAAGCACTTAGTAATTAACGGTTATGGAAGTACAACCTGCTGAGGCAGTGAGGTCGGGACTCGGCAGCAAGAGTACTCGACCTTCGGCGGCATTAACAGTAATATTACGTAATCACATGTGGCGCGGCGAAATCCGCGTAAATTCAATGGAATTGTTCAGCACAAGTAACGTCTTCAAGTTGCTCATGAACCATTATGTCCTCGCCTTCTGCAGATCCTGTTGACCGTGTCGTCGAGGAAGATGATACAATGGCCTCCGTTCACGAGGAAGAAGGGGAAGGGGATGCTACTATGGCAGATCCCCAGGGCATCTCGGATGATAGCTCTGAGGAAGCGGAGGAAGATGAGGAAGAGGCGAGGAGAATTAGGGAGGGCTTCATCGTAGACGAAGACGAAGACGAGGATGAGGAGGATGACGATGAAGAGGCAAGGCAACGAAGAAGGAAGCGGCGTAAGAGGAGACATCGGAGACGTGGTAAGCATATGAATTGGGTTTGCTAATAAATTGTTCTGAGTGGTTTCTCAGAAGAGGAAGAAGCCTTGGAAGATGATGACCTTGAGCTGCTGGAGGAAAATACAGGTACCTCATTCAGGAATCGACTGACACGTTTGCGACGCGGGCCAGAAGGTGGTTCTCCACCCGCTGCATCGACCTCTAAACGCAAGCAAGTTGTGGAATCATCAGAAGACGACTTGGATGACGAGGACCTGCCACAAGTCCGGGATATTCAGCATATTTGGGATGATGAGCGCGCTGGGGGTGGACGGGAAGATGATGAAGACATGGACGATTTCATCGACTATGAAGATGAAGACGAGGGTGCTGGTGCCATGGATGAACAGGAACGCGAGGAGCGACGGAGAGAAAGGAAAAAGCGAGAGAGGGAGAGACGGAGAGCCCTTGGTTCTCGTCCTGAGTTAGCTGGCATCGACGACGTGTAAGTCAAAAATCATTCCTTCGATCACATCATTGACATGCATGCAAATTCAGGGCATGGGACGAAATACATGGTGTCTTTGGAGACGGTCATGACTATGATTGGGCCTTACTGGGTGATGATGAAATGGAATTCGAGGAAGAGCGTCTCAAGCCCGAGATGAGATATCAAGATGTACGTGTATTATCTCAACTTCTCCCCGTAGAATATATTAACTCTTTTATTAGGTATTTGAACCATCAGAGATACGGGCGCGTATGTTGACCGAGGATGATGATTTGATTCGGGCGCAAGACATACCGGAGCGCATGCAATTAGCAACTTCGTCGCTTTCTCAATCATCGACGCTGTCTCTTCATCAGAATCTCACCGAAGCTGACCTGGACGATGCAGCAATGTGGGTTACCGTGCGGCTATCCCCTCGGAAGACAAGAGACTTCTTTAGTCAGGATGGCCCGTATAACATGTATCGCGAGCCTTTGGTTATGGCTGTGACCTATGCTCTTCGCTTTCTCTTCGTCCAGGAGTTCGAGGTTCCATATATTTGGACTCACAAACGGGACTACATCTCGTATTTCAACCCTCAAGAAATGCGCACTCGAGTCCAGCTCATCAGCCTTGCTGAACTCTGGCGCATACACTCACTTGGCCAGAAATACCGGTCTTTAGCTCAAAGACGGAACGCCTTGGCATTGTCCTATACACGTCTGGGCGTCGAGGACGAGTATTTCGAGCAAACAATCCGGCCAAAAATCGACAATGTAGAGGTTGTCACCGATGCGACCGAATGGTTGACCATGACATATAAGCTCAAGAAGCAGGATTCCTTTGACTTCCAGTTCCACGACGACGAGGATCAACCAGAAACCAGAAAGCGAAAGGCTCCCAGTCGCATATCTGCGTATGAGGTAGCCAAGAAGAGTATAGTTTCCAAACTTGCTGATGTATGCCAATACTTCTCTGAGTTATATGCATACATTTATCTTCTGGCGTATTACAGGGCTTCGGAATCAAACCACACGAAGTGGTTTATAACTTCGTTGCACAAGAGAATGCGCATTTCGTCGATGATCAGGAACTGAATCCCATTGCGTTTGCGGAGCAGTTTACGGATCCCGATGCCACTGTGGCACAACCCGCTGAAGAGTTACTGCGCCGTGCTCGGATGATTCTTGCAACAGAACTTGGCAAAGATCCTTTATTGCGTCAGGCAATGCGAGATCTCTTCAAGACTGATGCTCTAATCTCTGTATTGCCAACGGAGAGGGGAATGGCCAAAATCGATGAGCACCATCCGTACTTTGTGAGTACTGTCGTGCCTTCAGATCGATCGCTCATCTTTCTTTGCATCAGAATTTCAAGTACCTCCATCACAAGAGTATTACGCAGATGATGGACACGCCTCAATTTCTTCATATCCTTGCGGCAGAAGCTGAGCTTTTGGTCACTGTCTCGACATTCCTTACCAACGAGGCGAAGTCGAAGTTCGAGCGCAGACTCAATGATGCTTTTGCATCTGACAGTTATAGTGATACTGCCCGAGCTTGGAATGAAGAGCGATCGCGTGTCGTTCAAGAGGCCCTTGAACAGCACCTCATACCTGTGGGCATCAAGTGGGCACGGGAATGGCTTCGAGAGGAAGTGGAAGACACACTCGCGGCTCACTGCGGCAACGTTTTGCGAGAGGTGCCTTTCTCACTATCTTGTTATTGGTCTATCATTGACTCGTTCTCAGCGCATTGACGTGGCTCCGTATATCACTCCCGAAATGAAACCTGGTGACACCGCGTCTGTGCTCGCCGTGTCTTGGGGCAAGGGAGACCCTCAAAAGGATGCAATCACCCTCGTTTTCCTGGACGAGGCAGGAAGACTGCGCGAGCATATCAAAATTGATAATCTTGTTGATCGCGATTATCAGGACGAGTTCACGGATCTTTTGAAGCGGAGACGTCCAGATGTCGTTGTCGTGGGTGGGTTGAGCATGGCCACGACGAAGTTGTCATCCAAGGTCAGGTCACTTATTACGGGAGAACCAACAAATCCGGAGCAAATAGCAAACGGTACAGACGGTTGGGGATCTTCAGAGGCCCCCAAGGAAGCAAACGAACAGACGTTCAACATTCCTGTGATGTATGTTCGTGACGAAGTTGCTCGCATGTACCAACACAGCAAACGAGCTGCGGAGGAATTCAGCGCACTGTCGCCTGTTGCCAAATACTGTGTTGGACTTGCTCGGTATACTCAGAGTCCGTTGAACGAGTTCGCCGCGCTTGGACACGACATTACTGCCATCACGTTCGAGGATGAAGATCAGCACTTGGTAAGTAACGACTGCACCCTTCCAAGCTCATGCTGACCCGTGTGTAGATCCCCAAGGAAAAGTTACTCTCAGCCCTGGAGCGAACTTTGGTTGATGTCACGAACAAAGTTGGAGTTGATATCAACCGTGCTGTCAACGATTCCTACTATCAGCACTTATTGCCTTTCGTTTGTGGACTCGGCCCACGAAAAGCCCAGGTCTTAGTCAAGAAGATTTCCGCCATGGTCAGTGCTACCCTTTTTTTCTCGTTCGGTCGTTGTTCACGAACCGCCAATAGGGGGGAAATCTGATCAATCGTGATCAATTCATCAAATCGTCATTGTTAACAACCAAAATTTTCCTTAATGCCGCTGGATTCCTGCGCATCTCGCGAGATCCCGAAGTCAAACCTGTCAAGAATCGCCATGCTGACGATGACGTCCAAGATCCCCTGGATGACACTCGTATTCACCCCGAGGATTATGAATTGGCGCGCAAAATGGCAACTGATGCCCTGGAGTTGGATGAAGAAGACATTCATGATGAACATCCTTCTCACGTTGTGTCAGTCATTATGCAAGACGCTGATAACGAAAGAAAGTTGAACGAACTCAACCTCGACGAGTTTGCCGTCAGCATGTACGAGGCAAATGAAGATCGAAAACGTCACACGCTCAATATCATTCGGGAGGAGTTGCTGAAACCATTCTCCGAGCAGAGGTCTCCTTTCCCCTCTCTAGGGCCATGGGATGTTCTTACGATGCTCAGTGGAGAGACCCCTCGGACTCTCCGTATGGGTCTCATCGTCTCGATTCTGCTGGTCCGCCTTGAACCAACCTTCATTCATGTTCGTTTGGATTCCGGTATCGAGGGCGTCATCGAGATGGGGTACCTTACCGAGGACGGCAATATAGCGCCCAAGGAAGTCGTCAAGAAAGGACAGACCATACAGGGTGTCATCGTTGATGTCAAACTGGATTTACCTGCAGACCAGTTCTTCGTTAAGGTGTCTGTTCGACAATCTGATCTTCGTGCTGGAGACGGCCTCTTCCGACGCGTCAAACGAGATGACCACTGGAACCTTCCACAGTTCGAACGGGATCAGGAGATGCAGGCTCGTAAAAAACGCGCTGAGATTGACCGGACGAGGAGGGTAGTCAAACATCCCAATTTCCACAACTTCAACGCTAGCCAGGCTGAGAACTACCTTGACAAGCAACAGCGTGGCGATGTAGTAATTCGTCCGTCTTCCAAAGGCGTTGATCACCTCGCGGTAACTTGGAAGGTCGACGACAAGCTCTATCAGCACATTGGTACGTGCTTGCATCACCGAAGAGCGACTTCAATTCAACCCCGTCACAGACGTTACCGAAATCAATACAGGGCAGGGAGGGACTCTACTCGTCGTCGATGAAAAGCATCAATACGCTGATCTGGATGAGTTGATTGTTAATCACGTTCAGGCAACCGCCCGCAAAGTTGAGGAGTTGATGGCTCATGAGAAATTCAAGCACGGCTCTGAAGACGAACTTCGTAAGCAAGAGGCCCTATACTTGGACCTTTGAGATTAATCTTGATGTTCCAGATCTGTTTTTGAAGAACTTCGTTGCAGCCAATCCTGCGAAGAGTATATACGGCTTTACCTTGAACCGGAGAAAGCCTGGTCATTTCAACCTGTGCTTCCTTGCTAACAAGAACTCCACCGTTCAGACATGGGTTAGTAGTTCGTCACTTGTGTGTGTCATGCTCAATCGTATCACAGCCTGTCCGAGTTATGCCCGAATCTTATTGTCTATTCGATGCCGCAGTAGCTGGTGTTCCCGAGCTTTGTGACGCTTTCAAAGTTAGGTGAGCTTGAGTGTTCCTTCCAAGTTATGTATCAGCTGACTTTGTCCAGGCATCTACATCAATCTCAAAATTTGGCTGGTTCTGCTGCTGTCGCTGGAGGGAAAACACCGTACGCTGGTGCCGGTGCACGGACGCCTGCGCGAACGCCCGCCCACCCTGCACCTGGGCACATGTCCATTCGTCAAGCCGCTCGGACACCTAACCCCTACGGTGGCCAGACGCCTGCTCCAGGGATAGGAGGACCGAGCTTTGGACCAGGCGCTGCGAGCTCCAGCTTCAACATGCCCCCTCCTCCAGCGTCCTTTGGTTACCAAACCCCCGCATATTCTGGTCCTCCTCCCTCTCGCCCACCACCCGGCATGAACCCTCAACGAGCTGCGATGATACAAAATACTACTGGTTGGGGTCAAGATTCGGGTTGGTCATGATATGGATATGTTTATCATAGTGTTGCATCTTGTGTTCTTCAATTAGTTTTTTAATCATACTCGTTAGATGTAATATAGGTTTTACCCTGCTTAAGCGCTGCCCAAGATCCTCGCGGCATCTGAATACCACTGGTGTCTTGCTGTATCAGGTTGAGGAACTCAGGAATTATAGTTTAGATAAATTTTCACTTATTGGTACACAACATGAGCAGAAAAACCGGGACTTGTACTGGAGTCTGGAGCAAGTGTACCAAGGACTGACTAATGCGAACATGTACTATTCTTGGACGTGCAAAACTTCAGAGTGAGCACCGCAGGTCGCTTGCCACATATCATCGCCGAACTCGATGTTGGTGCTAAATTGATTGGCTCGTATAAATGCATTTAGCGAGCAAGTCCCGTATCGGCGGTCTTTCTTGGTTTCTGCACAAGTCCGCAAGGGATATATCTCGTCGTTCAGTACAAGTCGAATCTGTGGTCCATCGAATCTTGACGGGCAATGAGAAATCAAATCGCAGCTCTAATGAAGGAAGACCCACGACTCCTTGCAAGTAAAACTTTCCCAGATCATGTTGGCAGCAAAGGGAGTTTGATACGAGGTCCGGAACTTTCGGCGACGGGGTGGTCTTTCTGGAGACAACGGGGGATCATCCCTACGAGTGAATATATAAGATAGAGTCCGACTGTATGCGCATAGAAACGTACCTGTTGAGTTCCATTGCAGCCATTGCAACCAGGATGGTAGCATCGTGCCCAAAATCGAGATAGAGGGATGGTGCTTCCTCACTAGTATTGGTGAACCTGGAACGGATTTTTACTATGAGAGATATCTTGACCAGCAGCGTCAGAACCTACCTTTCGATGAGTTTGTTAACAAAAACACTTCCCATGACACGAGCAGAGTCCTTGGGTGCCAGGTATCCAACGTTTGCGTCCATCCCGAGATCTAATTCATACCTAAGTAAGATATGTCAGTGTTGCACCACTACAACGTCCAGATACCCGTACTCAAATTCTGCGAGTTCATCCGCATCGAAAACGTCGCACCACGGCGACCCATCCCGCGCAGCTAGGTCATATGCACATGCGTACAAAGCTCCGTGTGTGTCATCGTCAGTCAGGTTGACGTCGGGAAGGAGCTTATTCAAGCGCGCAGTGATTTTAGGGAGGTATTTGTCGCTCCATTTCTTCGACATCTGTCACTAATATATTATTGTTCGAAGTCCAAAAGGCTGAGTACTTGCCTTCGTTGCGTACTGCCAGTCGATGGGACACGTAGTCCAAGGAGTGATCCAAGAAACTGGATCGGGCATATCGTGAACTGTGAGTAGCTCCTTATCCTCAAGTTCGCGACCAAAACGCCCCAGACCAAAAAAGTACATGGAGTCAATCACTCTTGGTACATCGCTGGATCGTAGCGTGTCTGTGTCGAAGTTCGGATACTTCAACCCAAATCTAGATGGTACATTATTGCAATTTGACAAAGTAAGGGACGGGATAGGCGCACTCCACGCCATGATCGAAAAGCTGCTGACGCCCAATGATGGTCAGATTTCCTGGCTCGAGGTGCGATTCATATCCCTTCTTGAGGAAACGGAGGTTCTTAGGCAGATGAGCATGTTGGATAGCATCACTACGGTTTTTCAACGTTTGGACAAGGGAGTTGATCAGACCCGATTCAAATTCGGGTCCACGAGAGCCATGTCTATGCATCTACAAACGCATCAGATACCCCAGCATCGCAAGAAGAAACTCAATCATACAAGCATCACCCGATTGACATTACAATCACTGGGCAATTCTGCCTTAACTCCATGAGAAGCAGGAGCTGCACTATAGGGAGTCAAATTTCCAAGCCTCTTGAGAGGATCATCATCGGATTTATACGCATTAAACGTTAGAGACGCTAGGGGTAGCCAGTTTAGAAAACCTTGAATGAGCATCTTGGGGATACAAAGCTAGAGACAGACCTGTTAGTTCGGTGCACGAGTTCTTTATATACGCCAGTTGGGTTGACGCGAGGAGTGGCCATTCCGTTATCCTGCACGGATCCGAATTGAGTCAATGTATTTGCTGCTCGGCTCTCAATCATTCCGTGAGCATGTGGTTCCGACTCGGAGCCTCGTTCTGTTCCGATATGAGTTAAGTGAAGATTCACGTTCGAACACCCGTGTCGAGCACCAAGCCCCGGTTAGAGAATAAGGAATCAATATTGAGGGACAATTACGACTCTATGTACGCCTTTCCTTAACTTGTCTCTAAGTAGACTGCGGCCTCCGCAGGACAGACATACTCACCGTAAGGGAAAACCTTCTAGTGTTTCGTCGAGTCAAACACCACAAGTCGCGTTCCAGGTCTTATCTTGGAACCGAATACTTGTGCTGTAATGGTTCGCATTGACGAAAGTATCGAGGGAGCATGTTCCAAGTCTAGCATCCATATCTTTACCGCAGATAGACAAAGGAAGGGTGGCGTCGTTTAGGATAAGGCGGATCTGAGGTCCATCGTATCTGCAGGAAATATCAGAACTCCAAGCCACTGATTCACTGTTCAGTGTAATAATACTGACGAGTTTGTGCATGTAAATTTTTCCCAAACCATTTTGGCGGCGAAAGGTGTAAGTTCAGATGTCCGGAACTTCCGGTCGGGACGCAACTCGTTGGGGGACAGAGGTGGATCATCTCTGGAAAATTGACATCGTAGAGAGTCCCACAGACCAGTAGGGCACTTACTTTGCTAGACCTACGGCCGATAGAGCAAGCAAAATTGTGACATCATGCCCGAATTCAAGATACAACGGGCGGCTATCTCCCTTAGAATCTGTGAAGCTGTGGACCCTAAAAATGACTTCCTTGTGAAATGTGGAACATATACATACCGCTCAATCAGCTTATTCACAAACACCGTCCCCACGAGGGGGGCCATATTATCTGGTAAAGTGTAAGCGCATGAAGCATCCATTAAGATGTCCCTCTCGTATCTCAATAAGAATTGTCATCAGAAAGCCATGCACGCTTGATAATCGATCGATCTTACTCGAAATTAGCCAGTTCGTCGGGTCGAAAAACGCCACACCAAGGGGAAACACCATGAGCAGCCATGTCATAGGCACAGGCAAACAAAGCCCCATGAATATCATCTTCAGCGAATCCGACTCCAGGTAGAAACATGTTTAGGCGATCAGTGATTGCAGGCAAATAGTGTTTGCTCCACGTCAACGTCGCCTGCCTTCCAAAACTGTAGTCAAATTTAGGACAAGCGGGTCCTGGTGCAGGAGTGATCCAAGAAACAGGATCATCTGTGTCACCGACAGTTATGATGCGAACATCTGGATCAAGTCCGAAGAAACCCAGTGCAAACCAATGTGCAGACTCGACCACGCGATCCGAATCGCTGGATAGGACGACGTCGGTTGTCAGGTGTGGATACTTCAATGCGAACCTTGTAGGTTATTATAACTATTACCTCCGCATGAAATTGAACCTGACTCACTCAACGCCATGGTCGAAGAGTTCCTTGCGCCCAAGTATAGTCAGGTTATGCGGCGTCAGGTTAGAACTATACCCTGCTCTCAGAAACTCGAGCTCGCGAGGTAGTTCTGCTTCCTGTATAACATCCGCTGCGTTATCGAGTGTCTGAACCAACCGCTCTATGTATCTGTGCTCGCCAATGGGACCACGAGAGCCATGACGGTGCATCTACCTCATGATGAGCCGTGTCATTTCTGTACAAAGTCTATGGAGAATCATAACTCACAAGCATTACTTGGTTAACGGTACAGTCGCTAGGTAGTTCTGAATCAATTTGTGAAGCATCGTGATGGCGAGCACGATGATACGGAGAGATGCTGCCAAGATGGTTCAAGACATTGTGAGTGACGTTGAAGTATTCCTGGACATAAGGCGTGGACGAAAGGAGGCTGAGGATTGCTTGTATACGCATCCCTCGGAGGTGCAGCGTGGTCTAGTGTGGTAGCCCAGAATAACACGTTGCAACCATCAATACTCCAAATAAATCCTAAAGTGACGCTCTGCGGCCTCCACTGACTGCCTTACGTACAAGTGACGACGTTTTCTGAAACCAGTTCAAGAACTTCCTGGACCGCCGACGTCGAACAATGTCCAATAGTAACGATATCGAACTTGAAGACTTTTCTAGCAAAAGACCGCAGTCGAAGGACGAAGCTAACCCAGGCCCACAGTCAGTTGATGAAAGCATTGTCACTCAAGACGGGACAATAGGTCTTTGGGCGTGGACTTCAGCGGCCTTGTAAGGCCAACCACCTGTTCGAGACTATCATCATATTAAGACCTCCACTTAAATTGCAGTTTTTTTGCGTTTTCTACAAGCTTGACACTGTTCCCGAGGTTCCTGCTCTTTATGGCGGAACCATCAGGAGGACGAAGTGTACTCTCACCCCTTGAATCCTTCCTCGCGGTACAACTAGGCATTGTGATGGGCGCAGTCGCACTCACTCTGGTAGTAACGGTGAGAAGTCTTGCCACAGGCCGCATGCTTCGTCAATCACTGATGCCGTGGGCATTCACAGATTCCAAATGCTTCGCCTATCGACTTTCAGCAGGATGAGCATGTGAGCTCCCATCCACTCCTCGTGCCCGTCACTTTTACCTCTGCTTTACTGGCATTACTTTCTTACAATAAAAGCGGTGTCGGCTCTCTTGGCAACTTCATATTTCTAGGGTCGTCTTTCGTCGGTTTATTCGGACTCTGGGTGGTACGTGTTGTAAAAGGTTCTATTAGTGAAGCATGTGCACACTGATGGATCCTGGGGTTTCAAGCTTCTTTTTGCGGGGACATCTGCGATCTCAAAGAAGACTGGAGCTGACAAGCGCACCTCCGCATTCATATTCGGGAACAAACACGCGGCTTCCGTCCGCAAGAAAGAGTGGAGTAAGCAGCGGGCGAGGGACAAGACCTCTTAGGAGTCAAGTGACGTGCACTGCCAATGGCACGACCCTTGATTTATATAGAACAAACCTGCACTATATTAATAGCCATCCTGATCATGGGCACGGTTATATGTCTGTATTAGTCAAGTATTAGGAGAAAGAGATGGCACGAGTGACGTGTATTTCGTACATGGTTCTCAGAAACCCAAACTCTATTTGGGACATCATCGTCCGGCGTTGCCGCCCATACCCATCATCTTGAACATATCCCCGAGGTTTGGCATACCACCTCCCATGCCAGGTAGCCCTCCGAGGCCTCCGAGACCGTTATTCATTTGTCCCATCATTCCTGGGGCGATGATGGATAGATCAGCACATGGTAATCGTTCGGAAAAGGGCTTCATCGTACTTTGCATCTCTTCCATATCAAATTGGTCTCCGCCTTGACCCTGCATCATGGCTTTCATCATTTCCTGCATGCCACCACCGCTCCGTATCTGCCGTTGCATTTGTTGCAGCATCCCTGGAGGCATTGCGCGCTAGAAGAGAAGGGTCAAAACCCGCAAGAATGTCAACATTGTCCACTCACCTGCATCGCTTGAATTTGTGCAGGGGTAGGCATGCCGTTTGCTCCACGTCCACGCCCCCCTGCTGCGCTCTGCATCTTCTGCATCGCTTGTAACCTGCAACTGTCACTTAATCGAATCACTTTGCACACGAAGATCGGACACGTACCATCCGTTCTTCCCACCCGCTTGCTTGGCCATGTTGGCCATCATCCTGTACTGACAAAGCAGCTCTTCGACTTCACGCACACTCGTGCCACTCCCTTTGGCCACACGTGTGACTCTCCATGTGAGTCCCACTGGTTTACCATCCTTCCCCATTTCCATAAATAATGAGCCGTCGGAATCAAGCTCAGCCGATGACATGCTGTCAGTGATATAGATCATGCGTTTCATTCGCATTGAACCTTCTTCGTCTGAACCTTGAAGTAATTCCTGAGGAAGGCCGGGTATCATCGAGGCAATCTTGCTTATTGGACCCCTGGGGAAAAGTTGACGATTACGAAATGAACCTTAACAATAACGTACATGTTCATCACGTTTTGTATTTGCTCCCTCCAGTCCCTTATACTGAGTTTGCCTTCTTCGAGTTTTTTTGCCATCTCCTTCTGTTTGTCCGGATTTTGGGTAGCGAGATCTTGCATATGCTCCATAAGGCCCTGCATGTCACCCAACCCAAGAAGTTTGGATATGAATGGCTGCGGCGAAAATCGATCCAGGTCATATAGATGTTCCCCAACGCCGAGGAAAATGATCGGTGTTTTTGTTGCTGCGACACTGTGCCATGTTAGGAGTCAGGAAACCCACGCAGCTAGTAAGGGTGATCATACGCTGAGATGGCACCTCCGCCTTTGGCATGACCGTCCATCTTGGTAACAATAATGGCACCAAAATCAGCGCTCTCCTTAAAGGCCCGGCTCTGTGCCTCAGCGGCCTGGCCTGGAACCAGGAGTCAGTGGTATATGTGATTCTGAGCATAGATTGAGATTACCTATGCTGGCATCAAGGATCAGTACTGTCATGTTGGGCTTGACGGCTTCTCCGATTTGTACCATTTCTTGAAACAGCTCAGATTCTTGCTTGTGACGACCAGATGTGTCTACAATGATCACTTCAAATCTCTCTTTTTTGAATTTCGCAACGCCTTGGGCTGCAATAGCAACTGGATCTGTTTCAGTGTATGACCCAAAGTAGGCTACTTTAGCCTTGGTTGCAGACTGTCTGGTCTGATCAAAAGCACCCGCGCGGAAAGTATCCGCACAGACAATGCATGACTTAAAGCCACGTTTCTGATAGTAGACAGCTAGTTTCGTGCATGTGGTGGTCTTCCCGTTTCCCTTTAATTCAACATGAGTAGGTATGATGATAATCGTAGGTCGGGTGCTTACCTGAAGACCCACGGCCATGATGACGTTTGGGTGCCCTTTCTTTGGTTTGTATGGCTCGACCCCTGGATCGACCAAGTGGACTAGCTCATCGAAGACAGCCTGGGTTACAAGTGGCATAAGCACTGGTATAATATTCGACAGACGTACAGACCTTCTGTATGAGATTCTTCCGGTTAGAATCTTTTGACTTGTCTGAGCCATCCAGAGCTGCCTTGACCTTTCCCTTGACTTTCTGTCGTAGGGACGCAACTAGTTTGACGTTTACGTCCGATTCTAGTAGTGCAGCTGTGATCTCCTTCAGCGTTGCATCTAATACCTATGCGACAGTACGGTAAGTGAAGGTGTTGTGAATATGATATTAACGTACCTTCTCGTCGACGACAGGTGCTCTGTTGAGCGACGATAGGGCAGCATTAAGTTTACGGCCTAGGTCAGCGAGAACCATGACAGTGGCAGGTGTATAATCGTGAAGTAGTCGTGAGAATCTCGGATAGATTCCATGGCTCACAGCGACTCTGAAGGAGAAACTATTGATGACCTCGAATTCGAGACAAGAACAACGGATGCCGATGCCGAGGAAGAGAACGATATCGACGAGGACCTGCTGGGCGCCTTGGAGAATGGTGTAGATGAAGCAACAGACGCAGATGAGGTAGACGACAGTTCACCCTAATTGCGTGCTACTAGTAGGTTTAACGCTTTATCATAGGACTCCCCTTCGGACGACTCAGAAGACGAGGATGACGAGGATGAGGAGTCAGATCCTCTTGTTGAAGCTCATCTAGATGGTAGGCCCTCTTCGCCGTCCGTTCCCGTCATTCCAGATGTCAGTAAATCAGCCTCGCTTTCACCCAAATCACCAACCCCTGAACCACCTAAAGGTACGCCAGACTTCCGAACCTATCATATCATATTGCTTATACTTTTGACTAGTAATACCTCAAGTTCACCAGCGATCACCATCCCCTGCAAGTGTTCGAAAGAAGGCACTAGCGTTCCCATCGTCTCACAGCGAACTACCCCCGCGAACTTTCACAGTGGAAGCAATATGCGCTATACCCCACCCGGTCCCTACACATGCCCTTGCTTCGTCCTTCTGCATGACACACCTCCTTACCGGTTCGGATGACGGATTCATTCGCGACTACGATATCTTCGCCGCGGTCAACGGGAAGACCACGCTAACGGCACCTCAGAGGCATCACTGCAACGTCGTCGAGGGAAACATGAAAGCCGGTCAAATACGGTGTTGGTGGGAAAACTCTGATTATGTTCCTCAATCGGTGTATCCTCCGATGGGTGATTCTTCTCCATGTCCCGTTTATAGTCTGGCAATGCATTCAGATGCAGTTTGGGCTCTAGGAGGAACTAACGTATGCATTCTAAACACCATAATTTTACCGAAAACACTGAATCAGGAACTTCTGCAGCGTGGTCACATCAATCTCTTTACAGTGCGACATGATCCGGGCCGCTTGGTTCATGTCCTGGCGAACGGACACCGAGGACCTATTTCAGCTCTTTCTATTGATCATGATGAGAAAGGCTTCTTCAGCGCGGGGTGGGATGGTGAAGCAACCGTAAGGTCTCATTATTGTGGTGGTGCTGATTATTCAATTGAGAATATTCAGCAATGGGATTTGAACACAGGGCAAGTAATCCGAAAGTTTACTGCCCACGGCGCGCAGCTTGTTGCTATTGCTATTCGACCACTCAGCTCCCCATACTGTTCTGACCCTGTATCATCCGCGGGAAGCTATGGTTCCTACCGAAGCTTGGTATCACAATCAACTAGGGAGAATGATATTTCCAGGGGCGTCAACACGGAGCCACCGACTCTCGCTGACGCGCAATTCCAGCAAGCATCAAGCGTCTCTATAGATTCTCTTTCGAACCACAAAATACAAGACGCAGATGCTAAATCTGATGCTTCCTTTGATCCCTTGTTTGACGGTGAACCAGATGCCGATGGCGAATTCGATAATGAGAACCCACCTCCAAATGAATTCGGGGCAATCCGTTCTCAGGCTCCACAAAGGGACGGGCTATTTGCAGGCAATAAGTCGAACCTGGCCGTCCCTGATGTGGCACATCACCCTGGGCAACAGCAGGCAGCACGGTCACCTCAAAACTCCGTTGCACCTCCGAAAAACGCTCCACCTTTGCTACATGCTTCCAACAGTTCAACGTTTTCTCCTGATATTCTAATGATTGCCGCAATCGATGGACAGATTATGCTTTGGGACAAACGGGTCAATACACCAGGAACGGGTGTCGGAAGACTCTGGATGAGTGAAAAGACTCCACCGTGGTGTGTTTCTGTACGTATTCGCAATTCCTCACAGTCTATTGCGTCCTTAAAGCGGTCTCCCAGGCTTGTTGGTCCACGGACGGGTCGCACATTTACGCTGGGCGCCGAAACGGAACGGTCGATGTTTGGGATGTCCGATTGCTCGGTCGCTCTGCTCCAAATTGTACACCGAGACTGCTGAAGAGTCTTCGAAATCCACCGAGTTCGGGTGTTGTCTCGTGTGTGGTGCCGTTCCCTGATGGCCGCCACATCGCATGGTGAGTTTGCTCGTGACGTTGACAGGGATGAGAAGTTGATACCCCACGTACCAGTGCGTCGACAGATAATATCCGTTTGTGGAATGCTGCAGATGCAGGTGAAGTCGATGGAAGCATGAAATTGAGGGGTGGAGTCCAATTCAAGATCATTCCAGGTCATCACGGGGGCTATGTTTCTCAGATGCGTACGTGCTATCCTATTGAATACATATACGTGCCCTGTCAACTGACTATTCTAAAGTTGTAGATCCGGGTGCTCGTTTCCTTGTGAGTGCTAGCAGTAACCGTGGGTGGCATGGGGATTCTACTCGTACCGTATTTGTGCATGACATCAAGCCAATACGATAAAGTTCATGAGTTTCGTATCACATTCACATCTCCAGATTTACGACAGCTCAGCCCTGAAAGCTCAAATGAAGCAACCTGAGCTGGTCCTGTCAAATAGGATTAGGATTGCGCTATTTCAAATCCCCATTCAAGTTCCGCGGTATAGCCGCAAACCCTTTCGCGAGGATCACATCGTTGTCCACACATGGATGCCATCTATATGCCATCTCGTTATCCTTTTCAACTGGGATATAAGACTTGGGAATACTCCTTTAACAGTGCTATGTCACTTTCTTGATTTCAGTCCACCAGCGCTTGCTCATGCGTCTCAACTATCCCGTAATCTTCCCTCTTAACCAGCTTACCTACGTTGGCGAGGATGACTCTGAGTTCTTTTGTCAAATCCATGGCAGGAGATTCAATGCCCTCAGTACGAGGTATATGCTGCCCGCCGCCGACGAGGAAGAAGTCAGGGTCAGATTGTTTCCTTCTGCAACGTGGCATCGTTGTGATAAACTTGTTCCTATTCCAGCGATCAGAACTTCAACACAAAACCATACAATTTCTCTTCAATGGAAAGAATTATGTCGGCCCCGTTGCTGATACACTGAAACCAAGGGAGGGACAGGAGCGCTGTCGTGTCCTTGACTTGGGTACGGGAGGCGGTTTCTGGTGAGCATCCTGGAAATTTTGTGGTAGGTATATATAACCGCCTTACAGGGCTATCGACTTGGCAGACGAATTTCCATCAGCAGAAGTGATAGGTGTCGACCTTGCGCCCGTTCAACCACGGTAATTTATACTCCTTATCATACTATCACTGAACATCGCTAACATGCCTCCAGTGAAGTGCCCGCTAACTGCACGTAGGTTATCTCCTTTCTCAAGTAGAACTTTGTCATTAATCCGAAATTAGGTTTGAGCTCTGCGATTTGGATCAGTGGTATCTACCTTACCCGAGCGAACACTTCGACGTTATCCACGCCAGATTCATGCATACAGGAGTAAGGAATACCATGCCAGCGGTGTGGTTCGCCCTGACTTACGAATCAAAGATAGAGAATTATTCTCGCTTCCTACATGAAATCGCACGGATGCTTCGCCCAGGAGGGCTCGTCATACTGATTGAGCCCGACACTGAACCAATCGCGGATGAGAAAACCGCATCACAAATTACCCGCTCCGGACAGCCGTCTGGAATGCGTGGCTGGTTCACACTGTGGGAGACCTATAGGAGGTGCCTGCGTGACAAAGGCATCGACTGTTGACGTTCCTCCGGAGCTCTCCAATCTCGTTGCATCGACTGGGGCGTTCGATAGGATTGTCTCGCAGGAAGGAAATATGCCGATAGGATTCTGGCCAAAGGGTAGCAGTTACCGCGTCACGAATGCATCCCCGATCTAACCATTCTGTTCCAGATCCTGTCGCTCTCAGTATCGGTCAGCTAGCTTGGATGAACTATGACATGATGCTTCCTGCGATGAAGCCTCTTTTCTTGTCTGCAGGGATGCGAGACTGGGAGGCAAAGAAATTAATTGAAGAAGCCCATCAAGATTTATATTACCCACTCGTCCGAGCTTCCACGCGCCTCCATATTGTGCACGCAACCAAGAAAGCTAAACATCTTTGACTTACTTCCATCCTATGCTGCTGTTTTCCGGGCGTTGGAAAAGTACCATACCCGTCATGTATCCTACGTTTCCATGTTAATGATTGGCGCAAGCATCGAATCACACAGGCAGAAGATACAAGTTGTATCACCTCTGTTCCTTTAAGTACACAAAGGAATGACCACCACCAATACCCATGACGTAGAGAAAAAGCGATGACGAAGAGGCAGCAGCCGCAGATGATAAACATGCCACACAACAAGCAAGCGAAAAGAAAGGACGAGCCGAGAATCTGCTCCAGAAAACAACATCTTCAGACAACTGAATGACCCCACCGCCAAAGCTACGCCTCATCCATCTTGATTGCTCACGCCTCATCCTTAGAGAAATCATGGAGCACAGCGAGGGCCTCGTTGACCTTGGCAGTCATAGCATCGGGAGAATCAAGGAGGTGGAAGAGCTCTGCATTGTCCATCTCGAGCAACATGCCAGTGATCTTGCCAGCCAGCTCGGGTTGGGCACTGAGAAAAGCGATATTAGTGACAATGTGCAACAGAATCAATCCCAACTTACGGAGCAATATTCATGTAAATAACCTCGCCGAGCATCTGCTTTTGTTCCATCGGAGATGCATTAGCAAGGGCAGCAGACGTGAGGCTAGAAGCATCCTGTTGCGGCGCGCTCGCAGGGGGAGGGGCAGCCTGAACAGGGGCAGCAACAGCATTACGGGTCTGAGGATTGAGCTTGTACTGTTGCTGGTTACGAACAGCAGGAACAGGAACACCAGGAGGAGGACGATTGGCAGGCGGGGCACCGCCCTGGGGAGGACCAGGTCGAGAAGCAGCGCCATTGGTTGGAGGACCGTTGACACGCGGCATGGGAACATTAGGATTAGTGGGGGATGAGCCAGGTCCACGGGCAACGGGAGGACGAGGCCCTCCGCGAGCGTAGCCAGGCATGCCATACTGAGGAGGAGGGGCACCGTAAGGCGCCATGGGCATGCCGGCGGGTGCTTGACCGGCGCTTGGGGGGTAGCGGGGGCGAGGGGGCATGATGCCAGGTTGGCCATAGCCCATCATGTTGCGTGCTGGAGGAGGGAAACCACCAGGCCCAGGGTAGTACATAGGACTACCAATGTAGGTCCCTGGCATACCAGCAGCCGCAGCCTGTTGCATGCGGATCTGGTTGCGCTGAGCAATCTGGCTTTCCAGTTGCTGCCTGCGAACCTCGCGGCGTTGAGCGAGCGAGACGTACAGCGGCTTCGAGCCGATCATCTTGTTGTTCATCTCCGCGACCGCCTTAGTAGCCTCGTCGGGGGAGGAAAAGCACACAAATCCGAAGCCCTTCGAGGTACTCTTCTCGTCGCGCATGACCTTGCAGCTAGTGATGGTACCGAAGGGTTCGAACTCGGCACGAAGTTTCTCATCATCGACGTCATCCTCCAAGTTCTTGATGTACAGGTTGACGCCTGCGTACTTGCTGAGCTTCTCCATCTTGGCCTGCTCGTAAGACCTGCGCAACTCCTCCTCACGTTCAGCCTTCTTCTGGGCACGCGAGACAAAGAGCTTCTTGCCGTTGAGCTCAATGTCATGTAGGTTGTCAACAGCTCGCTGAGCCTCGTCGTGAGTCTCATAATTAACGAAGCCGAAGCCCTTGCTCCTGCCCTCGTCATCAACCTGGATGACGGCGGAAGTCACATTACCGTATCGGTTGAAGAGTTCCTCAAACTCCTCCTGTGTGACCTCGAGGTCAAGGTTCTTAATATACAGATTGGTGAATTGGGCCTTCATCTCATCGAGCTTGGATTGGCGTTCCTACGAAATAGGGGCAGCGTTAAGCATACCACCACATATTCTGACAAATAGACACGAACCTTGCGAGAGATGTGGTGACCGACATACACCTTCTTGTCGTTCAGTAACATGCCGTTGACAGCTTTGATGGCAGTATCGGCAGCCTCGGCAGTTTCGTAGTGTACAAAACCATAACCCTTCGAGCGGCCGTGCTCATCGGTGGCAACCTTGCACGACAAGACGTTACCAAAGGCAGCAAACGTGTCATGGAGGGCCTAAAATGACTTGTAAGATTTTGACAGAGCAACACCAGCGCAAACACTTACTTTGTTGTCGATAGCCTCGTCAAGGTTCTTAATGAAGATGTTGCCTTGACCAGTTTTGCGCAAAGCAGGATCACGCTGGGACCACATGATACGGCTTCAATAGGATTGTGATTAATAATTCCATGCTTTTGCGACGTGCTAGTCATCACTTACCATGCGCGGTTCTTGATAAGCGAGTAGTTGAGCTGCTCAAGGGCACGCTCACCTGATTAGATAAGATAGAACATTAATTCGAGAATGAAACAGCCATAATCGACGTACCATCGCTAGTATTGAGGTAATTAACATACGCGTATCCCAGGGAGCGACGCGTCACAGCGTCACGGCAGACACGGATGCTGTAACGTGCCACGACGGTTGAGAAGCCACGGTCAAACAGGGAGACTAAAACACGCACCTTGCAACAGGACCGATCATATTGAAGATCTCGAACAACATGGCTTCAGTGACAGTGGGGTCGAGTTCACCAACATAAAGCGACGCAGAGGGCGAGGAGGTGACGGAAGGCTGAGGGTTGTAAGCCGGAGCCGGAGCCGGAGCCGCAGGTGCAGCCTCGGGTTGGACCATAGGTGCGGCCTCGGGAACGGAAGACGAAGACATATTTGGTTTTCTGGGTTTTGGGGGGTCGTTACTGCTTTGAGGACTTTTCTGCGACTGCACGATGTGATGATAAACAAGATGACCCGAAATGTTAAGGAGAGAGACCACATACACAGGAGGCAACAAGGCAACCGCTTTTTTTTCTAGAGTCTTTTTTATGAAATTTTTTGGGCTTTTGGGCTATGAAAACTGATCAGCATACGACCCGGAAGCATGGATGACGGGACTAACCAAGGTGGTGGTTGTAGAAAACAAGTTGAGCCGAACGTTTTTGGATCAATCTTCAATTTTCAAACTCAGATTACTCAGATTGCGGTGGTCAATCCTCTTGTATGTTCCACAAGTCGTGTTTCATTGTTCCGATTATCCAAGAGTTAAAGACCGTCAATTTTTGCAGTGATCAACTCAGATTCGTACAAGGGTTCGTGATCGTAGAGATAAATGTAAGTACATGCACGACACATTCGCCACATGACCAGGTAAGTACAATTCTAGAAGGAAGCGTTGCCATCAGCCTCGCGTGAAGTATGCCTTCGCGCCATGAGAAGCCAGCTCTGATTTCGCCTGCAGGGCCGCATCAGCACCCTAAACCTGGTGAACATATGGCAAAATAAATCACCTTGTCCATGGTGTGCCCGGCAGCTGTATGGTGCTTCCATATCTGCAAGTGTCCTAGTCATGCCGTTGCTGCGTAAAATGTGCACGGAGCATCATACCTGACGGTAATAGAAGGCATTCCCTAGTCCCTGCACTATCCAGCCGACTGTAGCGATCGTGCAGAGAATGCCAGCGGCCCAGTGACCTTGCGCATACATCTGGATGACCTGGATAAGCCCTGCAGACCCTGTACTGGGAATCCCGATGATCCTGCGAGGAATGAAAACACATTCAGTCCCGAGTCGTGATTTGCGAGGCGAACACGCACATGTAAACACTGAAGAGGAGGTGGAAGCCGCCAAAGAAGAAATAGAAGTCTGTAAAATGAAATGCCGTTTAGCGTGATCGAGAAGGTTACAGTTAGTTTGACGGACAATAGTAAAGTGCTTGCTCCTGCACGACGGGTCAATTTGAGAAGATTTTTGTGCGAAATGACGCTCACCTTCATATAACCATTATATATGGGCCTAGTGAGGCGTAAACGTCTGGAACCCTCGTAAGATCCATCACTCACCTATACCACAATAAGAACGATAGAGGCGCGATAATAAACACATATCTAACCCCTCATTGAGCAAGGAAGAGAAGACGTGATATAACGTTGCTCACCCTATACTGCCACCGAGGTCCTTTCCGCCATCGCTTGAACCAGCGATTAGAAGAAATATACAAGCCACCATGTTTATGATTAGGGTCCCCAAAAGGACAAGCCAAAGCTGGTACAAGCGAGTGATCAGAGGTCTTGAAGCCTCTGGAATCTCTTCGGAGATGGCATGGTAAATGAGAGGGTAAACTGGTGTAAAGAGTATGAGTGTACGTGGTGATGAAATCCGCAGTCTGGTGCATACAGGGTGGCCAATTGTTGCGTCCATGGGTGCGGATATGCTCTGCCCTCTGGTTCAGTTCATGCTCACGTCTTTCCAAGTCTCGTTCTCGTCTGCTAAGATCCTCAATATGGGCGTCGTTTTGCGCAACATGCTTTGTTGTGGGGTCGTCAAAAGGATTCGTGTCAAGTGAATGGCTTGAGGCGAAGGGATTTTCAGTGAATTCACCTTGGTCGAATCAAGTTAGGGTATAAGTAATAAATTCCAAGAACGTACTCATGACTTGATATTCTTTTTGCTGGTGTTACACCTATATGCTCTGGAAAGTAATTGTCATAGACTTGGTCTCAACAGATTTCTGGATGACTTTCGGAAACTGCCGGTATAACCCCTTTTTTAATTGATAATATTCAAAATTATTTTCATCGATCGTTGTTACGTTCGCACTGCGCACAACATGCCCGCACCCCATCTTCTGATTCGCGGGTCTTTAGCGGCCAACCTTTCCGCAGCCCCTTGATCGGCGGGGACAGTTTTTGAAGTATGCATATACGGATCAGGTGGAACCATCATTTTTTTTGCGAATGAAAAGATCATCTTACAGCAAGGTCAGGAACTAGCAACGATGGGCCATGTCATGCATGGCCTCAAGCTTGAAGTTTACCAGCCCACTAGCGAAGAGACGGGCCAGAGAGTCTCACCTTATTCTCTAGAGAACAATTAGCGAGTCGTATAAATATTGGTGAGTCTATCGTTCATTGTCTACAATGGCCTTGAGATGATACCGTGAGAATCCGGTCTATTAATCTGGATATACTTTAATCTTAAGCACAAGGATAAAGACTGATTCGGAGCTAATAGCCGTGTTCTCCTCCTGCCTCTTTCTTTCTCCCTTCAATTTCCGTCAGGCAAACGCATTCCTTGCTTGTTTCATAAGGTCAGGTCATCCCAGCAGACTCCCACTCTTTATGCGGTGCTAACACTGTTTTTTTTCACCATAAATAGCTGGTCCTTTTGAGTATTGCCACTCGTTGATCACGAACACTCGTCTTCGCCCCCACTCCCTCCACAACTTCACTCCTTTCTTCTATTTAGATCATAATGTTCAACATGATCTCCACGTTTGCAACTGTCTTACTGACCCTCATTGCTACCTCTGCGGTCTCTGCCCGTGTCGTTCCTCGTGCCACTGCCCCTTCAGGCTGGGACACTGCGGCTCTCGAGGTTCGTCAACGTATCCTCGAGATCGCAGACTTTGTGTGCTTATCTTGGCAATTATCACTTCCTAGCCCTATGATACCTATCATTGCAGGTACCTCTCAATCGATTGTCAAGACCAACATGGCACCACCTTCTTTGATCAGTGCTGCCACCCCCTCCAGGTTTGTATTACATTGGTTGTCTTGGATCAATTTTGTTCATTATCCATCTAGGCCAATGAAAGCGTCGATGTTCTTCCCTCTCAATGCCAAATGCCCTCTGGCGTCACGTGCAACAATGGCGAACCTGTGACGACTGGTGGGAGTGACGATGGCGATTGTGGTGATGAGCCCTCATCGTCCTCAACAGCTTATACTCCCGCACCCTCTACGAGCAGCACCCTTGTAGTGGCTACTCCTGCACCCTCCACGAGCAGCACCCCCGTAGTGGCTACTCCTACACCCTCCACGAGCAGCACCCTGGTGGCAGCTACTCCTGCTCCTACTACAACCAGTGCCCCCGTGAACGTTGCCCCTGTTCCCACTTCAACGTATGCACCCGCGCCCACCTCGCCCTCGACTGCCTCCAGCAACAGCGGCCTTACCTATGGCGGATAGTAAATATGCCCTTTTTTGACGTCGCCCGAATACTCAAATTTTGCATTACAGTGCAACCTACTTCTACCAGAACGGCAACGCAGGTGCATGTGGAACCGTCCACTCTGATTCTGACTATATCTGCGCTATGGACCAGGCCCTTTATGGCAACTCTGGCAATGCTTCCCCTCTTTGTGGTAAACAGGTTCAGATTACCAACCTGAGCAACGGCAAGATGGTTACTGTGACTGTAGCTGATGACTGCCCGACTTGCGACAATGCGGAATCCATCGATCTTTCTGTTGCTGCCTTTGAAGCCATCAGTGATCTCAGCACCGGTGAAGTCTCCAGTGCGTCCTGCCTCATCGCCCGCTTCAATGTTCCTAGCTGACCTGACCCTTAATAGTTGCGTGGGAGTACCTTTAATCATTCTCCCCTTGCAAGCACTGCCCGCCATTGTCATCTTTCACTGTTTTCAGTCCCTTCTGTGTCGCATTGATGCGCTATTTGTTTTGACGGGCTAGTCCTGTTGGAGCGCGGTTACTGAGCTTGGCGTTCACGAGACTATTAATGACCCTGGTGGTTGTTGGTCTCCGCTGCCAACGATCAAACACCTCCCTCCGCTGGCAACACATCTTCATTTTCATATATAACGTCTACGGTTTTGCAAGCATTCGAAATTACGTACATGCACGAGTCTCCTTTGTTATCGGTTTTTATTATATGCATTGCATGCAGTGCGTTCCATTCATTGTTGATAGCTAGTACTACAGTGTCTTGGATGCTTGGTCATGTTGTATTCACATAGATGTTGTATCCGGATAGACAGCGCAGCGCGCAATAACATAAATGTTTAAGAGTATCTTGCCAGTGTCGAACCATTTGATTGACTTATATGATAAATGAAGGAACGACTTGTCTCAAATGATTATGTAGGGCTAGGCTTCGAGAGTCAAGAACGGGTTGCTCAACGTTGCACCTTGGAGATAACAAGTATTATTAAGACCTGGTCGCCGAGCTATATAATAATATTACTTATAGGTAACAGTTAACGTCACTTGGGAACGTCGACGTCGAAGGACGACATGTAATATGATTACTATCATAACTCTCCGCTGCTAGTACTATAGTAGTAGAGTAGTTCTCCTGTCTATGATTGGGTCGGGCATACACTCGGGCACGAACAATACGTCAACTGGTTGCAATTTTCATCAAGCTGCCCCAAAGCTATCCAAAAAATTTACCCAACACCGCGCTCCTCGGGCCTAGTAAGCAGTCATCGATTCATCCCTCTCCGCCATGTGTTCCCGCGGACGAATTACCCGATTAGGCATCCAGGTTCAAGGCCGCCAACCTGTCAAGGCAGCTTGAGCAGCTGCATACTCACTGTAACTTAGCTGTCAAAGTTAACCGCGATAACAGTCAAGTCTTATAAGTAAGCATTAACGCCTCATATTAACAGTGAGCACTCTAGTCCCCATGTCAGCTGTTGCGCAAAAAATTCTTGTTGTCGGTGGCAATGGTTTCGTTGGTATGAGTTTCTGACTCTCCATGTAGTTCTATGTCACTTATGGCTGCCAGGCTCCGCGGTTTGCAAGTTGGCTCTTGCCCGGGGGATGGAGGTCACCAGCATAAGGTAAGTACTTTATGCTCTCAGTATTTGACACCACTCATCCGCAGCCCGGCAGCTCTTCCGGAAAACCTTACAAAACCCCAAAAGGTCACACCCCAGCATGGGTAGAAAGAGTACGTTCTTCGGTTCCCCCTCCCAACCGCATAAGCCCACTCAATCCCCAAACAGGTGGAATGGCGGAAAGCAGATGCCCTGAATCCAGAGTCATATGCGGACATCCTCCCGAGTGTTGACGCTGTTGTTCACACTATTGGTACGCTTCTGGACAATACGCAGTACAAGCAGAGGATGCAAGAAGGAGACGTAATGGGCATGCTCAAATCTCTTGCTGGCCGTGGCAAAAGTTCTTCAGCAGAAGGTCAACGGAGCGCCTATGACACCCTCAATTATGAAACAGGTGTGTGATCATACGCAGCTCCGTTTACAGTTTTTACAGCGCGCGGTATTAACGTGCCGTGTCAGCCGTCCGTATGTGTGAAGCATTTGTAGCGAGCGAGCCCGTATCCGGAATTTCACATGTTCGGCCCTTCATCTATGTCTCCGCGGAGGACGTCAACCGACCCATCGTCTCCGTGCGGTATCTCGAAACGAAACGGGAGGCTGAGAAGCGGATTGAAGAAATCATCCAAAGTCATCCACAATACAGGGGGGTGTATGTCCGCCCCAGTAAGTGTATATCCTCCATAATTTGGTTCGATGAATGACATGCCATACTAGGTTTAATATACCACCCGCATGTCCGACCAATGACTACCATTCCAGCCACGATATTCGATGTCTCAGCACGGATCCATGCCGCAGTACCAACGTATATTCCGATGCCTTCTTCGGTTCTGAGGTGGTTAGGGACTTCTGTTTGCCCCGATGCCACGGACAAAACACCTTCCGCCCTGACTTCCATGGCGAATTTGCTCTCTATACCCCCAATCCACGTTGATCACTTGGCTGAGGCTATTTGTCTTTCGTTGGATCCAGCCAGGGATATACGTGGTGTCGTTGGCGTGCGCGATATACGCCACCTAATTGGTTTGTCCCAAATGGGAGCAGGGACGTCGACCCCAAGCACTTAGAATCAACTTATAATATTGCCTCGATGCATATATCTTGCTGGGTCTCCTCTGAGTTTTTGTCCCCTCGTAGTGAATCGTTATTGTTTGGTCGACCAACGACTCGGTTGAGTCTATAACTTAAAATTATCCTCGCATATCCAGGACATTAATTTTATGCCAACTAGCACGACTGGGTGTTCTAGTAAGTATTGATGATGGCTTGGGCAAGACTCCGAGGGGGAACTTCAAACTTGTCAAGAACCGCTGAATCATGAAATCCTGATGAGGCTCAAGGCTTCCGAGAGAATATTATGGCAGTGTCTTACAGCGAAGCAAGGACAAAGAACGAAAGAAAACTGATATGACGAACCATGTACGACCCCAAAGGACGCATTCTGATGGCAAAAAAAAGTATTTAATAGTCTGCCCCGGGTAAGAAGTTTATCAGAATTCATCTGGCACTCCTTTGGAAATAAAATCACCAAGAGGCAATATTACCTCGGGTTCGAAGCTTGTACCTTGGCCAGGAAGGAAGTAGCACTCTTGCCGTACAGTATGTGTACCGATATTATTGGACAGGTCGTGCATATGAATAGATAATGCACAACCTAGGCATATCTTGAATGCCCGGCATTCGACATTTGACCCCCAAGATGGTTTGGCTTCAAAGTTGTGACAGAAATCGGACACTCAACTCGTGTTGGGGGTCTCAGGCCAGGTAAGTCATTTCTGCATTGGCCACGCTTTCCCGATGTATTCTAAATATATCAATCCCTAGGTGGTGAATTTGAAACTGGTGAACTCACTAACATACCGCAAGAGGGCAAGTGCGTTGCTTCATCCCAGGTACGAGTTCGAGCGGTCAAAGACGTTCACACACACGCATCCTATATTGGGATTGCGTGCGAGCTCGACATCGCGACCAGCCAAAATTTTGGAGTCGTTCTACAAATGATGGCTTGTGATCGGGTAAAGGCCCGACATTAATGAACCGAAAAATAATCGATAAGGGGCAATAGATGATCATCTCGTGTGCAAGTTTCCTGGGTGAACAAGCATTGTAATTGACCTTGAAGTCCATATGGAGGGGACCGTGCGTTGTTGAGCTGATGATACAAGCTACTAGTAGTGTTGCCAGCGTTGCGGAGTCTAGACTTGACTAGTGTGACTTAGTGACCTGGCATATGACCTTGACTTACTTAGGTGTGACACGGTTGTAAGGCTCCTTAGTAAAGTCATTGAAAGAGATCTAGACTCTTTCGAATTCCCCGCCTTTCTCCTATCAATCCTGCATCACTACCTAGTAACCCCGCAGTTTCTCCCCTTAAAGTTGCGCTAGTTGGTGAAGTGAGAGAGCGCGTCCTTGTTCGTATCTCCCCAGGAACTTTATAATAGGCGCTTATTACCCGTACGTATCCCCAACAAAAATTATTATCCAACCGTATCGGACGACATTCAAATAAACTACACGTCTCAGCGGGATATATATCTGGGACCCGACGCTAAGCCTCTGGTCCTACCCTGCTTACCCTTTCCAACACTCCTTCATGACCTCCCTGTTCGCTCGCGCACCTTCGATACGAATCGCCCCCATTCCAACCACGCGTTCTATCTCCCACTCAGTGTCAGCATTGAAGGCCCTGCCGTTCTATCTCAACAACCTGCGCTCAACGGACCAAAATGACGGCAAAGTCTTGCGCATGCTTATGTTCGGTAAACCTGGTGCTGGCAAGGGAACACTCTCAGCCCGTCTTGTGAAGAAGTACGACATACTTTCCCTTTCTACCGGGGACCTTTTGCGGCAGCACATTGCGGAGAGGTGAGGCCAATTTCCACGCGTCCCGCATGTGAATGGTGCTGTGGTGCTGACCCTTTGCCGTTATGGAATTAGAACGGAAGTAGGCAGACAGGCAGAAGAAATTGTTGCACAGGGAAACCTGCTTCCGGATGATGTCATGCTCAAAGTCGTCACGAGTAAGCTTGACGCACTCCACAACAAGGTTGGTTTGTCATGATTTTCCTTCGACGTGGTTACCCTGAATACATACTGTGTGATTTTACAGCATTGGATTTTAGACGGTTTTCCACGCACGCTGGGTCAAGGCAAAATGCTTGATACCCATCTCCAGTTCGTACTCTTGGTTCTTTTGCTGTCGGGGTACTTACTGCGGTACCAGGACCCAGAATGCCCCATTAAGTCTTGTAGTCAACTTGGATGTCGCAGACAATGTAATCCTAACTCGCATATCCGACCGCTGGGTTCACCTGCCATCTGGCCGTGTGTACAATATGTCATACAACCGACCGAAAGTGGATGGCTTCGATGACGAGACTGGAGAACCCTTGACGAAGCGTCCTGATGATAACCCTGTACGTGGATTCAAAGACTATGAAATATCTGCATAGCAAATTCCGACGGTCGATTTATTAGGAGATCTTCTCTCGCCGTCTCAAGCAATTTTACGATTCCACGTCGCCCCTGCTTGCCTATTACGCATCGCCCACCAATAAATCGGCACGACTTGTCACGTTGCAAGGCGAGACATCGGACGAAATTTGGCCTCAGCTGGATGCTGTTGTACGACTGTCGTTCCCCGGTCTTCGGGATCGCGCTGCTAGCATGGCTCAGTGGCGGTGCGGGCCGCGGTATAGTCTCAGCGATCCATTTGCTATGGGACAGGAAAAGCGGGCAATGAAGCGCCGAGCTGCCGCTGGTAATGCCTAATGTGTCTAAAATTTTCTTGTGTTCCGCAGCAGTTTTGTGCTGCTCGCTCTTTCGCCACTTCCGTGGACCGTGTTGCATGTTTTTCTTTTCCCATCGACCACCTTTTTGACCAATACGTTTTAAACATCTTGACGTCACCATGTTTTCATCACTTGTATTTCTACCTCGTATACCAATAGGATAGTCTCGAATTAGTGCGCAGCTGATGTTGGCGTTGTATCATTGGTCACCGAATCACTGTCTCTAGAAGACACGTATTACACCAATATATTCTGCCAAAGGATGTTATGCCTCGGTGAGCGTGCTAAAGCACTGGTTACTATAGTCTCCCCTAGGCAGACCATAGACGAAGAAATATTGTGAAATGTGTGTACAAGTAAGAGCTCAGTTAGTCCAAAGGTAGTCTGTTCTCCTTGTCTCTAGCCACCACGAGCATGTCTCCCCGGATCTCCCTCGCCCACATTTCTACATACAAACGTCTTATCCACACCTCTAGGCCATCATTCAACTTCATCGGGCATCCAGACCCCACTTCCAATATCCGACCCATCATATACACTACCTCATCTTTATCCTCCCTCCCTGAGTCTAAGCACCACCCATACTCCCTCAGAGAATTCTCAGACGATACCCTAGACCACGAGCTGCAATGGAAACTCCATCGAGAGCAGCTCGACGCGTTCAACCACGCGTATTGGGCGGAGGCAAGTCCTGCGTTATCGTGATTCAGAACCAACCGTTCGAACCAACCATTACCAGAGTAACATCCGCTTTGAGGCTGCCAAATCATCAGTCCTCTCCGCCCTCCCACCCAACGCACCCGCCGAAACACAGGAGCACTGCATTGTCTGAATTTTACAAGAAGTGGGTTATCCAAGAACGAGGCGCGCCAGGACGAGTATGCTGTGGAGCTCAGGAAGCGGACGTTCGAAGATCTCTCGCTCTCTGCTAAAGTCGAATTCCAGAGGGCAAAAAAGAGGCTAGCGAGCTGGAGATTGCTATAATTTGTATAGATTTTGCAACCGCAGCAAGAATGCAGGACTATCGTACGGTACAACCCTATCCCTCTCTTGCATACCCTAGGTCCTGCATCACAAGATCTCTCAGACGATGGTACACGTCACCCAATCTCAATCCTTCCACTCCTGAGCTCTCACCTCTATAATCTCTCGCAAGGTCACCTACCATATCCTCCTGTATGCCTGGGAAACGGGACTTGATCTCCGGCATCAAAGGTACCGACAAGCACTCGCTTGGGTCCAGGTCAACACCGGGTAGTTGAGATAATCGGGGCGAGGAAAAGACGATGCTGAGCGTGGCGTAGAGCGCGGTTGCACGGAAGCGCGAGGTCAGTTGGGCGTCGGTAATGTTGGCAGTTTCGCGGATGGAGTCCCAGCTGCAGCAACCGTTAAAGCGGGTAAATGGGACAGGGAGATAGAACGTACTCATCATTGTTGTATATCCTACACCATACTCTTCTGAACGATGATAGTCTCCTCACGTCCGGAATATCCTTGTACAGTTGCCATCAAACCAATGAACACCAGTCATGACAAGCGGGACCTACCTCGGCGTGAGCGAGCAGCTGCAGCGCAGTAGCATAATCCTCCACGCCCTCCGCATTATCTTGCAGCGTGAGTACGTCCACCACATCTTCAACGCTGAGTGCCTTGCCCTGGAGCACTCGCCTCACAAAAATCTTCAATATCTGCTCGTGACCGTCATCAGCACCATGTCGAAACCAAGGGAAAAATAGACAGAATCCACGCACCCCAAGCAGCCCGTTCTTCTGTTCTGCCTTGAGTCTCGCTGCTTTTGCCCTTATCACCGCATCCACTTGCGCGTCCAGACTCTGTTTTTGCTTGCCCCTCAGGCTGCTGGCAGCTTCCCGGAACTCCTGAAGTAATTTCTCCTGCACCGATATGAAATCCAGGCTATCATGCAACGCTGGACAGCATATAGTCAAGCACACTAGTGCGAAAAAAAACCAACGTACCATCTAATACCGCCTCATCCGCCTCCCCTCCCTCCTGCATCTGCGCCAAATGCGCAAGCTTGCCCACACTAAGCATAAACTACAACGCACACCAATCAACACCTCTCCAATCCAAGCAACGAATCCAAAGACACTCACATGCTTAACACCCACATCTCCCGCGCCGTTCGCCTCTCTCAATAGCCTCGTGCCAGCAACACTCCACCGCCCCTGCCCCAAATCCCTCAGCCACGCAACCGCATCGCACTTGCCCCCCTGCTGCTCCTCCTCTGCCCAATACTCATCCATATACCTCCCCCACTCACCCCTCCCACTCTCCTCCATCGCAAACACTACCCTCGCTTCCCCATGCACCATACACCACCGCACCACCTCCCTCGCGAACGTTCCCCCAAAGCGGTCGACATACTCTGCGATCGTGTGCGCGTGCGGATTGGAAGAGGGCGGGTAGACTGTGTCTTGGTGCAGAAGAGCTGCGAGAGAGCGGAAGTCGGCATGGGATGCGGCGAGCGTGAGAGCATGTGGGAGGTATGAGATGAGACCTGCGAAAAAATCGTAGGGGGGTCAGGGAAAGGAGAAGGGGAAGAGGGGAAAGCGTACGGAGGGTTTCGAGGATCTCAGGGCGGAGTTGGTCAAAGCGTTCTTTGAGCTCTATGTGGTCCCTCTCGGAACCAGGTTCGTCTGCTGCTATGGGGCTATCCATCGATTAGTTTTCTTCCTTCATGCTAATTATCAAGACGAATGACTTGCCTGCCAAGCCAATCCAACCTCTCCTGTACACACGCAAAGAACATCGTCGCGAGCTCTGGAAGGAGCTCTCTCGATGCGCTTTTAGAGTTCGCTTTGCTCGGGTCGAGGGCAAATCTACGGAGAGGGGTTGTGATACATATTATAAAAGCGTTTCCAATCTGCGCACCTCGTTGCTGTGTCTACAAGCTTTAACACCCCATCAATCGCGCTCGGGCGACTTGTCCACGGCTTGATCATAGGCAGATCAACACCATAAACAGCAAGATTATACGCCCTATACGAGAGTGCCGCTTGCAGGATCGTCTAGAGCCCAAACCCACATCAGGACCGTCCAAAGCACAAAAAAAAACAAGTGAGAGTGAGAACATAAAGACTCACAACAACAGCCCCTCCAACCTCCCTCATGGCTCCCTCCCCAACTCTCTCAACCCGCTCGACCATGAACGGAATCAGCCGCCCGATCTCCGCTACTCTGTACCTGAAAAAGTCTCTGACAACATCGTGCGAAGCGGAGGGATGTGAAAGAGGGTGGGAGGTTGTGAATGCGTGGATAGCGTCAGTGACGAGCGAGTGGGAGGCACCAGCGCTGTTTGGTGAGGATGAGGATGAAGTCGATCGAAGAATGAGGGAAGAGGACGCACTCTAAATGTTCGTTCATCTTCAACCAAAGCTGATGACATCCATAAAGCTTTTCCGCATCAGTAGCCAGACGCTGGCGGCTGCGCTGCGACATCTTCCCAAGCGCTGCATTGTCGTTGATGAATCGTATGAGCCAGCTGAGCCTATCTTTTCGAGAGGTGAGTTGAGAGGTGAGGTCATGATTTGGGCGGATGATCTCCGGGTCTTTTCGGTTTAATCGCAGAAGTCAATCAAAATCAGCGTCTCAAAAGTGGCCGCAATAATAAGATGGACGCACCGCTTTCTAGGACCGCCCTGCTTAACCCCTCGGCGCCTGCCATGAGCGCTTCCGCATCGACCTCGGGCGGGAACGAGAAATGTAAAGGGTTTTCGGGGTTGCTTCCGTAAAGTATGGCCTGTGTGAGGAGTGCTCTGATGAGGATCGCGCGACCGGTTCTGCGTGGCACCGGATGAGCTCAGTCGCATGAAAACGGGGCAGGGGTAGGGGGAGAACGCGGCTTACGCTTCATTGAATATGTTAACCCTCCCCAGATCCACTCGAGCACGCATAAGGACGCCTGCTGTTAGTATGAGCACGTCCTCGGGCGCTGATTCCTCATGCTCCTGTTCTGCGGGAAAAGAGTGCACTGGAGGTTGAGATGGGGGCACACCGAGTCCAAGCATCTGATCTGCGTGAGGGGCTTTTAGGGTGAGGCGATCTTGGTAGGGAGAGTCTATGTGGAAGGGTATCAGAGTTATTCGCTGGATTAGAATGATAGTGGACGTACCCCGAGCACAAAACACGACCACGTCTACGAATCGGATCGCTACGACTGTGCCTCCCCCGAGGAGTGTCAGACGAGGATGAGAGGGTGCCGATGCAGCTGTCTACAAGGACATAGGCACAAGCGTTTCAGCTAGACCTTGGCAGAGCCGAGGGTAAAGTGCTTACCGTAGCGTATGGAACCCCTGTAATGCCTTCTATCTTCATGCCGCCGCCCATGCCCTCAATCACACCTCCATCTCCACTTCCTCCCTCAAACTTCGCCACCTCACCCCGCTTTGTGACAGCACTGAGTCTGACGAGCGCATATATCCTTCTCGGAACTGGTGCGCCCATACCGAACCCACCGTACTGGTCAAGGGCCATCGCAGCCGTTTCCTGCTCGGACCCGGCGTATGAGACAAGGACAACGAGGGTGCCGTCGCTGTAGATGCAGCATCCGACAAATCAGCAGAAACATCAATCAAACATTATGACAACGCACCTCTCTACGCCCAGATCAACGCCCTCTAGATCTTCCACGTTCCCCATCGCCTCTCGCACATCCACTTCTCCCAACAAAACCTCCTTATTCAAGCTCCACCTCTGCACGCGAGTCTCGCTGAGTGTCCATAGTTCCTTCTCCACTACTGCACCCCTTCCTACCTCTCCACCACCAGAACCAAGAGCGAGTGCAGATATACTCCCCGCCGTGGGCTGGGGGGCAGGTGTAGACCAGAAGCGTGCAAAATAGAGCCCAGAAGAAGGTGGCGGTGCAAAGAGCCTGGCTGAGAGTGTATGCCGCCCGCCTTGAGACGTGAGCGTAAGTTTGAATAGACGTCCATGTGAGGTAGACACGATGTATATTTGACCCTGCGAGCTTGTGTCAACGAACAAGACATATAAGCGTGAGGGGGCACCTACGTCAACCCTGAGCAATCCAGACGTATACTCACCCTCACCCAGCTCGAGATTGATGCTTTCAAAGCTGCCGCCACCTGCGAGACCGCTGGCTATGCTGTCCCAGAAACGAATATCACCACGAGGTGAGAGAAGGACGAGACCAGGTTCGGAGCGTGACCTGGATGGAACGAGAGCGTGGAGTGGTGTTAATATTGGTTGTGCGTAGTCTTGAGAGGAAGGCGGACACGGGAGGATGTAGCATGTAGTGGGTTTCGTGTGCTGCCAGACGAAGCAGGTATTCGAGGACGCGGCAAGGGCGTATCCCGTGATGGCGTCGACTGCACCGGTCCAGGATTGAGAATAGAAATCTATGCACCATCAATCTGTTTTCAGCGGTTGCGTTAAGGAGAATAGACATACCAGCACCCTTCAGCTCGCGCCTGACCTCAAAGGGGAGTGCAGCATGGAAAGCAACGCTGATCTCGTCGGTACGCGCGTACAGCGTCTCCCTCCCTGATCCCAACGGCCGTTCATTATACATTTGCACGTCATCGACGTCCATGACGTCTGGTACTACAGCGATGTCCTCGGTGCGCCTCGAGGGTGTGCCGGCAACGCGTGCACTGACCATGCGCCGCTGTCTGGGCGGCGTCACTGAGGGACGCGGCGTAGCATATCTGTGCGTTTTTCGTGGTGCAGGGGACGCCATCTGTGCAGTATCCTACAATGAGGTCCTCAATATGCAAGACGCTTTTGTTACCCGATCCACAAGTCTGAAGGAGGAAGTGATACAAACAGACATCAACACCTGCTCATCACACTCCACGACGAGCAAGACAATATGCTAGGCATTGAAGACTATGGCAGCGACGTCGACAGCGACAACGAAGCACCGCCAACAAAAGTACCAGCGCCATCAAAACCCCTGGGTCTATCTCTCCCCCCACCCAAATCATCCGGGTCTTCAAGTCTGTCTCTTCCACCACCAACCAACATCAAAACAAAACGCCCAAAGAAGATCGAAATCACCCTGCCCTCGCTTCCTTCCAATGACTCCGACACAGACGACCGTCCACCAGCCAAGAAACCCCGAATCACATCCAGTAAAGGGGCAGGCGCGTCCTCCCTTCTCAACATGCTACCTGCGCCTACGCAACCCCTCCCCGTCAAAGCCAAGAAGGGTAAACAACCTGAACGTATGCTTGGCGGTGGAAATGGTCCAGGACTGGTGTTCCGTGCGCCAACGAGCGTGCAGGAGGATGGCGAAGGAGATGCTGAGGAGGCGCAGGAGGCATCTACATCTTTCCTACCTGCTTCGCTCAAGAAGGGCAAATCCAACGTCGCATTAGATCGTGAGGATTACAGGCTCCCAACTCTGCCAAAGGTCTCCTCTGCACCCGCTGTGAACTTCTTCTCTCTTGGTACGTTCCCTACTCCTCTGCGTTTCTCATCCTTACCCTCTACAGGTACCTCATCTACAATGCCATCTACATCCACGACACCCAGCACATCTACACCACCCATCTCCTCCGCTCCCGAGGTCGCCACATTCACTCCCCCAGCGCCAACACCTACCGACGCCTACCCCGGATACTACCTCCTCCCCTCCGGCGCCTGGGCCGCTTACGACCAGGTCTACTACGCCACATTCGTCAAAAAGTGGCAGAAGGACTATGATGCCCAGGTACGCGCGCTCGAGAAAGGTGAGGTGGAAAGGGAAGCACAAGACGCAGCCGAGGTCAACATGCAGGAAGAGATGGAGAAAGCACGGAGAGAGATAAAGGAGAGGGAAGACAGGAAGGCGCTTACGGGTATCAAGACTGGCGAGCAGGAACAGCCAAGGATGAATGTACAGGTGCGTTCTTGATATTTCGCGTTTCCTACGGGTGATGCTGACAACACTACTCTACAGGGCGCAAAACTAGGCTCAACAGCCCGGTCACGACATCAACTAACAACCCTCCTCACGGATGCATATCACAATCGTGAGGCACTGGAGGAGAAGATCGCACAAGCGCGGAGGAACAGGAAAGAGGCGGGGAACAAATATGGTGCGTGTCTCTCTCGTTACTGCTGCCTCTGTTACAGAACTCATAAATTCTTCAGGTTTCTAGCTTCGTGGAAACAATTATGCATTGGTACGGGTAAACTGCTGCTGCTACTACTACTCGATTGGTATGTATAATATCTACGAGATGAACTATGCTACATGTCTAATAGATGGTGATCCGCTATCCATCTTCATATACAATGCTTCATGCGCGACCGACCGACCTGGCTCTCTTCATACCGTCTCACCTGGCAGCCGAGAATTCTGCCCAGCAAAATGTTATTGTTTGCATCCACAAGAGAAAAGAACACGCACTCGTAACACTCTTCGTTCCCTCACTAATCGCATGCTTCGCAAGCTCTCCAGGAAGAATGAGCCTCACCGCCGTCTGAATCTCGCGCGAGGAGATAGTAGATTTCTTTGTGTAAGAGGCAAGTTCTGCACAACAGGAGGGCCCGCTGTCAGTCACAAAAACAAAATGAAACCGACAAAAATGACGTACTGCTCGCTTCTGTCGCGATCCTTTTGAACAGGTCGTTTACGAATGAATTCAAGACGCCCATTCCCTTGTTCGATATACCAGTATCTGGGTGGACCTGCCTCAGCACTGCACGCCAAAGAGAACACACGTTAGCCAGTGGTCGCCGACAGGAATGCAAGCCAACGCGAGGGACGAAGACATACCCTTGTAAATATAACTGCTGTACGTTTCCTTCCTGACCTTCTTGCGCTTCTTCTTCATCCCATCTGTATCCCCCCCGGAGGGTGCCTTCCTAGATAATCCCCGCTTTGCCAACGACGACACGGGAGCTTTGGGAGCTTTTGAAGCGGGTGGTTTGGAGACGGTTGAGACAGGCTGTCAGTGAGGAGGAGCATGATCGGGTTGTGAGTTCGAGTATTGGCTAAGGAAAATACCTTTGAACTCGCCGCCATACTTGCACGAAGTAGAAGAAGAAGACAGAGAGAAGCCAGAAACCGCGTTAAATGCCCCTACGAGCAGACGCGTCGCGCTTTATAACAAGCGACGCGTTCGAACCGAGCGGAGTTTGAAGCACACCCCGATGCGGCGCGGTGTTCTTGATTGAAATGGAACGTTGCTTTTCGGGCGCCCGCCTAGCTCAATCGGATAGAGCGTCAGACTTTTACGACTGTTGATTCCATCTGACGTAATCTGAAGGCTGCGAGTTCGACCCTCGCGGTGGGCTATTCTTCATCATTTTGCTTCTGTCCCTAAACATCAGCTTCGAATGCTTCTTGATATTGATGTGTACTTTGTAGGTCAGAATCATGATTCCTTTAGCAAGGTCGTGGAACTGTGTATATCTAAAGACTAGACCAGAATTTCTTTTTGTGCTAATCTTGTCACTTTGTACCACTACAGTTACAGACAGAACAACTTGGACTTATGTGAGTTGTCTCACATCAGACACCTCATATCATCAGATGACTCCTCCATTGAGCCTTGTTGACTAGAGCAAAAGGAGTAGCCCAAAATACTATGACATCCAATGGCCAGGACTACTATGACTCATGGCTCACCTCAAGGATTCAGACCTTGAAAAGGAAGATGCGTATTGGGCAACACGTTATGATGGTGTAACACTTAATATGCCACGACTTAGTAGGATGATGATATTGGGACTAATGACAAGATCTTTTGCGGTGTTCCAATGTCAGATGTCTTCTATGTTTTCCTGATATGCATCCTGCCTGATTGATTGTGCTCTCCCCATAATATATTGATTCGAAAGGGCATAGGTGGATGATGGGAGAGTATCGAATGAGATAGAGCTGGATATCTTTTATTCTCTGTTCTAACGCAGATTCGGATGGAGAAGCATTGGCAGCGGCCGGGTGAGTCAGAGATAGGTGTCTGGCAAGTTGAGAGACACTGAAGGAGGGGCTGGCCATGGCCATGATGTCATACTCTGAATCACTTGGAGAGTTCCCGCCGTATGAGAGACCCTATTATTATGTTAGAAACAATAAACATATAAAAATCACCGTCATCATCAGCCCTGCCCGCAGGGTTAAGTCCAAGCTCCTCCTCGTTAGCAGCATCATCCTCGTTACCCAATCCATCCTGGTCATAGCCCTGGTCGTCCTCGGCTTTACAAACTTCAATGGAGAACTCCCGGAGGAGCGTTGCATCACCCATAGAGGCATCGACATCCGCCGCTCGAGGGGTGCAGTTACTGGCTTGAAGGGGCTGCACGGGTTGTGCGGAGAGGCTGGCGCTTGTCCGAGGCGACTGGTGTCGCATCTGCGAGAGTTCGGACACATCTCAGAATGCTGCAAAAAAACCAGTACTACGCACCGGCGAATTAGCTCTGAGTCGCAAGGGGGCCTCCATGATCTCCCTTCTCTCACTTCACCACTGCCGCAGGCCCCAGCTGCCTCTCGCAACGTCCTTGTAAGCATTGAGTACTCCTATTTGCGGGCACTGTCTATTGAAGAAGACATCTTAGAGCAATCTCGAGAGTGAAGATAGTCGCTATATATATGGTTCCGAAATCCAAAAGGTAATAAACTTCCGGACATGATCGTGACCGGTGACCACTGTGGTTCGAGCAGCTTCGGGCCACTGGGGCATTTAGGCTAGTAGCAAGGTTCGTAGATCTGTCCACAAACGAACATTTCATCTGGTTCTTTGCTGCTAGTGGGTCAGCCGTTATAATGCTAGCCTTGTTAGGCAGTACTAGCATCGAGACGAAGAGACTAGTCTTCGACATTTTCAGACAGTCGACTAGTGGTGCGTTTTCTGCATCGCGGGTAACGCATGACAAACAGCAAGGAATGGGGACGCGGAAAAGCCTCACTTCATCTAGATATCTTTCCTTGCTGTTAGTGTGGGTTAGCCGTTATGTTTTTCATAATGCTAGAGCATCGGGACAAAGATACTAGTATTTTCACCATTTTCAGATAGTTGACCAATGACGCAGTTTTCTACATCGCGGGTAACGCATGTCAGAGTGCGGCCTGAAGTATTTCAAATGAGCCCATCTTCACTGGCAGAACGAGGAGATCCCCACATTTCAGCGATCCATGCTGTCAAACATCTCGCAGTCTAAACTTCATCAAATAGTAACCGAGAAATCTAATCGAATAAGAAGATGCTGTGATACGTATCTACACAGCGCCACGGAAGTAGCGATGATATCCGCACAGCCCATCAATCCTAGTCCTTGACCTCCTCCGTGCCATGCACTTCAGGTACAGGCCGCGCGCGATTGGCCCACCCTCCAATGATCCATGACCCTGCGAGTAAACCGAGTAGGACCCAAACTCCTTTCGTTTCTTCGTTATTGAGGGGCCTAGACTTTGCATGCACATCAGGCCCTTGCTCCTTGGCAGCATGAACGACGTTCGAGACCGCATCGCCAACTCGGAAAGTCCGCGGCAGCCCAAGGTTATCGGCTACATCACGGAAGAAGCCAGATTCAACTGCGGATTCGGCGTGTACTTCAGGAGAAGACTCCTCAATAGCTTCCTGAGGCTTTTCAAGGTTGTATGTGGGACCACCATCCGGATGTGTCGCAGACCCCGAAACGACGTGCAATTTTGGGTGAGAAGGCTCTATGGGCTCAGGTTTCGGACTGGAGGAATCCCAGAAATCGGGAAGAAAGGGCTGAGGGGATGATAATCAGATGTGGGCATAGAAAGATCATCAGAGAGTTTGCATGTGACAAAGGCTCGATATGGTCGATGAGGGGTAAAACCGTTAGACCCGTAACTTAGATCGGAATGCCCCATCGATCAAGGAAAAAGGGGAAATACTCACTGCCTGAACGGGTGCGTCTGGCCCATCCTGAGAGAGGTCGGGCATTCTGACACACAAAAAGTCGGGCGTCACGGAGGCGCTTGGAGGCTGAGACGCAGGTGGTATGCTTGCAGATATAGCCTGCGGTGCAGTGGCAGACGAAGACGCCTTGCGTGATGGGACGGGGGTAGGCTGCAAAAATGGAACAGCCCTAGATTCTTCGTACTCCTGAATGCGGTTGATTAGGACAGATTTATTGCCCTTGCTGATAGTACAATCAGTTCAAATTCTAAAGCGAAGAAAAGAAGGAAACTAAAGAGAAGAGAAAACGAGTATCGGAGCCGAAAGTAAAACTCACGTCGCAAGACCTCGAGTTTTCGCTTCCTGACGCAAAGTGACTACAGTTTCATTTTCCCAAGTTCGGGAGAGGAGAACTGTAGAAACAAAAGTTCTTTGGAAGCGTGGAGCATGGCGCTGGCGTAGGACTGCTCGAAACATGATTTTGCCAGCAAAGGATGAGTTGTGGGTGTGGCATTGAGTCCGTGCTGTTACCACGTGCCACGAATCAACACAGCATGATTTGGAGTCATGATTATAGACAAGTCCTTTGTTGGACCAGTATTAACGTCGGGCCAAGGGTTACCTACTGTGGGTTATTGATTATCATCATCGGACCATTCAATATGCTAAAGAAAGTTCTCGTGAGTTCAGCTGGCAAGTCCGACGGGGGTCCTGTGATTCGAGCGCTTGATGATTCAGACAGCTTTGATGATGATATCTTTTACAGCAATTGGCTACCGCCTCGTGTTTCTATCGCGTGTTTCTTGTCCTGCTAATAATCAAAAATCCTTTTTCAGTCTGGCATGACTCTTTCCCTCATACTCTAATCCCAAGCCCTCCGTTATTTCAGCCATGCTTCTCTCTCCAGCGTAAGAAAGCATCACTGATCTCCCATATTATCACCCTTCAAATGTTTTCACGCAGATCAACCAGTGCAAGTCTCCCCTCCCAATCTTTCTGGGGAAAGTTCAAGAAAAAAGGTGACAAGGAGAGCGAGTTCCGCGAGAGGCAAGCCCAAATGGCGCTTGCACGACAGCGCCTCCTCACTCTCGCCTACGAGGACATGGAGACAGTCAGAGTGGTATGGACATATCCCCTTCGCCCTCAAATTATCTTCTGACCTCTTTCTTTTTCCGCCACAGCTGCCCAATAGTTTCCCCGTAAGTGGCGGAGGTCATTATCTCCGTTCTGCTGATTTGTTCTTGCACAGGAACTCGAAGCGGTGGCAAGAGATTGGACAAAGCCTCCCCCAGATGCCATCTTCGGCCTGCGTGTTCCCGTCGAATTCGCATCCCTTCATGCCTCTGTAAGTTGGCTCCATCGGGTTGCATGCTATATTTGACGTCATTGCCAGCGGCTGGTTTCCGGGCCTTATATCTATGTGCGTTGTGATCGGTACTAACTCTGATATGGATGGCTCATGGCAGATACGAGTAGTTGACTGGTGAGGACTCATATCAGATTGCGATAATGGGCGTGCAGGGGCTGCGGGTGGAGATTGTAAGCGACGCCCCCCCGCCACCTGATGAACCTCCGTAAGTTTGATGTCGTAATTGCAAAGTAACCTCAGCTAACTGTGTCATAGGCCACCGCCGTAAGTACGCTTTTGAGTGAGTCATGCACTGCTTAAGATGTTTACAGTCCCCCGCCGGTCACGGAGATGCCTGCCACGTTTAACCTTGAGCTCGTACCTGGCCAACATGTGGCCCTAGAAACAACAGTCACTTCTGCGGACGACGTTGACATGGCTCGCATGGAAGACGGCACCGTTGTCGATGGCCAGTTCTGGGGCAAGCTGAATATAGTGCACTCCGGCGACACCCACTCTGTCGACTTCTCAGGTACACGTATAATCAACCCTGACATCCCACCCGACCTCCTCTTCGATGCGCGGGTCATGACTAAGCTCACGACCGCCGCTAAACCTGCTTCTGTCAAGTGTCACCTCAGCATCCTTTCACCCGCCCAGCAGTATTGCGATGTCATTCTCTCCATCAACCCGCTATGGAGGCTTGAACTTACATGGCCTCCTGCCCAGCCAGTTAACGAAACCAAAGTGAAGTATTTTTTGCGTGTTCACCCTGGTGGTGCGCTCGAGCATTTTGAGAGTGAGATGGTTACGACGTCGTTATATTACGAAGCTGTGTGGGTGCCATGCCTTTATCCCTGCATCACTGAACTTCATGAGCACGCAGACCCGACCCAGCGATGGTCGACCCTAATGACTTTATTGCGCCCCGAAACGGATACGCTATGACGTTCCGAGATTTTGTGCCCCACCTTATGAGCGTCCTAGATCAGCTGGGCATGTCTATGCATGCGCGAACTAACTTCATCAAGTGCGTCTTCCCATGCCATTCATCTGACAAGGTTGACACTGACATTGACGTACACAGCAATAACATCTCCGCATTTGCAGCCCACAAAAACATTGCCTATCGCTTCCTCTCGCCCTCGAAGATAGCCGCAGCAATTGACATCTCAGTTACCTCTGATCCCTGCATCTTTACGCGCCTATTTCTCATCTTCCGCGGGCTAACGGACGATGATGTGGGCCTGTTTGCAGGTGCAGGCGAGAAGGAGGCGAATTCGGTCAACTGGAGGGAGATTGTGGGGTGGAGTGAGAATTCGAAGGACACGACCCAATTTAGGCTGCTCGAAACTTCCGTATTTGAGGTCACGTAGGCTCTGGGCTGAGGTGGGCAGCCGGTATTCTTGCCTCCAGACGCGTCCCTTCTTTCACTCGGGATTCCTTGTTACTCGTCACCGACTAGCATTCTTCTTTTTCTGCTTTGTGACACCCACCTTATTGATTCGTCTCTGCATTTGATATCCTAGAACATTGTCGGGCTTTATCATTGCTGTCCTGCACATGCCTTCTTGTCACGTCTGCAGCTATTATATCTATTTGATATCAATATCTGTTCTTTCTGCACAACTTTATATCTCCCTGGTCTTACGTCATTTTGACACTGGTTTACCTGCATGTCTTTTAGTGATTCCTCTTCCTTCATGATCATGTTGTATCCGCAGTTTCTGTACCGTACTAGCGAAAATGTAAAGGGACGAATGATATTATTTGTACATTGTCATGATCACAGCCTAGGAAGAGATAGGGGCCCGTGACGCAAAATTCGTTACTGTGACGTCACGCGACGCGACGCGTTCCACTGCCGACTGATCTTGTTTGGATCTTGTCTTCAATTACATACCTGCACGATGTCCGAGTTATCAGCATAGTAAGCCCACACTATCTTTCGCGTACAGTGCCGTGATAAGCATGCATTTCCAGCGAACTTGAGCGTGAAGCCAACATCGCGCGCAACCGCGCGCTCCTGGAGCAGCTTGATCTCAAGGATGCCGTGACTCAACTAGGCGTTCCGCCCAAGCCAAAACCTGCCCCCAGAACAAGAGCGAAGCCCATTCAACCCGCGAAGAAGGTAAAACGAGAGCGTGAAGTAGTAGAGGCGCCTCGGAGGCAGAGCGCACGTCTCAAGAAGGAAGTCATAGATCCAAACGAAACTCCGGCCCAGAAGAAGCAGCGGGAGGTGAGTGTCAGTATTACCGTAGTCTTCCAACATTTATCCTGTTGTAGGAAGAACAAAAGAAGAGGCGTTTTAAAGAGGAGCAAGAGCGCCTGGAGACTGAGGAGAAAGCTCGGCTCGCAAAGCGCCCCAGACATCAGGAATTGGATCTCACCACATTAGGGGATGAACTAGAAGAATCAGAACTCAGCTCGCTCCGATCTTCTCTTCAAGCTGTCGCGAACGTCCCGCTCTCAAAGCGTATCGCAGATGCGGACGCATTTGTATTTCATGAAGACCGAAAGAATGAAGCTGAAGTCAAAGAATTGAGAAAGACACTTCAGAAGCTCAGGGTGGTTTCTCGCGCCAAGGTGACTTCAGACAGAGTCTACAGTGCTGCCTACCACCCTGAGGCTACCAAGGATTTAGTATTCTTTGGGGGTAAGGTACCGTGCTCAAGTTCTTGGCAGGTCGCTAACATGAAAGTAGACAAACATGGTCAAATTGGAATATGGGATGCCAGAGCTCCCGCCGATGAGGTTGCAGATGAAGATGGTGACATCTCTGCAAACGACAAAGAGGGTGGGAAATATTGGCACCTCCAGTGCCACTGGCCTGCTACTTCTAAATCGTCAATATCATCTATAAAAATCGACCCAGTTGACGCACATAGTGTAGGGACCTGGCTTCTTCCTGAAATGACTGCACTTATAGCATATCTTAGATATTTACGACCTCGTACGACGGCACAATACGCCGCTTATCTTTCGTCTCAGGGGTTTCCCAAGAGATATTCTCTTCAGATGAACTCATCACAAGTGTAGACCTCCCAGTCGGTGGCCACGAAATGTGGATATCCGACGCTTCCGGCGGCCTCACCCATCTTGACCTTCGGGAGCCCAAAGACAAGGCCTGTTGGTATGGTCTCTCGAGTGCGAAGATTGGCACCGTTAGCATCAATCCGACAAGCCCACATTTCTTGCTGACAGCATCGAACAGCCGTTTATTGAAGTAAGACCCAACTGTCACTTATCTCCCTGTCTTCTTCTAAAGTGGTGTTTCAAGGGTGTGGGATAGCAGAAAACTACAGAAGATTGCCTCCGCAACTGGCCCACATCAATTCAGCCAGGACGCCGTCGAAGAATTTGTTGAGTCAAAGAAGGGCGAGGGTACTGTCCGCGGTGAATTCGCTCATGGGAAGTCCGTAAGCTCAGCGTACTGGGATCCAAGAGGGAGAGGCATTGTCAGTACGAGTTATGACGATACTATCAGATGTGAGGTGATATCGACGTGGGCAAATTAAATACTAACCGCTTTTGCAGTATGGGATTTGGATGCCGCGAAATACAGTTCATCGACCGCTTTCCCCTCCTTCACACCGTTCAGCCGGATAAAACACAACTGTCAGACAGTAAGTACCAGATCATCATTTTATTCCTTTCTCCTTTACTGACACTTTCCCAGGGCAAGTGGGTGACTATTCTTCGTGCGGTCTGGAATCCCAACCCGGACGTATTCCCCCACTTTACAGTTAGTTGTTTGTCGCACCAAGTCTATTGTTTAACTAATGGCTCTTAGATCGGGAACTTGAACCACTCTCTGGACATATTTTCATGCAAGGTAACTCATTCGTACATTAGTTGGCTGGACCTAATCGACTGATCCTGATCTTTTTGCTTTTAGGGGGATTTGATTGCGAGACTCTCGGATAGTCGGTGAGTGTTCTGCTTGTCTCAGATGACAACCTCCAATTCTTCATCTCAGGATCACTGCTACACAAGCTGTAACATGTTCCCATCCAAGCGTTGTCGAAAGAATTGCAACAGGGAACGCGAGTGGGCGTTGTGTACTTTGGGCACCACCAGATGTACAGTGACGGGTATCTAGTTCACACCGTTGTATGCTACTTACTCTGTTTTTGATAGCACCTGAGTTATTCAACAGTGATTCCATTCTTTCACGGATAATGGTGAAAAGTCAGAGCTTTGTGTCCACATGGACCGGGAAGCCCATGGATCATTTGATTTTCAAAGGGATATCTCGCGGTGGCCTACCTCGACAACCCACTTCCTATTTCCACTCATAAGTCGTTCAACGACCCAGACAATTGCGTTGGAATTCTGCACATTGTTTCAGTGGACTCATCGAATAGGAAGGGTTCAGACTCCACTAGATGAAGTTGTGGCAGTTGAATTGTTGGTATTGGAATATTGATCAATGACTAGCATAATCACTGACTGTGCGATGCCAATCTACTTATATATAACGCACCGACTACTCCTTGTTCTCTCTAGCACGAAGATCTCTTCTCTTCTTTCGAAATCACAAAAACTATGAGAACATTACCACGACACGAGTATAAGAACTCTTTTCAGCTTGGTGGGGCATCTACAACTTAGAACGCAAATATTGTTTCAATCCCAAGGGTGGCCCGGTGCCTCGGGAGTGGATCGCTTTGCATACAATGGTGATTACGACGACGAACTCAACGACGACGAACTTCTGGCCATTCAAATTGACATCGTTCACGTGTTTACTGTGTGCCCGGATGAAGATAACTTATTTGACGAGCGTCCTACGCAGCGACAGATGGACTTCACGACGGACTTGATCGGGCATGGACCACAATGATGGATGAGTTGTACTGTACCAGTCAAGTACCAGTTATGTATGAACCAGCCGGGTAGCATGCGTACGTGACTACATTAGACCAAATGTATACTTTCTACTACCAACGCCTAATAAGTTTTATAATAGGTAATCGCGATACTTCGGATCCACTACTACTTCAAGGGAAGGAATGAGGGCAATATATTCCGCTCGCTGCTCATCTGTCGTTGCTCCATTGCCGGAAATCAGGCTCTCCAGGGGGCAATTTGACCGTGCCAACAATGCCTTCAACTCCTCGTGCGGCCACGGTCGTGAATCAGGAGCTACAAGCATGCGTAAATTGGGGAGTGAAAGTGCATTGAACAGTTTAGGGAGTGTGCAATCATACACATAGGCGATGCGCAAGGATTGAAGTTTGACGTGCGTGAATGGCTGCAAGGCCCGCCTGAGTAGCCCGGGTCCTATGCCGATCGTTAACGAGGAGAGGTTGGGAGAGAGCTGGAGTAAGTGGAGCAATGCATTTGGTTGATGTACGGCGAGCTCGATATTTGTCAGTTGTGCAAATATAGGATTAAGAGACGATAAGCGCTTGGGACCGACGAACTGCCCCACTAGCTTGAGGTTGCGCAGAGTAAATGGCAGTCGCGAGACTGTTTGTGGTGCAGCTGGCAGTTTACGATTTGCCCTTATGGTGAGCTCTTGAAGTGCTGGGAGGTCTTTCCACATACGTTCAGCATTGGCGCCTTGGAAACACTCGATATAGAGAGACGAGATTTGATTGGTGTAAGGCTGCAGAAGGCTTCGTAGGGTGGTCGCGTCATTTTCATAACAATTGAGTGCTAACGAGAGCGGAAATCCTCGGGATCGCTTGAGCCATAAGTTATAACAGAAGGCTGCCTGCTCCCATTTTCTGTGCTTTCTCAAATACAGTTTGCACCACAAACTGGGGATGCCTACAACAACGTCCCTCCATCGTCGGCATACTCTGGTTAACACCATGGGAGCTTCTCGCTTTAAGCAGGGCCAAGAGTAAGCGTGTTCCCAGCGACGGAAATCCGGGAGACAGTGATGAAAAATTTGGGCTAGGACTTCGGTTGGCAAGCGCCACAGAACCGACACAAGCCCCTTGTGGAAATTCATGGACTGGATAATCTTCTCCTTCTTCTCGACGAGCTGTTGGTGATGATTTTTTACACTATCCATGATGGTTTCCAGGTCTGATATTTCGTGTGACACTGCATCCAACTGCTGCTGGCGTTCGGTGATGACGGCACTAATGCTCGAGTCATCGCGCTTGATGTTAGAGTGGTTGGCACTGGGAAGTTTGGAGTATGGGGTTTCGAGATCCGGAATCTGATCGTCGTCAACATCGCGTTGTGATGCGCTGAAATAGACATACAATCATTCGTGAACGTGCGAGCTGAAGCGATTCAGATGATTATTATTCTCAGACATGAGTTCCCATTAGCATAAAACTGGATACTTACGATGTTTTGCAGCGCAGCGATGAGATCCGAGTCCGGGGAGAGACTGACATTTGAGTTGGGTATTTTCCCCTCAATATTTGTTTGCATGTTATCTCACGAAGGTTGAAATGTTCGAGGGAGGCGTTCGAAGATGAAGATGAAGATTATCAAGATAGATGATCCGCGTGATGACCGGCCCTGAACCCAGTAATGTAGAGACTGTGTCGCTCTGGCCTCTAGAGAAGTTCTGTCACACCAATGAGTGTCCTGTGGTCCGCAAATAACAGGCCGTGTCTCATACCTTTAGTAGATTTTATGGACCCAGAATCTGATGAACTGGATGTTCTCGGTAGGAGGCTCGCCACCAGCCCACAGAGCTGGTGACTTCCCTCTCCACCATCACGATCTCGTTCCCTGATCATCCCGATGAATATTAACCATCGTGTGTTCCATGAAATGTCGCCTGTAATACTTTTGGAGTTCTCCATGCGTGCAGAGAACGTTGGAATGGAACAGGAGTACGCGGATGGGTGGATTTGACTGATGAAACCAACCAAGTTCTCAGTACTTGTGCAGCGTTACATACGGTGCTCGACCGACCATCCCGAACACTTCACAGCTGGCAACCGCACCTTTGCATGCCGTTCATAATACACGGGTTACGGTTCGAGTGCGCGAAAAACGGATTGACAACGTCCACAGGTAGTATATAGATGATGGGGTCACATTAGTAGTAATTTACACTGCGATTCCATCATCTTTAAACTCGCTGCGTGTAATCAAGTCACAGCACCAGTGTGCAGTTCAAGTTCAAGTTGGAGGTGGGTTGGAGGTATGTGAGCAGTATACTTTCGGACAAACAAATCAAAATAACGCGTCTTTCCACCATGTCTCTCGACGACATCTGGGACGCGCCAATTGTCCCTACTTGCGCTGTTACTCTACATTCTGATACAACCAGCCCTCAGAAACGCCCCAGAGAGACATTATTCCTTTCTGACTCAGACGACGAGGACGAGCAACCAGCACCGAAGAGACCTACTAGCTCAGCACCAAGACCAGACGTAGACGCGCTCTTCGCTGACATCGACAAAGATGAATCAGAGGAAGAGGATGGCCTGAGATATAAGCCCCTTGCACCTGCCCTTGACCTTGAAGCACTCCGCAAACAGGCCGCGGCAAAACACGCGCTGACACCCCATCAAATTTTGCCTAGTAGTTCTCCACCAAGAGATGTAGGTCCCAACGAAGACGATGAGGAGGGAAAGGATAACAAGGGAAAAGGAAAAGAAGGGAAGAAGGAGAGGAAGAAGGTTACAATACTCGATGAAGAAAGTTTAGTAGGAGCAGCGGGGTTTCCACAGCTCATCACGAATATCAAGGATTTTAGGGTCAAGGGGAAAGGTCACGAGGTGAGATACATTGACGTTGGACTTGGGCGCTGATGTCTGGACATCTATTTAGCATTCAGACCTCCAACGGATTCTCCAAGTGTACCAGTTCTGGACTCATAGATTGTACCCCAAGACTCCGTTCAAGGATACCGTTGAGCGCATTGAAAAATTATGTCACTCAAAACGAATGCAGGTACGACTGAATATAGATTGCGTTCGCATATCACAATCATACATCAATGAAGGTCCGTTTGAGCGTATGGCATGACGAGGCGAAAGGCCTTGTCAACGGCAAGAAACTAGAAGAAACTGATGGCGACGACGTTATCGACCTTACGGATCCAAATATTGAGGATGCAGACGTCAGTACCAAGAATGACGATTCATCCTCTTTGCGTGTCCCGTCTCTTCCACCCTCGTCGGATGCTGAAGATGACGACTTTGATATTGATGCTGTTGTTCGAGAGGAGGAGAAACGCCTTGCTGCGTTCAGAGCAGAACGTTCGGCTTCCCCTGCACCTCCCGCACCAAAAGCCAGATATAAAAACTTGCCGGCCGAGGTTGCAGATGAGATGGACGTCGATGAAGAGGCGTTGTGGAATGACCTCGAAGCATTCGATGACATTATCCCCAATCCTGCTCCACCGACGCCGAAGAATAGGGAATCAAACCTCTTAGCCGAGGACGAAGAGATGTGGGATATGGTGCGGGAACTGGAGAGAGAAGAGCATACAGCGTCGAAGCAACTTCCTGTGTCATCCGTATTGATCACGCCTTCGGCAGAGAGCGCCAACACGTCTCTCGGAACGAACGACGAAGATTTTGATGATATATATGCGTAGATAGTACGTACATGAGCGATTCCTACATTACAATGTTGTACTTGAATACTTAATAGCAACTTATTCGTTCATTGCGTCCTCCGTCCTTTGATCTGATCCAATCTAGAGATTCTAATCATACTCGTTCGATACTCGTCAATTGTCACACGTGAGTTAGAGTCACGTGACCCAACTCTTAAACGTTAAAACATCCAGATTGCGAATACATATATTGCAGAGACGATAGACGATGTCTTCGACCGACCCAGTTCCAGACCTTGAAGCAGGTATTCAATACTGGGCTACTCAGCCAGCAAACTACGACGGCGTGCTTGGTCTGCTTCATTGCTAGCCACATTGCCATCAGATCGGCTAACATCGCTGTATCCAGGTGGATTTGGAACGGGGGTGACTCTGAATCTCATTCCTTGCGCCAACGAATATTTGTACTGAAGCATTAATATTGATGACAGCCACTTCCTCGCGTTGATGCTCTTGGATCGCGTCGTTTTCTCCTCGAACTCCTCCCTGAACTCTCCATTGTCCCTTCACCGTTTCGGAGTATCTCTACCCCTGTGTCCGAAACCAGGCGGGTGAGAGCTCTTGATGTGGGCGCGGGTGTCGGGCGCGTCACATCAGACGTCCTCCTTCCCCTGGTCTCAGATGTTGTCCTGCTCGAGCCCGTAGAGCCATTCATCAACGAAGCTCGATCTCGCGGAAAAGCCAGCGAGTCTGGCATAGAATTCAACGACAGCGGGTATAGGGTTTTATGGAAGGGTATTGCTGATCGATCGAAGAGCGTTACGTTCTTCAAAGGTGCTTTGCAGTCATTTGACCCAGCTGCACCTAGGGACGCCTCTGGATCGCGTCGGCTATCTGCCGCCAGATGGTGAGGGCGATGTAGACTCAAAATTTGACGTGATATGGTGCCAATGGTGCCTAGGGCACTTGAAGGATGATGATCTTGTGGACTTCTTGCAGAGGAGCAAGAAGGCTCTGCGTAATGCGAAGAGTGTCGTCGTGGTGAAGGAGAATCTGTGCCGTGAGCAAGCGAACGAACCAATGTCGATTTTTGACGACCAAGACTCGACCTTCACTCGGTTCGTAAGGAGCGATTCTCTTTTACAAAATCCTTGACTCTGCTTTGTAGGTCAGACCTCGCATTCAAAAAGATTTTTGAGGAAGCAGGCCTCAAGATCATCCGAGAGAAAATCCAGCACGGGCTCCCCCAAGGGTTGTATCCTGTGAAAATGTATGCTCTCGCTCTGTCGCTGAACTCCTTCTCGTGCTTACTCATATCAGGTACGCATTGGGGGAAGCTTAAAATTCCCTCCAACCGTTGCTTATTTCTGCATACATGCGTTGTATGTGACCGCGTCCAGTAGCAAGAACGTACATTGAGCACAAAACCTAAATTGCTCGTCGGACATCATCTGAAATCCTACTCAAACATCATACAGCCTACTAGTGTTGACGCTGTAGTATGCGTTTGACAGTCATCAACGGCCCTGAGACAAATATGAGGCCTGAGGTGCGACGATGTCTATTCGTCGAACTGAACTACGCCAGTCATGCCAACGACCCCCTCGTCATTCTCGCACCATAATTCCGCTTTGTCCTTCGCCACAATAGCACCATGTATCGTCGCAGCACAATTCACAAAAATGGGATTGTGCGCGCGATAGGTGAAGTTGCGCAGCTGGGCACTTGGGCGGTGGTAAATAAGGCTCTCCAGAAGCATAAGGGCCGTCAGGGGTCCATGTACGAGTCTTTCTGGGGACAGGATTTCACATGATATTAAGTAGTCGAGAAGTAAAGCTTGACTCACCTGGATATCCCTCAGCTTTCTGCGCGTAGTCCTTGTCTAGGTGTATATGATGTCCGTTGAATGTGAGAGCGGAAAAGCGGAATAACGTCGTCAAGGTAGGAGTGTACGAGAATGAAAACTCAGACTTGGGGAGACCTTTCACTGATGAGAGGCATCCGCTCAGTACCCAAGTACGTCACTCATTGTGTTGAGGACTCGCCTTCGCGGGGTACGCGACTCCCTGCACTAGTTATACTAGATGCTTGAGGTTGGTAGACATGTGCTCGTTCCTCCACCACCCCAGGCTCGTTGCGTCCTTCCACAGTTACCTCAATTCTCTGTTTGACGAACACCATCGGCTTCCCGGCCTCAAATCCTTTCTTCTCGACCTTGGCCACAGTAGACACTGCAGTCGCTTTCTCTCCTACCTTCAGCTCTCCACCCTTGTTCCAGGTCATGGTACCGCTCGCCCACATCCGGCGCGTGAATGGCTGAGGAGGACAGAAGTCTGCGTCAGTCCCATCTTTGCGAAGTAACGCCTCGGGATTGCGCGGGTGGAAGAAGGCGAGGTGGTGTCCGTATCCGAGAGGTGTGTCCTCCACGGGGGGTGCAAACGAGCGACCGCGCGTGCCGTCGCGAGTCGGCAGAGTGATGTAGAGGTCTGAAAGGTGGGTAGAGTGAAAGGTGTCAGAGAGTGCAAGGGATTTCGGGGACGTTATCCAGGCATCGAGAGCCGGTAAATTGAGAGAGCCTGTTGAGAAGCACCGGCGAGCAGGATGGATCCACGAGCTCATATGGCGAGTTGCTGAGAAACTATGACTTGAAGTTCTCATGAAGAGTTTACATTCTAAGTTATAACTCGGCAGTTTCCTCGGCATCTACTTCTTTCTAGATACCACTATGTAAGTCTTATATGGGTATTGATACGTGCCCTCCTCCTTGTTGATCCAAACTCTACCATCTCCCCGCTCAAGAATACCTTTGACGTCTTCCAGTACCTTGGCCTTCTCATCTGGAGGGAGCACGGCAATGTAACTCTTACTCTGAGCGCGATCCGTAACAATTTCTTCGTTAGCAAGGAGATGATATGCCCATTCGTTCTCTTCCTGAGGATGGAATGAGGAGGTATACTCGGGTGTGGAGAAGGTCTGCCTCCAGAGACCGAGGCGAAATTGGGGCGTCCCTTTCTCGTGAGCCTCAATGCGGTCACGGAGCTGTGCAACCCAGCCTGCACCATCTCTGTGGCGCTGTCAGAAGAGTTGATGAAGCAGAAAATAACAGAAGCTAACCTGTCTTCGAGGTTCCACATAAACACAACTGCCCCGTCCTTCTTCAAGATACGAGCGAATTCAGCCGATGCCTTGCCATAGTCAGGGCACCAATGGAATGCCTGTATGCCCGAGGGGTGAACCTGATTCAGCCCTTATATTAATAGTACTGCTCACCTGCGCGATGATAACGAGGTCTGCCCACCCGTCCTCCACACCAGTGTTATCAAATGTCCCCTTGACAATAGTACTACGATGATCATTGACAGTCTTCGTCCAAACATCACGCATGCCGTCGCTAGGTTCGACAGCTCTCAGCGTTCCAATGCTTGTAGCCCATTCAGAGTGAGCTAACAAGGCACGGGTGGAAATGCCCGTCCCTGCCCCAATTCTGCAAGCCAATTGAAGGGTGGAAGTAAAAGGCAGCGTATGTAACTCACTCGACGATATTCAATGGTGCTGTGCTCTTAGATACCTGACGAATGTAGGAAAGACACTCGGTTGGATACGAGGGGCGAGCCCTGGGCGCAACCCAAGCATTAGCGCCTGCGGACCGCACGGGTAGTAGTCAACTCACCGATCATATAGTTCATTTGTCCCAGTCCCGAAGCCTGTCTGTGCAATAACATGCACGTTTGTCGTCATGGTGCGGGAAAGCCGTAAACTAATCGCTGGAAGACTGCAAAGACGAACCGCCGAGCTCGCAGAGATACGAGGCCAGTAATCATGGATGGGGTCCAAAGTGTAGCGGAGGCGCTATTTATGTATGCTGCATGACCCGTCGCCTTCGGAGATCCGTATGATCTAAAAGTGTGCGATAGCAAGATGATGAAGTCTCCGAACCGCCGAAGCACACTGCAGCCTTGTTGATAGTCAATCCAACTGGCGACAACGTTCTCACTACTACTGTCGGGCCCGTGATTCGCTACCGAAAGATCGGAAGCGGGCCTTGAGCGGGCCGTAGCGTAGGTTTTCCCTTGGTGAGACTACCCCAGGTAACATGTTGGTTCAAATGATCATGTTCCTTGCTAATTGGTCAGGAGAACTTCTGGGTCTTCCTTGTACAGAGCCTTTGTAAAGCTCCGTGCACGTACTATCAAGACATTCAATGCCAACGTACGTTTCTCGCATTGATGGGTTGCACTTGTGTTCACTGAACAACGCGGATGAAGCTGTTGTGCAACGCAATGCCCCTCAGCTACAAGAGCTCGTGAATGATACCAGCATTCTGAGTGCAACACTCAAGCGCCATATAAAGAGGCGGAGCACTGAATGTGACGGCCATATTCGCAAACAAATGTGCCGCTCTTTACAGTGGCAGGGGACTGACTAAATCAGCTCCTAGAATGCTTTCGTCAAGTCGAAGTTCGTTGACGCCATCCAATCCTATCAGACTGTTGTGCAGTGCAGTATGAGCAGCGAATAGAGACCGTTCACGACTGGTGCGACGAATTCATTTATTCCTTGTCCATCACTCATGGATATACACCCTATGCAGGCCGGACGCTACACCTGAAGAAGTTCAGGCTGTCATGAACGAGGATGGGAGGCAAATATTTAGCCAACCTGTGAGCGTCCTTATTTCTTCCTTCGAACTGCATCTCATCTATGGACTAGTTGATGAACTCCAACCAATATGGCGAATCAAGAGTAGAATGCCGGGAAGTACATGAACCACAGGAGTGACACCAGGATATTAAGTGTATCGAGCCAACCATTGCAAAGCTTGCTCGGCCCTTCAACGATGTGCGTTTCAGATCGTTTATAGCCAAGTTGATGTTCGTTCTCAATATTTTCAGATGAGTATGATGGTAGAGCAGCGGGACGAAACCATCAATAAAGGCACGGAAGCTGGGTAAACGTGTCCCTTGGATTAGTGCACATTTTCTAAACATTTCTACAGCCTCCAGCACACGAGAAGAACTGTTGGCTCCAAACTTTCTGCCCACACAAGAGGACGGCGTCGGGTCTCAATCAGCATCGCAGTCATTGCCGCTGTCGTGGTGGTGGTCACATCTTTCAAAGCAGCTGCCGCCAAAATGTAAATCCAACGAACAAAGTGAGACTCACTTGGCGATCCACTCGGCCGGGGCGTTATTACCTTACATGCTCTTAATACGATATATTGTCTTTGTTTAATGTCCCGGTCGTGTGGATGGAGTCTCAGTGACTAGTTAGTCAATTACTGTCTCGGCACCATAGTATGTATCTCGTAGGTTCAATGAGTGATGTAAGTAGTACTGTCAATGTTCCTCAAAAGCAAGAGGGAGGTGGCCAGAACTTGAACGTCTGCGTACCATGCACTCTGTAGTTTATCCATGGGTAACTTTGGAAGGATCAGGGGAGGCCTGGTCGAATTTGCAATACAACTTATCGGCACCGAAGTACTTAAAAAGTTAAATGGCCGCGGCTTACAAACTTGAATTGAATAGAATTGTAATCTAACCTGTTTAAACCTCCAGACACGCGCGCGGAAGTGCTGCGCAAGGGCTGAAACGAATAAGCTCCATTATAAGACGGTACTGTTTCCGCACTGCACGCGTGCACATGCTTCTCGCTATTAAAACACTATCGTACACGGATACGATCTACTATGTCACCCTCCATGCGCCAGGTTCTCATCGAAAGTCGTGGAGTCTCCACTTTGCTTCGCTTCGACGAGACGTCATTCTTCATCGAACCCACGGAACTTGATGGTCACAAATCCTCTTGCTGCACAGAAATATTCCACTCTCACAAAGAAGTTAAGTGCACAGAGGTGCCTCTTCGCAATGTCATTTCCGCCAAATTTGCAACTGGCACCCGGGCCATTGAAGTACAGTACCTGGTTCGCAAGGGCAAGGAGATGCGTTTGAAGCTTGCGATGACCCATGGCGCCATTAAGGACGAGGATAGCACGCATGTCAAGGAGTGGTGTGAGGCGTTACTACTGGCTGCATACCAGGGTTTGTCGGGCTTCATGGCGTGTGGTTTGTTCATTGATCTGGTTTATTAGGCGCAAATCCATCCAAGAATCTCAAGGTGCTTGTAAATCCTCATGGCGGACCAGTGAGTTTCATTTAAACTCTATCGTATGCTTTTATAATCGTCCATCTCAGGGGAAGGCAAGAGCAATGTATGTCAATAAAGTGGAACCTATATTCCTTGCAGCTGGATGTACATTGGACGTAACTTGCATGTCACATTTCATCGCATGTTTACTTCGCACTCACGGTTGCCTCACCATACAGATACCACTCATGGCGGTCACGCTCTTGAGATTGCTCGCGAAATGAAGCTGGGATATGATGCCATAGTCATACTGTCTGGCGACGGTTTGATACACGAGGTCCTCAACGGGATAAATCAGCACCAAAATCGCGAAAAGGCATTTCGTATACCGATAGTACCTATCCCAACTGGCTCCGCAAATGGGCTGTCTCTCAATCTGTTGGGTCTGCAGGACGGTCTCGACGTTTGTGCAGCATCTCTGAACGTCCTTAAAGGTGTGTCCTGTCAGTCATTCTAAAACACCGATTGTTGACTATTTGAACCAGGACAACCATTAAAAACTGATCTCTTTTCTTTCACCCAAGGAGATCGTCAGCGGATATCATTCATGTCACAAACTATCGGAATTATGGCAGACATCGATATTGAGACTGAACATTTACGGTGGATGGGCGATACCCGATTCATCCTAGGCTACCTTCGTGCTAGTCAGTCGTTGCTCCACTCACCTGCCACCTTGACTCAATTTTTTACTTTTAGTTATTGCCCGCAAATCGTGTCCAATCGAGTTGTCGATGAAGGTAGTCGATCAAGACAAATCCCGCATGATGGATGCTCTGTATGCGAGACGAGGAGGCGCATCACCCGGCTTGTCTAGTCCTTCTAGTTCCCTACTCAGTGACGACAAGAAGCTTGATAGTTCCAGCTCTTCAGACGAGGAGTGGACCCGGTTTGAAAAACCTATCCTTTGGATGTACGCTGGCCAAGGGCCATTCGTCAGTCAGTAAGTAGCAGTTTGCTGCATTGACGGACCAATTAGCTCACAAGCTCGAGCAGGACTTTGATGCAGTTTCCTGTCTCCTTAGCTGACGACGGGCTCATTGACATTTCCATACAAGAAATAGTAAGTACGATATGATTTGTTCGTTTGAAGCATCTGACGCCCTGTTTGAAGACCAGTCGTAGGAATCTCTTACGGGCCATAGATGGTGCCGAAGAAGGTCGGACGTACTGGACAAACTCGGTAAATTCATCATGTCTCCGTTCGTGCATGCGACTCATCAGGTATGACAGAACCGATACTTCAAAGCGTCCTCCTACCGCGCACGACCACTCGCCCCCACGGGAATGCTCGTGGTCGATGGCGAGCAAGTTCCCTTCGAAGAGTTCCAGGTAGACGTACTTCAGGGACTTGGCACCTTTCTATCCCCTTATCCCCATTTTGCACCTGAGTTTGTTGTACAAGACGCCCACGGGAAATCCCGTCGTACCAGTGTATAATTGTCATTTCAACGATACCCTTCTTGTTGGACCTTACCATTGACTGTGGTTGTACCCATCTAATACTGACGGGATCATGTTATATATTCATCCATGGATGTGAGCAATTTTGTCGAAACTTCAGTACTCAGTCTCGGGTCAGGTCAAGTCGGCAACAAAAGTTGATGACCAAAGCTATATAACGTAACCACTGCACCATCACCATGATATTTACGCACTCTGACCTACTGACTCAACTTGAGAACTCCGAGTCCCTCTATCAGCAATCCAGATCTTCAAATGTGTTCTCTCATTTTCCTTGATAATGGGCCTCACGAGTTACTGTTGCCCTATGTTGCCTCTATCAACGTCCTGTTGTCTCACCCGTGGCGCTTGTCTTTTCCGATCAGGAACTTCGCGATGCGTTCTCCGCAACAGTATCTTTGTGGAGCTCCAGTATCATTGCTTGTGTCCGCCCCGCGGCATCTAATCGACCGTTTCCCGCGAATGACTTATGCTGATGTTGCACGGGCGCACTCAGTTCGCGTGACTACGTCTGACTCTCGCGATCATGTCCTGGATTTCACTCCTACACGGCTTTATGCGGCCACCAGTGATCAGACATTTGTTTTCGACACCTGCATCATGCTCGACGTAACTTGGCTACAGAATCTTTTCCGGAGCCTTGTTCTCAGTCGCATAAAGGGGCACATCCAGATGTTCAACGTTCTTCGCGCACCAGGGCTAAGGAATCCGAAAACTGCGTGTGCGAAAAGAAACCCCGACTTTTCGTCTTCACGCGTTCGCCGCATGCGCTTAGCGCTAGCAGTGTTGAAGATGATCCCCATTTTCCTTCGATTCGTAGTACGTACGGCAGAGGAGAAATTCACAATCATTAGCAGAATGGCATGCCGATGTGCAAAAGTACGTGTGGTGTCTGTGCTCATATTGATATGTCTTTCAGATCTGCATTTGGTGGAAGTTGAAACGTCATTGTTATCCCTGCTGCGACTGGTTACCCGAATCTCCGCTCCCCCGCTCTTATGCCTTTGAGTTGTATGATCTTGCTATCCTTTATCCCAAAGGGCACTAACCCCAATACTAGTCTGTTCCTCCTGCCAGGTATGCCTTCTAGGCAAATGTCCTCGTCAGCCAGTCAACTCACTGGCAAATTTTCAATACTACGGATTCGAGAGACCACCGGACATATAGGTGACGCGTTGAAGGGCGTGTCTAGTCATGACTTGATGCTGGTTTTGTGTTTCTCGGATTATTCCTATAAACCCACGCACTGTCGGCACCTTATATCGACAGAACGAGGATGGTTCGCGGCGAGGCAATGTTGCTATGCGACCACAAGATTCCCCTCAATTGTATGACGTGGCCTTGATGAAATTCGAACACAATGTGTTTATCGCATTCACTGGCCATTACCCATTACCAGGTGTCTACCTGCGATACAGTTAAGCTCGTCCTAGTAATTAAGAGTGTTTGATAATCGCCAATAAAGTGCGTCACCAGCAGGCGTGATATAAAGTGCGGAGAACATGAGCAACCTCTTCGATGACGTCAACGAGGATGCTGATAGATAATCTTTCGTGGTATCGAGGCAGAAAGATACCGGCGTCAATAAGTCAGAAGATTCGCATGCTCCTCATAACTTGGTACCCGATGCAGTGATCGATGATCGATGGCGACGTGGTTCAAAACACGATCGTACACGGATACAAACTATAGTACTACCCCTCCGAGTCCATGCCCCAGGTTATCATTGACTGTGGTGGAGTCTCCACTTCGCTTCGCTTTAACGAAACGACATTCTTCGTCGAACCCACGGAGCTTGACGGACATAAATCCTCCTGCTGCACAGGCATATTTCACTCTTATAAAGAGGTCAAGTCTACAGAGGTACCTCTTCGCAATGTCGTTTCTGCCAAATTTGCAACTGGCGCCGTTGAAGTACGGTACCTCGTTCGCGAGGGCAAGGAGATGCGTTTGAAGCTTTCGATGACGCGCGGCGCCATTAAAGACGAAGATAGTAAGCGTACCAAGGAGTGGTGTGAAGCGCTACTGCGGGCTGCATACCAGGGTTTGTCATGCTTCATGCACTCAATGGGCTTTATGGCGTGTGGGTTTGTTCATTAATCTGGTTTATTAGGCGCAAATCCATCCAAAAATCTCAAGGTGCTTGTAAATCCTCACGGCGGACTAGGTGAGCTCTATTCAAACTCTAATATCACGATATCCTTTTATAACCATCCTTCTCAGGGCAAGGCAAGAGAACTGTACGTCAGTAGAGTGGAACCTATATTCCTTGCGGCTGGATGTACACTGGATGTAACTTGCACGTCACATTTCATCGTATGTTCGCTTCGCACTCACGGTTGCCTCGCCATACAGACACCACCCGTAGCGGTCACGCTCTTGAGATTGCTCGCGAAATGAAGTTGGGATATGACGCCCTGGTCATATTGTCCGGCGACGGTTTGATACACGAGGTTCTCAACGGGATTCAATCAGCACCAACATCGCGAAAAGGCATTTCGCATGCCAATAGTACCTATCCCGACTGGCTCCGCAAATGGGATGTCTCTCAATCTGTTGGGTCTGCAGGACGGTCTCGACGTTTGTGCAGCAGCTTTGAACGTCCTTAAAGGTGTGTCCTGTCAGTCGTTCCAAACACCAGGGTCGCTGAATATTTGAACCAGGGCAACCATTGAAAACTGATCTCTTCTCTTTCACCCAAGGAGATCATCAGCGGATATCATTCATGTCACAAACTATCGGACTTATCGCAGACGCTGATATTGAGACTGAAAATTTACGGTGGATGGGCGATACCCGATTCATCCTAGGCTACATCCGTGCTGGTCAGTCATTGCTGCACTCACCTGCCACCTCAATTCAATTTTTCACTTCTAGTTATTGCCCGCAAATCGTGTCCAATCGAATTATCGATGAAGGTAGTCGATCAAGACAAATCCCGCATGATGGATGCTCTGTATGCACGACGAGCAGGCGCATCCCCCGGGCTGCCTGATTCCCTTCTCAGTGACGATAAGAAGCTTGATGGCACAAGCTCTTCACACGGGGAGTGGACCCGGTTTGAAAAACCTATCCTTTGGGATATACGCTGGCCAAGGGCCGTTAGTTGCTCGGTGAATAGCAGTATGCTGCCAGAAGAGACCAATTAGCTCATGAGTTCGACTAGGGATTTCATGCCGTTTCCTGTTTCTTTAGCTGATGACGGGCTCATTGATATCTCCGTATTAGAAATAGTAAGTGCGACATGATTTGTTCGTTTGAAGCATCTGACGCTCTGTTCGAAGACCAGTCGTAGGAATCTCTTGCGAGCCGTGGACGGTGCCGAAGAAGGTCGGCCGTACTGGATGAACTCGGTGAATTCCTCGTGTCTTCGTTCGTGCGTATGACTCACTGGACACGACAGAACCGATACTTCAAAGCGTCCGCCTACCGCGCACGACCACTTGCACCCACGGGCACGCTCGTGGTCGATGGCGAGCAAGTTCCCTTCGAAGAGTTCCAGGTAGACGTACTTCACAGACTTGGCACTTTTCTATCCCCGTATCCTTATTATGCGCCTGAATTCGTTGTACAAGATGCCCAAGGGAAAACCCGACGTACTAGTGTATGATTTCAATGATACCGTTATTTATGCACTCTCATCCTCTCCATCGGCAAACCAATGGATGTTCATATCACAGTTCAAATGATCACGGACGAGAAGGTTGCAGCCGCTCGGAGTTGACGTGTTGAACACTTGGTAAGCTTCTTCAAATTTGTTCTATCATTTCCTCGTAGTGTCCGCGAGAATGGGCCTCAACCGTTGCGTCTGTCAACAACACTGAATCAATCACGTCCATGAGATAAACGGAATCTCGAATTGACGGTCAAGGATGGTGATTTCTCAGTAGTGGCATTAGCTGAGCAACGGCCGTTGCTGCTCTGCGTGAAGTCACGTCAACTTCATGTTGTCAATTTCAAATCCTTTGTGCATGCGTTTAGATAAATGTTCGCGTTTGTGAAAAGGTTAGATCTACGAGTCTACATACAAGAGCGCGAATTATGAAGAAAATTGTGCTTGACTCGTAACACAATCTTTACCCCGAAATAAGCCTCTCTTTGAGTCCGACAACGAATATCCAGAACAAAGAGAAATTGTAGCCAATGGTACCGGAAACTGTCAAAGCCACGAGTGCATATTTCATCAGTGCAACTTTCCTTCTCTGGTAAAACCACTGCTCTCCACCCACCACCTTGAAATCATCCCAACGTGGCTTTCGCATGATCCACCAGTAGAGTGTCATCATACCAGGGAACGTGATTACATTTCTGGCGCCCTTCCGACTGTCACCTCGATGACATGAAAAACAGTGCGAAAATATCGTGTTCTCCATGCGTTTTCGGATCCATGTGTTGTAACAGGCTGTCGCCTTTTGGGTGACTTCAAGTGATTTCGCCTTACCATTGACGATCGGCTTGATCAGCTTGAGAACATAGCTAACCTATGTAGCCTCAAGTTCGATTACAGCAACTTGAGATGTCTAAAGGTACATACCTGAGTCTCAATGATGAAAAGAAGAGAAGCGTGAGCCGATAAACCGTTGGGCCCTGACAAAGTTGTCAGATGAAGTCATATTACACTGCATGGATCAGCCAACTACTAACCTACGATTGTGAACATGTTTGGAAATCCAGGGAATACCGTTCCGTAATAGCCCGTCGGTCCACCTTCCGATTCGAAGTATTGCTTAAGAGTGAGGCCACCAATTCCGCGAAAAGCTATGTCTCGTTCAACCTGTACAATATCGGATACTAAGGACCAGTACTCTTGGCTGAATTGAAAATTACCATGTAAAAGCCGGTAGCAAAAATAATTGCGTCCAGTGGTACTTTGTCACCAGTCTTGAGAACGACCCCATCCTCGACAATTTCTTGGATTCCGATCCAATTCAGATCAACGTTGAGTTGGTGCAACGCGGACAGGTAGCCAGAATCAAAAATCAGGCGTTTGCACCAAGGAGCTATTTAGCAGCAGTCAATTGGGTAAGTCACAATCATCGATATCACATTAATTGCTCACGATAAGTGGGTATCATCTCATTGTGGAATTTCGCTGGCGCGGTTTGTTGCATATACAATGATAGAATCTATTGATCATTAGAAATATCAGGTGGTCAGAGAAGCCGACGTTACCTTCTCGACCGCTGCATTAATGAATGAATTCGTCAAGAAAATGTTCCATAGAAGATCAAACTGGAATCGAAGAATTCAGCTTCCGCCAAAACGAGATATCTATGCACCATACTCTTATCATGATGGAACTCCTGTATGCGTACATGAGAAACGGAACGTGGGCAAACCCCCACTTGAGCCACTCTGGGTAGCGGTAGTTCTCCTTCAGTGTTTCACCATTCAACACGAACAATCTGCACAAGGATAGTAATTAACACACCCTCATTGTGAACCACTGTGGCGAGCGACAAAAGTTGATAATCCGAGTAGTAGGCTCGGCGGCGATAATCGGTATGAACTGAGTTCTGTAAAGTTTTTCAGCACGTTGCCTCCGATAGGCAGACAAGGAACATGACTTACGCAGAACAGCCATTGCCGACGACACCGATCACCTTGCCTTTCAGATCTACATCATGCCTCCAGTGAAAGGAATGCCAGAGTGGTCCCGTAAATTTTTCCCTTCCGGGAATATCCTGAGGAAACATCGGCGATGTGAAAGGGCCGACAGCCTGAATGACAACTTCCGCTCGTGTCTGCATAATCTGGCCAGACACTACGTCTTCTAGCGTCAAATTATGCACGCTGTTTTCCTCGTCCCATTCAACAAGCTTAACGCGGGTGTTGAATACCGTGCGGGAAGCCAGACCGTGTTTATGGTATATTTCCTCCCAGTACGCACGTATCTCGGGCTGTGTGGCGTAGTAGTTCTCCCAGGATGGGTTGGGTTCCGTTGAAAGGGAATACCAATGCCCGGGAATATCGGACCCACACCCCTGGTCAAGAGATTCAATAATCAAGTTCAAAGAGCGGACATGACCATACAGGGTATGTATTGTCCTGTCACGTTCCAACGAACAATTAACACTGATTCTGTGCGGATTAAAATGATTTCAATCGTACTCGCCACGTCCCACCGATGGATCCTGCTTTTTCATAAATCTAGAAAGGTCGTTTTCATCGTATGTACAAAATGTTCAAGGTGGCTTACCACGAAGTTGTCGTGTTGCAACTTGTTTCTCAAGTTCACAGCCATGGTAAGTCCGGCGATGCTGTTGTGTTGGATTTAGTATTAGCCCATTTGCCATCGGTGCAGCAGCAAGAACGTACCCGGCACCAACTATGACCACTCGAGGTTCACGATGCATATCTAGCAGAAGGTTTCGCGTCAAGCTTGTTGGTGGAAAAAGGAAGGAAGCGCAGTTCCGTTGTAGGGCCATGGGAGGACACCTCTGGGTTATATACCACTCAGGCGAAGTCCTATATTCGCCTGAGTGAAGACTTTACCATGGATCGGTGATCTCGGGGATGTTGACTGACCATCTAAGTATTTCCCTAGTCTCCAGTAGCTAACCCAATGTGGTCGATAAGTATCACTTGCCTTGTAAGTTCTTGCTTGTGCACAAAATCCGGAATAGTAATTCGAGATGCGGCAATGCTTGTTTTGAGATGTCTGTTACAGCATCGCTAGCCTACGCACCGAGACATGGCCCGTAGTGTTGTTGAGAGAAGTCTGCCATTCTGCCAGGCAGAACACTGTGGGTAGAATCTAGCAGAATGACAGACTGCAGGGGATCAGACAGGAGCTGCTGATATACTTCTTCACCCTTATACGGTCACCAGCTGGCATTTCCGAACGAAGGTTTGGCTTCTTCATGGCAAGCACTGAGAGCGTTGAGCATGTGTATTGCCATACCTTTAGAATGAGAATGAGAGCACTTATTCGTCGAATGCGACCGCAGTGTGACAACTGACCTGTGACTGATCGACTGCTCAGCGAAACTGAGTTATCACACAGTACATAGATCTATCCCCATCGGCTTTACATTAGTCTCGAGCCACACGTTCGGGGAAGTACAGAACACCGTTGGGGCTTCCCTTACATAGGCCCGACCACCCCAAATAGACACAGCCATCCCCTTGTAGCGATACAAGTGGCAATAAAACGCGTTCCTTAGACTTCTGCATGGCCTGCATAAAATTGGTTGGTTAGTATATTGCTTGATCCATATATAGCGTATAGAGAAATATAGTAGCCAGTGTGCAAATCTACCCCTCATTCCCTGCAACCTCCACAAGTGCAACATCGTCATCGTCATCGTCATTCTGATCGTCTTGTACGTCCGGTAAATTGAAGTAGAAACACAAGTTCGCCCATATAAGAGTCCGTGCTTCCATGCTGCGCGACGCCAACGTCTGCATGGCATCATAACAAGGATACTGAGCAGGCGGCTGCTGCGAGGCAATGTACTTTAGGACATGTAGGAGATCTTGAGAGGGTCCGTCTAACAACCTTCTCCTGGCCATTTGGTGGATACACTCCCTGTCACATGGACAGGATTCCTCCTCCTCAATTTTTTGAGCAAATTCCATCAGATAATGCTTGCCTCGCACTAGGCAGAGCCAATCGGCGGGTGTTAAGAGCCCCCATCGTGCGGTGCGTTCTCCAGGCTGCCACGCAATGGCATTCCCTTCAGAATTAGCGATCGTAGGGGGGGACGAGGTGCGGAGGGCATCAAAATCCATGAAAGGACTGATTGTAGATAACATATAAAACGCGGCAGGCAAAATTTCTGGGATATTGGCCTCTCGAGCTAGGCGTATGGCAGACGCAGGTTCCAGCATGCGATTATCGATGAATCGACTAGCTGCATCATGTTGCGGTAATGTGGATCCAGAAAGACCATCGTAGTGCTCTATGAGCTTATCCCATTCCTGGAGAGTCGATGGCCAGTCTGCACGAAAGCGAGCCCTGAGGAGCTTATGCAGTACGCGCACGAAATATTTCTGCGATAGCAGAAGAATTCCCTTATACTTGATGGCAGCAAGAGGGTTTCGATTCTCCAGCATGGATAGTATTGTGCTAAAAGTATTTGGCTTGAGAGCCACGGCCCATACAAACACCAGTGCTCACCCTGGATAGTACAGTGCTCGAAGAAGGTCTTCAAGGTCTTTTGCATCATCCGGCATATGTACGGAATCTACACCATCATACGTCTCTTGGTCTGTACCTGAGGGTAGTGCAAACATATCCGCAAACACTTTCGAGTGTGACGCGAGCACGAATTTGTGAACGCGGAAAGCATGCGTTTTACCAGCATGGGCGGCTAAGAGAACTACACTGCCATCTGCGTAGTATAGGTCTCCTGGACGCAAAAATTCATCCTCGGCTGCCTACATGTGGTGTAAGTACGGTGGGGATGGGATTGTTGTTACCAAGTAAAATCGAACCTACCATTCGCTTAAGCAAAAGATACCAGCTCAGTTGATAATGGTGTGACGAGTGTGGGGGTGTGACGGTACGTGCCTCGACGCGTGACAAGCGCGGTCGTTGAATCACGTGGTGTCCCTCACGGAATCGGACCTTGAATTCAACCCTTCATAAGGCTTAGCACACAAACGTCGCGTCCCCTCAACAACTCTTCCCTTGACCACCACCCACTACCGCCACTTGTACAGACCACATATCTGGTATGTATACGCTTGCGATATTGCATTGTAAATGCAAACTCACCCGTTCTTAACAGTCACATACCTGTACACTTTGTAAATTTAAGCAATGGCACCTAAAGTAAGTCAATTCGCGATTCAAATGGTTCCCATGTATTGATTCAAGGACCCCATTTCAGCCCGCATCCACCGCTGGCAAGGCTCCTGCCTCCACTGCCTCCAAGGCACCCGCTAAGGCTGACGCCGGCGCAAAGGCTGCGAAGAAAACTGCTGCTAAGCCACAGGCTCCCGTTGAAGGCGAGAAGAAGAAGCGTCGCAAGGTTCGCAAGGAGACGTACAGCTCGTATATCTACAAGGGTGCGTTTATGGGTCATGGTGGCGATGTTTGGGGTGACTGACTTCGTCGTCAAGTCCTCAAGCAGGTCCACCCCGATACGGGTATCTCGAACAAGGCTATGGCCATCCTGAACTCGTTTGTCAACGATATCTTTGAGCGCATTGCGACTGAGGCATCCAGTATGTTTCCATCGCTTGTCATGTGACAGATACTTACCGTTTACCTCAGAGCTTGCGGCTTACTCCAAGAAGTCGACGATCTCATCACGTGAGATTCAAACGTCTGTCCGTCTTATCCTGCCAGGAGAACTTGCAAAGCACGCCATTTCTGAGGGTACCAAGTCTGTCACCAGTAAGCACGATATCATTCAATTCGTAGGTCATGCTGTTGACCGTCATCTTAGAATTCTCTGCTGGGTCCAAGTAGTCTGTCTGTATATTTCACCGTGTATCGTTACAATACCGTGTACCTTTTCGTTATTAGAGATACCTCCACAGTACTTTCCTCATCGAGGCGGAAATTCGTTTCAGAGCCGCCCATAACACTTCAATTGATCTTCCTTTGAGCATACAAAACAAACTTGCCCGATCTGTCAGCGCTTACAAGTGATGTATTGGAGTGAGGTATATGTAGTGTAAACAATCATTCTAACAACAATTCTAACAACACCGATATCTATAAAAATATTTGAGAGTTCGTCATATGTGCACTTGTATGAGGCACTGGAGTTAAAGTATCTAACGGGATTTTTGCTTGACCAAGAGTCGACAATAAAAGAGCGTGATGTGTGCGAGTACAGAGTCCAGAAATTTGACGGCACCTATGATCCAACAACGAAAAAATCCGAGTGAATGAAAGTGTGCATGAAAACAAGCAAGTCCTTGGAGTGATGGTTCTAGTATGTGCATGATTGATGACGGTGAATAATTATGGTCGAGCTAAAGAAGCGGTGATTAGCCCAATTGAGCGTCTCCAAAGCCATGCTGCATGACAACTTACCTAATTGTTCTTTGCGGTAGAACCAGAAGTAACCTAGTACAATGACGATCTGACAGATCAACGCTATCCAGAATGGAGCAGAGGCCATCGGGCTGCCACTGAGACCTTGCGAGAAATCCCATGTTCCAACATCAGGGAAGACGCTTCCTGGACCGATGCGGTTTGGAGCAGTTGCCCGAGCGGCCATAACACAGATAGACCCGATAACCTGAGCGAAAGCGAGCGTGGCGCAGACGTGTAATCTTGACAATGTCTGGAGGAGAATCATTCCCAAACCAACACCTTGTACGGCGTCCAGGACACCGAGCCAAAGCCACAGAGAGAGACCAAGGTATGGTCCGCCTGAGCCAGCCCACGGGATATAGAGTGCAAGAGACGATGTGCCCCACAATGTCTGCAACATACGTTAGACGACGGAGGCTTGATATGGATAAGATCGTACCTGACACCACCTTGGAGCGCCAAGGCCAACAGCGAACACGGGCAACAACCAAGTGTGCGTCTTACTCAAGGATGTGAGGATGTAGAGCATGAGCGCCCAGACACCGATGAAAAAGAGGATGATGAGAAGCATGATCGCCCACTTGGGGATTGGAACGCTCCACAGGAAACTCCAGTTACGACCGTAGGGCTGCAATAGTGTTAGAACATGAGATCGTTGAAACACCGGAAGCTAACGTACCCCACTGAGCCAATAATCACGCAATACTTCAGATGCGAGGAACCTTGTGTAGAGTATCAGTATCGTCAACTTGACCGCGAACACATAAAACCTACCAAAGTACTAGTTTCCTTCGGAAGAGTGTTTTGAGGAAGTTGGGAACTTTTGGAGGAGTTTGTCGGTAGTACTCTGTCTCGTAGTTGGTATTGCCCTGCTTGAGATCTCAGATAGGACTTACCTGGCAGTCCATACAGCATCAAGTATGCAAATACAAACGACATGACTGAGAGCGGCCACAAGATAAGGACGATCCACCAAGGCGTAACGCTCCCGGGTTGCGCGGTGTTCAGAGTACTACCCCAGTACCATAGGGCAGCCACCCAGATCTGTTGGGAACCTTGCACAATACAAGCGCGCAGTGTCCAGACTTCAGTGGCGGCACCCTAAAGAACGAAAATCAGTTGCATGCTACAAAGGAACTCAAGAAATGACGAACCGCTTCCTCTCCAAAGTTCAAACCGAAGAAAATGAAAGCAGCAGCAGAAGCGACAGCATATGACCAAGTAGCAATGTCCGATAAAATGGTATGAGACGCTGAAAGCTTCGATGACACAGAGGGAACACCGATCAAAAAGAATGCTATGCCGTAGAAGAGCCAGGGAGCGGAAAGAACGTAAACAGAAGGCTTCAAGCGGAACATCGTATACCAAACGAAAGAGGAAGCTAAGAATACAGCGCTGAGGACATATAGCTGGAGGTTGTTTTGGTAGTTTTGACCAGTGAGCAACGTCATCTGGTAACTGTTTGCCGCAAGCATCTTAAGAACAAACGTGAGCTCATGAATGAGAATGAGAATCAAAGGTCTTACTTGGCCGAGAGCAATGATGATAGTATACAACGGCCAGCTTCCAATCTGTCGAGCCATGGCGATTTGGACCCTGTTCATGATCACAACATTGCCGTCAAATTCTGGTTCTGGACCAAATTGATGAGAGCTAGGCGTTCTTGGGGCTGTATGCATAGCATCAGTAGCGATTCACCTGCACAAAAAACCTACACTCACATGTCGGCCGCGAGTGCTCATTGATGGTGAGAGTCCCAGGCATACTCCAGACAGACTCTCGGTGCGATGAAATGTAACTGGCAGCACTTGACAGCTTGTCTCGTCGCACACGTTCGAAGAAGGCCTCCTCGGACCTAACGAGATACTTCTCGATAGAGAGCTCGCCCTTGGAGTTCTCTGAGCTCAACGTCTGCAGCTTTTGCACAAACTCTGAGGCAACGCCACCATCGGAATCCGTGAACTAAAGAGTGTTAATCAGTACAAACTCCACAAAAATGCCCGAGAGACGTACTGTCGCAATCGCCTTGTTCAACGGCGAGTTGCTCTTTTCCTCCACAATGCTGCCAATCGATTCCATCGAGGCCACTCTCGAGTGCGACCCAAACGGTTTCGCAGGAGGCGTCACAGTCAAGAAAGGATCCGGAGCATGCCGATGATCTTGTGCAATCGTCTTGTTCGCTTTCTCCAAGAAATCACTATACCCCGGCCGACTACCAGTCGCGAAACTATTCCGCGAGTGTTCTTCATCAGACGTATCCGACGCATATGAAGAGTCGCGATTGAGGTTGAAACGAGGTGGTGCTGATAGGAAGGTCTCATCGTTGGGCGTTGAAACGTCATTGGGCGTCGAGACCTGGCTCCACTGTCCAGGCGAACTAGGCATCAATCTCGGGGATGACATGGTGCTCTGAGCGTCCCAATCAGGTTGAATAGGCATGCCTTGATGAACAGGATTCCAGTCTTCTGCTTCTGCCACCGCTTGAGAAGGTTCATTCCCGCAGTCCGACTCTCGCCAAGCATTTGAAGCAGCTAGCTTTCGGCTCGCGTAGATACTCCTTCGGTGCATGTCTTCCATCCGCTGACGCCATTCGACGACTGGGAAACGCTGAACGGCTGAGCGAGCACGGAGTATGGCTCTTTCTTCCTCTGTGGATTTTAACGCTAACTTGATCGTCTTCGAAAGCTGGGACAACATATGGGCCGTCGAAGTAGATTCCACAGGGAACCACTACCAGCAAAAGCACATTAGATCCTGCTCAAAGATGAGGACACTAACACTCACCCATCCGGGCATCAACCCAAGACCACCAAGTCGACTCCCAACACCAAGCGCACCTTTCCTGCCAAACTCGACAGCGACCAATCCAAACGGTTCATCACGGGAAGGAATCAAAGCAAAGTCAGCACCACTAAACAGATAAGGCGGTAGCGCAGTGAACTCCGGTTTTGAGAAAACGCGATCAGGGTACATCTCCATCAACCGAGCAAGTTTCTCCGCTGCAAAACGACCATAAAGATCGATGACAGGTCCCACGCAAACCAACTGTATAGAAGTGCGTTTCTCCAACCTACGAGAAATTTCATCAGAAGCGCTTCTCAAGAAATGGAAACACACTCACAGCGAAGGCATAACATCCGCAATAAGATCGACACCTTTCTGCTTCGACCACCGACCGACGAACACAAACAGATCGGAGTTAGGATCCTGCTTGATACCCGCCCATTCCTGAGCTTGTCTCTTCATCTCCGGACGCTGTGCCTCAGCAGCCGCATCAATTTGAATATCCCTCATAGCCACCGGGTTCTCGTCCAAAGCCGCAATATCCGTAGGATCCGGATTAGGCAACGAATCGACGTGCTTGAGGGTCCAAAGCGCAGGATACCGCGCCCAACTCCGCTTTCCATACTTGTCCGATACACCAGCGACACCGATGCTCTTTTGATGAACACTGATGAACGATGCAGCTGCGTGAAGCAAGTTGAAGGTGTTTCCGAACTGAACGTATTTGGTGCAGTGCTCTTTGCTGATATTGAACGCGGAGCAGACTTCTTTCATCTCTTCTTTCGTTCGGAGCGGCCATAGACCCTGGAACTCGGCATTGTGCAGCGAGAGACAGACGGGTACGACTTTTGGCAAAAGGTATATCGGAGCGAGCGCACCGTGGTAGTCATTGACGTGGTATATGTCGATGACAGGGAATCGGCGAATGGTAGCTGCGATAGCCTGGTTCCAAGTAGAGTAGAAAATGGCGGAACTGAGATCGTCCATGCGAGCGGGGTACGGGTCGGACTTGGTCTGAGCGCGGAAAACGGGGCTGTCGAGGATAACATAGGTAATATTGTCCAACACGTGCGTCTCCACTTCAATAAGGTAGGGTTCATTGAAGATGACCACCTCGATAGGCTCCGCAGGTTCTCCAGCAGGGTACTCAAGGTCTTTGACCTTGGGAATGACCCAGATCATGTCAACGTCCGTCATAGCTTTTCCCATGAGCGAAGACATCACACCGAGACCTCCGATCTTGACTTTAAGCTTCCAGTCAATGATCTCATACTCGAGCGTCGCGATGAGGACCTTTCGCCGCTTGTTCTTGTCTTCTGGCCATCCTATGATATCCGCATTCCCCTTGTGTCCAAAGATTTTCTCCGTAATAGGCGTTGAGGTCTCCTTGAAGTCTGCAGTCGACTTGTTGCCGAGCGTTCCGAGAATCGGGAAATACTTGCTTGCGCCTGAATTGGTCTGCACACCGTACCGGTTGTGGCGAATCCCGTAGAAAGAGTACATGAAAATGACCACGGCAAGTATCCCGGAGATGAGGGAGAGAGAGCAGAGAAGCCCGTACATGATAGCACCGACGGAAGCCTGGCCACGGGGCTCAAGAGTCCACGCCATCGTAGCATCATTGACGACTAGAGCCCATGCAAGCGCAGGATAAGGCGGCGCCGACATGTTCAGGTAGTTGGGCGCGATACTATTTGGTGGCAGCCGATCCATGACGCCGTCCGCGTCGGTGTCGCCGTAGTAGTAATCATCGTACCCAAACACGTTGAGCTGGACGTACGTTGGCCACGCAGCCATGATTTCGAGCTCCCAAGTGCCATCGCCGATTTGGTTCATGACGTTGGAGATACCCTGGTCATAGCCCCAGTCATTGAAAGGACCCCGAGCGAGAAACTGAGGAACGCGGCGCTGCTGTTTAAAGTTCAAATCTGCATGCACGACGACACTAGCGGTGGTAGCAATGGCACTCCAATCTGCAGCAATGTCAACACCAAAAAAGAACGGTAGACTACGAGCACTCACATTGGACCATGATATGTTGACCCGCCCAGAAAGTATCAGAATTGCTGACAATATTAGCGGGGATGGTAGTAACGTTCTCCCAATTGGTCCAGTTAGACCAACTCTGTCCGTAGTTGCCCGAGTACCTGAACATATCCGCGCCAATAGCATGGTGCGTGAACGTATATTGGCCGTCAGTGTACTTGAACGCCTCGTTGTCGTAATCGGAATCAGGGAACACCATGATATTGCCCGCATCACCCTTCCGCAGAAGCAGATGATCGACGCTCTACGAAACCCATGAGCAAATCACCGAACACAAAAAAAAACAGACATACCCCAGTAGTCACCCCAGCCTGCGATAGCGGATTATTAACAATAATCTCCAAAATCCCATCCGAAACATTCGTCAAAGTACCAGACCACGACCACGCCGAGAGCGGAGCTCCGACAATGCGCGAGATGACTGGGTTCGTGATCGTATTGCACGCTACAGAGGTCAGGTCGAGCGTAGGCTGCCCACCAATCCCCGAAGACGTGACATTGAACGCCAAACTCGAGGTGACGTTGTCGCATCCCATCGCTGTGTTGAACTCTAGGACGAGGTCTATTGTCGTTGCGTTCGGGTCGCCATGCATAGCCTCGATGCGTGCGTCATGCCCGGGCAGGAACCTCGTGAGCATAGGCGGAGGGGGGAGCCACTCGAGGACAGGAACTAAAGCTTTCATGCCATACGTGTCCATGTCCACCGTCTGAAGACACCCATACCACGGCGCCGCCCCATTATTATAATACGACTGCCCCGAATTCACGAGCGTATAGTTTTCATACGGCGCCAGCAAGTTCTTCACTGTCTGTCCGCCCGTATAAGGCGAGGAAATCCACAACGGACCGCCACAATCATACGTAAACGTCTGCGAACTGTTCAGGTTGGAGTATAGGAGCCAAACTTGATCGGTGACCGTGCCCGTCAGGTTCTGCACGTTTGGGATTCCGGAACGGGAGACAGACCAGAGGCCCATCTCCGATGCAGTGCCGTTTGAACCTGGGCGCTCGATAAAGTAAGTCCAGTTTCCACGTTGTACGAGGTCGAACCCGTCTTGAAGGGCATTGTATGTGGTTCGGAGGTACATGAAATGTTTCAGGAGGCGACGCATGTCTGTCGTGGGATCAAAGTGATCGAGCGAGTTCCAGTCATCGTCACATCCTGTCAAGGCGGACTCGATGGGCATGTTGAAGTATTGGGCGGAGCCAAGCTTGTAGCACCCGTGGTGCTGCCAAGCTTTATTGCTCATCATTGCTTGACGGCTGACAGAAAGTGTGAGAAAAGCAATCAATGCAAGTATGGTTGACCCACCCGAAGAGATAATTGGAAGCCGTAGAGTCGAACAGATAGAAATTCTGCTCTTCACCATAGTAGACCTGTGAAAAGTTAGCACTGTGCTAACCAACCGTCGGGTCAAGCTCCTACCATTGGAACCCCTGGCATGACCAGATACGTGATAAATGAAGCCAAGGCGGATCTCAACGTGCCATTCTCCAAACTAGGCCAGCGGAAGACATCGAAATTGCTCGTTCCGAACAAATGCTTCGGATCCGTGAGGCCCGTGTTCGCATTCAAGAAATCGTTGTTGACGAACATCTGGTTCCAAGCTGAGATAAAGTTGGAGTTGAGATCATATGCCACCTCCAAGTTTCCGTCCATGCCGAGGAAACGGGTGAGGGCACGGTAGATTGAATAATGGAATGCGTAGCCATCGAGGTTGTTATTAGACTGCGCGCGCAAGAAATACTGGTTCTCTGATTCCGTCAAGTTGGCTGCCTGGACAAATGTAGGGGGCAGCATATTCGGGGTGCGGCCGCGTCCCCTGCAAATGAAATTGAATCCCTGATACCAAACACCAAAATAAGGACTGACATGTATAGGGAGCCAAACGTGTCACCGCCAGTAACCTCTCCGGTGATGTAAAAGTTCTTCTTTCCAAGATTAGTAGCGCATGCACGAGTTGCAGTTGCCCATGCCGTCATGCCGTCTACGGTGACCTGTGTGGACTTGTCGACGCGAATAGCATCGATGTCAAGTGCTGTGATTGTCATGCAAGAAAAGGTGGTGAGCTTTTGCATAACGGAAGGTTTCCATTCACGGAGACGATCCTGTACGGAGGCAAATTTTGAGAGTTCACGCTGCCAGTCGGGGTGAACACCAAAAGCTTCCATGTCACCATAATGATCAAAATCGGACTCGAGACAGCCGTTGTATCCGGTGACGGCCTGAATTGTGCCATCTTCTTGCCAAAAGACGGGAAGTTGACAAGACTGATTACGATCGTTGATGACCTAGCACACGACCAGGAAGTTAAATGAGCCGGGGACGGGCACGAGGCAGTACTAATATAAAAATGACTCACGGTGAAATCGGCATACTGTTCGAATCCCCACGGAATATAGCTTGGGTTCTTGTATACGGCAGAATATTCGTCGAGAGAGAAGGGGGCGCTAACGTTGAGATAACTGGGTGACGATGGGGGTGAGTGAGTGTACTGAGGAAGGAGATAAGGGAGAACATACCCTTCAAAACCGAGGAGGTCTGATAAAGTTCCGACAGTAAAGTCCAACATTATATACATGCCGCGTGTGTGTACTGTGTCGATAAAGTCGACCCAGTCTTGGATAGTACCCCAATGAGGGTCTAGGACAGAAAAGTCGAGAGGAGAATAACCTGAAGGAGGTGATGAGAATTGGAGTGAAGATGTGTAGAGTAGGACATACTATCTGCTTGCCATATCATGTTGATGAAGATTGTACCGGATAGATATATACCCTTCATGCCCATGCCTTGGATGTAGTCCAACCTTGAAGACAAACCCTTGAGGTCGCCACCGAAGCGCAACTGGGTCTCTCTCCAGTCCCATTCATACGGAGAGTCAAAATACTGATTATTTGAGGGGTCACCATCTGCAAACTTGTCCAAGAGGACTGTGTAGAACGGTACTGCACGCCAGTTCTGTGGGGAGGGAGTGTAGGTGGTGTTTGATCTAGTGGTGTAATAATCGGTAGGGTATGTTGCTGATTGGTTTACATTGAGATTGTAGGTTGTAAGGTCGGAACGCCAAGGGGAAGCGAAAGCTAGGGACGAAAAAGATAGAGAAGAAGCAAGGGCGGTTAGGAACCGCATGTGGGGCGGGTGAGGGGGGGCAGGGGTATGAAGAGAAGAGGACCTGCCAAAAATGAGTTGTAATATGATATAGGTAGTGGGACAAGTTAGGTCAAGTGAACAACACGTTTTAGAAGCAAAACAAAATTCGGCTGCCAGTGACGGTCAACTACCGTCGGATGAACGCATGTCCTTCTCGTTTCATGATTTCTATATCCGTATTCAATATTAAAGGTTTACGGCGTGGTCAGTCCTGACCGGACTTGCAAGGCACTGCTGCCAGGTTCTATCTAGCGTGAGACAAGGCACTATCAAACATGAATCCAGACCTCAAAGACAAGACAGTACCGACCTTGGCACGGGTCGATCGTGCCAAGATACCTCGCATAGTGATCCGAGATACCCACTCAACTGATCTCGGACCTGTGCATTTTCCGTATCGTGGATTGTTCCCCCCAAGTATAGTTTGTCATGACAAATTCTAGGTCATGTTCCGGGGGCGAAGCATGTCAAAGGGATGGAAGGCGTTCCGGTCGTCGTTCTGTGTGATAAAAGTCTAATATCTACTTATCATCACTGATCTCACGAGTTGTCCACCTCAACTATGATGGTCATTTATGGAATGCACAGCCACAGTCGTGATCAGGAACTTTCAACATTAGCTTGTCGACGTCGCAGACAGTGATTAGCATACCGTCAGTGTCCTACATACCACTCTACATTAACTCAAATATAAACAAACCATCATTGATGGCTGCTATTACAACTTCCTCGCCTATACTCGACATTGCCCATTCTAAATCCTCTCCATCCCCGACCTCACCAACTGGAACCCGTCATATCGACCACCAACTTACCACCTCCCGCTCATTCATCAACATCGCTTCCCCCCGTACTCAATCATCCTTTCCAGCAACACCCATGTCCAGTAGCTGTACACTCGACCCACCTCCCGGAACTACCTTTGCCGATTTCTTACGCACCTGGAATGACGCCCACGTCGCTCGCTGGCTCGCTGATAATAGATGTCCTACACATATCGACTCCTTCAAAAATAATGACATTCGTGGCGATATCTTGTTGGAGTTGGACCAGGATACCCTAAAAGAAATCGGCATTGCCAGTATCGGCGACAGGCTACGCATAGTAAATGCCGTCAAGAACCTAAGGTCCAAATGTTCACCACGGAACACAATCCCCTCCGTATCCGCCATCGCTCACACAAGGGCTTTCTTGGGTTCTCTTGACTCTCGTCTCCTTGAATCCCCAAGAACAAATGGCGTAGATCACTCCCATGCACGCACAAGCTCACGCGAACTCTCAACTTCCAGAGAACCCTCCCCCACATCTCGAACCCACAAGCGCCTCGATAGCAACAGACCCGCTCCATTAGTTCTCTCCCCCAGCTCAGGACGCCCGGACCTCCCCCGTATCATCCGAGAACCACAGTCAAGCGACTCCATGCGCAACCCTTCCACTATTCGCCCACTTCCCCAAATCGGCCCGTCTCCCCAGTCCACAACACCAAACAGCTACACATCCTCCCGCCCCTCCTTGCCCCCCCTTCCTCCCGCACCAAGGGGACAACCACCTCAGCCCCCACGGGTAACCTCACGCAGTCTCCATCCCGTCAATGGTCCGCGCACGCGCACCCCCAACCAAGCAGACGCAACCAACTACACCAACTCACCCCTCCCACCAGCACCTACCTCCACCCCCTCCAATATGCTCACAACTCCAACCCAGCCCAGCAGCTGGTCTTTTGGCCTGCCCCCAGATCCCCGCTCAGGACCGTCCAAACCTATCCAATCTGCATCTCCCCTGGCATCACGATCTCCCTCATTAACACGTTCTGCAAACGCCGCGCACAACAGAAACATCTCTTTCAGTGGCGTTCCTTCCCCTCTTGCGCCTACGCCCACCAATTCGAAAAGACCATCGACGACCGGACACCCATATGCGTCCGTGCAAGCACCTGCATCCTTGCAGGCCCCCGCTCAGAACGGGTCTGCGCTGTCCCCTATCAACGAGTCGTTTCAGCCACAGGGCTCAGCATCATCATCAGGATCGTCGTCACCCCCAGCATTCGCCGTCGGACGTGGTCCGTTCAACCCTACAGCTCACAATGCCGTATTGGATCATCTCCGCCGTAAACTGGTCAAATTCATCGTGCCGGAAGAACAGCGGTCTTATACCGTCGATGTCGCTGACTGCGCGGGTGGTATCGAGGTGATGGAAAAGGTTCTCAAGAAAGCTGACAAAGTGGGCTCCTCGAGGAGGAATGACGTCACGAGCCGCGTCGAGACGGATGATGGTGGACTCAGTGTAGATGGATGGTCCGTATATCTCGCATGGGACGAGACGAACGACTCAGGTTTGATCCCTCCTCTTATATTTCTTCCAAAAGTCTAACATCTACATTCAAGGGAAACCACTCTCCGAAGCAGAACTCCTAGCAGTCTGCCACAGCTCAACCGATGATCCAGTCAAAGAGCGCGGCCTGACGCTCCGCAAAAGCGGACGCACAAAACGGTCTAAAGATCTCCAGCGAATATTCGGAGAAAACCCTCCCCGGAACATCAGCCCCACTTCTCCCATCATCCCACCAAGGCCATCCGAATCCGATCACGAGCTTGATGCTGACAGTCACACCCCATGATTGACGATGCGCAGGGTCAAAAGGCACGTGCTATCAAACGAGCAAGCACAATCAGCGTCCTCAGCGGCCTTGGCGTACGCGACCCCGAAAAAGCCCTCGATCCTTCCGCATCTCCAACACAAGGCCAACCAAAACACCCCCTCCCATCCGTAAATTCCGCCAAGAAGCCTTCAAAACTGCGTAACTTCTTCGGTCAACGTCCGCCGAGCGAACTGATTACGACGCACTTGACTGAATACTTTCCCTTCACGGAAAGAAAATTGTTACGGAATGCACGGCATAGCATGATGCTCCGTGCTTCGAGCGTAAGCGGGGAGAAAAGGAACAGTACGTCATCGCTCACTCCGCCCCTTCCTTCGCGATTCAGTACCAGTACGCAAGGTTCGGGATCGGCACAGCGCTCGATGTCCCCGGTACGAACGATGTCTTCCAAACGTAATTCCACCATCTCTACCAGTTCCACCATACCCGACACACGATCTTTAGCAGCACCTTCGATAGGCGAGGACCCTCCCCGAGTATCGATATCCACTGAAGACGGACGATCGGTGATTCTAACTGGCGATGACGTTGAGAAGCTCTCTTCGGTCGATTCGAAACCTCAATTACTCCCTCCCGTGACGTTCCCTTCGATATCGCTTTCGGAGTCTATGGAAGACCTTACTGGTCCTCTACGCCCGAGGTCGAACTCGAATGCGTCTAAGCGAATGAGTTTCATGACTGAATTGAGGAGCAAGCGTGATCGGTCGGATACTGCCAGTTTGTTGACTGTGGATGAGATCACTGCTGAGGTGGAGAATCGAAGGCAGAGTATGGCTGTTGATATGGGCGTTGAGGGGGCTGAAGATTGGACGAAGGTGGAACCTGATATTGATGATGTGACTAGTCTTTCAGAGGACGATACCGTGCTCGAGGAGGATGAAGATGAAGATGAGAGCGAGGATGTTGAAGAGGAAGACGAGACCGGCCAGGCTATGAACTCTAGCGGTGGTAAGTCAAAACCACCTCCACTGTATGCGCAATAACTCGAACTATTCTAGGCAAATGGATTAAAGGCGCGCTCATCGGCGCTGGATCATTCGGAAAAGTCTACCTAGGCATGGATGCGGTAAACGGTCTTCTGATGGCAGTGAAACAAGTCGAGCTACCACGAGGGTCAGCTCCAAATGAAGAGCGCAAGAAGAACATGCTCAGCGCCTTGGAACGAGAAATCGACCTTCTCAAAGATCTCTCGCACCCAAATATCGTTCAATACCTCTGTAAGTCCGCCCATTCCACGCTATTTCAGTCCTGATCCCCTCGGACAATATACCAGACTCCTCGGTCGACGATGATTTTCTAAATATCTTTTTGGAATACGTTCCTGGTGGTTCCGTCACTGCTTTGTTGCGTAGCTATGGTGCCTTCGAGGAACCGCTCGTCAAGAACTTTGTACGACAAATCTTACAGGGTCTCAACTATCTCCACGAACGAGACATCATACATCGTGACATCAAGGGTGCCAATATCCTCGTTGACAACAAAGGTGGCATCAAAATCTCAGACTTTGGCATCTCAAAAAAAGTTGACGGCAGTGAGTAATTTTCCCATATTGGTTCTTGGCATTTCCGGTTTTTTCATTGATGAGCGTGCGGTGATTGTCAGATCTTCTCACTGGGAAAAGAATGAACCGCCCGTCGTTGCAAGGATCAGCATTTTGGATGGCGCCGGAGGTTGTGAAGCAGACGGCCCATACATCCGCTGCTGATATTTGGAGCGTGGGATGTTTAGTTGTCGAGATGCTCACCGGCGAACATCCTTGGGCGCAACTCACCCAGATGCAGGCGATTTTCAAGGTTGGGGCTGTTCATTTTATTATTTGAATTGCTCTCATGAACATTGCGCAGATCGGTCAATCCGCGAAGCCTGCTATACCATCGGATATTTCTTCAGAGGCTCAGGATTTCCTTACCAAAACATTCGATATCAATCATTCAGCTCGTCCAAGCGCTGGTGGGCTGCTCCAGCACTCTTGGCTCGCCGTCAAGAAACACGCAGGATTTTCTAACAAGAATGTAGCTCTCAAGTCTATTCCAACTATCGAGATCTCGGCATGATACCCCACTTCTTTGGATGTTTACCTAATGTTATTAGCATGGCCCAGACGCACAATGTATCTTTTTTACAATGCATATTTGCTGTACCGATGCGTGCATACAAGATTTATTCGCTATTCATCTTCTGTTTCGCGTTTGCGCTTCGTTCCGGAGTCTGCTTTTGTACCGGGGCCCCAGTTGGGTGTTGGGTTTTGTTGGTAGCGGACGAGCTTTACTTTTGATGCTTGCGTTACGGAGCGGGGGTGTCTCGTGAAATTAGCCTCCGCCCTATAGTCTGTGATCAGCTGGGAGGGTATGTATCTTAGATCAGGACTTGCCTCGCTTCCTTGGCGAGTAATTGCCTTGCGAGTGAGGTCTCGGAAACCTTGTCCATTCTCACGGGGTGTTTCTTCACCCAGGACCTGAATATGTCATGCACATCTTGGCGTGTTGCGCCAGTTTTCAAAGAGCCGGGTAAAGCATGCGAACGTGATACGTGGTGACCGGCATTCAGCAGAGCAGACCTAAATAGTGTTCAACGCATGGCTGCTAACAAAGAGATAACCACCTACGCCACTTCATCCAAAGGCGGACAGACCGAGTGGAAGAGGCCAGCTATCCGGGATGGCGTGAAGTAGAATGGGACGTGCAACTCCTAAAAGGTCGGGATCAGTTGGCTTTAACGTAAATGCAGTGCTGTTGATCGTACCTCGTTGGCCACTGTAAGCATTCCCTTCATGCGGACTGCTGTGCCATATTTGTCTTGGTTGCCCTCCAAGTGCTCAAGCACTTTTGAAATGAAGCCGTTATTGTGCAACGGACCAGACCACATCGGGCCAGCGACCTGCAACAATTTGACTATAACTCATGATTCGAGTCAGATGGACTCACATGCAATGCAGAGCCACACTCGGTGCATTTTTGTGGGACAGGAGGACCTGCGTGAGTTTTGAACAGGATATTTACGTTACCTGAACGTTCGTGAGTTTTTTCAACCATCCGACCCAACGGCTGCTCATAGAATGACTGGCAACCCTGGCAGATGTAATACATTGCCGTTTTGCTAGGAACGAGTTGCATGACGACATATTAACATCATGACATAACCCAACTTGCCTGGCAGCCTTTTTGACTTCTATTGGCGCAGAGTGAATGCGGCACGAAGAGGCGGACGTAAAAATCGATGGAAAGAGATAGAATGGGTTCGATATATCTTCCGTAGCGACCCGCAGAAGTTGACAGTGTGTTTAACACGAGCCTAAGTGCCTTGAGGGACGTTAGCGAGGTTTGAATTGATCGATGAGGACGCCCATACCGCCTCATGGCAGTACTCCGCTTTGACAGGAATACCACCGTAGTTTGAGAAACTTTGCGGCATCAAATGAACATTAGTCAGTTATATGCAGGTTCGAGTACGCACCACTTTTCAGGGTAGTTTGTCGTCGCTAGCACTGACAAGTCTGTGCATGTGACACACAAGAGTCCTATAAAATGTCCATGAATCTTCGATGTGAAATACGCATTTGAATTGACTTGCCTCCATCATTGATGCACTGAACGGCTCCGTCAATGAAAGGCGCAGCAGTGCCATATGGGTCTAGGTCGACAACATCGACGCGTGTCTTCTCTGTGCGATGGTTGTACATGAGTGCACTTGCATATATAGTATGTACCTCAGACAAAACCGCAGCTCGAGAACCAAGGACTTACCATGCATCACCCTCGTTGATTCTCACCTTTCCGCGATCAGGGATTGGCTGGTGCTCCGATGTAGATGCGCTCTCAGCTGGATCAGGAGAAGGACCAAGACCATTGAGTTCTACATTTCTCTTCATGGCAGCAGTGGCAGATGCAGACAGGTCATTCGCAATGACGAACCTGGAAGAGTTATGAGATGTATGCTTGTTCACAAGACTCAGATACAAACCTCACAAGAGGAATTTCTTTTGCATAGCGGATGGACCGAAGACCAGTTGCTGACAAGGCTTCCAGCAGCACGAACTTATGGGGCCGATACTTTTGGCGCTTCAGTCTTGTCATTGCAAGATAGAAAACCACCCACGTCTCGTTTGTTGCTTTCAGATGTACTTCCGGTAGTAGGAACATCTCCTGGTGAATCATCCTCCTGACCATTGCTCGGCTCAGCAGATTCCGCTTGAGACCATTATTCAAGACTTTGAATTGAATACCTTAGGAGAAATGCTCACTTTTTGCCTTCTTCTGCTCTTTCCGTTGTCCTGTCTTCGCCTCTGCCTCTGCCTCCCTTTTCGCTCGTCTCTCCTGAGCCTGCCTCCACTTTGCTTCCTTCTCCCTGTTTAGTTCTTCACTCCATACTCTGATGCACGCGACGCTAAGATCCCGATTAAATTCCTGAACTGGATTCAAAAATGCCTCTTCCTTTGATGAAATCAAGATGTGCGACGTGTTTTCCGTGTGGAGGGTGAACCCTTCGGGTACCGTGATAGACGAGCTACCAGCGTCTGACATGGTGCTCTTCTTGCGTGATATCAACAATGCAGACCGTAGTGGACGACAGTTTGAAGTGCTGAATCCGAGGCGCAGAGGCCTGCTAACAACGAGGAGTAGAGACCTCACGATGCCGAAGATTACCAAGATGAATATCTTGAATGTGTCTCTTGATGTAGACTTCCACTACGCGTATACGAGTGCATTCTGATTCCTCAGTAATTCTCGTAATTTTTTTTACGTCCAAGGGCCCTTGGCCGTAATCTGCTCTCATGCAGAATCATCCATCTGCAAGTATTAGTTGTTCACCACACGACTGGATCCTGACACCTCTTCTGCATGTAGTATCCAGTGCTTTCGCCACTTCTCGCAAAGTATCCTGCAACCGGTTGCGCGTTGTTCCAGGTATACAATGACCTGACTCTGGGTACGCAGCTTTTATAATATTGTCCGTTCAGGCTGACGCAGACTGTTCAGCACAAAGATGGACTGATGTCGAAGTCCTCGACCTTCCAGCTTGCAAACGAGCCGGGATCAAAGGCCAACGGCCAACCACTGTTAGCATCTTCTCGCGTCAGAGCGTGAATCTCATTGATGTGCACGACAGGACACCGACCGAGGGCCGTCTGTCTGCGTTGTAGTACCCTGCTCACTATCCGAGTCGATATCTACATCGTGGTGCGTCCGGTAGTGCTCCTGTTGTACCTGCCCATGTTCAAAGCATCACCAGGCTTCGGGCTGCTTTTACCAGCCTCGAGCCTTCACCCACAGAGATTTATGTGGCCATCACCTCAGAAGACACGTCGACGGTCTACTACAAGATCAGCCAGGGAATCGTCAAGCCACCCGTATAATGCGTCCTGACGCGTCTCATCAGCCGCCAGTGAAGATGAATGTCAATCAACAGCAGTATCTAATTGATGTTCTATCCGTACGTCGACCGACGCAACAAAGAATACATTGATGAACAGTTCTTGGTTTCTAGTAGTCCCATGTCCACACAGCCACGATGACGATGTCAAGATGAGATGCAAATGTACGAGGAAAATGTAAGATACGTGGTAATAAAAATATGGTCCAATGCAAAGGGCAATAAAATATTGCGGTGGGGAAAATGCAAGACGCGTTGTAATAAAAAATATGATCCAATGCAAAGTGCAGCAAAATGTTACAGTCAATGTCAAGGTCAATATTCAAATTCTTCCGATACAAGTGTTATCGACCCGCGCATATCGCCTCGCCACACCCGCGCAGGGTCGATTTGCGCGGCAATGATTTTGCGCACCATCGCATTAAGCGAGGTGGGACCGCAGCCTAGGCAGAACAAATTAGCACCGCATGAAAACGAGCGGGAGATAGACCTTACAAGCAACAATCACAGAGCCTTTCGACTGCTCGACTTCATCTGCAAGGATCCTGTCGAGCTTGGGTTTACCAGGTCGTGCAAGCTCTGCAACAATATTGATATCCTGCGCCTCTTCCTCGGTGATGTCAAACTGGATCGAATCGAGCGGGCCATCGGGTGCGGAGGATGATAACAAACCGCGGGAACTACCAGCTTCTGATTTGCAATCCCAGCTATTGGTGGAATAGATAGAAGCTGCCGACGCTCCACGACTCACTGGAGGAGGTCGACTACTGGAGAAAGGAGACTCAGGGTACGTTGACTGCCGACCGCGTGTCGGCGAATCACCATACATTGAGATGGGCGAAGCGAAACTCGTGTCCCCTGATATCTCAGACCACCTATTGTCCGGAGTGGTAGATATCGGGATTAGTCTGTCCGTAGAACGTCCTGCGACGGCAGAGATACCAGACATTCCATTTGCAGCCTGCCCCAAACTGCTAGGACGACCGGTAGGGTCCAGTAATCGCACCGTTCTCTCATCCAACTCCTTCTTTGCAGCAAGTGCATTGGCGAAATTACGCGACTGGGCTCGCCGCATCTTGCCTTCCTTCTTCACCTTGCGGGACAGACTGCGTTCCCCCGGCATAGCAGTATCATTGTCTCCGTCGAAGTTCGTCAACTCGAGTATGTGAGACTCGTGTGCTAAACCCACATCCTCTGGCGGTATTGGGTCCTCGGATTCGGATTCTCCAGCGTAGTATCCCAGGTCAACATCACTCTCCTGGCTTTCGATGGAGTCGTTAGAATCAGAGCGGAGGTATGATCGACCACCACGTGCAAAGGATGGGTGAGGAGGCTGCAGGTCCTCAACCTGGACAGGTTCGGAAGCAAAGAGTGGACGCTGGGGAACCTGCAAAGGAGGCAGATCGGATTCCTTCATGGCGATGGGTTTAAAGTTGGTAACAAAGATGTCAATCTGCAATGCAGACGACGGTACCAAGGAAAGACATCGGTGAAGAACAGAAGCGCACCACTGTATGTGAGCTACACACGAGTCACGTTGGCTTATAACGATAGAATGCAAGTTATCGAACACTTACAGTAGTCGCGGATAAGCCACACGAAGCGCACTCGTTGGGTCTGGAATGATTTCTTCCCCCAACCTCCGGGACGGCCGCCGAGATTCCTCCCGTCCCGGCCAGAAAGGCACATGCAAATGTACTGCAGCACAGACAAGCCGAAGCTCACACCCGAGCCACCAACGATGATCAGGACCGTTGAGTGATTGCCCCAACGGGCACGAATCGAGCTCCCGAAAGGTCCATCCACGTATGCTTTCAACAGGACACCTTGCTTAGGAAGATTATCTGCGGCAGGGAATGGGGTGTCACCGGGTGACATCTCAGCGGTCATGCGTGACACTAAATTCCATAAATCTTGCGTCCAGCCGTTTCTTGCACGGATGAGCATGACGATCAAACGGCCCTCGTCTGTCGGTGATTCGTAGTCACATACAGAGGCGCAGGTGAAAGGATGGGTAGTGAATCGGGACACGCTAGGGATTCTGATGAGGAAATGTTGACCCGGAGCCCACGGTAGAAATCCAGGAGTTATAAGACGCAATCGCACTGTATGCCCCGAGAGGAGTTCAGCGTGGACATACCCTGGAGGGGGGATATATGGGGAGGGGGAGTGTACTGGAGACCTAGCAGGGTCCCCCTCGGGAGAGAATCGCGCGGATAAAGGACGAGTGAGTGACCTTACTGATTGTTTGTCGGACTGATAATATGGGCTCAAAGGGCTGGGGGATTGTGAATCGGTGTGTGTGCGCAGTGTCTGGCGGCGAAGATGTTCCATCTCCCAGGTGTCAGAGGAATGTATTGTAGAGTGCGGGCGCTTTCGTGATGAACAGATACCTAGAATGGAGGGGTTGGTGGCAAACCACCAAGTCCATCGCCAGATGCGTTCACCAGCCCAAATTGCGAGAGTACCCCAACACCACCACCAGAGTGTGGGATGATGGAATGCAGCAGAGACGAGCGCGAGTGGGACAAGTAAAATATGTAAGAAATAGAAGGCTTCATAGAAACTCCTCCGAATGGGGTGCACCGATAGAGCAATTATGAATGTCAGCAATGCAAACGCCTAAATAATTGGTCAAATTTTCAGCATGATAGGGAAAAGCTACTCACGATCCAGCCAAAGATAAATGGCATATAGGAGAAAGCGTACACGTATGCAATGCGACCGGTACTGGGTTTATGATCTCGAACGAGTTGGACGCTCCAGAAGGTGACATGAATTGATGTGAGAAACCATATTAGCCTGCCTGTCCAGCGATGAAGCCAGGCGAGTTTGTCGAAGAAGAACTGTATCATGAAAGGAATGGCGAAGATTGCGAAAGGGGGAGCTTTGAGAGCGAAAAGCACGCAAAGAGGAAATAGAGCGAACGCGATTTGCCCTGCGCGCGCAGATGAGGTCCACCATGCTTTACTGATGGTATATTGTGGTTGAAGTGGCAAATAGGGAGTGGTGTCAGGAATAAAATTCCGACGCTGCGACTCAGTGAGGACAATGTCTCGGCGAATTTGCCAGACTTTGAGAGTTGGCGCAATATAGTCCGGGCCGATAAAGGTAAGTGCTAGGGAACCTCCCAAGAGCAATGTCAAGCAAAGAAGTTGAGCATTGGAAGGCAAAGGACTGGGTTGGCGGCGAGGATCATTCCTTTTGAGAGCAAGTGCCAGGTTGTGCTTCTTTCTCCAAGTTCGTCGACGGAGGGACCATTTTGTCCAGTGCGTTCCAAGAAAACCGCCCCTTGAACCGGTCCAGTGAAGGACGGCGAAGGCAAGAAAAAAGAAAACAACGACAATCCAGAGAAAAAAGGAATAGCGTCGACTAGGGACACTTAGGGAATGAATTGTAAGATATGCCGTGATCCATTCAAGATCGTCTGAGAATGCGGGGGTAGTGGGATCAGTAAGAAACGCGGTGGTCGACACCGTCGCACCACTTGACGAGGACATAGAGGTTGGCCTTAGGCAAGCGCTATCAAAGAGTAGCACGACCAGTCGTGAATAACGGTATGTTACAAAAACTCCTGCGAAATGTTGGAACGGAAATTTAAGGAGAGAAGACTCGGATGAGGTCACGACCAGTGCAGGGTAAGGAATTTTTTGTTCTTTTGACTCGGCACCGGGACCCTAGGTCAAAATCAGAACACGGGTAGGCCGAATCCAAAGAAAGTGCTGGAGCTATTCATGGCGGTCAAAGTCACACCTGCTGAGAAGTTCAATGGTCTCAAACCAAACGGCCATCCGCCAACGCGACTAAGCGAACTTCATAATCCACGTCAATACCACGTGCCACGTGTCTCTATGACCCTGACGATCAAAGCTCACTTAGTCCGATTGCTAATCCGTCTACAATCATCATAAAGATATATCTTCAGATTAAAATAAATAGACACTAACTACTCCTAAAACCTTGAAACAGCTCTCTGAGTTAAAACAGTCGTCAGGCAATCCCTAGGATATCAGAATAACTCTGCAAAACCTGCTGTGATCCATCGCCTGCGGCATTCCACGGTATTAACTTCAGACCACTGCAGCCTCGGACTTATCTAGAGCCTTGACCGAGATAATCTAAAAGCCATACCAATGATTAGGCTATCATCCTGAAAACCACGATCTTGGACTCACCTGCTTGCCCGTCTTCCGAATCTTCTCCACCAAGGCCTCTTCTCCGATAGGACCTGTCACGTCCACGAGCTGGGTCTCCAAGCTCACATCGAAATTCGACACTAATCCTATCAGTATGTTTCATTCGGTCAGCCTTGCACTCCTCATTCATCATTACTATCGCACCATCCTCCTTCGCCTTGTTCAGTACACGGGTGACGGCTCCAGAACAACCTCCGCAAGTCATCTATGGAATAAGCAGCTCATGTTAGGCTGGCGCCAAACAGATCTATCCACAACAGACCTTAACATTAAGCTGATACTTGTGCTCAGCTGCCATACTTGATGTTGTACAAATAGATATATAAGAATACAGATTTGAAGAGTGGATGGCAAGTTGATGGTGTGGGTCCCTGTTTCACAACAACGCTTGCTCTTATACGAACGAACTAAAAAGGCGCGTCAGCCAGATCGCGCAATCACTATTGTCACCCGCTCATGACGGAGCTTGCCGACTGCAGTCCAAAATCTCACGCATAGCCAGCACAGTGCTGAATCGGATATTATCGGGAACCAGCAATATTGGCCCAGCAAGTATCAATGCGTGGCACGTAAGAAGCGTTGGTCGACCTTATGCATAAGATCGTGGGTTGCATCATCAACTGCTTAAACGTGAAGTCCGATTATCAACCATCTCCACCTCATCACCCTCCGTGGCCACCGCTTGCCATCCCGTGCCCGCGGACGGCTGACCTCTAATTCTAGCAACACAAGTACTGAAAAACCCTAAAAGCACATTGGTGTCATCATTTGATCTGGACGTAAAAATAGTGACCTACCAAGAAAGGCAGGCAAACTGGCTTGATCAAGGTTCGTCAAGTAATATACTGGTATTCCTGCCAACACGAAACCTGTGGATGGCAAGATTAGAACGGCGTTTACAGCAGTGCTCCCATTAGTTACCTAAAACAGCCATAGCTTCTAGGGGGGCTGCGATAATTGGCATACACAGCAAAAATAGCGCGACCTGCCATTGGGTGTCAGTCAGTCCACTTGAGTGTAATCATCAGCTTACGGCGCAGAACGTCAGCGGGGTCACAATCCATGTTTTATAAGGTCTGATGTAAGGTTAACTTTGTACGACAGACGATTCCGACAGCTCACCTTTCTAGCATAGGTTCTTTCACACGAAGTATGACAAGGCCCAAAACCTTTTAAAAGCCAATCAGAATCACAACATTTGCAGAGCACCACACATACAGTAAGGAAAAAGAATGACCAGGACGCCACAACGGAGAAGTTGATCAGCGAACGAAAACCACCTCCGAAAACGATGAACACGATAGTGATGACCGCTTGGAGGAGAATTGCATTGACTGGCGTTTGCCTCGACTTATTCAGGCGACCAAACATGGCAGGAATGTATCCCTCTCGACCGGCGACGCAGATGAGGCGTGCAGAAGTAAAGGTACTCCCTGTGGGAGGTAAGTACGAGCACCCGGGAACGATGTAAGGAACATTACCGTTCAGCGCTCCGAAGCAAGAGACCGCAACCATCACAGCAAAAACTACACCGCCCGCTGGTCCAAAGAGTGCTCGACCGAAATCCATGGCAACCGTGTTGCTCACGCCAACGGTGACTTTGTCTAGCACCACGAAATATGACACATTCGCTAATAAGAAAAGGATCTAAAAGGGTTCAACGTTTATGCACCTCAAATGGCACTTTTGTTGCTTACCATCACGATCACCATACTTGCATGAATGGCTCTTGGAATATTTCTACCGGCGTTCTTCATCTCTCCTCCGACATAGTTGGCCTGATCCCATCCATCGAATGCCCATAGCCCAGAGTAAAGAGCTAACGAATATGCTGACGGACTATGACTGGAGTCCTCAAATAGTGGCTGTGAGAACGATTCCGACGCTTTCCCCCGAATCAGCTGTATCATACCCAGCACGATCACAAACACCTGGCAAGAGATAAGTCTCAACGCGATACTCATATCATAACACTCACGAGGGCGGCGATCTAAGGTTGCGCCATTTTGAGATGAAAACAAGATCAACCAGCAACAAACGCACCTTCACCGTAGTGAACACCACAGCAGCCCTAGTGCCCAAATTCCGCGTAGCTGTACATATCACAACAACGACGAGCACTGCTGCCACCGCAGTGAGTTTGATAGCCCATTGGGGAATATCGTCTGGTGATACCTCGTCACGGGCGGCGTGCCATATGAGCCGGTTCATATATTCAGCAAAGATGAGACTAATGACCGCGTTTCCACCTGTAATGTGATTGGGTGTGTAGCTGTATATATAAGACTGGAAGACAGGTAGAAGACAAACCAGGTTTCAGTGCTGCGATCGCTGTCCAAGTAAACAGGTAGGATACAAGTGGCCCATACGCGTACGCGAGATATGCCTGCGCTCCACCGTTCAGCGGTATGCTGGAGCTGTAAACCAAGGTATTCAGCTATCGCCAAGTAATACGACGCGCGGTACAGACGAACCCTAATTCTGCGAAGCTGCTGGCTCCCGTCCAAGCAAGCAATCCAGAAACAAGCCATACAACCAAGCTAGCCCCAACGCTCTGAGTATTCGCAACGACAACTCCTGGTGAGGAGCTAACCAAGAGTTGCAAATTGGGGTTGAGCTTGTCTGGTTGGTCACTCACAAGATTCCTGATCCAATCTTCCAAAGAACATATCAGACATGCATGTATGGCACTGTGTAGAGAAAAGAACTGACTTGAACCCCGACGATAAGCCCGATACCTTTTGTGCACTGTGAACATCTTGTATCTCGCCACGTACCAAGGAGTGTGACTTACCATGCAGCAAAGTAATATCCTTCTGCCCACTTTCCCCTCTCGACGTATCCGGCTCACTCAAACTCGAGCTTAAGGGTAGTAGGTCGCGCTGGAAGTCGAAGCCTGTTATTGAGTATGACCTGGGCCGCCCTCTCTCTGACATAGGTCCCTCCGAGAGCTCGAGGTTTCGCAGCGAGTCTGACGAGTCATTGGCTGAACCGAAGGTTAGACGGTGGTGCTCCTCCGATGACTTGAGAGAGGCAGGCGGAGAAAGATCGTCGTCGTAGAACACTTCTGGCATCAAATGAAGGTTCGGTCGTTAGTGAGTGCAACGTGACTGCTGTCTGAACAAATCCGGATCCCGAAACTTTCAGCCCCGTTCGTTGCGGTTGAAAAGAACCACGAGTTCGTGACACAAACGGCTGTTCCGATTCTCGAACTCGTGTAGACGTCTTTAGATTGTATATTCCAATTACTTGCGGAGGCGATATATCTGAAGTTGTCTATTAAATACAACTAACAACTGCATGTGCAAAACACGTTTGCGCATCAAAGACCTCGCGGAGAAATAAATCAATCACTGGCGGGTGGGTATCGTTCACACTGTGTCGGTGGTTGCTACATGCGACAAGCGACAGGCTTGGAAGTTTGTTTGTGAAGTTAGAACCACCCTAGTGAAAAACTGAGAATTCTGATGTTCATCCAGCAAGCAAGTTCCAAGCCAACGCTGATGTGGGAAAGTTACAAGATACCTCGTGGACCGAAAGCAAATGTCAATTGGTTTTCCTGTGTTCAAGTAGAGACTGCGCAACTATCGAATGAATGTCAATACACCGTTCGTGGCATTGTTCCATGCACTGTGGTAGAGCTTGTTAGTGTTTGCTGTGAGTAGCTGGAGAGTGTTACCTTCAAAGCCATGTCGGCGGTCATCTGTCCCGACTGCCAAATGCTAGTGATAGTATCTAAAGCCGGCATACAAGCAAGTATCACAGTACCGCTGGACACCCGTGCTTCAGCCTCGCTAGGATCAAGTTGAATGCTGTCACCAATGATAGCCTGTAAACCCAGATATAAGCTGGATTGCAAACGGGGAAGGGCACAACGTACAGCAGAGCATGATGCAACGAGCCCCAGCATTTCAATTCCCGCATCAGCAAGTGCAGTGCTTGCAGCCAACGATCCAGATGCGATACAGCCTTCAATTCCATCGTTCTCGATGATCGTGATAAAAACATCAATGGTTGACTTCGGGAATAACTCCAGGCGAATTGATGATACGATTGCTTGATGTATTGATACAGCAAGTGATCTATCCTCAGCGTCCTTGAGGGGCCTATGACATTCAATACACTGTGTACTTGGTTTAGGTGTAACTTACGCGTATCGGCGCCCTTCGACGCGTGCACGAAAAGGGAGTGAACTTGACTTCAACGTTCAACCGACCTTTTTCGCTGTAGGTAGTAGTCTTAGACTGCCGCGGTCCATACCTATGACAGTACTCAGGAAAGGCACGCCCGAGGGAGATTTAGGCGGTCTCAGACGTACACAGCGCATGCAATTTTAGTTTTCTCTGTCTCGATGTATGCAGATCCATTGGCCTGGCTTATTAGGCCTGGCTGGAGGACTGTCAAAAAAGTCAGCGTCATTTGACATAGGCGCAGAGACAAGGCACCAACATATTGACCTGATATCGCCAGGTGCGCGACTGCGCTGAGTTTTTAGCTTGATATCCTCATCATCATCATCGAACAAGGGCGGAAAGCTTTCTTCTGGTCCATTAATCCGCCGGCGGTCGAAGGCACTTTGAGCCATGGCTGTTGCATTCAAAATCAAAGGAACAAGTTTATCAAACAGCTCTTAAGGCTTACATAACCCAGCATTTCATGAAGCTCTCATTCTCCCTCCCCAACAAGACTGCAAAGCCAGTCGGTGCGGCACCACCTCTCAAGAAATCAGCAGCGTTTGCATCCTTTGGTGACGACGACCATGTCGACGCTGCTCCTACTCTGTTCGACAACAAGACTGCAGCAGCGAACAAGAAGCTATTAGCTCAGAATGTTGAATCTTCGAAGGCCGCCAGGAAACGCATGGAGCAGGAGATGAAGGTTGATGCTACGGTGTATCAGTATGATGAAGTTTGGGATAGAATGCAAGATGTTAAGCTCAAGCAGAAGGAGGCGAAAGAAGTTGATGCCAAACGACGAAAGGTGCGCTTATATTCATCCATACAGCCTGGAAGTAGTTTGCCAATCACGTTATACAGCCCAAGTACATCGAAGGCCTTCTAACTTCAGCTGCCACACGACGCCTGGATCATTTGCGTGCAGAAGAGAAGATGATGCAACGAGAAAGGGAGGCCGAAGGAGACGAATTCGCCGACAAAGAGGCCTTCGTCACTCAGGCATACAAGGATCAAATGGCTGAGGTTCGGAGAGCGGAGGAGGAAGAGAAACAGAGAGACGGTACGTCGACACTGCGATAATACCAACTTGTTGCTAATCTATGTCTTAGAGGCGGAGAAAAAGAAACGGAAGGGAGCGCCGACTGGCATGGCTCATTTCTACCGTAAACTCCTGGAAGACTCAGAACAACAGCACGAAGAGGCAGTGGCAGCAACGGAGACCAAACGCGTTGTTGGTCCACAAGGGCCCGCTCCAAATCTAACTATCACGAAGCCTCCCGAATTGAAGCCGAAATCAGACCTCGAGCTTGCACAATTTGCTAGAGAGCAGGGCAAAGACGTCGAGCTCAACGATGACAACCAAATCGTTGACAAGCGTGAATTGCTCTCTGCTGGCTTAAACTTATCTGCTCCCAACACCCGACGACTTGGGCTACAGATCCCGAAGCAAACTACCGGCACGAGTGAGGTTCAAGCTCACCAGGCGGTAGGAACAGCAGCAAGCCGGAGAGAAATCAATGAACGCCGCGCACGGGAAATCAGGCAACAGCTGGAAGAGGAACGTGAACGAGCGGCGAAGCAGAAAGAGGCAAATGAGGAAGAAGCAAGACAGCGAACAATATTGAAGCGGAACACGCAAGAGGACGTGCAGGATATTCGTGCACGTTACCTAGAAAGAAAAAGACGGAAACTAGAGGAAGTGCCAGTGGCTAGCGGAGGTGACGATCTGGTATCATAAGCGTAGAGATGGATCCAAGGGCCTGTATGAATAGTACTACTTGCAAATATTACCTGACGTTATGTAAGTGATCAATATTAAATGTCCCATGTCAAGTCTGATGAATTATATGTCGAGCTTCGAAATGCGTGCACAAAGAATATGCTAGGGAGAGGCATGACAGTCGAATGGTGTTTCTCTCATCGCCGCCACTACTCGCTGAAATTCCCTCAGCACTGCAGCGACGGGCGGCCGCTTATCAGGGTTTTCGTTAAGCATCGATTTAGCTATATCCACAACTTCAGGAACATGAAATTCAGCGAGCTATTTGAGTCACGCGTTAATCGTGGTTCTGTGGGAAGACAGTATGTAGTACAAACCTTGCACGCTCTGAGAATCAGAACCCCCAGTGCCCATACATCGACCATATACGGGTTACTTGGTCGACCACGCTCGACTTCTGGTGGCACCTCCGTCCCTCGAGAGCACAGTATCCGTGGACTAGATGGCTCATCTATTCGGTGACTGAGCTCATAATCTATGCAAGCATAGCGACCGTTATAATCCGTGAGGAAGTTGCGCAGCGAGATGTCAAAGTGCGCGATGCGATGTCGATGCATGAATGCAATATGCTGGAGGGAAGCTATTAGTATAATATACAGGTTCGGTAAATCCTCTCCGTACCTCTATACAATGGTACAATGCTACCAGGAGATAGCCCAGACTGACTGGAGCCTCTGGAAACATATTTGGTGACCATTCCTCCATAACAATGAAACATATATCATCCTGCGGCGCATCAATCAAATCAAGAATAGCTATATTTCTTCGATGATGAATTCAGTTTAACGATCTGTTTGGGAAGCTCACGTATACAGTGATTCATGGGATCCCGCTGTTGAGCTGGCGCAGACAGATACCGGACAATGTCAAGCTCCCTGCTATCCCGATGTACCGCCTTAACCATTACCTTCATCCCATCTCGACAACGGGTTGCCCTGAAGAGGCTTTCTCGCTAAGATCTGGTCAGTGACGTCTCGCGTGGAACCTGATAGCCTATATAACTCACCAGACCAGCATCTTTGCAAAGAGCATCTTCGTCGGTCCTCGCAAGGGCGCGGTAATAGCCGGACAAATATGCGTGTAGCTCTCGCTTCTCGATGTTGCTGCAATGGTGCTGATAATAATCTTTTACATCCCGGACAGTGTCCAAACGGAAGCCCCTGCGTTCGATATGACAGCGGTGTTTCGCCCAGTCAGGCGAAACACGAGCATTAACTTCGTCTTCATCACAGGAAGATGCGGATGAGGGCGTGCTGGACGCCGGGGATTCAAGGTCCCATTCAGTGGATGAAGACATGATGAGATATGTCAGAGGGTTGGCTTTTTGAAGGATAAGAAACTGCAACCGTCACGAATACCCACAGAGAAGCGTTGTCCAACGCATGCACCTGCACGTACGAATAAGTCAGAAAACTCAAATGAGTATAGCATGCCGTGGGTGATATAAGACAACTTGCGATCGTTTGACTGACGGGGTACGGCATTTCAATTGGAATTGGTATTTCAGGGGGAGAAAAGTTCGACGGGCACGGTCGAAGAGAAGAGGCTGCAAGAAACGACTACCAAAAAAGAGGTAAGAGTATGGGCGTGCGATGATTGCAAGGCTATATAGACGAACCGATATCATTTTCGAGGGTGTATCTTCTCAGGCCGACATAGGAGGTGTGACTGCTCACCACAAATCCGTCCACTGGATGACACTAGGCTTCATTGGCACACCTGTACAAAGAACAAATGATGTTGTAACCGCGTCAAATTAGGCAGTGTTTTCTCCTCGTTATAAATTACATTATGAATTTTAACCGCTTGTCAAAAAACTGATGGCAGCAAGTGGCCGGAGGTGATAGGCAGCCACGCTACCAAGGGACCACGAGCAGCTGGAATGAAATTTGGACTTGGGAGTGAAAGTCAAAAAGCCGGCTCGTCTTCGTTGTGTCTTTGTGACAATTTGTCGGTAATCGTTCCTTCTGTATTGGGATATGTGGCTGTGCTGATGACCGTCACCGCGTCACACTGAACAGCGATGAATCGACAACCAGTGGTATCGTCGAGGTGTGATGTTGGACGCAAGCGACTCGGGGCAGAATAGTGTAGATATCGTACATAAATACATCGTTACGCTAACGAATAGCTAGGCAGATCGGAATTCTTCTTCTTGTACATTACCCCCAGGAAGTCTCATGTGAAACCCATTGGGACCAACCGGTTGCTCGCTCGTCATCTCCCCGAGCAATTGAGCTCCCGGCACTCCCGACGTCCGTATAAGCGTACCCCAAAGCCCTGCTGTCGCCTGATCCGCACATTCCGATCCAGTTGCACGCCATGGCCTGCGTACCAGATGCGCCAGCGAATTCGCAAGGTGCCGCGGGAAGCTGGGCAAGCTCCTCCGTGGTGTCTTGTAAGGGAAGCCCCACTTCTCGTACAGGGTGCTTGAAGAATACATGCCGCTGTCCGTGTCGCGAAGCTGCATGACGTATAATTTGATGCGCGGGTCCCAGAATACGGAGGTGAAAAACTGTGTATTTTTGGAACCGCTTAGCTGGAGGAGGTTTGTAAGTGGCTGCCCGCGTGATGCGAACACGAGATTCCAGGGGCGGATGGGAGACGGTTCGTAAGCGCTGCCTCGTATGGCACTAAGCAGGAAGAGAAGACCCTGCGGAGATATTGGGCGTGGGGATCCGTACATCACCTGCATAAGCCATACTGTCGACGTGCCAGCATCAAACATAATCGCATCAATTCCTGGATGGATGAGCGCATCCTCAGGGGAATGGAGAATGTGCGGATATTTCTCGGCTAGCGCGGCAAGTTCGCCTTGGGTGCGGTATGTGTACCTTGAAGGCACGGTCCGCTTTTCCTTGCACACAACGCTAAACTTGGCTCGCAGGACAAGGTCTTCGTGCGCTGGCCGGCAATGTCCTTGTGAATCGGGACATCCAAGCTCGAAGGCCCCGCCGAACCTGGACATGAGCGCTACCACAACCTCACGGTAGAAGATCTCGCCCGCCTCCTTGGTATCCTCTGAGTTGAGCAGATTATTAACAGCATCCTTGGCATCGGAGGAGTCTAAGGAGGCGATCCCATCTGCGATGAGCCTACTGGCAACCTGCGATACGGGGAAGGGCAGCGGCTCTGTGCGGGTTTCGCCAGGTTGGACGGCGAAGAGGTTCCGGCTATATTGGGCTTCTAGTTCGCGCAGTGAGGGATGTAGGCTCCAGAAATTATCGTGGGCGCATTCCAACCCGTTGAGATAATGATCGGCGTGGCTGGCATGGCGAGTCACTTGTAAGCAGGTGTGCGCGTTGGACCCAAAGTGGATGTAGGACCATCGCAGAGCCTCTGGGTCGTGCTTGTCTGCAGTAAGAGCACTAAAGACGATGGTCAGTGATGATGGAGAGCGCTAAACACGATGCTTTACCTCATCGCAAAGATCTCGTCCCAAGTACAAGGTTTCATCCACCGCCGGAGAGAAACATCATATCCAGGTGACCACTCAACGTTGGAGCCCAAGCTGCCCGGCCCAAATGTGGTGAAGATGGCCTTGCCGCACGTGCCCCACATCAGCGCCTTAGTGTGGTTGGTGTTCGGGTGCGTGGTTGGGTCTTCGTGCGCGCTGTCGACGAGGTGCCACACGTCTTTGCGTTGGAACAGAGGGTGATACTCGCTGTTTTCCTCCGGGAGGGTGAAGAACCCGTCGGCGGTGAAGCACATGACGCACGAGTCTGGTTGGTCAACCTGGTACGTCACCGGTTGGCGAGCGAGAAGTCGCCTGACGAGGAGATATGCTAAGAAATGCGTCTTCCCTAAGGGTAGTTGATTGAATTCGGTAGCAACGCCTCTGGAAGCAAGTCGACTTACCTATACCTGCCGACCCATGCATGATGAAATTACGTTCAATCGCGGAGATGCGTTCGAAGAATAATTCGTACTCTGAGCGGATGAGCATGGAAGTTGCTCCGTTTGGTAACTTGACACTAGGACATCCAGATAGATCAATGGCGTCAAAGGTGAACGGATGCACGCTGTATCAGACCCCTCAATATCATTTTAAGGGCCAGCGAGGAGACAGACTAACTGGTCAAAGTCTTCCAAATCTAAGACATCACAGTTCAACCCTCGCCTCACGATAGACTGGTCTTGTTTCTGCCAAAGGAAATGATAAAGGGACAACAAATTGGAGTGGGATAGAGATGGGCATGCAGACGTCATGTTATTCTGATCTCAAGAACGTTTGAATGAATGAATTCGCCATTATACAAGTGTGGCGACATGCTGGGATGTGACGGATGACGGATGTACGGATGTCTTTCGTGACATCACTTCTGGAGTTGTTTACCTGTATCATAGTATGGAATCCCAAGCCTGCTGACTAAGCAGACAAATACTTCGCAACTTGGCTTAATGCTAGTACTGTCATAGTCGATGGAAGAAGGCACCAAGGGTAAGAAGACCATTTTCATCGGGGGCATCGGGGAGGACGTTGATGAAACGGTAATCTACGAGCATTTTTCGGCTTTCGGTGGGTGTTCTTTGTCTTTTGCGACGACTTTATACTGTACGAGACAAAACCACAGGTGACATCATTGAAGTACAGCTGCCTCCAGCACCAACCAATCCATCACAACCGACAGGCAAGTAGACAAACGTGAACAGTTATTTATATGCTCATTCCCCGTAGAATTCAAACATCGTGGTTTCGCATTTGTGACATACTCTTCACCTGCAGATGCTCTGGATGCAATCGACAACATGGATCTCAACGAGTTAAGAGGCAGAGTACTAAAAGTCAACCAAGCTAAGCCTATGAAGGGCTTGCAGCCTCCGGATGGAAATAGAGCTAGTACGTGCCATTCCTTGAAGTTCCTGCAGCCAGTCTCAGTCCTTCCTTCCAACAGTCTGGGAATCAGAAGAGTGGCTGCAACAACATGCGAAACCATTGGCACAAAGCGGAGGTTAGCAAATATCACGGAAGGTCGCATTTTTTACTGACTCAGATCTTAGGTGTGCAAGGCCGTACGGCCCAACAAGACTCTTCGGCAGAAAAAGACGAAGAACAAACGAACGGCGAAGACGCAGATGCTATGGAAGAGTAACCGAGCCACTCCTACCTCAATCGCCATTTCATGGGAGGTGGAAAAACTGTTTCAGTGAAACTTTGCCATCTTGCTAGTCTTGATCAGCTCCTTATGCCTGCAAGAAAGTAATGCTGCTGGAGCGGAGACTCAGTTCAATGTTGGCATCGGTAAATGGATCTGCAACGCCATGATATCAAGAATACAGATGTAGTAAAATATGTAGAAAATGAGACAGCTCGTATACTAAAGTAATTGTTCTAGTATTCCTTTGACTGCGTGATGTCAGATTCCTCGAACTGGGCCCGAGCACGCTTGATGTCCTCCTGCATGAACAATAACTCTTCCATACGAGCTAGCTTTTTCGCATCTGCGAGCCTCGACAAAGCCCGACGAAGGTCTTCGATAGACAATCGCGTTTTCCGTTGTGGACCACCAGCAGTTTGACACTGCCCCCAAGTAATGTTTTGTTTGAGTTTCGGCACTCACATATCTGTATAGCACAATACCAAGAAACAAAGACACGCACAACGTCTGCAATGAACTCAACAAGTATTTCTTCCATCACATTTACTGTGTCATTCGCGGGATTACGATCATCACCAAAACCATACATGAGGTTTTTCACTGCAGAAATCGGGCTGAAGAGTGTCCAAAAGAAGAACCAACAGAACGCACGTTCTTTGGAAAAGAGGCCCTTGAAATTTGCTTGTTTCCTACTGCGCCCAGTACCTCCACCTGTAGTGGCAGGAACGGTTTCTCGTGCGTAGGTTGGGGTATAGGACGTGAATGTGGTTGCTTTCGGGGTAGCAGCGACTGGAGTGGGTGTAGCTGTCGTCGCGGGCGGTGCCGTTGTCTGTACTGTGGGTCGCATTGCCTGTTGAGAAGAAGCTTGTGCAGGCTGCTGTGGGATATAGGTGTATGGATACGGCCATGCGCCGTAGCCAGTCACACCTGTAGCGTAGCCTTGGTGGTAGGCTGGATAGCCTGGAGTTTGAGGGTGAGCATATGCACCTGGGGCACCTGGGTGGTAGTAGGGATATGTTGTCCCAGCTGGATGCTGCCCTGGCTGGTAATGTGAGTATGACATGAACGCGTTCGCTGAGCGCTCAGAAGTCGAGGATGAAAGGACAAGCCGTGGGACACATTCCTCTTTTGTGTGTCACCCCTATGCTTTAGTTCATATGCAGTACATCGCATTCAAAGAAGAAAAATGGTTGCTTGGTACAAGTCATAGTGTGAACAAAGATAACGAATATACAGATACCACAGTTAGATATCCAGGTCGTCCAGATTGCCTCCCCTTTTGGCGCGCATTTCTAAATTCCTGGCTTTATCCATCAACTCGCGAATTTTCTGCCACTCGAACTCCACTAATCCACGCTGATCAAGCCAGTCCATAACCTTATCTGCATCTCGCATATTTTTGGGAGGCTTGACACCCCCCGCGAAAGCGACTCGGAAAAATTCGCGATTGTCATCGAGAACTTCGTCGATCTCCCGCAACAAGGAGTGATACAAGTGATACTGGGTTCAAAGTTGTCAAGCAATGAACGCAATACTCGGAAGATATCTTACCTCCCAGTGACTGAACTCGTGGAAAACTTGTGTCCGAGCAGCGCAGAAGCGGCCGAGATGAAACTGTCTGACACAAGATTCATCATCATCATCATCATCATCATCAGTCTCTGATGACCTTGATGACTCGTCCTCGTCCTCCGACTCCGACTACTCGCAATCAGTTGTGAAGAACAGAGTCGGACGAGCTAAAACATGCCTCGAAATCATATTTGTCGTATGGCTTGCCACTCACTCGGCCAAGCAGTGTGGATACTCTCCCACCTAGATTGCAAGCATCACACTGAGGAACGCTGAATGTCATTCTTACTAATTGGAATTCAGGGTGTCTTTCAAGCGGCCTCTTGAATTGGGGTTTCCAGACTGAGGACGTGACCAGCGAGTCTTTCATCCCAGATAATTTCCGTCGCATCACCTGAAGTGGGACAGAGAAATATTCCTCCGCTGCCGCATACCGTATTAGCGGTTTCCTTCCAATGACAATGGGCATGCCGACCTTCTAGCATCTTCTGCATGAATGGGCGCCTTTCAGTAGTAGAACGAACAGCCATGTGAACAAATAATTGGCAGACGATCTTGAATTGATGGGTGAGATCTTGGTGGGTATTCATGCTGAAAGCGATAGGGAGTCGCGTAGGCGAAAGGCCTTGTTCGTCATCCTCAACAATAAAGTTATCATCTTCGTCTGTCTGATCATGTTCCACACTAGAGGACTCAGTATCTTCATCGCGATCTGGCCGCGCATCCTTGAAGGGTCGCACCACCGAGCCTTCCGGCGACTCGGCGTCCGACTCCGAGGATTCAAGGTTGATCCCCGAGCGTTTCTTGCCCTTGAGACCTTACAGAATGTTCAATGAGATGAAACTTCACGTTTCAGGGGTATAAACCCACTCTTCAACTTCTCAAGATGTTTTTGAAATGTTGATTTCTTGTCGCGAGCGCGGAAACGCGACTCGATGATGTCTGGTAGTAGATGTAGCATCGCGAGGATGAAAGTAGACGGAGCTTACGATTCTCGTCGACTTCATCTATAACACTTTCTTCAGGACTTGGAGGTCTGGCACCCTTGACTAACTTTGGTCTGCGAGGTTGAGATTCCTCATCGGAATCTGCTATTGCTTTCCTCTTCCTCTTCTTATTCCCTTTCCATCGCGTAGGAATACCAATACCACCCTCAAGTGAGCCATCACTTCCTGCCATGTCTGGCAGACTGTCCGTGACAACAAGGGATTTCTTGCGCCGTTTAGTACTCGGTCGGCGTGGCGAATTGTCTTCATCGCTGATATCGATAGTTTCAGGTTCAAACTTGATCGCGCCAACATCGCTATCTTGTGCCGCATCATCACTTTCGTCCGAGTCAACAGCGAGAACCTCGCGCTTCCGCTTTGCCTGTCTCTTCTTCACAGGTGCTGGGGGTGGACTTGAAGGTGGAGAGGAGGAAAACAGAAAACCGGCCAAAGTTTTCTGCTTCATCTTCTTTGGAGATGGTGACTTGTTCGCTTTCCGTGGCATCGCACCGTGGTGTATGAGTAGAGTGCGTAGATACCGTGGTATGTTCAGCTAGGGGAGCAGCTAAGTAGTCTGTGGCAGTGCATCGTCAACTAAACCGCACCAAGTGATGACTAATCAAGACTTAATAGTAGTCAGATCTACGACATTCCTTGCTTCACCAACTTATCGCTAACTACTAGCTAGTGAATTTTCAATTGTAGCTGGGCGAGTTTCTGGCAATAATTTAGGCAGAAATGACCAACTCGGCTCAAGGGTCTATAAAGCCGTTCACACCATTGCTTCGCGTTGACACTGAATCGCTCACTCCTCCATCCCATATCAAGTCAGGTCACGATGGCTCTCCCGGCGCGATGTATAGTGCTACCCTTACTCCTTCTCCCTCGTTCTACATCCCACTTTCCCCCAATGTAGACAAATCTTCTCCTTCGGCCCAGTTAGCCAGGATGGCACTCTCACAACGTGACTCTGCAGATCATGCCAAAGAGGAGTCGAGAAAGCTAGTAGGCTTGCTTCTTGACCAGCTTTCTTCCAGAACGCGTCCTCCCCCGATTTTTGATGCGTTAAATGTTCATGCTACTTCACCGGCTGATGCGGGTCTAGGACACATAATTGGAGCAGTACGCAATGTAGTTAAACAGAAGTCACACAAACGCGGCACCTCAACCCCCGTTTTGCGATCCATGAAGGAAGATAGTGACGATGAAGGGAGTGGCAATGTTGTTTTCTCTTCTGAAACCACATTTGACCTAATGGTCCAATTGAAAGAAGTCTTGCTATTTTCTGCATCGCAGGGCTGGCAGATATTTGACCAAGGGTATGAAATCTCTCTTCCAACCGCTCGATTCCTCGCTGAAACTCGAATAGAGCTTCTGGCCCGGGTACAGATACCTATCCCGGACAATTCACTAAATCATCACCATTCAGCATTCGCAGCTCCATGAGGAGGAGTAGCATTAGCGGAAGGCGATCAAGGTCCCCCTCGCCTTCGTCAAAGGGATACTCACAAGCTGCTTCACTTCTCTCCCTCTGCATTTCCATCCTTTCTTCAGTGATCTCGGAAGACTGTCGCTTTCAAATTTCATCGCCCAGACCATCGAAGCCTCCCAACGCGCTGCAATCAGTGTGCCTAGACATCGCCCAATTTCTTGCACATGTTCACTGCAACGAACCATCAGTAACCTCCCGTATTGCCTTTGCAGTTATTCCTGCATTCGGGACGTTTCGAAGTGAGATGCACCCGCGTTTGATGTCGTTTTTCGACAACGTGATACTTAGGGGAGTGTTCGAGGATCTAACTCGAATCAGGGGATATGTTTCTACCGATATTTCGGGTACGTTCAGTATGTTTTTGGATGATGAGAAATTTACCGAACAGCAGAAGACGAACTTGTCGTTAGTCATGACCAAGCAAACCCTGTTTCCATTCAAGTTGAAATGGCTCTTGACGACGAAGAGAGTTCATCTCGCCAGACAGCTTCGTGGCAGCCTTGGACGTCTCTAGCCTCTGCGAGTCACCCTCGTATTCGGGCCACAAATGCACCTCTTCAGCCTTTACCTGTCTATTACCTGGCCTCTATCACTCCTCCGCTGTTGGCCACCATTTTAGAAAACACTGACACTGCTTCGTTGCCACCCTCGTACAGTTTATGCCGGCTGCTTGATACGATAATCAGCTCTAAGCCAGACTCATATTTGGATATATTGGAAGTGATAGCATATCACGTACCTCAGAGTCGTCGCTCTGCTCTATCCTTGCTGGCAACTTTCTGGCCACGGGCTCTTGGGCATGTCGTCATCAGCAAGGCCCTGCCTATCTTTGTTCAAGGGCAGCAACCTTGGACAGATGGTATGCCCAACGCTCTGTTGCAATCAAGCACTTTATGTGCTCACGATTTTGTACCATGGAGATTCCAGCAGTCACAGCGGCCATCGGCATTTGACGAAACCTCTTCAAGTTCCTGTCGGACATGCGCTTCCTCTATCACGGGGTTCGGACTTCTCTGCTGTGGATGTATGTGCGCTGTGCATTTTGATTGCTATGACTATCCGGAAGGCAATGTTCATCATCAGTACGTCGTGGCATCCGATTCCGAAACACGAAAATTGGCCGTCCACCGTTTTTGCCTTATTTCCTCATCTAAGCAGGATGCCGACATCGTGACTGTGAAACGAGCTCAACACAATTTCAGACACGTCAACCTCTTTACCCTCCCTATTTGCTTTCATTGTTTTCTGCCGATATGGGGTTGTCAGGCGCTTCACTGTACGACATGCAAGCTTTTTGTGCATCTCACATGCCTCGATCAACCACTCGCAATTTGTGGAATTATAGACATCAGCTCCATTCATATGACGGTGTCACTGGATAGCATCAGTCGAACGTTTGCGGATTATTACGGGGATATCTTCCTCTCCTCCGAAGATCTGGGACAGCGGAGTTTTGAGGAGATTTCTGTGTCATCCGCCATGCTCTGGACGCAGCTGCAAATCTATAACAATGGACTTGCGCTGGGCTCATTTGTCCTAGCATCAGATGGTCATGAAGATACAGCAGAGGGATTTGAGCTGCAATACCTAGTTGAGCTTTATGAAGCTTACCTATCCTCTGGAAAACTGCCCGTCTCTGCGGCTCTGGGAGAATACCTAGATGGCAATCGACACAATCTGTCCTCTTCGTCAATCATGTTTGATTGGTCAACTTTAGCTTACATCTCCTCCACCATCAAGTCATCGTACGATACGCAAAATCTACCATTAGGGCCTTCGCCAGACTTGCGCGTGTTTGGCGAGAATGTGGCAACACAGGATGGCAATAATGCAACACGTCATCCGTTCGAGGTTGTAACTCTGGGGCATCTCCGTAATTCTCTGGGTTACGAATTTAATATGCTGTCAGAGGGCCCTGCGCGCCACTGTCTTTCTCATCTTCACAAACTTGGCTTCTTCACATGTACGGATTTCCCCACATGCGTACCCGAGCCTACAAAGTCAAGCCAACGCTGTTACTTCCCACTCCCGCTGGGCTTTGATTTGTCCGCTGATGTGGAGACCCTTGTGTCAGCCATCGAGGCTTGCCTTTCAGATTTGGATCTTTCGGTCAACGAATACGCCTTCTTACTCTTGGTAAGGCGCTTCTGGCCTAGTGGACTAGCATCGGAATATGCCCTGCGCAGGTTGTCTCACGCCGTACTATCCTGGATTTTTGCTGAGGTACGCTCGTTCATTGACGATTGGCTCGTGATTCACTTCGTTTTCCAGGACGACAGTCTGGCAAAGATTCTTCGTGACTTCATCCCAAAAGGGATCAGTCTCCCAGGCGTTCGGAGTGCATCTGATACTCCTGTGTGGCCGACGGCGCATGACGCGCGTCGCGCACCAAGCAGTTCCGTCAATAATGGTGGAGACTATGTGGCAGCCAGGCGTTCTCTCTTATCAAGATATGCCGCCGGATGGCTTCTAGCACTACATGATCAAGATGTCGTCACGTACGCTCGATTATTATCTGAGATTATCCAGGATATTGCTACGTGTCTCGGAAGTTCATGTCCTGAAGTCCGTGCCACTCCCATGAATTTTAGCTCGCAAACTGATTTAGAGGCCTGACAGCCATCGTCTACCGCGGAGAGATCACTGCGCTTCATAATAAGACTGTGCAGAGCTTCAGTCGATTTCACAGCGCTTGATGACCTATTTCTCATGTGGCTTCAAACACTCGAACCTGAGGTGCTCGATACAGCGGTACGAGATGTGATACATATGTTACTCGCGACTGATGTTCATTAACCCTAAGTCTCTTCCAATTCTGCAACGTCTCCTCAATCGAGATTCAGCCGAGAGCACATCTCGTCATACCACATTTGTGGACCAAATTTTTGCGCAAGGCGATGGGCATGTGGTGAAGTTATCTGATCCATGGGGTATGGTTCAACGGGCTGTCAAGCAAAACGGACTGTTGGACAGCCTCCGCTGGCTGAGATTATTCGCTCGTTCTGGTGTCGACATTAACGCACCAATATTTGCCGAGTACAGCGAACTGTCGCGGAAAGGTCTTGTGACCTTGAAGCAGGGGTCAGTCTTCGCTGAAGCCACCCTCCTGTCCGCGTGGACGAGGTCGATGGGTCGACAAGATCTACAGAAGTCGGTATCAACTATGATCGCCAGCCTACAGCCTGCTATTCAGAATGCCCTCCAATCTTCAGGTGACGATGCTTCATGGTGGCATTTCCCAATTCTGTATTGCAGCCTCATTACTCATAGTTTGTTTGAAGCGCATCGACTTTCATCAGGCAGTCACTGGCTACTTGTTTGTTGCTTTACGGATGTGATCGTGCCATGCTGGATTCAAACGGAATGATAACAGAAAAAGATATCACAAATCTCCCTTCAAGGCAAGTTAGACCACTTTTGGCTCATGGTCACAAGTTGACTGAACACCAGGAGAAAGCAGAACACCCGCGTCGCCCACGCCACCGACCCCATTATCATCGATGGCGAACTAATGCTCGTTCTCAGTACTCTCGTTGCCACCGGCATGGAACAGGTCATCTGCCTTATCGCCAAATTCCTACACTCTTTCATTATGCACGCTTCGCTACTCGAGGCACACGAGGTCGATAACTTCGTGTTGCGCAACGAAAGCACCCTGTATCCCTGGTATGCACTATTATCTCTTGAGTTTATGATCGGGCAGATGACTCTTCCTTTTCACAGTATCTGGCACTTTTACGGGATCCAGCACCACGAGATCGCAAGCATTAGGACCACCTTATTCCTCAGAATATTGATTGTTGACCCACAATCATTCCATGAATTTGTGTCCTTGATGAGTGGATCAACAGTGGCATGGGACATCAGGTATCTACGTTCCTGTCGTCTTTGATATGCTAACAACGCCATTCGTATTTAGACTCCTGGCTCTGGATAGACTCTTTCGCATGACACTCGATATTACCAGTCCCGACTTTGTGGTTGAAAATCGGCCCTGGAAACACAGCGTCATAGACCTCTTCTACCACGTCTTCGAGCCGCTCTGGATCGACGAAAAGGCATGCCGACAGCAAATTATTTTGTTATCTGACTGATGTAGCTCTTGCCAATAGGAAGAAGTAAGGACAACAGTGGATACTTGGTTGCGGACATTGCTTTCAGCCCATTTGGATGCCATTGCATCATGCTGGGACGACGTCTTTCCCTCCCTACCTGTATCAGAACGTCTCCGGCTGGTCTCCTTTCTCCTTCAGCTCCAATCACATTTCCCAACGTGGAGAGGTAACGTTTCTACATCGATATTTTACTGGTATTGAGGGTGAATTTGACCTAGTGCTTTCGTGGGCTACAATTATTGAGACGCTCCTCGAATACGATTACTTGGAATACAACAGCAACGACGAAGATGGCCCTGCCGCTGCTCACCTTGTTCGTAAAAATTTCCATCAACAAATCAAATATTCGACTGACCATACATATCGGCAGGAAATGTACGGTTTGAAGACTCAAAATGATGCTCACCCTCGAGATTTAGACCCGGTCATTCACTCCATTCAGGTGCGAGGGACTGTGGTGTGTCAAAATCGTCTGACTCCTCGAATAGATATCGATTGCGCTGCTTGGTCTGCGTATGATGAAAAACGGAGTCGAGATTGACCTAACTTCATGTCTGAAGTTCAAGCTGTATACGGCCAAGATAGTTGGCTTCAGCGGGGCGCAGATGATCTCTGCATTCAACAGCCGGACATTCGCGATCCACTTGGATGGCTTCGTTGGAATTCCAACACAGTCTTTGCCGTGTGTGAACGAATTTGCACGCATCCTGGATGCCCCCCATCCATTTGACTTGCCGCCTTCTCTTATGAACAGTCCGTTTACCGAAGACGATAAACCTTGTCGTGTTCTTATCGGTTCCATTTGGATGGATGTTGTGCTGGGTGCTTTCTGTGCCATGGACGAACCACTCAAGCTCCCACCTCTTACCTTGAAGAGCCTACTGGAAGCACTAATGGCAATGATTTATAAGCATGACTTTGATAGCCCCGCACTCAGACATCTCGATGTTCTACTCCGGAGGGCATTGAAGAAAACTTTAGACCTGTTGTTGGTCGACCTAAGTTATGACACGCGTCAAGTGGCATTATCTGTGATAGAGACATACATCAAGAGGGATTCCGCCATATCCGGCGCACTAGTGACGTGAGTGTGGTATACCTTTCGACTTCGTTAAGAAGTAATTCGCAGCTGCCTATAGGGAATCAGTCGAACGTGCTGTTGCACTGGTTGCCTTGTTGAAACATAACGCCGAAGATATGCTAGTCACTCAAGCGAAATCATTTATTGAGAACACGCTTGTCACGTACGGTGCCTGTCGCTGCTTGTTCCCTACCTACTGAACAACTCTGGCACAGATTGGCACCCAGTGGAGTGTTCTGCAGTCTCTGCAAAGTATGTTATGCACTCGGTGGGGGTGTCTCAAACTGATCAACACGCATTCAAGCGCCCGCTTGGCTCTGATTTTTTTACCGTAATAAAATCCATCGTAGAAGATCAATCCCGCAGGGCATCCTCGTCACGGGACAGCCTGCAAGAAGTTCTTCTGCAGAGTGTCGTAACCCAGCCCCCAGACGCAGATTGGAAGATCAATCACAATATTGCTCTGAACGTGAAGGAATACACGGAGTCGATCTACTTTGAAGGGCTCAGCAAATGGTTGATCAAAGGCAAGACATATTTCGCCCACTTTCACCACTCGAGTCAACTAGATTAACAGATCTTATAACATGGCTTACCGTAACGGCACGCCGAGCATCGGCTTTGGGGAACAACGCCGGATTTGACCCCAATCTGCTACTGTACATTTCTGCGACTATTTTGCAGTACAACATAGCACATGCCGAGGTAAAAACCCTAGCGTTTCCGGGCCTAAACAAATTATTGACATTTCCTCCAGGAACTCCTTGAGTGCACAGAAACGGTGCTAAGGGTCGCATTGTCGAGGTCCAATGTGGAGAAACAAAGTCTAATTCGAGCATTGCACGCTGTCAGTTTGCTGAGTGATACGTCTCTGAGTTCGAAGGAGGACTTTGTATCGTCCAACACCAACCGCGTAGCGCAAATCTTGTTGGAAGTTCTGGAGGATGTCTTTCGAGCCAGAACACGAGTCACGCCTTCGACTTTAAATGCCATTGTCGAGGTAATTGTTATCTATCACGAACTGTGCTCGATGATCTAAACATTACCTCAGACGATTCTCTGCACTGATGTCCGAATTTACTCAAGCCCCGATCGAGCTGGCACAGTTGGACTACGACAAGTGGCATGCAGTGGACTTTACTTTCTACACAATCATGCCTGGATAATTTCTGAGTCAAGCGCGGAGTTATCTGCCTCGATTGCCGTTTCGCGATTGGTCCTCCATGCTATAGATGTTGGGCACACTTCGCTTCCAGAGATGATTGCCGAAGGTTTCGAGGTACGGGCACGACGAATGTCGTCGAGTCAAACTCAACGAACCTTATCAGAAATCCACACAAGCTGGCACAGTAGTCCGCGCCTGGAATATTCTGCTGCTCGGTGTGCTTAGTGACTCTGCCGACAGGCACATTCGGGCCCTGTTAACACAGTTAAATGTCTTCACGCCGGCATATTACAAGTGTTTGGGTCCATATGTGCATGAAGGGATAACACCTTCCGAATCCGCTGTGGCAGATGTAGAACATGCTTTCATAGCTCTCAAGCTGTGGCTGTTACTTGCACAAATGCCGCTTGTCAACTCGACACGAGAGTCACCCAACGTGAAAGTCATTTGGAACGAGTTATGGCCTCCATTTGAGGCGCTGGTAGATCTTTTCAAAGTCGACAGCGTCCCGGAAGATCTCTTGGTAAGCATTTGACCTCTGCTCAAGGGAATTTCGTGCTGACGCAGTGACATTAGCCACTGGCAACGACAATATGGTCTTCCGTAGCAAACCTGTTTCTTTTCGTGCTCCAATCACGTTCACCTGTGGGGTTGGACACCATACCACATGCAGCAATGCTAAATCGCTTGCGTGACTCTGGAAGACGAAACTCCGCACTTAGCAAGGCATGTTCTTCTGTCCTGTCATTGACCTCCACTTATTTTATCTTGTACGTAGCTGTCCCGTGCTTTAGATGGAGAGCTTTTGCCCGAGTTGCTGCCGAGCGCGGTTGTTACCCAAGCAAAGCAGGATGTTGAGAATGCAGAAAAGCTGCGAGTGCTGGAAAACGTGCAGCGACCCGTGGAACGTAGAAGGGACATGTGGATTCCTACATAGCCCTCATACAATATCAGTTATGCAGTATATGCAGGAAATCAGAAAGGTCAACACAAGCAGAGGCGGCGGATATGCATATGTATAGGCTCTCGGTGTCAAGCTGCTCTAAGTTTCGCTTTTTGTGCCTTCTTTTTATTCTCCTTTATGATTGTGGAGCCAACGAAGAACCCGATACCCGAAAGTCCAACCACGAGCAGGAATGCGGGCAGCCGTATCGCCCATTCACGTGCAGGAAAAAAGTTGTGTATGGGGCTGGATGCGTCAAAGAAGGGCTGTTTCAAAGATGGGCGAGTAACGGTCAGCTATATTGTCCGCACAACGCAAGCCTGGTGAACTGACCAGTAAGATGGCCCATGTCGTGTAGTACGTGAACACGAAACCAGCAACTAGCAACATCACCCCTCCTAGAACCTTGTCACTCGCACCCTGGATAGTCGCACCCATCAGCCAACCTTGAAACATCACATAGATTTACTGCTCACCATCGCAAAAGTCTGTTAAACCTACTTGGAAGTTGAAAGCAAACTCTGAGGTCGCGTGTAATTATAAAGAGCGCGGTCGAAGCTTGAAGTCGGTGGGTTAGCGGTCCGGCGGAAGAACCTACATAACACGAGTGTGTAGCTCAACTTGGATGTCATAATCATGCCAACTCATCATAGACGTTTGCGAACAGCTGAACAAGACAATCCGACTTTCGTATTTGATGATTTGGGCTTGTAACGAATAGCTCAAGGCATCCCATGACATCTCATGCATTCGCAGCGCTTGCACATATCCAAATCCTTGTCCTCCCAGTGGGCCCAATCCCTCGTACTGCCTTTGAGAAGTATGCGGCAGAGATCAGGACATTTGATTCAATTCGCTTAGGTGATATACCTACTGGGATGAAGGATGAGCGAGGTATGCGATCCCTTTTTTTACTTGCACGACAGTTTTTCACGGATCTTCAGCCCGTTTCATGCCAAATCCACTTTCAAGTGGTCATCTATATCTGAGCTACCCATCTCATCCTGCCCCTCCTCGCCATCTTCCGCTGTCTCTGTTCCGACCGTCTCACTTCACGCTGGGTATAATCGGTATCGCTGCGTGTTCCTCCTCATATTCCCTTGCCTCTGCTCTTGAGCAATTCGAGAATACCGTACTCGACATCTCTCCGGAAGGCTCCACATTTCCCCTGGCCAAAGTCTGTTTTGCCTTCGAGGAGGAGGAATGTGTTGGCAATGCTGGTCTTGGAGACACATTACCCGGGATTATTTCCATCCCGAGCGTGATGGGGAATAAGAAACTTTATCTCGGCACCCTGCTTGCTGATTTGTGCTCTCAGATCCTCGCTGAACTTGGTCGTGTGGTGCGGATCATTATTTGGTACAAAGTTTCGATGACACTACTAACGGATTATATAGTATCAAGTTCTGGAGAATCCCGTAGGAAATGAGTATCTGAACTCTGCTCTTTTCCCAACGCTGCCTTCTCCCTCTGAGATGCCCCTTTCTCTCAGTTCCGGAATTCTCGGATTTCCTTCGTACTCAAGTCAGCCTGAGCTCGATTCATCAGGCCTCGCAGCACCGAATATCCCGATCAAGCGTAGCTCGACTTCTGGACCCATTATCAGTCACACGACATCCCTTACCCAACGACACTCTACACTCGGTCCCCCAGCGGCCAAGAAACGTGCCAGTGCAGTTGGTGCTGTTTCGTCACATGGTAGACTCTACAAGGTTCTTGGTGATTTCTTCCTGTTGGCTGGTAGGACAGAAGAAGCAATGTTGTGGTTCGTGTCGTTTATTCATCTTCTCAGTTCATTATAGTTGAATTCGCCTAAGGTACGCAGAAGCTATCGTGCTGTTCAAGACCGGACAGGATCCCGTATGGCATGCCTCCGCATTAGAAGGGATGGCAACGGTTTTTGTTCTAGATGCATGGTCAGTCGGTCAAGGCCTGGTAAGTCACTTATCGCTCTTGGCGATCGGCATTAAAACTGTATACAGCAATCCTCTGTTAGCAACAATGGTATGAAGGAACCTTGGGCGGACATATATGAGCAGCTGTCTCAAGCTATAGCTCTATACCACAAGGCTCCTGTGCATTCTGAGCTTAGCCAGGACTATTCGCTTCTGGCCCTGACATACTGCACAGTTGTTATGCGGCAAACATCCCTCCTTTTCTGCGTCTGGTCTACCAAAGGATGGGGTGCTTTAGCTTTTGCTTCGATGCTACAACCTGGGTCAACTTCATATATGCAAAAGGCGACGTCCGATAGGTCCTGGACGAACATGGAGCGCTTGAGCATCGTGTCAGGCGTGTCTCGTTCACACATAGCGAACACCGTGTCGCAAGCGCACGGTCCATGGCTCCTGCATCTTGGCCCTCATGAACGGCTTACTATTTTGCAATCTATGGCCAGTATTTATTCATGCCTTGGATACAGGCGGAAGGAAGCCTTCATTTTGCGCGAGGTCATCAGCTGCATCATGGATCTCATCGTTTGTGGCCGGGAAGAAAATGACCTCCTACGGAAATCCGACATTGGAAGCGCAAACATAGGCAGTCACTCCGAGAATGGCGATGAAGTGAACATGGCGGGGAAAGGAGCTGTCGGTATGCGACAAAACGAGATTCTAGAAGGCAATCAGAGCATTCTGAAACTCCTCATCTGTTCCTGCAAGGTCCTCGGTGTTGATCTGGAAGCGGTGGGTGTGGCAAAAGCAGCGGATGGTATTAGCACCGAAGTAGGGCGTGGGGACAGCAACAGCTCTTCCATGGAGGATTTAGAAGGCTTGGTAGATGCGGCAAAGGAATCCTTCGGGTGGCCAGAGCTTCAAGTTGGGGTTATTCGTGAGGCCATTGCTGTGGCAGAGGCACTTCCCGGTCAGTCGTATTTTCCATGAGAAAAGCAGTCTCTGAGGCAGTTCTAGATCCGCTCGCTGTGGCGCGAATATCATTATCGGCGTTGAGAACAATGCACTCTGTGTTGGCCAGTAGTGATCAATACCATTTGTATCAAACTGCTGGACGTGCTCTTGCTGTTATGCGTCGGCGTGGTGATGCACCTGCGGTCGAGTACTGGGCCGGACACCCTATCATGAGTCTTGCATTACTGCCGTATGTGATCGTTACAAACGGCACAACTGTGTTAACTCCCGCCTTTACAGGTTGGCTTTACACCGCCTACCAATTGAAAATCTATGCTCCATATTGACCGCAACACCATCCGCCACGAATTCGTTGCTGAGTGGGATCACTGATCCTTTCCTATACAATCCCCGGAAATTATCAGGACCGCAGGTCAGTCCTTCTTGCCGGCGACTAGACATGATTTCACCGTGTTGTTCCGATATCCATAGAGCAAAAACTTGATTGTTCAAGGTGAACCTATTGAGCTCACGATCACCTTACGAAATCCTTATGTTTTCGATCTGGAAATCCAAAGTATTTCGCTCAGGTATAGTATTTGCTTTGTCAGTTGAATGATGAGTTAATCTTCAGACCCTTAGCACGACTGGCGTTGAGTTTGAATGCAGTCCTGTTTCCACACTCGTCATCCCTCCCAACACACTCTATCCAATTACTGTCGTCGGCACTGCCAAGACGCGAGGAACTTTAGTTTTCCGAGGATGCATTGTGCAAGCCGCTTGGGGAGCTGCAAAAGAGTTTCTATTACCTGTCCCAACTGATGCCGATCAGAATTTGTTTGCACGCCACCAAAGCGCCGTGAAATGCGAAAGCGGTCGCACCAAGCATTGGGGCCTCGACTCTCGTCCGTGGGAGAAAGATGGGAGGCGACTCAGCACCTTGCTCCCATCCTTCAAGAAACCACCTCAGTTTTTACAATGTGTCGTGGTTCCCGAGCAGCCCCTCCTCCGAATCAGATGGACGTCGCTCACACACGGCGCAGTCATGCTGTACAACGGCGAAGAGTATGTGCGCTTGTTCGCCTATATTTTCGATTAATTGACGTGCTGCAGATCGAGCATTCGCTTGACGTTGGAGAATATTTCTGCATTGCCGATCGATTTCCTTCGGTTATCTTTCGAAGACTCCACCATTGGTCCCGCACAGGAAGCTCTGTCCGAAGGAGAACTTTCCGTCTTCGAAACATATGAGACAGAGTACGATCTTTTACACCGACAGGCGCTTTCATGGCGTAATGACAAGGAGATCACCAAAATTTTGCCAAACCAAAAGGTGGTCCTTTCTGTGACCTGTTTAGGAAAAGTTGGATGGTATGGTGTTACCAAGTCCTCGACCTTTATCGGAACTAACATCATTCGAATTCAGTGCACATGGTACCATCCACATCTCATACTCCCAGGTCAATCGAGAACACGAGGAACAGGCACCCGCAGCCGAGGTGTTCTATACTCGACAGTTGTCATATCCGGTGACTGTGACTGTTTACCATATGCTGGAGTGTCATGATCTGAGCCTCGTGCCGATGGTTGATGTGGATTATGACATCGGTCACCGAGCTAGCAATTCCATGACACAAATCCTTCCAGAAGTTGATGACCCAGCGGAATGGTGCTTGTTTGCAGTTGACGTCCGCAACACATATGGGCTCCCGTTCGAAGTCACATTCGAACGTGAACAAGCTGGTAAGCGCAGGGATCCTACATCTTCCTAAAACATGTTACTTAAGTTCCTCCAGGCACCGAAAGCGCAGCCGTTTCATCAACCGTTCCTCCAGGGTCAATGTCGCGGTAAGTCATCCAGGAAACATTTGTTTGTGGATATAGTCTCATGCCAGGTGTATCAAGTATCATGCTTCCGGTTAAAAAGTTCAGACTATCAGATGATCAGATCTCGCAACCCATACCGACATTATCAGACCGTCAGTTCGTCGTCGGAAAGTCCAGGTTGTCAATCGAAGAGGAACAAGCTCAACGGGAGCTATTCTGGTATCGCGAAGAGCTCCTCAAGATCATTTCCGCCCGATGGAAAGAGGTCAGCCGTTCTTCGCTCTGATTATATTCATCGCTTATGTTTATCGTTTAAGACGAATGGCGATAGACACGGAGATCTCTCTTTGCGACAACAACGGTTAACGCTCCCGATGTTAAAAGCCTTGCGGACAGACGTGGTGCGAGTGGACTTGACGCTAGTGACGGACAACCAGGACGACGGTTCACCCGAAGAGCTCGATTACGGAGGAGGCAAATACATTGCCAGACCGAACGAGATGCTCTACCTTCGCGTAGAGGTCGCCAATTCAACATGTTTGTTCTTTTTCGAGGGTTTTCTCGCTCAGCTCGCTAATTTCGCCTATAGTATCGCCTCTCGTTATGGCACTAGACTTGATCGTTGATCCAGCTGAACAGGTCCTTTCTGAAGGTGGTTTATCTAACGTGGTCATAGGGAAGCTGGAAAGCGAGGAATCCAGAGATGTGGAAGTGCCACTGTACTTCCTCTGCACTGGTCGTTTCGAAATCGGGGCGGAAGTTCGGATATTAGGAGCTCCGAAGGACAGTCGGGCAGGTGCTAGTAGAGTTTGTATCTCCGTTAGAGAGGATGGATAGTAAGTTACGATACGGTCGCAATTAACTCGTGATTTCTTGTCTTTTGATGCGACACTACTAGGTATGGTAGTTGCATGCCTATATATGGATTTTGCAAGGGGCCAAACAATACAAAAAAAGTAGTCCCACCGAGGATTGAACTCGGGACCCTTGCATGGAATGTAACCTCATAAGTACAACGCTCTGACCACTGAGCTATGGGACTATCGAGTACTTATTATCCCTTATATCGTTTTCATTGCATCAAGATATCCTTCGAATAATAATCGAGCGCCTAAAAATTCACGAGACATCATAATAAATATCCTAGGCCTCATCTACGGTTCAGGCATGCGCGGCTCTTCCTCACAACCAGACGTTGAGATCCTAAGGAATCTGGTTCCTACTCTTCTTGCTTGCTCCTCGGAATGGGTGATCCAGACTATCGCCTTCAACCTACCTTCAGAGGATCTGAGGTCACTAAGGATAAACTCTTCCACAAGCTTGGTAGAGTGATGATCGAGAGCTGAGGTCGGCTCTGCAATGAACCGAGTCACAACACGACTGAGTTATAATACAACGATGCAATAGAAATAGTCTTACCGTCTAGTAGAAGAACTTCAGCAGTGTTCAGCCCCACCGCCGTGGCCAACGCTATCCTTTGCGCCTCGCCACCACTTAAGCTAGTCCAGTTCCTGTCCCATAGCTCGTCATCGATGCCCCATGCCCTGGCGACCTCCATAGCGTAAGCGAGATCACCAACCGCAGACGTCGAGGTCAATTTACGGGACTGGAAGGATGTGATCGTTGCGATGAAGTCGTGCGGCGTGCCTGGCAGCAAAGCCGGCCTTTGAGGTACGTAGAAAACACGCGTTCTAAACGCAGGCACGCCTGGAATGGTATTAATGAGCTCCTGTCCGAGTATCCTGGTCAGGGGTCATGCGTACCATGTGCCTTTGCTGTCCTGGCATTGGTGGATGTCAGACGTGACAGAAGTCAAGTTGAAGGTCTAAGGGGCGTACCGTCCTCTATATAAGATCTCCCCGTCATAAACGTTGAGATGGGCGATGCACTTTAAAAGCGTAGTTTTCCTGAGCACGAACTTCAGGTTGAGCCTCCAAACGAAATACCGCGATGAAAGAAAGCAATGTACCCTGAACCACTCTTGCCTTGCAGAACGACAATATCTCTCTCGTTGACATTGAAGTTCAATCCGGCGAAAATGGTATTCTCTTTGTCCTTCTTGCAGGCGACTTTGCGGGCTTCAAGCAACTTTGCCATAGTGAGTTTCCACCAAGTCTTCGATCTGACCTCAGTGATTCTGGTTGAAGTTTATTTCTTGCTTTCCCACAACCAGGTCGTTTAGGCGCACCATATTTTTGTGCGTGTTCAGATCGGTGGGTTTCCACACTCTGTCAATGCTTGTTCCTGCGGACACGCAGGTACAGCCGGACTCGAGAACAGCTGACGACCACAATGGTACTGCAGAAAATCATGAGAAGAGATGTATGCCGACAATAGTGTCTGTAATTATGGTCTAAGTGTAATTAATTCAGTGTTGAGGTGGCATCCCCATCTCTTCTGGGGTCAAGTTAGTGCTCTCGATCATCACACCCACGCCAACCTTGGCGGCATTCTAAAGTAACAGAATGTCAGTTCGGACAACTTCGCAGTGAACTTGGAGCCACTTGCCTTGAAGTGATCAATCTCACCCGCCACCAGGAACGCGAAAGTTGGGGCAAAACGTTGTTCGAGTAGAGCAGAAACTTTGCCCGTCGAGTCCAACTGTGCTCTGAAGGTAGCCATCCGGAGGTCGTATTTTGCACCGAGAGTTGCGATGGCATCTCTTCGTTGAGGAGATGCCATGACCTGAAGATCAGCCGCAACCTCCACTTTCTCGTGGAGCTTCTGCCAGTACGTAGCCTGTAGAATGCCCGCTGGTTGAACTTGTGCGGTTGCAATCCAGTTTTTGTCATCGCTCGTCAGCTTGGCTAGATACGACGTTGTGAACTCGGACATATCAGGGGTTGGCCGTTGATAAAGTGTCTCCACGCCCAATGCAAGGTTTCTCATCACAGACTGGAAGTAATTTCCTATGTATATGCCGGTGAGGTCGGTAGGCCACGGATTGACAGCTTTTGCGTTCAAGGAGTAATCTTGACCCTGGTAGTCGTGCTCTAGTTGGATCATGCTATGGCCAGCTTGTGATGAAAGCTATAAATGAGGGTTATGAGAATGACTTTGAGTGAGAACGGAGCAAGAAACAAACCTGCGTTTGGATCTTCGTGATAGAGTTTTCTGCCCACCCTTGATTCATACGTGCGCTCACATTACCCTCATGGTCGACGCTGCCTTGAAGGAAAATCTGCGGAGAAAGGATCAGATAGAATGAACGAGAACGTGCAAGGCAAATAGGCTAACGTCGTTGTTGGCGAAGACAGCGCCAAAGTTATATGATGGTGCTGAGACTTGCGAACCGAGAACGAAAGAGTGTGTAACTTGGAACGCCGGGTTCATTGACAAACTCTTGGTGAGATCAGCTCTAGCACCATCGAACATGAAGTTGGTCAGGTGAGTCGCTATATAAAACGTCAATCATGATTGGAAGATTAAACGACATGAAGAAAACACGTACATTTGACTTCCTTCTGCAAGTTCTCGACTGTGCCCGGGTTCGGGAGGTCCAATGACTTCCGCCAGTGTGAAAAGCGACTGAAAACGCTAGTCAGAGGAGCAAGGGCAGCCGTGTAAGACGACTTTGGTGCCTGCGGCATGGATGACGGCGATGGGTCAATGAATTCGCCATCTTTTGTAGAGGAAAATGTCGGCGACGCCATAGAGCAACACAACACGGATGCAACCAAAGTCTTGGTGACGAAACTTCAAAAAAACCAGGTGGAACAAACACCAACAAATTCAGCCCATTCAACCGAACTCTTGCTCATTGTTGCTCGATGCTTCTTGCACATGAGCAACTTGCAAGAACGGTGCATCTACGATGATAATTTGATGATGTGGAGGCATCGCTGACGCTTTATATAGCATCAATAATTTATCGAGGCAAGTCCCTACTATGTGGTGGCAGTTCAGTGCTCTGACAGTTCCGCATCTTTTCCTACAGCCTCACCTCATGACGGATGTAGCTAGTTCAGGCTAGTCAGGGTAAAGATAGCACGATGTCATTGAACGCGATGTATGTACAGCTACTTCTGATGGTACCGCAAACTTGAGCCTAGCTATAGGGTCCTGGATCTGCATCGACTCCTCAGAACGCAGACTAGGTCAATCATATCACGGTGAAGTACATAGAGCTACTTCACCATGATGTGATTGGACCTAGAGGTACCTTAGCAATCGTAATTCGCGGACCACGGGGTGATATAATATATAAACACTATACTGAAAACTTTTGGCTTTTTTGTTTTTGCGGAGACCTTGTGACATAGGTATACACATGCAGTAAAAACTCAAAACTGTAAGTATTACTTTTTTTGCTAGCAAATGCCACGCAACATCTTTCAGCATGCGAAATTGACCTACTAGGTCATGAGTTAACGTCCCAGCGATTGCCGTTATCCGATATTCGATTTTTATATACTTAGCCTCCGCGCTCGAGCGGCGAAGTTCAGTAAATTCAGGCCCAATGCAAAATCTCCCCGAACCATCGAGTTAACGTCGAATTTATCTGTTATATTAGCTATGTAGTTGTTAAGGCGATACCGTGGAAACACTAGCTAAGTGGTCAATAATGGATAATCTGATTTCATATCACCGCGCAGTGCTGCGCAGCTCCACTAACTTATACAGGCGTGCGACGTGCGTGATGGACACAATCGCATCCTTTTCTCCGACCCTCGGATTAAATATAAGTCCTTGTTCTAACCCAAATCTCAACCTCTTTCGTCCCCCAGCTGTCGACACCTGCTCGCTGACCCGTCAGCGTCCAGACTCTTCCGAAACATGGCTCTTCTCCCTTTGACTGCGGCACATCGCAGATCTGTAATTATCGCGTTGGCCACTGTGGTATGTCAAGGCATTTCTCGCACTGTCACCTTACTTACCCTTAGCTTCACACAGCTGTGTGTGTGCTATTTTATGACTATTGGTCACGAGGACAGCTACTCGTCTTTCAAAAGTTTGTCCACGCAATGGACCGTATCCAAAGACTCCGCAGTTGTTTTGGACGTCAAACAAACGAGCGAGATTCGGCCACAGAGCAAACCGTCACCCTCTGCTGGCAATATAAGTTCATCTGTCCATTCCCCTCCACGCAGAGCCAATGCTACCTTGGTGATGCTAGCGCGTAACAGCGATCTCAACGGCGTGATATCAAGTGTAGAACAGCTGGAGGCGAGGTTCAATCGCAAGTTTCAGTATCCCTGGGTGTTTTTGAATGACGAACCTTTCTCTGTTGACTTCAAAAAGTATAGTATATCGAGCTATCATTTAGCGCAGTTGGTTTCTCACGTGTCTTCAGGCGAGTCAGCGTGTTGACCGACGCAGAGATATCTTTTGGGTTGATCCCCCGCGACTCCTGGGTCCAGCCGGACTGGATAGATGAAGATCGAGCTCGGGAGGGACGCAATAGCCTAGTGCGACAAGGTGTAATCTATGGCGGCAAGTCTATCATTCGTCGGACCTTCTTTGCTATCTTACCATTGTAACCACAGGCAGTGTTTCGTGCGTATGTCCGTGTAACCCATTCATGTTACGTCTCATCTTTGGCCATTAGTTACCGCAATATGTGCCGGTTCAACTCCGGGGTGAGCGCTTCGTGTTGCGGGTTTAGGAAGGATGTTTCGTTCAGCTGACCTCTCTGTGCAGTTCTTTTTCCATCACGAACTCTTAACGCCATACAAGTGGTACTGGAGAGTAGAGTCAGTCATTCAGCGTACCAGACGAACTGAGTTCTGACCCATTCTGTAGACCCGACGTCAGATACTACTGCGATCTAGATTACGACCCCTTTCTATTTATGGAAGATCACGACAAGGTTTATGGTAAGTTATTCTCAGTACAGTGGTTGAGCTGCTGAATTTATATCCACGGCCAGGCTTCACGATTTCAATGCCAGGTAAATTGACATTTCCGCTGCATCTTTTATAGCATGAATCACGCTCTCAACAGAATGGGAACCAACTATACCCTCGCTGTGGTCCACGGTGAAAGGTAAGCACTAATAATTACGCTCGGTAGCTTGAGGGTGAATCTATTTGCCAGACTTCGTCGCGAAACACCCTCAATACGTGGCACGAGATAACTCAATGGATTTTATATCTGACAACGCGGGCGATACTTACAACATGTGCCACTGTAAGAATTATTCGATCTCATGGCGGAAGCAAGGTCATTGACACCTTTTACTCAGTTTGGTCAAACTTCGAAATTGCAGATATGGATTTCTGGAGGGGCGAGGCTTACACAAAGTTTTTTGAATATCTCGAGGCCACAGGAGGGTTTTACTATGAGGTAAGTTTTAGGTATTTTTGTTTTGTTCGTGTTCACTGACTGTGCACAGAGATGGGGGGATGCACCTGTTCATAGCATCGCTGCAGCATTATTTGCACGCAAGGATCAAATACATTTCTTCAAGGATATAGGTAAAGCTTCGGTCATGTTGTTTCATAGTCATAACTGATCGGTCTGAAGGTTATAAACACGCCGAATTCGCTCATTGTCCTCAGGGCAAACAATGGCGGGAAGGACACTGCTCATGCGATCCAAACGATAACTTCGGTACGATGATACCCCACGGTTGCTCCTGGCGATACTAACAATGACCCAGATTTTGCGCAAAATTCGTGTCTGAGGCACTTCATGCGGTTGGAGGATTAGATCTTCGGTTGATTGAAAGTAGACGTTACGACTTCATACGTGTATTTCTACTATGGGCTACCGTAGACTAATGTGCAGGATAAACTATCTAAGAGTATCTAAGTCCCTTGACCTATTAATGTGTATTTTTATGACTACCTATATTGATCAGGCCTCAGGCACGGCCAACGGCCAGCGGACATGACTATGTGAACGAACCACGTGGATTGCAATGAAGACACCGCGGTTCATTATGTAGTGGTGTGTTGGCAGTTTCCGGTGGCGCGGCCCATCCTTCGACTGCTACCAACAGCAGCAATCTTACCTATATCCTTTTATTTCCTTCTCTTGCAGTTACCATCAAACTACTTTTCTACTAGTGTTAGTTAAGGTCCGAAGGGACTTGCACCTCTGTAAAGATGATGACGCCAATGCGTTATATCTTGCTTGCCTTGGGTGTAATTGTACGTGTTCGTGTCAGCTTGCTAATTTGGCCGGGTTAACAATGAAATAGATTTCTATTCACTACATTCTGAGCTTTACACATGAAGAATACGGAAGGGCGACATCTATCTCAACCATTGCCGGGCAATTCACTGGCCCGAAGTCAAATCCTCCCTACAAAACACCTGTACCAGACGAGTACTACAAGGTTGACGAACCCATCGCCTTACAAGACCGTAAATCGAACGCCACATTCGTCATGCTTGTACGGAACTCCGACCTTTCCGGAATCATGAGCAGTATGAAGCAAATCGAGGATAGGTTCAACAAGAAGTTTCAGTATCCTTATGTCTTCCTCAACGATGAGCCATTTACGGAGAGCTTCAAAGAGTGCGTATTTTACGTTTATATTCTTGAAGATTCTGACAGGCAGCCGTAAAGGCATATACAAGCCTTAACCAATACCACGGTTGAATTCGGCGTCATCCCACACGACCAGTGGCATCAACCATCGTGGATTGATGAGGAGCGAGCAACAAAATCGCGTGATGAGATGGTTAGAGACGGTGTGATCTATGGAGGTACGTAAGTTTCAGCCTGACGACGCACATGTAGTCTGACTATCTTCTAGGCAGCGTCCCGTGCGTATTGCGCAGCCACCCTCGCCAAGTCTAACTGACTGATCCTAGATACCGCAATATGTGCCGTTTTAACTCTGGTGTACGTGTCCTTGATGTGGATTGGCGAGTATTCTAACTGGTCCTTAGTTCTTCTACCGACATGAGCTCTTACAAAAGTACCGATACTATTGGAGAGTCGAGTGAGTAGACGCAACCGGTGGAGATGCGAAGTATTTGGGCTGACTTTCCTCTTACCCAATTAGGCCAGACGTAAAGCTCTTCTGCGACGTGGACTATGACCCCTTCCTTGTGATGCAAGACCAAAATAAGGTGTATGGTAAATTAAATGATGTTATCACTTGTACACTGGGGAGTCTCAAACACCGACAGGCTTCACCATATCACTGTTCGAATATCAATCTACTATCCAAACACTATGGACCACTGTAAAGTGTAAGCGCATTCAGCATTCGCTAAGATTTCAACCTCACCTCCCTCTAGCTTTTATCAATTCTAACCCTGGCTTTGTGTCTCCTGACAACGCGATGGGATTTCTCTCGGATGACGGAGGAGAATCATATAATCTATGTCACTGTAGGTTAATGCGTATCGCTCTCGTTTGCCCATCCTAATGACCACGTGGCCAGTCTGGAGCAACTTTGAGATCGCAGATCTTGACTTCTGGCGCAGTGAAGCATATTCCAAGTTCTTCGAATTCCTTGACGAGCAGGGTGGATTCTATTATGAAGTGAGTCCTGCGTTTGCACACTTGAAACCTCGTTTGACTAGGAATAGCGTTGGGGAGATGCACCAGTTCATAGCATTGGAGCCGCACTCTTCGCGAAGAAGGAACAGATTCATTTCTTCAATGACATCGGGTATCGACACGAACCTTTCCAGCACTGTCCGCAGGGAGAATTGAATACCAAAGGAAAATGTTGGTGCGACCCTAGTCAGAATTTCGGTAAGCATCTTCCTGCAATGTTGGACCACTGCTAATGCTAATTTCTTCAGACTACGAGTGGTATTCATGCTTGAACAAATACGATAGGATGTTCTCGTAGACCGAAACATCATGCTGTCACAGTAATCTACTCCGCAGTGGGCTATATGTTCCTACGACACTGTAGATACCGCAATCCACGATATGTATACCTCAGGCGTATCCGCGATGGGCCACGTTGAACCTAATCAATATGTAGTATTTGACAAGGCTATAGAATGGATTGTGAATAATATTGGTACTGCAAGAAAAAATAAGCTTAGAATGCACAACTGCGCTTGGTTTCTACTCACGGAGTCGTAAAGACGCGTCCAATTGGATCCCAAGGAGGTATCGATGAGACGGTCAACATATTCGCCCACAAGGGAATGAGTCAAGGCAGGTTGAAAGCGATCACGCAGTTGAGCTGCGGTCTGTTCACCGAATGCAGCGAAGCACGGAAGTTTGGAGTCTAACACAGGTTACTTGAGATAAAATGATTATGCCGACTGCGTATTTCTCACCTTTTTGCATCAGCTCCACCAGGGCTGCGGATGATTGATATCAGTGTCGCGCACGGGTCTGACCAACCGAAAGGCACTGACTTATGATTCTGTCGCAATGTTTTCTCGCAGCCTCGAACCCCTCACGAAACAGACGCTTAAACTCCAAAAATTGCTCTCCATCCACACCCCCCAGTACTTCCACGTATTCCGATGGCAGCTTGAATGGTGCAGCCTCAAAACCTATGTTACCTGGTGAATTAGACAGCATGAAGCCAAAATCTATGTGAACGAGGTGCCCCTCTCGGTCCAGCAATATGTTCCCATTATGCCGATCCTTTATTTGCAACAGGTACGTTACGATGGAATAACCTACGAAATGGTAGAGCATTGAATATGGTAATCGAGGTGTCAAGAACGGAACAGACCTGCAAGTGACTTCGCAAAGTTGCGTTGCGCTCGGACAAACTTCGTCGTAGATGGATCGCCGTAAGTCTTGAAATCGTATTTCAGCACACCACAGTTTCCGGAAAATAATCAAACGGGAAACCAACCGACTTGAAGTGATCTAGGAGAGTGACGTATCCGAAACGGCCCTCCGCCAACCGCCTTGCATACTCGGACTTCTTGATGGAGTGTATTGACACAGCGTCTGTTATGGTCTCTACCAAGCCTGACGACGCGCCAGTGGTGAGAATTCGGAAGCTGGACGGAGTTTAGTTCACATCAATAAGGTGACTTGGTAAAAGCAAGCTCACTAGCGGACCCAGCATTGACAGCTCTCTTCTTCCCAAATCTGCTCAAACTGCTGTACGAGCTGAACGGCGACCTGTTCTTGGCGAAGGTCACCACCAGTTTTAACGATCACAGAGATACAGTCCCAGTTCGCTAGTGTTAAATGTCTGAGTGTGATTTTTCACACACCAAGGCTATAGCCTTACCTAGATGACCATACGGCGATTCGTGCCGTATTCGACTCTGAAAAAAAAAGCGGAAATTACAGTCATGCAATAGCTCAAATAGTCAAACCAACCTTCTTCGCCGCCCAAGATTCGCTGAATATTACGGCTGAGGGATCGGCCTTGTTCAGCTCACGCTTGATAATGGTTTCGTCCTCAGCGATCTTCAGGTTATCACCCAAATTACCCAAATCACCAATGCGCATCGTTCCCTCTCCTTCCCTATGCTCTCGCATGCGCTCCATTCGCTCTTCTTCAAGCGCAATCATCTCCTTCATGATACGATCTCTGATGGCAGCTACCTCTGCATGCTGCACACGCATCCGAGTGGTCGCAGGTGACTCGCCAGCCCTCCCAGCGAGCGAGGGATGTAGTGGTCCGCTGTTTGCCTGGTGATGCGGGCCGCCTAACCAGCCAGTGCCAGGAAGCCAACTCAGAGGGCCAGACGACAAGGGCGCCGCTCCCGACCCAATAGGCGTCGTAGTTGGATCCGAAGCAGGCAATGTGGTCACTGCCTCACGAATGAGGTTCGCATTGAGCTGCGAAAGCATGACAGCTGCCGTACGCATGCGTTCGGAGTAATCGTCAAGCGAAAGTATACGACTATTGCTGTTACAACTAGGCGGCGAATCTGGCAGTCCAGTGGTTGATGGTAGTGTCGAGAACTGACCACCATCGGGTAGAAAGGCGGGAGAGGAAGATAATGTCGATATCCCTTCTGGATGAGGTGAGGAGGGTAAGGAGGAGGTCCGAGACCATGCGACCATATCCAGCTCCTTGTTCTTCAGCAGGGGTGGAAGGACAATGGACTCGGTGAGGTCTATTGGCCCACGGAGAGACTCGCCGGTCCTGTATAGTTGTTCAACAACGTCCATCTCCTCTTCATCACCACTGAGAGAATTAGTACCACTGGTAGCAGAGGCTGCAGGAACCGATGAAGCCTCTGGCTCCTCAGTGGAGTCCTTTCCCAAGGCGTTTTCCGAGCGGACAACGGGATCCACAAAGGGATTGAGCTTCGACGTAGGAGATGACCTGACGAAAGCAATAAGCTCTCTCGAAGCACCTTTACGTTCGTTCTCCTTCGTAACTATACGCTTGAGCGCCTCCTTATTGCTTCTCTTCGTCGGGTCGAAGTCAAGGTCGTCGTGCAGGATCTCGATAATGAGCAAATAGGGTGCTCGCTCCGCAGAATTAAGCACAACGCTTTCGCCAGGGGGAATTCGAACAATCTTGTGGTGCGGCTTCGAGCCATTCCGAGGCACAGGGTTATCGGATGAAGAGCACCACATAGGCATGCATACCTGAGATCATGTATCAACAAACTGGGGTTTGACAGAAAAGAAGATATTACCTCTGCGGGCAGCTTATGGTTAAGAGCAGTTAATTCGGCTCTAAGAGCGCTGACTCGTGCAGGCTTTGGCACGACGAGTAGGCGGTTAGAGATGTGTTCGAGCGTTAACAGGAAATGGACCTGTCATGTTTTATGTAAAGCCAAGGTTATAATGAGAACGGAAACTGCTTACTTCGGAACGGTAATAATGACTTCTAAGGAGATGTGCTTGTGAATCCAAATCATACTGTTGAAGGAGGGAATCGCCGAAGTTCTGTGTATACTGCCGAAAAGGATGCTGGGTAGTAGGTATCGAAGGAGAGGATTGATATGGGCTGGCAATACGCGCCGGGGGTGACGGATGAAGCTGATGTAGTGGATCCTCAGATAATCTTGACCGATGCATGTTTTGCAAATGAACTAGAGCTGGACTTGTCTGTGCGGCCACAATCGTTCGACGACGTGTGGCAATTGTTCGCTTCTCGGAGACTGTAGGACTATGGGGGGAAGAAGCATCAGAAGAAGAGCGCGCATCTGCGTGGTCATCTTCATTTTTTCCATCTGAGGCATCATCATCATCATCATCATCATTCCCAGAGTCATTATGAGCGGTCTTTCCGGATGGCGAAGCAATGTCATTGACATCGGTCTTGACGCTTTTCAGGTCTGACCCGTCCTCGTCAGCACGGCCCTGCTGCAATGCAATTTCACCCATGATCTCAGTAAGCTTAGGCATGGCTGGCGTTCCAGCTAACATCAGACCAAGTCCAATGAGTGCTGGTTCGACATGGGCTTTAACTTTGCGACGTGAGAAGCGCGCCTGGAAAGGCAGGTCCAAGCCAGAGTACGGACTAGAGACTGGAGTTGGAAGATCACCGAAGATGATTTCATGACACCTTCGTAACGTCCGCTGGCATACCTGAAAAGACGGAGAACCAGTTGATGAGGAGAGATCTTGCAATGAAGCTTGCATAAGCCAAAGAGTCTCCACAGACATCAGCTGTGAGCTTGAAGCTACAGGGCTGTTGCCTACGTACAATCATGGCTATATGTGTGGACCGCTGTGAGATGTCTACTACAAAGCATTCCAGTGCTCGCGATTTGGAAGGTCGGGTGACGAGCAAATGACTGGTGAACCTATCAGTATGGTTCCCAATGCGACATGCATTGATAAATACCATATGAAACCCCATACTTCGCGTAATTCCTGGGTGTCGAGCTCTCTCAATCTTCGCGTAAGGTAGTATGTGATGCCTATATTGTCGGCATACAGCATCAAATATCGTAGAGCCACATGAACGGAGAAGAAAGATGGAGACAAAAAAAGTCGTAGGAGAAGGGCATGGGACATCTCTGACAAGAGCTGGTCACCGTCTCGGACGGCGAGCAGGGAGATCAGATGAAGAGCTGTGCTAAATTGGTCCAGTTCCCACGGGTGCTATATCGTACACGTTGACAACTTATTTCGTCCAACTCGAATAACCAACGCTTTCCTTTCAAGATGCTCTGGCCCCTACTTGCTTTCTTTCTCTTGCCCTTATCCGTAGCGGCCAAAAAGTCAGCCCATGAACAGCTGGTTGACCTAGCAGCTGCTGGAAATGGTCTCATACGGCTCAACGAACAGACTTATGACTTGCTTACCTCCTCAAAGCGTGACTGGTCGGCTGCCGTCCAATTTACTGCGCTCAATCCCCAGCGGCGTTGTGCTCCTTGCAAGTCAGTGAGAAGATTGCTAACACATCCCGAAAGCTAACTGTGTTCTTTACAGAGAATTTGACCCATCTTACACTGCTGTAGCCAAAGCATGGGCAGCCGCTCCGAAAGAAAAGCGAGACCAGCATTTCTTTGCTACCCTTGACTTTGATGACGGGTACGCCGTCTTCCAAAAGGTATAACACCCTCATGCCCTGCAGTGCTGCATTCGATGATTGACGCGCTTATTAGCTTAGCATGGCTTCCGCGCCAGGCGTTCACGTGTATCCCGCGACTGAAGGACCAAACGCGTCTGCAAAGAAGGCCCCCTTCAAATATGAATTCCAGCAGTAGGATTTTCACCAAATCCTTGATTTACAATCCCTTATTGTACTCTACAGTGGTTTCGAAGCTGGACCTCTGGCCGAGCAACTCTCTGCGCACACCCCCATCCCTATCCCGTACAAGGCTCCCTTGGACTGGGCACGCTTGGGCAGCATTGCTTCACTCGTCCCAATCGTTACCCTTATCTATCGCTTCATCAAACCGGCGCTGACAAACCGCTGGGTCTGGGCCGCCGGCACTGTCTCTACCTCTCTGGTCATGACCTCTGGCTACATGTTCACTCGCATCAGAGGTGCCCCCTACGTTGGCCAAAATGGCGCTTGGATCGCTCAAGGCTACCAAAATCAGTTTGGACAAGAAGTTCAGGTTATCGCCATGGTTTGTACGTCGTCACCCATCTCATACATCATGCTGGTGCTGATTATTCATAGATGGAATCTTGGCTGGCTCTTTCTTGATGTTGATCATCGTCACACCGCGTCAATTGTCGCCCGGCCGTCAGAGAACCCAGGTATACCTCTGGACTGCAGTAAACTTCCTCGTTTTCAGCATTTTGGTATCGTTGTTCCGCGTCAAAAACCCAGGTTCGTCCATGACTTCAAGGATCTAACGCACAATTAACACTCCTATTAGGCTATCCTTTCAAGCTCATTCTATAGAATAATGTAGTCCGTCTTGCAATGGTAGCCATGACATGCATTTGAATTATAAAAAGCAAATAAAAATGTACATGCATCTGAAGAAAGGTGAAAAACGACGAAAGCCAAAAGATATCCAGAATAAATTGATGGTCTCTATGATAAGGATTCGTGATCTATGAAGCATTTTCTGGCTGTTGGAAAACATCAACGTAGCGGTTTCGTACATTGCGTTTGGCGGCTTGCGAGCGTGGACGACCAGGTGGTGGAAGCGGTGTCATGGGAGTCGTTGGCGCTGGTGTATTGGGGAGAGATGTTGCTTCAGTGGGAGCGAGGTTCGAACGCACCCGCATGGGCGGCTTAGCAGTGGGAGACGTGCTCAAATCGATCGCAGAAGTAGATCGGGCTGACGGAGGTGCTGAACTTGCACCGTTGGCATGAGGAAGTGGAGCACTTGCCCGCGCCGGTGATGCTGTCTGTACTCTTGAAGGCGGTGGGAGTGGTGCAGCTGGCTGAGTAGTTTCAGCACCACCCTGAAAAGCCCGTGAGTGACATCTCACATCCTAAAAAAACTGCTTGCATACCTTCTTGTTTACCCAGCGCTTGAGCTCTTTGTCGTAATAGAAAGCGGATTCTTGCCCAAGACTGGCCTTGATGGGACCAGGGGATGATTCGGAACGCTTCCAGAACCACGCCCGACCCAGCCAAGAGCTTGGTGGCGCCGCAGCAGTCCCTGGGGTTTTCGCGTCTAGCAACGAGAGTTCTTGACAAAGTCACAATGGAGAGGTAATTACAACCAACCTTTTGTTTCCTCCGTTTTCTTGACGTCTGCTGCAGGCGTTGTAGATGTTTCACTCCCGCATTCAGCTGCTTCCTGAGGACGTTCACGTTTGAATGCATTATTACCAAAGCCCAAATCATCCTCTTCATCCTCGAAGCTTGGTTGCGACTGGTGATTCGACATGGATGGGCTGGGGACCGCAGCCAATGCGGGGTCATCCATTAAGGAGATGAAGCCATCGGACGAAGCCTGGAAATGATCCACTGGGTGAAAAGTGGCCGTGGTCGGCGTGGGGCCAGAGTCGGAATTGTTGAGCGAAGACCACCATCCTGCCTCCTGCTGTTGCTCAGGGCCCTCCTCGGCAGTTATCTCCAATGAGGGCTTTCGTGACAACGGCTCGGTAGTATATGCAGGGACGTAGCCATTTGTCATCGAATGCCCATTCATACCTGAGCCCTGTGCGGAATAAGGGTAACCTGATCGTGGTGGGTGCAAAGGCGCAGTCAAGGGAGGCGCTGGTGAGGGTTTTCGTGTCGGGTGATAATACTCCATGGCAGATGAGGCACGATCGATAGGCACGTGAGCATGAGAAGTGGAAACTGCCATCGCGGAACCGCTTCTGCGGGGAGGTGGTGTACCTGATATAGAGTGCAGGTTCATCGCCCCAGGGGGTGGCGACGGACTTGCAGAGGTTGTCGTCGATGAAATCTCGCTGAAGTGAGAGAAAGGTCCTAGGGATGTCACCTGAATCTTGGACGGTGCTGGCTGGGGCGACGGTTCATCCCCTTCTCCAGCGATGAACTTCGTCAAGCGTCCCTCAAGCCAGCTACCGATACTGTCAAGACTAGGTTTGTTCACCTTGCCACCTATCCAAGATCCGGTCTTTTCTGTTTGTGGAATACCACTCAGGCGATCTGCAAGTCCTTTCAACTGCTCGACAACAACAGAATGGATGTAGCGTGATGGATGTGTTATTGCAGCGGCGATAGCCTCGCAATATCTGTAGTTTGTTAGAAAGGTGCAGGATCGTAGAGGAGTCGACGCACCTGCTGGCTGCCTGTGTCTCGCCAATCTCCGCCAGATACGAGGCTCTGATAAGCTTGTATGCCTGTAAATGCGGTAAACCGTGGAATGGTTCTTGTCCCTTGGGAATGCTCTTTAACGATAGGGCGAACTCAATAATTTCGGACAGAACGATGGGGTCAGTGTCCTTATAGAAAGCGGGCCACGCGTGTGGACTCCGTGAACCGATGAGAACAATTCGACCTGATGGACTCCCAATGCCTCCTATTGGAGAAGTCTGAGGAGAGAGCAAGTAACTGAGGGGATTTTAGCGCAGGTAGACAGTGCAAGATTGAACAATTACCATGCGTGCGCAGCTTCGACCTGTTGATGCGTTACAAGATAGTCACCCAGCGCTGTCAAAGTTGCTGACCACTCAGGGGACAGTGGACTGGAGACCATTGATGCGACAAGTTCTGGCCACTTCAACAATGCATTAGCAGGGATTTGTGCTGCCATTGCTGGCGAAGGGAAACTAGGTGACATTGGCGTGGTGTGCACAATAGCTGGTGCAGGGACTTGCAATGTACCTGTGGCTCGGGCAAGCAAACTGGTGGGGATCAGTTCCTGGACTATTTGTCAAGTAGTTTAACATCAGAAGATTTAGCTCAGGAGGTGATCACTAACCAGCCGCTGGTCCCTGACCAGAGAATAGACTGTAGACCACACGAAGCCACTCCCTTCCATTGCTGGGAGGAGGTACCTGTTCCTTTCCGCGTCCAATAAAGGCCGTCCGCTGTGTGTCATGGACGCCCAACTCTCCCTTAAGGAACTCGGTGACAACGTCCTTCCAAGCCTCCTTGTCGATGCTGCTCGCAATGACCATCGCATGTGCCCACAGCTTCTCATCCAGCGCATAGTGATAGGCTTGTCTCCTTTCACCTCTCACAAGGAATTCCTGTATCTTGTCTAACGCAGATGGAAGGAGCGAGGAAACTGAGATAGGCGTCTCACTCGTGCCAGCGTGACCACCGTTAAAGCCAGGAATTATACCAAGGCCGTTAGGCATGGAAGAAGTAAACCCCGGTGTCGAGAGGACACCAGACCCACCCTCACCACCCTCAGACGTAGCAATGCGAGGAAGCAGTGCCGTTCTTACAGCTGAGTCGATGTGGGCACTAGAACGCAATGTAAGTTAAGGGATTTTGTCAATGCGCTGGCGACAGACCTTCCAGATAGTGCACCATCGTTCTCGACCATGATCTTGAGCAGCTTGACTAGAACCAACTTTCCTTCAGCACGCTGCTTCTCGGTTCCCTCTGACATATATGTTGTCCCACGCGAAAGCTCTTCGCTCCGATTCTCCAGATACTTGATGACTTGTGCCTTCTTTGTTTTAACTTGAGACGCAGCCGCAGTCCGCACAAGACTGGTAGGTGTACCAGAGTCAGAAAACAGAGGACCAGGGTAAGCAGCGGCAGAAGGTTCAAGCGCAAATTCGGGGAGGATTTTGTGCAACACACGTACGCGCACATCTGTCGAATGACGAGACGACAGGGCGACATCAAACCCAGTGATAAGGTCAGGAGAGCTGTGGAAACACGTAACCATCTTCCCACCGAAACCAAAACTGATCACTGGAGCTCGAGAAGATGTCCGACCCAGAGGATCATTTGAGCCTAAGAGAGAAGGAGAGGGTGCATATGGGGGGCGTGTCGCGAGTGATATGTGAACTTCCTGACTATACGCAGACACTGCGCCATACGAGCTTGGTTCACCAGGACGAGGCTTGGGAATAAACCCGTTCACATCTCGCTGAGAGGGGATTCCCATAGGCAGGGACGCTGTGGAATGCACGGATCCGTTGGATCCCGAACGGCCACGATAGTCGGATGACGCCAGAGCCACAACGTTCTTGGTAAGTGCATATGGGTCAGGGGCTGGTGACCCCTGGCGTGAATGATGAACATTAGGTGATGAAGTCCTCTCATACGTACCATGCGATCTGGGCTCGTGATGATTTGCCGCAGTCGGAGCTGTTGAGTTGTAGACACTCTTAGCGGATCCTGCATGGCTAGTGAACGAGCGAACAGAACTAGGGGATGCCGCTCTGTTGTGCGCGGTGTAGTGTGATGGCTCATACGCATTCATGGAGGCTGGATGCAAAGGGCTGGGATACGTATCCTGTTCAAGGGAGTCGATAGCATTGCGTAAAGGAGAGGACACCCGCTTTACCGGACTACGCAGGGATGACGCATTTGAACTGTTGGACCCATCTCGGGAGTGAGAAGCGGACCGCAGTAGCGCTGGACCTCGTGACAACGTGTCTTGGTGTTGATGCACCTTGCCTCTAGGCGGGGAAGAAGGTGGGCTGCTAGGCAGCTGCGTTGAGCCACTCAAACCACCATGCTCTGCGGGAAGTACAGGCGAGTAGGGATCTCGAACGGCGTGGAAAGGAGGGGATGTCACCTCGGCCTGCAAACCTTCCGGATCGTCCCAGGGCATATCATCAGATGTGTAGGCGCGACTCTCTGAGTGCTGGCCGTGACTTGACGGTAGATATGAGTCAGTGGGAGGAGAAGCAACACGGTGCGTATAGTTTGTAAATGAGCTGGATGGACCTTGCTTGGGAGTGGGTGCATCGTCAATTAATTCCTGCGCGCAAGAGTTTGATGGGGGTGTCGGAGGATTCGCGTGTTGAGGAGGGGCAGCCAACGGGGATGTATGTATGCCGGAATGTGATAACCTATGTTGCGCGTAATTATCACCAACAAGCGGTTGGGCAGGAGGCAGGTGTTGAGGAAAATCTGATGACGGTGTAATACCAGGGGCATTTGTAAGCTGACTAACTTGCGCTCGCGGAGGTGCAGGGGAAACTGAACGTTGCGCCATGCCACTGGAAAGGCTGCTATACCGAGCACTTTGAGAGGAGGGAGAGATGATAGGTGGGACCGGGGGGACAGGAGGGACTTGCGAAGGCTGGCCATAGGAGCCATACTGTCCCGAGGCTGGGGCACGTGCACTCACAGCACGCTTTGACACCTTTGGAGGAGGAAGAGGGGGGTCATACGCATTCGATGTCTTTGGACGATAAGATGCAGCCGACATTGCAGGAGGAACATGAGCAGGAGGGGGAGGGATGCCGGGAGACGGTTGCTTCGGAAGTGCAGCGTACGCAGAATAAGGTTGAGAAACCGAACGTGCCATAGGCTTATACGACTCATAAACTTTCTGAGAGTCGACCGGTGCTGCAGGAGGTTGCGGCGCGCAAGTGGTTGCGGCGTGAGTGCTGGGCTTATAATGGTCGTAGCTGCTAGGCACCGGCGCGTATGGTTGGCTTAGATACTGACTCCCGCTGTATTGTGAGGAAGGGGCGTCCGAGTCTGGTTTGTACTGATGATAGGCACCCGCTGCACCATTATGGCTCCCTTGTGCTGCAACAAGTTAACACTACAGACACCAAAATTGTAACTGAACACACCTGGTTGTTGGGCATAGGAGGCCTGCGGTTGAGTCGTAGGATAACTGGGTGCAGAGGACCATCCTTGAGACTGCTCGTAACCAGCAGCAGGATATTGCGAGTTGTCCGGAACGCTGGCATCCTGGTTTACGGGAACCGACCAGGGATCTTGCTGAAAATGCTGGGCGTCCCGGGGCATGTGGTCTTCAGCGAACAAACTGGAAGCGTCTTGGCCCATGTCAGATGGATAAGGAGCAGAATCATGCTGTCCAAGCTCATGAACCGCCAACCCGGCAGGTGCTGTCGTGTCCGTCTCCTCGTGGCCGATGACCGCAAATGGGTCTGGTCCAGAATCACCGTCTGAACCAAAGAGTGAAGCCGCAGCTTCCACGGTACTCATGTTTGCAACGTTTCTGTCCTGCAGGCCAATGGAGCTCGTGGTCTTGAGAAAAGGGGAGAGCTGATGTTTCGCTGAAGCTTTTGCACTTGGCGACGTGACGGCGATACCTACTTTAGCTCGTAATACTTTGTTTGTCACCGTTTACTTCCCTTCCGCGGGACTATTAGTTGATCCGACTATACGTGCGTGGCAAGACAGAATCCATGATCATTATAACCGGTGTGCTCAGGTATCTATACGTTCGCTATGTACAGCGGATACGAAAAATGACGACAAAGATAATAGTAACATGAAAGGTTGAATATCGACAACGAAGCAGGGAATGCAAGTATCTTACTGAATGAATGTATGTAAAGAGTGTGCAATTAATAATGTTGGTTACGTGGATAATGGTTGTGAGTGATTGCGGAATGAGGAGAAATTGATGCGAATATACCATAGCATTGCGATTGAAGCAAAGAGGAAATAGGACGTGAAGCAAGAAGAAAAGAGGTTGGAGAACACAGTATTAGTTGACTTGCTTGTGCGATAGTGAAGGGTAGTCCGCGGGTTTATCCGAAGCCTTTGAATTAACCGTGCGTTCCAGAAGACGTTCAACTGTTGGGCGTTGGTCAGAAATTATTTCTTTCGGTTGCATTTCATGAACATACTGGAAATGAGATGCTTGCTGTAGGCACTTGAGTACCTGCGCATGCTGACGAGCTGTGGACGGATCTTGGCAATTAGAACATCCTTCTGATCGTTTTCTGCCACGGTTAGTGCCCGCTGAAGAACGTAGTCTATATGAATGATCAGCCATCAGAACTGTAATGTTAAGGACATAGCCACGCACTGGCAAATTGGTCCTTCATCATGGACACAATTGGGCTAACACCATCCGCCTTCGGCATGATGATTTCATCGATAAGGACACGACGTTCCTCAATACCAGCGGTAACGAGCGCCTTCTCGCAGACGTTTGATGCGAATTTGTGGCGAGCCATATTCAGCATCTGACCACGAAGCTTGGCGATGACTTGATTACGATCTTCAGGCTTGCCTTGCTCGAGGACAAATTGAACGACGTAGTTCTTGGCAACTTGTTAGCCAACGGACGAGAGGCAACGGTAGAACACATACCCCGAATTGATCCTGCATGAGATTGATCATGTACTTATGCAGCTCATCCATGAGGGGACGTGTCTGTTCTTCAGGCAGGTGTTCAAAGCATCGTTGTAATACACGGCAGCCATATGGGTGCGTGGAGAGGTCATATACGTTACCCCTGAACGAGTTGACGAAGCCCAGCCGCTCGTGTGACACGCGTTCGATCAGCTTTTGAATGACCTACAGATGCATTAGCGTTAAGCATTTAACGTTTTAGGACTATACTGACGTGGTTGCCGTTCGCGTCCTTCACGCATTTCAGTACATGCGGATCAAGTTCCCTAACAAATGATGCCTGCTGGTCTGGCAGTACAAATTCTACCGCCTAACAAATCTGAGTTAGACATCACGAGGGCATCGAACGCGCATACAGACCTTCTGGACAACGCGACAGCCATACATCTGTAGTGACAGTGGTAGAATATGGCCCTCCATCGTGTTGGCGAGAACAGTCTTTTGCACTTGCGTCCCGTGCTCAAACAGCTTTTGGATAACCTACAGAAGCCGTCAGATCTGACAGCAAACGAAAGATCACGCCATAAACATACATAATTACCAAAGACATCCTGAATAAGCTGCAAGGCATTCTCAGGCACGATCTCATCGAAGACACCTTGTTTCTCCTCCGAAGTAGCCGTCTCGAGCTTCTGTTGAATGAAGCGAGAACCGTGTTGATCGCCGCTAAACTCGACAATATGGCCAAAGATATCCTGAGAGTTGATCAGTTTCCTCCCTATTTGCGTGGAAGTGAACGCACCCTCAGCTCCCACTTCCGCGCTTTGTTTGCTCTGAACTCATCCAGCAAAGGACTGCGCAAAGGCGAACCAACGTCATTCGCATCCTGGCGCCGCCCGGGACGTACGTTTTGGTGATAAAACGGTATCCCATGAGCAGCGTGACCATACATGGGGCCATTAGGAATCATAAAGGGGAGCTGGGCACCATAATCAGCAGCATAACCCTGGTGGGGAGTATATGAGATCATGGTGGGGCACAAAATGGTTTGGGAAGCCACCTGTTGTTGCATACCATACTAGGGTTGAAGAATTAACGGCGCACTAGGTACAATCTGACGCAAAAACGCACCTGTTTTTTGTCGGGCATACCGCCAGCGGGCGCGGCAGTGGTGAGCTGAGGAGTAGGCATGGGAGAGAGCGGAGGCATGGTTGGATACATTATTGGCTGATGCGCAGGATAGTAATATTGTGAGGGGGTTCGCGCAGAGGCTGAGTAGTCAGTAGTACATGTTGGACTGTTGACCAGTGGGAGCATTAGGGTGTAGCGCCTGTGGTGATACGCCAGGGTATATGCTTGCCGTGGAGGTATTATTCATGCCAGCGGATGAGGGATAGATTGAAGGGTCCGTCTGAGTGCTGTATCCATATCCATAATCCATGTAATGATCGCGTGTTGCGCCATTGGTATAATAAGACGAATAATCGGCCTGAGGGTAACTACCATACGGGGGACGTCCTTGAACCATCGGTGGGGGTGGGCGAACCTGGGGAACTGCGGGAGAATGGGAAGCAACACCGTTGGACGGTGAAGAGGCAGACTGTTGGCGGTATTGCCCACTGACGTGATCGTCCTCGACTGCCATCCCTCTCAAACCCAGAGACAATTCGTTCTCGACAACTGAAGACACCTGTATGGAGTCGAAACCAGCATTTTGACCGCCGAAGGCAGACGATCCATAGCCCGATGCATTTGAAGAAGCCGCATATCTATTTGAGACTCCAGTTTCCTTTCCGAGAGCATTGTCGAACCTCTGCGGAGAGAACTGTCCGGCCTTTGCCGAAGAACGATCGTCCTTCAAAGATCGTTTAGCACGCCAGTCAGATTCGTTAGGAACACATACAATTCTAGGTCCCGACAACGCCGCTGCTTGGGCTGCGGTTGCTTGTCTTTGCCGAGCATGATGCAGCGACAGCGGGGAATTAGCGTCCTATTGAATGTTCAATGACATACAGACGAAACATCGTGAAAGAATTAACTGACCAACTGCGAGAACTCTTTCTTTTGAGGACTTCCGCTGAGTTCATCCCAGCTCCCACTGGACGGTCTTGGGGCGCTCCAGTTCTCTCCCAGATTTCCACGGTAACCGCTCTCCGCCTGTGATGGTGAGAGGTCGGTCACACTGGCTGCGGAGGATATTGACGCGTTCCTTTTGGACGCTGGTGTCGTTGATCCCCACACCTAAATGACATCACGTAAATACAAACACAGCTTCGCAGAATGTTCCGCCCACCTGCCAACCTGAGTTGAGGCCCTTGAGTGCGGCGCTTCCGCCCATCCCGACGCCAAACATATTATTCGCTGTTGTCGGAGTCAAGTTTCTCTGCGACTGTGACTTGCAGTATGGTAAGAATGATTCATGTTAGAAAGTTGACGCCATACGTTATTCGGAGATGCTGAAGGAGAGTGTCCAGACGAGCGCGTTGAGGAGCCAGATGGCTTCCGAGAAGTGTCTCCGGGATGAGTTGACATGACAGACTGCGGCAGAAAAAAAAATGATTTGCGCACTAGGTCCGGAAGTCAAAGGGATGATGGGGAAAGAACCGAGCTGGTACTCACAGAAGAAGCAAAAAAACAGCGAAGAGCAGATTATAGAGTTTTAAGTGGGTGTGCAAACGAATTAGCTGAAAAAGGCGAGTAGCAGTCAGTTATGCAATGAAACACGTTTCAACGCAGTTAAAAGTAAAAAGTCGGAACGGAGAACGGGAGAACGCGTCTGTATGAGTCGCAAGTGCAGAAGAATTGTCGTAAATGGGCCACGATGTGAGCCAGTAGGACATGACGCGTGCGCGTGAATCAAGGCAAGCGCGGATCAAAAGACTTACCAAAGGATATACGGAAGAGATGCAGCTGCTACAATGGTGAGTCCCACTGACTTCAAACCCCAGGTAGATGAAGAGGAAAGAGAAAGACACGTCCCTGATTAGTGGTCAGGCGCGCGTACAGGGAAGAAGACGAAAAACGAACAATCGAGATGCGTTCAGGGATAGTTTATTTCTGCCACGACTAATACTGAAGGGGTATTCAGTCGGCTGCAACTTGGTGATTTTGATTCCGTTAATACGGGAAAATGGCTCCGTTCGGCCCTGCACAGCTGTAAGCCTTCATTCCTGCCTGTTTATCCAAAATTCTTGGACAATTTCGCGCGGTTCATGGCCGAAAAGTCGCGATATTGGCGCGGCAGGATCCCTATAGAATCCCCCCTCATAATGGAGCATTTACACACAGCCATCGCAGGTCCCCGCTCATTCGCCTATTCCCGATGAAATTTTTTTGGATCGAATTCAACGGCACCGTCGCAAGTTCTGATTCTTCTCGACTTCCTTTGTCAATCATCCTGCTTCTTGCGAAAGAAGCATCCGAACATGTCCCCTTCCGCTCACCCGACTTCCCCGAAGGCCATAGCTTGTCCTCCACAACCACCATCGGCTCCGTTCCAAACGGGCCACGGCAGGCGGCAAGAATAAGTAGTCCTCCTTCCTGCAGTGGATGCAGGGTGGTATGAGGCGGTACTATAAACACAGAGGTGATAGTATTAACACAGATCGACTTGGTGACGATCAGCTGCAAGGGCAGTTCGATTGAATGTTGAAGCCAAGCATATGTATGACACATCACCGCCCATGTGGGTGCTAGGACATTTTTTTCATCCGGTTCAGATACCTGCCCAGGGACAGCCACCTGACACCATTGAGCCAGAATAGTATAGATGTACATAGCTTTTCATGTACTTACTTACAACTTTAGGTCAGCCAGATGGCTAGTGTCCATCGACAGAGAATGCATTAAAACGATGAGATGATAGATGCGATGTAAAAAGAAAAGATACGAAACAGTCGGGGTATCGAAAACAACCAATAGAAAGCGTCTAACTCCCCCGAGGATTGAAGAACCATGATGCACGCTTCGCTGCAAACGATCCGTTAGCATCTCGACTCTCAGGAAAACAATGACCTAATCGATGGAACTAACCTCCGCTGTCGGCATCGCGAACGTAAGGTTGAACGCCAAGTAAGTAATCATCCCAAGCACGATTGATTGAAGACTTACGATCCGTCTTCGTTCTGGATGCGAGCCAAAGGGTTTGCCGAGGGCGCACCGCCCGAAACCGATGTAGGGGTGGCAGCAGAACCAACCACTGGCATAGAACCCCCACCACCGCGCAGTGGTTTGGCGATTCGTCCAAAGCTTAGTGTGCTTGATGTCTTTTGGGCTACACATACTGGAGGTGAGATAGCATCAACGCAAAGATGTCGTTACCCAGCCTACCACGTGCTTGCTCCAGTCGCTCTTTAACTGATTGGAGCTGTGTTTCAAACTTCTGGTTTTGGATAGCTAAGCGACGGTCAGCGTCCTGCAGCAAAGTTTCTAAATTCTGTATCCGCTCATTTCGCGCGAGCAATTTTCGTTCAGCAATTCCGGCCTCCTTTTTCAACGCCGAGTTCTGGTCGACGAGCTGTGAGAGTAATTGAGTTTGTAAAATACAAAACTTGGGGTAAAATATAATATAGACTCACCTGTTTCTGGACTAACGTTAATTGCTCCAGGTTCCGCTCCAGGAAAGCCATCTTCTTCTGCTGTGCTTTGCTATTGCTGTTCCGAATAACGTTGTTGTACTGCTCCTTGATCTCATCCAATTGGATCTCAAGCTCAACCACCTAGCACGTGTATGATAAGTAGGGAGATAAGAGAAGCTTCTTGTCTAGAACAAACCTTCTCGCAGCGATTTTGCAGATCCCGTACGAGGGATTTCTTGACACCATCAAACTCTGCCAACTGGACGTTAATTGCCTTCCGTGTTCGCTCGAGGTCCTGTGCGCTCTCTGCCAGATTCTTCCCACCCTCGATGCCCGCGGAAGTCACTGCAAACGCACGCTGCACAAAGGAAGACTTAGCTCACAGCTAGTATTGAAAGGGGAAATATCGTACCTTGAGCTCTTCGTTCACGCTCTTCAGGCTGTCGATGGACGCATTGAGGGTGCGAATCTCGGTTGTCTTCAATTCCAATTGCTGCTTGAGATCAACCACCTCGTTGATATTTGCATCACGTTTGGCTGCATATTGCACCTCGAGCTTGTTCTGCATAACAGACTGCATTCAACGGACACAGTTATTCGCGATGCATGTATGACTCACCTTGAACTCAGCCATGGACTCCACGATATCGGCATTGCTTGTCTCCTCATCATGGACGGTTTTCTCTGTTTAAAAAAGGTCGTAACGTTTGGATACCCCGAACGTTTTACCACTCACCGAGAAGTTCTTCATAATCTGCTTCTAGCGCTTGGAATCGAGCCTCAAGCTCATCTCTGCGGCGAGCAATCATTTCATTCTCTTCTTGGCTTTGTCTGAGGCGATCGACCGTCTCGCGTACAAGCGAATGACTTTCTGTGAGCTGCCTCCTTGCCGCAACAACGTCATCGACGCTCAATGTCAAGAGAGCGCCTGCAGTGTCGATAGTATCAAGCTTAGCAAGAAGCTGACGAAGTTGCTCGTCTTTCTCGGAGAATGTGCCTTGCTGTGAACGGGTAACAAATGAACGGTGTGGACTTTCGAAGTAATCAAAACATACGGCATCGAATTTAGCCATCATCAAGGCCATTTTCTCCTGCTTGCGCTTCTCCTTGTCCTCCGCCGATGCATCTCTCTGAGTCGAGCGTAGGTCGGTGATGACTTTCTTGAGTTCCTCGAGCTCGCTCTTCGCATCCTGATTCTGCTCCTTCAGGATGTCTATGGTTATGATGCCCTCCTTGTTGTCGTAATCCAGACGCTCTACTTGCAGGCGGAGCTCGTTGAGTTGAGTAGACATCGATTTGTTCTCCTTCGAAGCCGCTGCCTCCTGCTCCTTGAGGTATGCCAACTCTTCGCGAAGTTCCTTGGCAAGCTTCTCTGCGGCATTCAATACGCTCTCTTTCTCTGCAAGTTGGTCGCTGAACTCGTTCTCTCTCCTGAGGAATTCTTCCCGTTCGTCCTTGTCCAAGCCCACAACCGTCGGTGTCTGCGGTCGACTATCGATCATCTCTGATCGGAGACCCTCCAATACAGGGTTCACGGGAGTCATGCTTCTGGTAGTGGAAAGCGTCGGGGATGATGTTGCTCTCTTTGCTGCCGCAGCGCCAGTGCTCGGCTTGTCAGCGGAAGCCCATTCGCTCGGTTCGACATGGCCACCAGCACGCCAAATGGCAAGCTCTGCTTCTAATGATTGGATATATGCCAGATGTCTGGTGTTCGCAAGTTGAGCTTTTGACAGAAGGCCCTTGAGTTCTAATGGAGAGAGCTCCGCATTGACGCGAGCAGTGTTCTTGATTGATTTAGCTCGGATACCAAAACGGAGGGTTGACAGAGTTTCGGATTCGTTGTATTGTGAAGGCGAACAGTTGATGATCAACGTCGTACGCGAGTTACCACCAAGAGACTCTTGCAGTATACGGGTGAGTTTCGAGTCGCGATACGGGATATGTTTGACCTGGGAGTTCAAGTTAATCACGATGAATGCCGGTACAGAAAAGGAAGAAGAATCTCATTGTATGCGCCATTACGTACCTTTGAGTCTGTTAGAGCATTAATGACCATGCCAAGAGCAGAGAGTGACTTGTTGATCTTCTTTGCTTCTTCCAGAGTTTGTCCCGAAGCACCTGTCTTTCCCACCTTCTCGGAACCGGCAAGGTCGACGAGGTACAAGTTGCCACTCTTCTGAGCCCCCGTTTCGGTATTGCGTTGCTGAATCGTGATAAGAAAAATCGAATGCGACCGCGAAGATTCAGCGTTCATGTCTGCCATCACGAACGACTTAGTTAATACCACGATGTAGGGGAGACACTTACTGGTCGAAGTGACGACTCTAGCAGCCCCTCCCTGTCTCATTATCTCGTAGACCTCACGAGCACTGCTAACGTAGTAGTCCGAAAGGTTCTTTACATACACGCCTCTTGACTTTTCCTCGTGCACCTGGAGGTTGTCATTTTGGGCTAACAGAAGGAAGGGGATTTCATCACTGGATTCACATGGAAGAGCTCAAGATCTTACGGGCAAGCAGGTCACGTATGCGTTCAAGGTAGATCTCCAAGTATGAGACCTTGACCACATATTCAAGATGAGAGTCTGATTCCACAATTGATTTGAAAATCTGCTCCGTGATGCGGGGTATAATTCCCTTGAGTTCTGATGAGTCAATATCCGCACCCTAAAGAGCAGAAATCAGATGTAGAACTCGAAATTATTTGAATTTGACATGCCATCATGGTGAATGTCTTTCCACTACCAGTCTGCCCATATGCGAAGACTGTGCCATTGTAGCCATCCAGGACATCTGATTACCGTATTAGCATCAACCTCCTTCCGAGAGATATTGTAATGATGTATGCAACGCGTTCGACAACACAAGATGGAATTGCCTTCTCTCACCTTTTACAATGCTGTATTAGGAGGTGATCTGGTAAGGCACACAATAACGATGCGTGGTTCTCGGAGCCACTCACTCTTTAACACCGTAATCGAATACTTCGTGCTGTTTCGTGCCCATCGGAAATACTCTGTCGAACGTGAATCCATCCTTCTCTGGACCAGAAACGGCCTGCGAGTTCTTCATCTGCACGGTCTGGAGATTCTCATCGAAGGCGACTACGATATCGCCGCCCTCTCTCAGTTCGAGAGCATTTGGCGGCCGAAACCTATTCAGTCGCGTCAGTACGCGATAAGAGACACTTCGTGCATCTCGATTGAATCTCGAAGCCAGGTTAGCACGCACCGACAAACAACCTTAATGTTGGTCGAGGACGCCATGATGAACGATGCGTCTAAGAAAGAAAGAAAGTCTAGGGCGCCTGTGCAGCCCGCAGTGCGGTATCAACGAATGGTTCGACGTCTAAGAAATGGTTGTAGAGGCGTGCCCGGGTACTAAGTAGGTCGTGACAGTCAAAGAAAGGACAAAAACACGTGTTCTATTTCGGGCAAAGCATTTGCGTCTACCAAGTACTTACTTACTTACTACCTAGTAGGCTTTCAAGGTTCACAAGCCCAAATTCTTCCCCCTGTAACTCTTCGCATCTTGACAACAGCAGGTTTGTATACGGTGCTAGAAACTTGGGTATTACCTGCTCAGAATCAACCCTGGAATCCCGAGTCTCCATCTTAATCCTGGTCACTTCACAAATCGAATTCAGGTGCGTCACACGAGCTTATTATAAGGCCGACTGCACCGGCGAAACTCTACGATTACAGCCTGTCTTACGATTGCTATTGTACAGTGTGAGGAAAAAAAACATAAAATAGTTACAAGTCCCGAGTGCAGTCTAGATCAATCATCATCACTCCCGACGGATGGTGGTGCCGGCGCTGGTCTACTTGATGAGGCAGCTGGTCTTCGAGTGCCGTGATCTTCTTTCTGCGCTGCATCGGCAGCGTCGATCCATTCTGAATAGATGTCTACAGGCTCGGTCAAGTCTGTTGAGGTAAACGATCGTCAGGAGGTAGAAATTCGTGCAATCCGATTGGTACGCACGATTAACCTTGCTCTGGTAACGTTGGTCGCATACTCTACACACCAACTGGGCGATGCCCTCTTTTCTGTCGACTCTAACTGTCACGGACCTGTCATGATGACAGAACAAACAAGTGAAGGCGGTATCTATTGAACAATTTAGCTGTGACAAACGGATAAAAAGCCATCTAACGCACCTAATGGTTCCCTCCTCCTTGCTGCAGCTGGTTTTCTAGAGGATTTCTTGCGTTTTCCCATGACTGCTCAAGCGGAAGAGTCACTTGGACTGGAATGAAATATATTCCTAGCTATGATTCCCACGAATGCACGTGATCCAGACGCGTCCACCGGAATCAACCACCAGTTGATTCTCGACGCGTTTTGTGCCTTCTTGACAGAAACACACCACAACCCAAGTCCTCCCGCCGTTGTCGACGACATACGCAATGGCTGCGAGACGACTACCCACGTCCCGCTCGAGGACTAATCCTGCGGCACCGACGATTAACACAAAATCTCAATCGTCCATGTCAAAACCGAAGTCGGTTATGTCTACAATCACGTCACCGACTATAGAAGAGCACCCAGAGCACACACTCGCAATCTCGTCCTCCTTGAAGGGTTCCAAGTCCCATGGCCAGGATGTCTCAGAGACTCACATCCAGGTTGCCATTCGCTGTCGCAGACGATCCGATCGCGAAATCCAGGAGAATTCCCCCATCATTGTCAGTTCCAACGGGGCAAAGAGCCAGGAAGTCACCATCGAGACCTCCGCACCAGTATCCAGTCTAGGTGTGGTCACATTACCGCCTACACGAACATATCCCTTCGATCTCGTCTTTGGCCCCGAAGCGGACCAAGCAATGATCTATCATGATGTTGTTAGCCCCATGCTAGACGAAGTGCTCATGGGGTACAACTGTACTCTATTTGCGTACGGACAGACCGGAACTGGAAAGACGTTCGTCCCCTCCCTGATCATTCATTTCATCACTGTTGACTGGTTTACAGCTACACTATGCAAGGGGATCTGACGCCTACCCCGATGGGAAACCCATCCTCCCAGGCAGGCATGATACCAAGAGTACTCTTCCGATTATTCCATCAACTCGAGACATCTGCCACAGACTACAGTGTCAAAATATCCTTCGTCGAGCTCTACAACGAGGAGCTTCGAGACCTGCTCGCGAATGAACTGTCCGCTCCTGCAGGGTCGACACAGCCTATGGGAAAAGGTGGCCCTGCAGATAATCAAGTCGGCCTCAAGATCTTTGATGATGCCAGCAAGAAGGGTGTTTTCATTCAGGGCCTCGAAGAGATACCTGTCAAAGACGCTGCAGATGCACTTGCCCTCCTCACGAAAGGCAGCCATCGTCGGCAGATCGCCGCCACTAAATTCAATGACCACTCTAGTCGATCTCACTCCGTGTTCTCCATCACTATTCATATCAAGGAGACGTCAACCATGGGAGATGACCTCCTGAAGGTGGGGAAGTTTAACCTCGTTGATCTTGCAGGATCAGAGAACATAGGACGCTCCGGTGCAGAGAACAAGAGGGCTCGCGAAGCGGGCATGATTAATCAAAGCTTGCTCACTTTGGGCCGTGTCATAAACGCTCTCGTCGAGCGTTCAACCCATGTGCCTTATCGGTGAGTATATTCGCATCTTCGAGTTATCGAGCTATCATGACACGTTCGTCTTGTAGGGAATCGAAACTCACCCGCCTCTTACAAGACTCACTTGGAGGCCGTACCAAGACATGCATCATCGCAACCATCTCTCCTGCGCGTTCCAACATGGAAGAGACCCTCTCCACCCTTGACTATGCCATCCGCGCCAAGTCTATCCGCAACAAACCAGAGATCAATCAGCGGATGACACGAAATTCCTTGTTGAAAGAATATGTGGCCGAGATTGAGCGTCTCAAGGCCGACGTCCTGGCCGCACGCGAGAAGAACGGCATCTTCTTCTCTGAAGAGACCTGGAATCAGCTCACTACGGAACAGGAGCTTAAGCAGACAGAGATGGAGGAGGCTAAGAAGCAAGTGGAGATTGTGGAGAGTCAGTTAAGGAGCGTTCGGGAAGAGTTTGAGCAAAGTATCGCCATGTTGATGAAGACAGATGGGGAGTTGAAAGAGACGAAGGAGAAATTGAAAGAGACTGAGGGAGAGCTGGAAGTCAAGGAGAGCCAACTGAAGGTGGTGAAAGGAGCCTTCGAGGAGGAGGTTGTCGTGCGCCAGGCGTACCAGGTCAATGAAGAAAAGCTCGACGGAGTTGCGCTGGGGTTGAAGCAGGTTGCCGCTGAAAGCATCGACGACATTGGCGCGCTTTTCGAAAAACTCCGTATGTGTCACTCTCTCTTACTTTGCGAGTCTGTCAAACTAACGGTAATTGCTAGAGCGCAAGAACAAGACGTTCACATCGAATATCAAAGCTGTTTCCTCTCACGGAAGGTCTATCTCCTCCGAAGTGCAATCGCTCTCGACGAAACTTGAAGAGTTTATAAAGACTGCAGGGCACAGCACTCAGACATTGCGCGCAGAGGCAAAGCAGTTTCAGACAAAGGAGCTCGAAATCCTCACAAGCCACTCCGAGCGTATTGACCAGCAGCTCCAGCGCATTCAAGACTCCCTTCGGATCATCAACGCAAAGGACGATGTGTCTGCAGAAGCTCTTGCAGCTATGCAGAACGCAGTCAAGGAGTCGCAGGAAACAATGAAGAGCTCATTCAGTTCCTGGTCCGATGGCTTAAGAACCACGTCCCAAACGATGTGCAAGGAGTTGTGTGCTGCGAATCAGAGTAACTTCGCCTCGGTAAGTATTTGTCTACTCAAGTTTGAATCATCCAATTGACACGCATCCAGTTAGAGAATGCTTTGAAGACTATGGGGACACTCGTCGATTCCGCTGTCAGTCAAGCAATCGACTTTGTCAAGGCCGAAGAAGAATCGGCTTTGCAAGCAAAGACCCTTGTGGATGACATGTCAAGGGCGAAGATAGTGCATCTCCAGGCGCAAAATGCGCTTCTTGTTCAAATACTAGAAGCAGAGAAGGTGAAGTCTGCAAGAGCTAGCGATGAGCTTGTGCAGCGCGTGTCAGGCCTACTTGGGGACTTCGTTGCTTCCCGTGATCACGAACTGCGAGAAGCATTCGGCGCCGTAGCTAAAGGCAACGCCAAGAGCGAGGAGGAATTTGGCAAATTCGGTCAGCGTCATGAACGATTGATGAATGAGGCTACTGTCCGCGGCTCGGAAGCCATAACCTTGTTTGAGCGGAGAGGTACAGAAGGAAAGAGGACACGAGACGGTGCTCTTAAGGTCAGGGTTTTGGCTTGGTGAATTTGGACTTGCTGATCGCAACCTACCCAGACCGTCGGATCTGTCCAAGCAGCCTTCAAGGACGGTTTATTGGCCATGCATAACTCGGTGACAACAGCTACCACGACTTATACTGGTGAGCTGCAAAGACAAAGTCAGACCCTCCAGACCTCCTTTGGCGCAGGTAAGTGATCTTGTGTATCCGTCCAATATTTGGTTCTCATGTTCCTTGAGGTCTTGATCGTCACAACCGTGCCAAGAGAGCACGCATCGAGAGTACCAATGGCTTGATGACTGACGTACAAACCGAGTTTCGTCACCTCCAGCGAGGTGTTGCCTCCAGCTCAAGAAATGTTGAAGGCTTCAGTGGTCATGTGGTTTCGGAGGCGAGTAGAATTGTCATGATCCATGAGGCACTCTTGCTAAACGCCGCTGATCTCCTTCAGAGCACAAGCTTATCGGACACGATGGAAAAGCACAGCAATAATACGGCTTCGAGGCTCGCTTCGCTATACCAAACTGCCCGGGCACTGCTTGATCAAGGTACCCGTGAGGATGTCCCGACTGGAATGACACCCCGAAAACGTATATGGGAATACGTGGATCAGTGGGAGCTGACGCAGAGTCGAGATGCCATCCTTCAGTCACGGAGACAAGAAGAGCCAACGAGACACGTTTCCGAACCTCCCCCTTTGCAGCACCCGCAGTCTCCTGCAGAAAGCCTTTCAGAGCAAATGGAAGTCGAGTCGCTAGCTTCGTCGGATCTTCATGAGTGTGAACCACAAACTCCAGTCCCATCCTCACATCTTACAGTCTCGCTTTCATCATCTTTAACTTCCTCCACTGCCACCCTCACTGCAGTCCCAGTCGCGCCTTCTGTAATTCCCCAAGTCTTGAAGAAGCCTGCCACTCTGAAATCTGGACTGCCGACGATGGGGGCGTTAGTGGATAGACCGCCGAATACTCTTCGTCCGCGTGGGTCGAGAAGAATCCGATAGCATTGCGCATTGTATCATTATTTTATTATCCTTCAAATGTTCCAGTACTTAGAATGCATTCTTATTTATCATCAATATCAGACTTTCTTCAGTACTTTCTGGATGAGCATAGATGAGCATGCTGTGTTGTGCTTATATCAGCATCACTGCGGTAAGAATGTCAAGTGCTACGCTTGCAAGCTTCCTTCCACCACTGTCATTCTTGGCCCGATATTCACGATGGCGGGGCTCAAGAGTGCGTATTATTCACTGACAAGTTGGAGTTCGGCGACTTATTCATTTGCAGCTGTCATATTGTTATCATTCGTGCTTGCTGTTGGATTCCTGTTGATTATACTCTCATGTGCACTATGGGCGAACTGGTTGCCCTTGTTAGTTGGTGCGTACGGCTCATGTCTGCTCTTCGCCAGTCTTCTTATTCCAAGTATTTCTCAGCATTGACATTCGTGCTTGCACCTCTGCCAAATGCCTTGTTTGCCCACTGCGGAGGAGACGAGTTTTCTGCGAGTGACAATGCCACGGGTCCCGTGGACCTTGGCCGCTTCCTTACTTCGATTGTTGTTGTCACTGGATTTGCGCTCCCCGTCGTCCTTACTCATTCAGAGGTTGTGAGACCGGGCGCTTGTGTAATGTCCATCATCGGTGGAGGGTACGTTCGTTGCTATTTCACCAGTCTCAAAAACTCACTGTTTTAATGTAGGCTGGTGTATGGGACTATATTGGCGTACTCAGCGGCGTTCAGACAAGATGATGAATTTGACTGAGTGTTTGTACGTCTACAATTGAATGTTGCATTACATGAATCTATCTATATCATTGACTTGAATGACTCAGAGGATTCACACTGACATTATACATGCTATGGTAGGGATGTGTAACTATGTTCTGGAAGTCCAGCGAATACTGATACGTTCTTACTCCTGCGGTTCGACACTGACATTACTGCCCTTTGCAATCGTGTCTACCATACGTAACACGAGCTCGATCTTTGGCCACAGAGTTCGATACATGGAAGTGCTCTCGTCATCTATCATCTTGGAGACGTCGTCCTTGATAATCACCAGGAGAGGCTGGATGTGCTTGCTGACGCTGGAAACAATATCATCTTCGAGCTCTTCCATAAGATACTCGTTGGTCGGAATGACTGGTTGTGGGGGTTGTGGAGGAGCTTGTGAGATGAAGGCCTGTAGCGCTGCCGCCAAAGCCCCTACTTCTTCGTTGTTTTGCTGTACAAGCTTGGCGTCAGCCTCTGCTGAAGCCTTGAGCTTCAATGTGGACTAGTCAGCGAGACATGCATCGTTCTAGGGTCACTCCCTACCTTGACGATCTCAGCTTTGAGCTGCTCGTTTTCCTGTCTTAATCGCGTAGATTCATCGTCGGTACCTTTGCTCTGCAGAATCAAGTTCGCAACCTCCTGTACCACTTCTCCTAGCTGTTGGTCGGTTACACTGATCACCTCCAGGGCCCTGGCTGTCTCGGTCTGCACCTCAGCAGTAACAGCAGCTAACGAAAGATTTATATCATCTTCATCCGGGAACATGTCCACCTCTTCCAGTCGGGCGTCGATGCGAGACTCGATCTCCTCCTCTACGATCGAGTTGCGCTGGTAAACGTCATTCTGGAGATCGCTTAGCTGGCGGTCAACACCGCCCAAGCGTTCTTGAAGCTCGTCCAAGGCACTGAGTGAAAAAGTGACTTCACTAGAGCCAGCCTCCTCCCCTTCTAACTTCCGCTTCTTCAGTGGGGGTTCACCCGAGTCTTTGGAAGTGACGCCAGCGTCCTTTACTTTGAGGAGTGCAGAAAAAGATGTACTGAGCTCGGTGACCGAATCTCTCAGTTCTGATATTTGTTGCTTCATGCCGAGGAACTTGGCTTCCACGCTCTGCAACTCAGGTGACTTGAGAGCCGGCCAGAAATCTGACGCAGTGAGTTTTTGCATGATATCGAAGATCTCTGTCTTCTTCGCCTGGATTTGCAACTCCAGGGCACGCGTCTGAGCTGTGATACGTGTGTTTGACACGCCGCGCGACGACTCGCCCAGCTTGCGTAAACTCAAGTCCCTCTCGGCTATGCTCCACTGTTCGCGCGCCTTTACGGATGCAAACAGGAGACTAAGGTGATCGATTAGTTTGTGAGCCAATGACGGGAAAACAAAGAAACGCGCACTCCACTCTTTCATGCCAGAGTTTGCGTAGTTCATCTGCCGATAATAATCGAGACTTTTCAAGTGGCTTTTGTGATACATCCAGGGAAAGGAAAGATGGTGGCATAGGGACGGGAGGGGGTGGTCTCGTAGGCGGAGTGCCTTGAGGAGCATGCGGTTGAGGGAGATTTTGCGATGGTGGGGGAGGAGGGGGAGGCATTGGGGTTTTTGTTATAGACATTTGGGACCGCGGTGGCGATAACCTTCTGGTAGGTATTGGTGAGCGAGCTCTGTCACCACGCCTCCCGCGATCATCCAGAGGGGGAGGGGGACTACGACGTCTGGAGTAAGACGAACTTGTCGTGCTCTTACGCCGGATATCGCCGTCATCTCTTCGTAGTTTTTCGAGCTGATCTGATTCAGCCACTGATGTGGCCGGTGAACGTGACCGTTTGCTGCCCATACTTTCCGGTCGACGTACTCGAGGACTGTTGGGGGGGCTAGTATGTCTGTGGCAATCGCGATGAGAGTCTGAGAACACAGAAGAACCGCCCTGTTTCCTGTTTCTGCTGGTGATCAGCTCGTAGTAGAAGTCGCTATCGTTGTCTTGAACTTCGTGTGCCGGAGGAGGATAAGACAGTTCGGCCGTGTCCCAATCTTTTTCTGTCGGATGTACAAAGAAACAAGATTCGTCCTTCCTCCAGCAACCAAACAATGCCCCTTTGGCCCGCCTTGGTTTCTTGTTGTCATCCCAGAACTAGCGTGGAACAAGGAGGCGTAAAGATAGTAAGTTCTCCAGATAAACTTTATAAACTTCTTGGGCATTCCGCCATACGCACGTTACAGCGCTTCATTTTCGCAAGACGACCTCCGTGTTGCTTCATTTCAACTATCGATCAGTATAACGGTGGTTTTAGAGCGTTGGATACAGTGAACAGCAATGATGAAGAATGCAGAAAGCCGAAGGCTTTGACCGACACCAACATCATGTACCGGGTTTACTATTAAGGGAAGTGCCCGAACTAAATGCAAGACTAATGTGTAACTAGTGTAGGCTGGCTAAGAATGTATCGACGAAGATGGTGTTTGCAAGCAAGCAGTGGGATAGTGGATAGATGAATGTCTTGGAGGTACACATTAGGATGCAGGAAGGCCTAACCTTGTCACCCAGCGGTTGACGGCTTCAGTGATCTTCAAGCTGGGCGCCATTAGGTCCCAGATTGTCTCAAATACCTCTCCATGGATGCGCTGGTTCTCTACCCGGCAAGCCTCGCCCAACCGTGTAATCGTTGGAACGACCTCGCGCGATACGATATCCTGCACCACACCATCGACTGCTGTACGAAGCTCGTCGAACATTACTTTCATTGGGGGCTCAGCAGGGGGTGGAGTGCGTCGCAATTCAGAAGCCGCCTCGAGTGAAGCCTTGAGACGTTGGATGTTTTCGGTCTGTTCTTCGATCAGCTTTCGATTAACGGCGGAGGTTTCAGTGAGCTAAAGGAGAAATAAATGAGAGGTATCACATATAGTAACTGCTGAAGAACTCACCTTGGCTAGCGATTGTCTAAGTTCCTCATTCTCAGTTTTGACAGAAGCCTGTGTTTTCTGTATATTGTTCTGAAGAATGAGTAGGTGTGCGATGTCATTGACAGGTGTTGCCATGGCCGCGCTCAGCTCCGTCGCCTTGCGAGAAACATCTTCTATAGCGCCCATCGCCTCGGGTGGTATTTCAACCTTCGGTGGAGCCTGCCTAGCGCGTTTGGCCTCCACTCGGGCTTCGCGCAGGGTATCTATCTTCTTGTCAATCTTGTCGTCGATAGTAGCAATAGCCCGCTTTGGAGGCTCGAGCGTCAGCGCTGTTCGGAGTTCCTCTAGAAGCTCCTCCTGTTTGTCCAAACGAGATCGCAACGGATCAAGACCGTCCGGAATAGCGCCTGGCTCTTCAGGCGGGGTGTCATCTTCATCAGGAGTAGGATTGTTCGTTTTCGGAGGGTGCTGGCTGGTGCTGGCAATGAGGAGTGGGCGGATGTCTGACAACCAAGCCCCGACTTCTCTTAAGTAGCTCGTCACTTCGTCTTCAATGTCGTAACGTCGATCATAGTCTATACCAGATCTCAACTTGTCTCCAACCTCCGCAAGTTCACTGATTGCCTGTGTTAGTTTATCTGAGTGAGCACTGCAAACTTTCTCAAGCTCTGTCCGAAGTCCATCCAGTCGAATGCGGCCAGCTTCACCGATGCGCGAAAACCTAGCAGACTTCTGTGTCCTTTTCCATTTTTGGCGGTCTACCTCTGCCTTCGTAAGATCTATTTTTGCTCGAACAGCCCGGTCGAGCAATCTGCGTAGTTGATTCAGCGTAACTCTTGACAAGGATGTTCGACTTTACACACCTAATAAGATCTTTCCAGACCTCCTGCTTTCTGTCGATCTCTGAGCTTCCGTGTTTCCTCTTGCGATTAGTGGGATTAGCGGTGGATGCTGTCACCGTCGACATGGCAGGCGACCCGCCACGTGCGTCTGGCATCGCCTTCCGTCGCCAATTCTCCACGTCCGCACGGTCTTCCTCAGAGCGGTTGGCGGACGACAGAGCTGATGGCTCTCCGGGCATCGAGTTGTTTAATGTGCTCGTCTGGAGCGGCGGAACACGAGGTTTCTCAAAGGACTCCACATGCGGGGGTGCTATGGTATCCAATTTCTTGTTCCATTTAGTATTTGTCATCGGGACTTGATTCGTTCCGGTCATCTTGAGTGGACGCGTGTCTGTCCTTGTGTCTTCCTTGTCGTCTTGCGCTCTCATCCCACTAGAAGTCGACAACAGGGGCCGCGGTGGTGGAGGGACTGGTTTTGATTTGCGACTCTCTTGTTCGGTATCGTTACGTTTCTCCTGCGCGTATAACGTCACTTCCTTCGTCCCCGACATGCCCCATCCAGGAGATTTGTCACCGCCAGAAGGGTTGTCCCACCCGCTCCCGCAGGAGTCCCATGCGCTTGCAGAAGGTTCCTTTTTTCCTGAGCTGCTATGATTCTCCTGTGCGTGCAATGTGGTCTCAGACGCGCCCCATCCACCAGAAGATTTGTTACCACCGGAAGGGATGCCCCACCCGCTACTGGGAGAGTCATTCCATCCGCCTGCAGAAGATTCCTTTTGTCCTGAGATGCTACGATTCCCCTGTGCGTGTGAGGCGCCCCATCCAGCAGAAGATTTGTCACCACTGGAAGGGTTGCCCCATCCGCCCGCAGAAGATTCCTTTGTTCCTGAACTGCTCCCCCATGGATCGTTGGAGCCCTGTCCGCCTGCAGAGGATTCCTTTGTTACTGAGTTGCTGCCCCATGGGTCGTTTGAGCTCTGTCCGCCTGCAGAAGATTCTTTTGGTCCTGAGTTAATGCCCCATGGGTCGTCCGAAGTGCCCCAGCCACCCCCGCCTGAGCTAGATCCCCACATAGAATCAGTGTTATCACTGGCTGGTTTGATGGAATCTGAGTTGCCCATACGTTTGATTTGCCAGCCTACATGAAGAAGCACAGCGTACCTTTTGTATTCCCCGTATCCCAGCCCGAGCTTTGTACATTAGTAGAAGACCCTCCTCCTGTATCCCATCCCAACGCGACAGATGAATTAGATGAGTTAAAGGCTCCAGATCCACGCCCTCTTCCACGAGGAAACGATCCCCTCGATTCTCCCTGAGGAAATGTCAGTCAAAAAAAATGTTGTCAGTGTACCAGGATCCACTCACAAAATTTCCACCTCTGCCTCCGCGACCTCTTGGAGCATTCCTCGGAACCTGGGCCGCATCCCAAGCGGGGTCCCCAGGATGGATGAAGTTGCATTGCTTTGCCCAACAGCCCCCATTGCGAGGATTGCCGCTTTCATCGAAGTACTAAGTTGTCACGGTAAGTAAAACGCACGCATTGACAACTGAGGGAAAATGAATGGGTAATTCTGAGGTGGCATTATGGTGGAGAAAGTGGCACATTGATCAACTCACCATACAGCGGATCTGAGCCATTGCAAAAACCCCTGATGAGTGTGACAACTAAAGACACTTTCTAGTTGACGTATGAGAAGACTAAAGATTATGGAGAGGTACTGATCTACGCGATATGCAGGTTGGCGGTCCTTCAGTTCAGAAGTTCCACCTGAATTTATCAATCGGTGTGTACACAAAGGGGAAAGCACACAAAGAATTAAAGCTTAACACGAGGTTCATGAAAATTTCCCACAACCATAGAAAGTATGCACAGCGAAGGCCCGCCGCAACGTATATTTTCATCAGCAGGGGCTATAAGTACTCGAACGATTGTAGCCTAACCTATTCTACATACTCAAGAAAGTAAGGTATCCTATCGTCATGAAGCCGTCTCAATCCGTACGTGTCAAACGCAGTCCGTGAACCGTGAGTTGTCGTGTAAGGTGTACAAAAGGGAGATGGCATGGTTGAAGTAGAATGATAACTCTGAAGAAGAATAAAGCAAGCAGAATAAAGATGAGGCAAGGGGATGGAGGTCAAAAAAGATAAAATTGGAGAAGGTCCGATTACCACAACCAGCCACGTGCAGGTGGCGGGCGCCGGGTCGGCCGGGCATTGCGGCGCACTGTGACTGCTCTCACATCATCATCCTCGTATTCTTCCACCTCGTACTCATCCATCTCCTCAGGCCTCAAAGGCTCCCGAATAATCTCTTCTTCGTAGGTGACGGCGGTGGTTCTAGGAATTTGCGTGGTATAGGACGATGAAAAGGCTTCAGGCGTAGGGAATGCAGCAAAACGGGTATTAGCAGGTGGGGGAACTGTGACAGTCAAGGCCGGTAAAGTTTCGTATTGGATAATGGTTCTGGTTTCTGTTTCAGCGACTAAGATGGGAGGAAGCTCCTGTGCAGCAAACAAAAAAAAAACATCGTCAGCAAAACTATTCTGTCGCGGCAACGAGATCCAGTTGGTGGCACGGAAAATAACCCCAAAAAAATAACACCACATGGCCGTTAGCCGTCACGTGTTGCGTGTTTCGATCGCGTCGCACATCTAAAAGCAGCTACCACCAACTGGTCTCCACTTTACCGCAAGAAGACAAGGGGGACGAGATAAAAACCGTTGTCCCCCAAGCCCGGACGAAGGAGGGGATACAGACTATTACACAAGATCAAGCAGAAAGATTTTCCGATTTTATTGATGGTCATAAACAAACGGAAAATCCTCCTTCGTCTCAGAGCTCGGGACGGCGCGGGACGAGCGGCGGTACCTTGAGTTTCCGCTTGCCACCAGCAGGCTCATAGAAAACTTCTTCCTCGAGAGAAGCTCCATCGTTGTTGATGAGACTGCACAACAGCTTGGTGAGTAATTCAATCGAGACTAATTGGAATGAAGGAACGTACACAAGTTGTTCCATTATCCAAGCTTCGCGTCTGGAAGCGTCGTGCTCTCTCCTGTTGACACTCTCCTCGCGACGCGTAATCTCGCGTTCTCGATCGCCAACTCTGAGCTCACGATCCAGAATATCTTCTGCGCGGGCATTGGCCTCCTTCCACCAACCTGGAGGTGCAAGGTCTGCCTCCTTCACGACTTCTTTAATGATAGTCTGTGCAGGCGCGAAGTCTACGACCGTGGCGGTGGGGCACATAGGGCAAACAACTGGAGCCTGGGTAGGAAGCACACCACCAGGCGCGCCGACGAGAAGTTCTGCCTCCCGGCGAGCTACTTCAGCTTCACGGGCAGCAACAGAGCCCTCACGAGCTACGAGAGCTTGTGAGCGTTTGGGAGTCAGATAGCCCCAAAGTCCAGATGCAGCAGGATCCTCTGCTCCCTTTGCACTTGCGCTACTGGATGCGGGCAGCGAGAGCATGACAGCGAGGACTGCAAGGACTAGGGAGAGGACGAGTAGAAGGGTTGTGGAAGAAATGGTTCGGTGATGGTGGTGTCGCTCTGAGCGGTGACGGTGCTCTCGTTCACGTTCGCGTTCACGCTCACGCTCATGGTGTGATGAAGAAGGGTTTGCCATCCTATGTGCACCGTTCCGTACGCTAATTGAGCTCGAAGGCGAAACGGTGGTGTGGGTTGGGGCGCGCAGGTTGGACGTCTTGGGAAAAAAAGGTGTTTAAAATCAAAAAGGGTTGCCGTCTAGATGACAACGGCGATCTGTATACAGAAATGTAGCTGAAGTTAATAGTTGATAGAGGAGTTTGGGGGGCAGCGCAAGATGGAGGAAAGGAAGGAAAGAAACGTTGAAAAATGAACCAATTGCTCGAGTTGCCTTATGCGTTATTCCCTTTATTTGCACAATCACTTTCTGAACCAAACAACAACACAACGTCTTTTCCCAGACAATGATTCTTCTTCATGCACAATAAGAAAATTTGTCATTTGAAGTTTGTTCCGACTTCTGAGCGAGAGGGCCAATTGAAGCCTTTCAGAACTACTTTATAAACATTGATTAGGAATGGCTGGCCAACTCGATGTATACTGATGCAGTCATGCTTGTATACGATGACGCATCATCCCAACTAGCACGAAGCTTTCATACGTTGTAGAAATGTCGATCTTTTACTGATCCGCGTCTTCATGCCTAATTACATAACTAGAAAGCCCAAGTCGCGCCGATGAATATGCAGCAATCATCCTATGTAGACGTTCCCAGCTGGAAGAATTGTAGCTGAGAGGGCTGAAAAACAATGGTCGGTGGAAAGGACCGAACAAAATATTCTCAACAGCAAGAGCAATGCGAGTTTATTGAATTATGATGACGGTCCAGGAGAGGTTCTCACATCACGGTTCTTGCAACGTGTCAGGCTTCGGTGGGTCAAATCATATGAGACAGCTCATGCGAGAAGAGGATGGTCGTGCCATTTCCGTCCGTGTACATCATAGGTTATAGTCGTAAGAGAGCCCATGATTCAATAGGGCTACTCACTAGTATGTAAGCGGAGGAAGAAGCGAAAATCTGCACAAGTGCACATGAAATAGCCTCTCGAAGTCAATCATGTTGCCCAGGCACCAGAGCTGTGAAGGATGACGATATTTAGCCGTATCAACGCAAGAGACGGTGTTTATTCCCCCTTCTAGGAAAATACTTGAACCATTATGCGGCAATGCGTCTAATGAAACGGACAGGGCTGAATCTTGCGACTAACGCGCACGCGATGTACAAACTTGCAACATCGAACACCCTATATGCCTCTCGGGAGCCGAGCAAGAATGACACGCAGGCGACGATGAGGTATCCCCAGTGAAGATATGATCCCACACTATGATCGATCTTCATGAGCCTCGATCTCAACCGCAACGAACAGCACTCACTTTCCGTGCGACAATAGAGTGCCTTTTCTCCGACTTGTGCAATCAACGAGCACAAGGAACGGCGCAACCTTGAAGACATTATGGTCGCCGTTGAACGGGGCCGTATACCCCGCGGTCATCAATGTGCGCACCCAGACGGCAAGCACAGGCATTGACAGGGGCAAAAGCCATGTCATGAGCAGCAGGATATGCGTGTTCTCGTGATAAGATTGGTTGGCATCCAGTGTGTCGGCGGTGGCGGCGAACGCCTTGATCCCGGCGCACATCCTGAATTTCAGGTTCTTTGGAAGGCTCTCTTTCGTTGGTTTCAGTGTCCTGCGTGTCCTGCTCGCGGCCGCTGACGCGCTCGCGCAGAGGCAGCGATTCGGTGGGTGTACTTCGGAGAGAAGGCGCAGAGCCAGGGTAGGGCTTTCGGTGTGCCGAGCTCGCACATGTGTACAGATGAATTAACCAGCATCCGATAAACGCAATTTGCCATGGGACAAACATGATCACCAGAAGAGAGATGAAAATCATAGAGGCGACAGTGCTTCGTGGCATGCCCAGGTCATCGTATCGCCTTCTACTGCGGGGTTGATTGTTTCAGAAACCAGTCTGTTACGTTGACTGATAATTACTTACTTCGCTGGCAGCAATCGGGTGAGGAGTCGTAAAGGCCACATGAGAAGCAATATGCACCACCAGCTGACAGACACCAGACCTGTGGCGACAACCAAAAGGACTGGTGCAAGGAGTCCGAGAAAAGGTTCCCCTCGGGTTCCTAAGTAGTAATCAGGGCTCAATGGCAACAGGGCTACAACGAAGGATGCAGCAAGTAGTTTGGGCATGGGGCGACAGATGAAGACGGCTAATGACTGATGTACACTCGGCATTGAGCCCTTCCCGCTCTCGCGCCATGCATAGAACATTAAAAACGCAACCACACCTACGCTCCAGCTTATCAGGGCGGTGGGATACCTTGTGGCAATCCTCCCGATGGTCGCCCACCAGTCGACAGTCAAAGTAAATTCGTTGATATCTTGACAACCAGTGCCGGACGAGTATATCCAGAGCTCTGTACTATAAGACGGAGAAAACCTTGAGAGGGGTATATATGGCGCTGATGCATGTGTGTGGAGGGCGATCGGCTTGGTATGTTCCAGGCGATAGTAATGAGTTTCTGCTGGATGAGACTTGTGCACCAAAAGCGGGGGAAGCAGGGGCTCTACATCCAGAGTCATCAGCAATGTTTTCAATGAAAGGAGCACCGATAAACGTACGCGCGCAAGACGCTGTGGGATCGACTGATCTTGGAGTGAGTTTGTATATCAAGAGCGCATTCGAGAGCAACTTTGGGAAGGTGATGTGTCTTCGCACCACACTGTGCTCTGCAGGTTGCAGGGAAAGCTTTGCACCACCAGCAAGGATGTCTATCGTGCAATTAAGCAACAGCGAACAACCCAAGGAAATGAAAACAAACCAAAGACAGTGATATTGCTTTGAAGAGTCCGAGTCTTGTCAAATCCTCCAAAAACCCAGCCATCTTCGCCGGCGGCATTCACATTGACACCGATCCAAGCATCTTCCACATCCATAGGTGTGCGTGGTATTGTAGCCTCGAAAAGAACTACGCCCTCGCTCTCATCGGACCCTTCATCTGGTATTGGGAAAGGCTTCCCCGGTATAGGACTCGGCAAGAGCTTCAGTGTACTGGGCTCGAGCGGTACACACGACAGTGACTCTGAAGATTGTTGTATTGTTGGCGATGTCGCACGTCCAACGCAGAAATAAGGCGATGCCTGAAGTTGAGTCGGGTGCTGGGGTGCAATGGGCGGTATGCTGCCTCGTGATACAAACAAGAAAAATGTCGCGTTGGTTTCGATAGTATGTCGTATTGGGAGGAGGTACATGCGAGATCCAGTGGGTTTTTTCAAGACGAGATTCATATCCTCAGGGAGAGCCTCGTAGGTTGCTGCCTCGGGAATATCTACGCCATTTGCAGGAGGAAGACGACGACCATCTCTATCAAGCCACGTGTCCAGTATAACTGTCATGTCTACATTGGATTTTGCTCCTCCAAGCTCGAGAGCGGCGCGAGCAATCCGCCATCGCACCTGATGACACCATACCATTTCACGATGTCCAACCCCAGTCCATGCACCCTCCAGCGCAGATGTGAAGACTGTGCGACGGTATATAGTATTTCCCGCATTTACATCTCCGGGATCTGGTAGAATGCAGGACTCAGAAGGAATCATCATATCTGTTGCTCCTCCGCATATCGAGACGATGGGCGTCGGGCCGTTTACCAAAAATTCGGCGTTTCGTTGGTATATTTCATCTACACGAGCGTCAAAGCGTGCGGGCGGTAGTGTGTGGGGAGTGGACATAGTTATCAATGCAGATATATCGTCAGACGGGAGAAGAGCGGTCCCCACGATGCCGCCCATCGAATGACCCATCACGATAATTCGGGTATTAGGGGGGTAGTGCGAGAGGATGTAACGTATTGCCGCAGAAGAATATTCAATCTGCGACTCAAGGGTGGGTCCATGGAACGCCGAAAGGTCTTCGTTAAACTCCACTAGACAAAGAATACGCGTCAATCTATTTGTAGCATGTGGTAGCCTATGGCTACACCAGTTTGAGCTACGTGAAGGGGGATTTGAACCTACCAGCAAAAAAATCCAGTGATTGAATTCCACGACCAGTAAAGTCACTGGAGACGACGAACGGCGACGAAAGATATTGCCTCGCAGCAGAGGACGCAATGGATCGGACTTGGTGCGATGACCCAGCGTTTCCGGGAATGAACAGAACTGGTACACCCATGACCTTCATCGGCAGAGGGATTCAGAGACGATCATTTGGAGTCCTTGACCTTTAGTTATCGGATTGCGACTAATGGATTAGCAACTAGATACGCACCTGGTTGGGCTCCCATCCTACCTCACGGTATAGCCAGAGTGAATACCGGCGTGCCAACGGCGTCCATGACGTGTTGAATTCATGTTGGAGGAGGTAAGATGGAGACATCCATGACATCCGACATCCTTGTGGAGACACTGTTAGACGAACATCGTTTGCTGCATTGTAGCAGATGTATATAAGAGTTAGCGAGAATAACCCCAGGGTAGCCGTGAATGTGCTGGTTATTCGGGATGGCAGTATATGCATGCCTAATTTTCGCCCTCCAGATATGCTCCTTGCAATTGGAGCTGTTCCTGTCTTTCAGACTTCGAGAGAAAGACGTCTGTTGTAAGGGTCGATGTCGATAACTAAGTAGTGACCTATAAGAGCCTGTAAGTCTGTGACACGGCAGCTTTATTTATGTCAGGATATCTGGAAAAATTCACGATTAGCTAACGTAAATTCTGTAAAGGGGGTTCGTCTGAGATTCGTTCTATAAAAAAAAAAGGAATCCTAAAAAGTCACGTGACGCCTTATTCTAGCCCAAGATGAACTCGAGAATTGCCGCCTGGTGGCAGTACTAGTACTATCTACAGTCTATGAGAAATGCTAAGTAAAACTAGAGCGGAAACACGAGAAAATACACTCGTAAAACATAGGCAAGCATATGTGAACGAAAATGATAGATTTGAGGGAGCTTGCATGTAAATTTACAAGTACGTGGCACCGGGCACATCCGCAGGGAGGGAGCCTGCCCAGAAGTTCGGAATTTACAAAATTTACAAAATTTACCGTGTATTTCTCACTGTCCCGCACTTTCCTCACTTTACTGACTCAAAATCACACTTTACTGGACTTTACATTAATGTATTGCACTCACACTCCCTTATCTCTACCTTCTCCTTCTCTCCCTCGAACTCATCCTACACAGCTGCCATAAACAGGTGCGGCTGTGTTCCAGTCACGTGACAGAGCTTTCCTCCGCTCTGAACCTTCTTCGTCACTGTCGTGCGCAACGCTGGAGGTGAATGCTGCCAACAACGCAACAACAACTCCCCTGGAGAAGAAATACTGTATGTCATTTTTTTTCCTCATGCTTCTCAGTACTCACATTATACAGGGCCTCTGGACTACTGCACTTCCACTCGCACCACCCATTGGAGGGTAACTTCAAGGTGAAGGCCACTGCTGGTGACACTCACTTGGGTGGTGAGGATTTCGACAACCGTCTCGTCAACCACTTCACGCAAGAATTCAAGCGCAAGCACAAGAAGGGTGAGTCTATCTTCTAACCTAGTTATTTACTCCGGTGCTTAATGACATCGATGCAGATCTTTCCTCCAACCCTCATGCTCTCCGTCGTCTATGGGCTGCTTGCGAGCGTGCTAAGCGTACTTTGTCGTCGGCTACACAGACTTCCATTGAAATCGACTCCCTCTTCGAGGGTATCGACTTCTACACTTCCCTCACTCGTGCCCATTTCGAAGAGCTGTGCGCGGACCTGTTCCGCAGCACGCTCGAACTCGTCAAGAAGGTTCTCTGGGATTCCAAGATCGACAAGGCCAATGTCCACGAAATTGTTCTTGTCGGTGGTTCTACTCGTATTCCCCGTATCGTCAAGCTCGTGTCCGACTTCTTCAATGGCAAGGAGCCCAACAAGAGCATCAACCCTGATGAGGCTGTTGCATATGGCGCTGTCATTCAGGCTGCCATCCTTTCTGGCGACACCTCTGAGAAGACCCAAGATCTCCTGCTTCTCGATGTCTCTCCTCTATCGCTCGGTATTGAGACCGCCGGTGGTGTCATGACCACTCTCATCGAGCGCAACACCACCGTCCCCACTGAGACAGTCTCGATATACTTGGGCAGCCAGCCTGATGTCTTGACCAAGGCTGCTGCTTTCAGCAGCGGTCAGCTGACATCAGCTGGCCCCTCTCTGGCTGCCCCCTTTTCAAGAATTTCTACTTCTGCACTACCATCACAGCTCAGCATGGGCATCCAAGGGCTATGGGAGGTGAGCGAAATAAATCCATGGCGGTATTGACTTTGACTGGTACTGATGCCATCTGCAGCGCGTCAGCACATCCGCCGACAACCGAACACTTAAAGAGCTCGCACTGTCAGAACTGAAGACCGAATACATTGGTGGCAACCCCATAGTCAAATTGTTCAGGATCGGGATTGATGCTAGGTACGGTGCTACTCTTCTTTCACGTGTCTGCAGTGAACTGACTCGTGTTGTTAGTGCATGGATGCACGGCATATGTGCCGTCTTTCAGATGAACCATGCAGGAGCTGGCAAATCACCGGAACTCCGAACACTGTTTTTTCGGCTGGGCACACTACTAAAGCTTCCCCTGCATGTGGTCTTTGTCTTCGATGGCCTGAGCCGCCTGCCAGACAAGGGTCGAACAATCAGACACAGCCCCCACTGGCTCACCCACGACTTCCAGCGCATGCTGGAGTTGTTTGGCTTTCAGTGGACCGAGGTAAGTTTTGCTCACCTCACCTCATGAGACTGTTGTCTCACCACTCCCCAGGCCCCGAGTGAAGCCGAAGCCGAATTGGCTGCCATGAACACCCATGGTGTTATCGACGCCGTGATGACCGAGGACAGTGATGTTCTGATCTTCGGAGCTGTGTGCATAATTAGAACGTATGCCGTCATGTTTTTCTCATGCTTTTGCCATTGATTTGTCGCAGTGCGAAGAATGACAAGGACTATCTCAATGTTCAAGTGTATACGGAGGATGGTCTCGAGCATGGTGCCTCCTTGACCCGAGGAGATCGGCTGCTCATTGCCCTCCTGGTGGGCGGAGACTATGATAGAGGGGTGCCTGGTTGTGGAATTGAGATTGCTCACAAGGTTGCTATGTGCAGCAGAATTGGCGAGAATATGCTCTGCGCATTCCTGTCTATGCCGCCGGAGGAGTTCTCTGAGCGTGCGGAGGACCTCGTCGATGAACTACGCACTATGCTCACCAATGACCCCTACCATGACCTCAAGCGTCGGTATAAGGCTGTCGCAGATTGTATCCCATGCGATTTTCCACGTCGTGCAGTGATCGACAAATATGTCCATCCTCCGACATCTTTTTCAGCCGCGGAGAATGTGCTACTGGACGTGTCGTCCTCCCAGCCACATCTTGCAGACCTTGCAGACTTCTGCAGGCTGCAGTTGGGCTGGGACGATGATGCCATCATTGACAAGATGCACGGGAGTGTGTGGGAGGGTGCATGTCTCCGCACCATATGCAAGGTAGGCGGCACATGTGGTTCAATTTTTATAGACTCTAACTCGTGTTTTAGTTGCCCCGTCAGCATGCGGACCACACAGACCGCCGGCCGGTGTTCAAAATAATTGCTCGTGGAACGTTGATGGCATTGCGGCATGATATCGCTATTTATAATATCAAAGTCGATGGTCGGTGGTTGGCACACAACACTCTAGGCAACTCAGCTCAAGGGAAATTCTCTCCCTCGTACATGCGTCTTCCGGCAACAATACTGGATCATATGGCTCCCCAAGTAGTGCAGCAGTATATTAGTGCCTAGTGCAATCAATTGTCGTTTCCTAATCTAAATAGTGTGAAATGTGAAATGTGAAATTGTCATTAACTAGTTAGAGGCCCCTGACAATGATCTCCGTCCCGAAATTTTGAACTACCTTTGTGCCACACTCACTCGTTCGTGTTCACAAAGTATGGCACGACTCAAGAAGGATTCCGCGAAAGCCCCCCAGCTGCCAGACACTGCTCAGAAGAAAGCTGGGCGAAAGACGAGATCAGCTGCTGCGAAGACAGCTTTAGCAGACGTCCAAAAGTGTAAGGAACATGGAATAAAAACTCACCTTCAGGCAAATAACACAAGGATGAACTATGCCGGGCATGTTCGGCGTGGACGGGAATGGTTGGCAAGCCATTTCGAAACCCCGAGCTGTTCTGCTGTCAGCGAGACTTGGAGGGGTGACACGTCTGAAAACTCACTCATTCTGTTGCCTGCAACTGCCGAAATACATGCCGACAATGACGTGTATGAGGACCCGGCCTTCAAATATGCATTTGAGAGCATCCCGAACAGATGCTCTGACAAAGCACTGGCGCTCTTCATGTCCCTGAAAGGGTTCCACGAGAACCTCAGCAAAACTACTGTCGAGAGCATCCGTTCGGCATTTAAGAAGCTGTGGGAGCTATCGTGAGTATTATCGTACACAAATTAGAGCATACGAGCACTGACTTACATTTTAGAGATGGTGATACCTATCGTGGCAAATGGCACTTCAATGAGGCGAAGCAGCGCTGGGAAGGAAACCCTGCTGATTCTGCAGACATTTATGATGTGCTGTCATCCATCAAGCATAAGGCAAGTGCCGAGGGAGGAGATCGCACTCACTCAATGGCAATGACGAAGGACTACATGGATCGGGCATTCCGATGGCACCAGGCTGTGTGTCCACTCGAGATTGCACTACAGATGATTCAGAAGGTGATGAGTGGTGCTCGGCCTTCGGATATGCACCTGGACTTGGAAATGAGGACAAAACTTACTCGCCATCTTGAACAAGTCACGTTCGCATCGAACGGATGGACGTTATGGACAAGGTGAGATCTGATTAGCTTTTCCGCAGCACGTGCGCGATCTAACTTGCCCGCAGGTGTTTTGAGCTTGTAAAGTTGCAAAGAAAGGATATCTCACTTGATACCACTATTTTGGATGGGGTGCTCGGCGTGTACCTTGCAAACGAGACACTCACGCTGAGTAAATGCACATCATACTTCGAGATCTTTCTCGCTCACCGGAAAGGATGGCAAAAGAAGGTGGACAAGGGCCAATGGGAAGCAGATCTGAGATGTGAGTTGCTCACATTAAATCGAAGCCGGATGACTAAATGACCTCACCACTGGCAGCAAATCACTACAAGATTTATCCACGCCCCAACATGCCAGCCTGCGACAATTTCTTCTGGATGTTAGTTTGGATCAAGTGGCTTGAATCATTTCACTACGGGCGAACTCTCCAGCCGAACGACTTCATTTTTCCTGCGATGAGTGCAAATGGTGTTGTGCATCCTGGACAGCCAATCTCTCACGATACGGTACAAAAATGGATCAATGAGTCAACCGCTGGCGCTGGCATCCGTGGTAACTTCTCAACTCACTGCTTTCGTCGGGGAGGTGCGCAATATTGGTTCATGTTTGCTCCAGTGGGCCAGCGGTGGACACTTGCTAAAGTTCGTTGGTGGGGGGGATGGGCTGATGGCGAGCAGGTATGTCTCATGTTCTTATGACTGACACTTGACTGATGCAGCATTTTTTTCTCATTGTGTCTATTTTCAGCGTGATACACTCGTTCGCTACCTCCTCGACGAACTACATGCATATGAGACTGACTACAGTGATGCCCTTGCCCCCATCTCCCGCGGTGCTGATGCCTCCCTTGCTGGCGAACATGCTCTCGCCAGACCAGCATCGACAGAAGAGCTTCGCATGGTGCACGCATCCGTTTCAGCAGATGTCAACTCCCTTCGCAATGACATGCGCTCCCTAACGAGTGTTGTAGCACAGGCTGCCTGCACCACAGTAATCGCTCTCCAGCGTCTCGATTCAGGCCCCCGCTTCACCAACGTCTCTGAGTGTGCCTCCCGCACACCAACTCCACCTGTCAGAGACATATGTGCGAGAGCCGAACAGCCAGTTTTACCCAGGCCCGTCGTCAGCCACACTCTCCCTACCACCGAGCCATCCATCCGCACCTCGTCACAACAACTCTGCACCACGCTGCCCATCAGCATCACTCGGGCTTCAAGTACCCAGAAACTCCCAACACCTGGCCTTGTGATCCCTCGGGTCCCAGTCTCTCGTCCCAACGGAACCACCAGCCCGAAGCACAACTCCTGGAAGGAGATTGTCGAACACTGGCTTGTTGGCGATCGAGACCGAGGACTGACAACGCCACTGAAGGACTGGCCAAGGCACTGGTACCAAGGTGCAAATAGACGGTTTGCATCAAAGTACCACCAACGTGCAACAATCGCGCTAGAGTTCATTAATCAGTAAGTCCCTGCACTGGTATCTACACTGCCGGCACTGCTAACCCTCTGTTTCGGCTCCAGGTACGAGTCGAACGAGGCACGCTTCCTCGCAGCCTATCCAGAGGCCGAGCTAGGGCACACGCAACTTCTGAAGGCTGTGAACAAGGCACGCGCTGCACGAGGGGACCGTATCTCTCGCAACAAGTGATACCGGTCCCGTTTTTACTACATACTATCATTGCCTTTCAGTGCTTTCACTGCTTCGCTACGACGTTTCACTGCTTTGGCTGACTCTGTACATTCCACACTCACTGCCTACTACTTAGTAGCATACTACTGATACTCTACCTTACCACTCGCCGTCGCTAATCATGCCCGCACCCCACTCGCGTTTGTTCCGTCCTGCCAGCGCATTTGTTGAAACGCTCTGTTTTTTTCAACCAAAACTCACGCCTGTCACACAAACTGGTCATGTGCCAGCGAGGTCAGCGAATCCCGCCTCGAAAAGGGAATTGATCGTGGTCACGTGCTCTCGCTTGGTGTTTTGGCTGAGCGCCACCGTAAATTTCTCGACATAAGTACTCCGCGACTAACGCTCCCACCGCGACTTCGTTATTACTGTAGACTACATTAAGTTTCCAGTCCTCCATTGTGCCTGAATTTCAGAGCAATATGATTGAAAGAGAGTGACGTAGGTGAACAATAGTATGCAAGTGTTTCAGGCTGAGGTACGACTGGTACCATACGAGCTGGGGATGACAGCTGGGACAAGAGACTGGCAAATGCGTAAATTAATATGTATATCAAGTTTCGGGACTAACTTGGGTGCAGGCTATCATGGTGAATGCGCTGGCTGGTGATGGTTCAATCTACATACAGGAATGATATTAGCGTCAGGTATACTTTCTGATGCATGATGTAGCTATGTCTAGGATGGTGGTGTGCGATCACTAATCTTCCCAGACGTTTACCATCTCCGATTGATGCGTCATGACAGCGACGTCTTTCTTCACAGTATTCATTCGCGGATATACGAACTGGAGAGAGAAAGATTATATCAGCGGGGAATTTCGTGGGAGACGATGGAAACTCACCCCTTCGTTATATTCATGCATGACTTCAGCTGCAAGAATGGCACGGTCCTTCACAAGCCCCTCATAAGCCTGCACGAGAAGGCTAGTTTGAACCCCCACGGCACCCATCACAGCCGTCATAAGTATCCAATTTGTAGGACCCGTAGACATCCAAATAAGAGCATGAACAGGGGAATAAATGCTCAGAAGCACGCGCTCAAGCTCGCCTGGAGTCCAGACCTCAAGTTGTTGAATCTGATCTGCAGGGGCACCTCGGGCAGGTGAGGACGATGAAGGTGTGGCAGTGGAGATACCAAGCAGGAATTTCCAGAAGGAAATAAAACAGTTCCATAGGAAAAGTATAACGGCTTTTATCACGCGGAGTATGCGCGTTTTGAAGGAGGCTATCGGAGAAGGCTCATCGGGTCGCACACGTACGGGAGAGGTTACAAACGTGGTGTGAGGCGAAGACACGGGGTCTCCCTTGGTTCGACGATGAAGGCGATATGTTTTGCTTTGCGTAAATAGGTGCATTGCATTCAAAATTGAGGTAACCAATAGAACACCCGTCATCGGAATGGTCTGCAAGAAATATGTAAGGACAAGTGAGTTTCAGTATCGAGCGTAGCTTACCCAGTCAAACCAGCTTTGCTGGCTACGTTCCCAGTACAAGTCTTCCCAACCGATGTCTGAGTCAGCTGTGGCGCGTACCTGAGATACACGCAGACAAAGGTGCAGCAGGTGCATGGTGGACCCAATGAGCCACCCTGTGGTCTTTGGAGCCGGCATGGGGAGGTTGTGAGGAAATAATGAGATCTCGAACATAATCTGTGAAGGTAGCGCTGTGATTCTTGCAATTACAGGCGCATTGATAACTTGTCGATCAACTTGAAACAATAATGACCGACCTCTCAACCATGCCTTTCTTTTTCACAACCTTCTTTGGTATTGGCCTGCTCCCATCCGGAACGGTGCTCATGCGAGATTTACGCTTTGCGCTAAGAGGCGAAGCGTAAGGTGGTGGTCTCCTTGAACGTGCAGCATCCCAGTCGAATGGCGTGGAGGAAGATATTGAAGGGGTAGAAGATGGGGAATTAACATAAGACACGCGAGTGCGAGGTGTGACCGGTGTCTGAGTGCCACCATTCAGCCGGGGCGACAGAGAAAGTGGTGACCCTGGAGTATTTGCTGCATTATTAGCCTGGGCAAATCGGCGCAGGCTCATTCTTGATTTTGGTCAGAGTACGAGTGAAAAGAAATCTGGGAACTGAAACTGCATGCTTTCAAGGAGGCGCGTCACACGTAACGCGTCGGTCACGCGACATGCCGTTTATTTTATTTTAATAAATAACAAGTTAACCATGATATCGATGGATGAATTAATATTGTCGTTGGAGACGGTGAGACCATGAAGATGTATGTATGCAATGCCCAGTGTAAACAATCATGCTAAGCTGAAGACACCAGCTTGTCCGACTTGAGTGGGGAGCACTGTGTGGCAATGTGAACTCGTTGAACTTTCAAGCCTACCCCCAATGCATGATTTATGACTTCGGTTGGCGTTCCGGAAACCTGTAACTCGTATCAGGAGACAGAGATATCCCACAGACGCCAATATTGAACGAATCCTGACAGCAGGACGGCAGAAACAATTGAACCAGACACATGACAGGCTGCAGCCACACGCAGTTTGGGACAACAACAGTGTGCACAAAAAAAATCAACACGTTCCGGAAAGAATTTCAGCATCGAAGAAGAGGAGCGATTAAAACATGATTTACTTGCCAGACCGATAGCCCGCAGCAGTCATGGATTTGGAAAAACCATAGAATTCTCTAGTTGTGGGATATATACGTAACTCCTGATATCATTGGTGAAGCCAGGATTTCATCATCGCTTCAGCTGCCCATGCAGTTGTCTTGACGCCAGCTGCATCGTCCACCCATAGCTTGAACCAAAAGCTAGCACAGCAGGCTCCAAGTGCTGTTCCTGCCACGACCTGCGGCCATGTGTGATGGCCCAACCGAACCCTTGACACAACTATCATGAATGTCCATGGTAAGACGACGACTGGAGCGAACATGGCGGAAGGAGGCAAGCTAGGGTGGACAGGTAGCTCAAGGCAAGCAAGCGCAATATACGTAGCGAAAAAAGTGCACGTGGATGAATGTGAACTAGGCATCCTGCAGGAGTGTGTTTACGATGAAATTAGAACTCTTTATGCGGCGCTGAATGTGGATCGAGTTTCCGCACCCATAGGTCACTTTGCCCCCGGAGTGCGTTGGTGGGCGTTCCTGCCGTATTGCCCTCTTGACTGCCTTGGTAAGCCCCGAACACAACACCGCGCCGGTGACGAAATATGCGACACCTGCTGAGCGGGTATACAGCAGGGCTGCCGCGGTTAATGTGGTCACAACTTTGGACGTCTGCAGAAATCGGAGTCAGTGCTTCTTCTCCGTTGAGACAGCAGGAGTATACTTGATCTAGAAATTTAAGCCATAGTGGTAGCATAATACCGTGATAGAAAGAAAGAAAGATGTAAGCGACTATGCTTAGGATTTTCAGTTCTTCGGCGCCCCATCTTCGGCTCCCAGTCATCGTCAACAACTACTCAACTTCCTGAGACGGACATCAATCATGGGCGGCCAAATATTTATGTAAAGCAATTGAATTTTTACATGTACTACTGTAGTAAATACATGTTTGTGGTGATGAAAGTATACTCCCTTTGAAAGTTCTAGATGACTGTTTGAAAAGCACCATACACGGTCAAAAGACGGTGTAAGCAACTACTCATCAAAGAGACAAAGAACCCATAAAAGGGAATCCCCCGACGACACAAGCCGATAGTGCAGTAGCAAGGTCATCATGCCCATCGAGTTGCAAGCAGAGCTCAAGGAACAAGGGCGGCAAAAATTTGATAACCAAAGAATGAGGGCGGTGCCCTCATAATAGTGGTTAAACTATTAAGAACAGATACTACACTTGATCTAAGCCAAAAGGCCAGAGTGGTAAGGATTCAATTCGTCGAGAGACTCCTTTTATATAAAACAGATCCTGCGCACGGACCAGTTTACTGAATGGGGAATACCATACCACCGTAACACGATAGTCAAACAATTATAATTTCATGTACCGAGGTTACACACAGTCCATACTATAAGGGACTCATGTGATACAAGATAAATCATCCTATCGCGATTCCCAAGAGCATAAACCACGCATGTCAGAACCATGCTTGAGTTCAGCTTGGCATGATAAGAACCCGGCTGCCTGCAAATTAGGGGATATACATTTGAAGCGAAATGGCACCCTCACGGACAACACGAATCTCAAGCTCATGAAAGCCTCAGTCTGCAGAGGAAAACCGAGAAAAATCAGAGCTGCTGGAAAGTTATCGATAAAAATACATCTGGTTGAAATACTTGACGGTGCCCACCACCCTCGTACTCAAAATGCTTCATCGTCATAAACCCCTGTTGCGTGATAGAAGGCCAAACTCCGAGTACCAGATCATAAACAATATCTCTCGATCACCTCGCGGAGGGATATGGCAAGAAGTCTCCGGCGCCAGACGCCGAGAGCGTTCTGTCTGATAGAGACTATCGCTCAGCAGCGCGACGCCGTCATTTGACCTCCTATTTGGAGGCACCGGCACCGGCACCCGTAACACCCACAACAAGCCCCTTCAGCCAGCCATTCTCTCGACGGAGACCCTCGCACTCCCGTTCCAGCTCAGTCACACGTTCTTCAAGCTCCTTTGCGCGTTTCTCAAGGGCAACTTCCCGTTCCTTCTTCTTCAACCTGAACCGTGCGCTAGCTGCCGTATTGCGGCGACGTTTGTCTTCTGCAGCGGTGACAGGACTGGTGCAATCATCTTCCCCAGTGGGTGAGGACGGGGATAAGGGTTCGGGTGTCTCTGTAAACGTAGGACTAGAACCAGAGCTTTTGGCAGTACGAGCTCGCTTAGTAGCAGGTGGAGCAGGCTGAGCCTGCACAACAGGGGGAGGGGGAGGCACCGAGTAAGTTCCTCCTTGAGCAGTATGCAAGGCAAGGAGTTGTGCAAGCGAAGGCGCGGATGCTACATTCTCTGTGGGTGCCGGCGCTGAAGGTAGTGGTAGGAATGGGTCAATCCCAAATCCAGCCAATAACGCGTTCAGATCAAATGACGGCGCATCATCCGAATGGGGGATAATGGTAGTGTTTGGAGGGTGTACGACGTTTTCATGGCCGTCGTGGGTGGGGAGACCTAACGGAGAAGCAGCAGAATCTTCTTCCGAGTCTTCGACCAATTTTCTCTTTCCCTTGCTGTGAGCAAGAGGCTCATCAGTTTCAAAAGCAAGGTTTGTCCACAAGTCAAGGTGGGCTGAGAAATCGGGGAAAGGTGGGGATGCTAGTGGGTCATGAGAATCATTCTGAGGTGCACTGTGAATGAGGTTGAGTCCCTGCAAGTTTAGCGTCATGAGTCAAGATGGCGTGAGCTTTATTGTGTGCTATTGGGTCAGGACAGTAGTACTGAGGATGGCGACGACGGGGTGTAATCAAAGAACAGACTGATAAGATTTTTAGTACTTATTGCGTGCTCACTAAGCCGTTGACAAGAAACTGACTAATCCGATAAGTAAAGTTGGTTTTATTGGCAGCTGACAGTTGGCTGACAGCGCAATACTCGTGATTTAATCTAGGAACCCATCAAAAAACTGATCGGCGCCGGTAATCCGATTCCACGAACCGACTTCAGCGGACAGCGCTTCAAAGTTGAAACGTTGAAGTCCAGCCGCCGCGGCTTAATGCTCAAGCAAGACGGGATTCCGACTTTCCAGGGTCTCAGGTCATGTTTCAGCAACAAAATCGTTCAAAATAGAGAATGTGTACGATCCCCATGGGATGCCAGATCTAGAGAACAGTATGCATCATTATGTAAATGAGTTCGAAGGTTCGTCGCTAGAATTAAACAATTCAATATCGCTTGAGCCTTGTCGAGGATTCTTCTTAGATTCTCGTACGCGACATGCACATTAACCCAACCACAGTAATTGCGCGTGCTATGACGCAAATATCGCGTCAAATGACATTCGAAGTCTCGTACAATTCGAAGATCGAAGACTTTAAGGATTTAAATCGTCAGCCAAAAGTGATGTACAAGTTGATCATATTAGGAACATGCCCTCTCAGCCCTGCATGTTTACGTCGTTAAGTTTCCCTGAGCATTGAAGGCCAGCACTCTTGATAGAAAGAACTCAGCTGTCAAAAAACAGGTTCCTCGAACCAGTGCTCAGAAGGCAGGTTTCCAAGCACTCTAATTTCCAAGCTCATGCTGTACAAAGTGTCGAAGCTGTTGACACACAAACCACGCAGTGATGAAGCAGGCTCATACAATTACATTGAATAGAACATACTTCAATACAATAGCATATCGCTCTATCAATAAGCTTGATTATGCATTCTCATAGAATTTCATAAGGTCCTGCACATCGTCCCGGCTCCCAAGGAACACAGAGCACCGCTCATGTATGCTCTTTGGAACAATGTCAAGGATGCGCTTCGTACCAGTAGTCGCGACTCCTCCAGCCTTGCGCGATATGGTAAGTATTGAGCTATCCAGAAGTTTACCGGTGGAGATACTTACTTGTTCGGTCAGGAAGGCCATGGGGAATGCCTCGTACAATAACCGCAACTTTCCAGATTTGCTCTTCTTATCGTCAGGGTAGCCGAAAATCCCTCCATATAGCAATGTCCTGTGCACATCTGCAACCATGGACCCGATGTAGCGAGCAGAGTAAGGAGAACCAGTCTTCGGATACTTGATCGAGTTCAGGTAGTTGGTCACCGGAGGATAAAAATACATCGAGTTGCCCTCATTGAAGGAGTAAATTTTGCCACGAGGAGGTATTTTTATCTGGGGAGAATCATTAGGAACGCCACCGGGTTACATAGGAGTCAATTTCATACGTCAGGGTGAGTGAGGATAAACTCTCCTAGAGCTGCGTCCAGGGTATAGCCGTTGACACCCTGACCCAGTGGAGAGAACCAAGTTTGCTGAGGAACCATACCTAGACGAGTGTGAGGACATTTGGAAAGGTAGTTATGTGAGCAACTGACATAGTGTATCCGGCAGCGACCATCTCACTCCCTGGTCTGAGCACATCTTCTATTGTTCCACTAGAGTCTGGTCTCTGCAAAGCTGATGAGGATGATAGAGATACCGATCTGAGAAAGACGCACCACAGCGTAAATGCCGAAGATGGTTCCGATGTTGACACCAGCATCGATGTTGCTACTGCCGTCAAGGGGGTCAAATACTACGCAGTACTTGCCCTTGTTTCGTTCCTCGATGATGATAGCATTGTCAAGTTCTTCCGAGACCAAGACCGCGGTCTTTCCAGACGCCCGCAGGGCGTTAACCATGATATCATTGGATAGAACATCGAGCTTTTTCTGCTCCTCGCCTTGGACATTGGTCTCGCCAGCAAGGCCGACACTGGTCGCGATATCAGGGGTGTTCCAAATAAAAGTGTGCATAACATACAGGTTGATGAGCCGGGCTTTTCGTACATTTGTCGCGATGAACTTGCTAGTCACTTGGATAGCGATGAGCAAGAGGGTAAGATCTCCCGTAGCTGCTGTTCCCAGTCTCAGCTGGTCGTGCAGCACATGTCTGCAAAGCGTCAGTATCTGGCTGCGCCCTCTACCGGGACATATCCATGCTCACCTGCTTAAGGTGATGATATCAGTGCTAGGGGGTTGTTCTGACGCCATTGTAGTTCTAGGAAAGGTGTTGTGAAGAGCGGCAAGGAAACATGGAAATGTTTCACAATACTTAAGCGTTATATTTCCCTGACTGTTACGGATGGAAACGGACTCGTCCAATAAGTAAGTGATGAATGCGCTTCCTTGTGGACCTTATCAAGATCTAGCTGATTGTTCTCACAGTCACAGCTCTCTGAGTCCGGTACGGCTCGGAAACCTCACTCTCCGAACGTGAATGAATTCCCTGTGATTATACAGCAGATAGGTAAAGTCAGAATACAACACACGGACGACAGGATGGTCATCGTTTTCTCTTGATTCCTACTAGAGAAACCGGTTCCTTACCCTTGCGTGTCCGTAGTGGGATAGGAAAAGTGTCGCTGTCCTCATCGTTGTCTTCCACACCTATACCCTTCCCACCACCACTGTCACCATCACCACCGCCCCTGATCCCGCTCGTATTGGGCACTATGCTCTCAGGTCTCCCGATCTCATGCCCAGAACACCATCCATCATCATCATCAACTCCTTCTTCTTCTTCCATCTCATCTTCGTCCTCGTCCAACGCTCGAGAAGAAGCCTGTGCAATGGCAGCAGCGATCTCTGCACTGATACTCGCCACTCTAGCTTCAAGTGGGTCCCCCGGGGAACCAGTCTCCAGGGACCGGGTTGTAACGCCCCCCGTCTGCGAGAATAGTGCAGAAATAGTGCGCACTGATTCTTCCAGCTCAAGATCATCCGCTGTGTCCGAAACCTTTTGCTTTTTAGCTTTGAAATTGTATTTTCTGCATCATCCAATCAGTGTATGTGAATACGACATTCAGCTTGGATACCCACATATTAGGATCTGGTTCCCATGTTGGATCGTGAGTTCGCATATGCTGGGTGAGCGTCGTGCGGCGTGTAAACGTTTTCTCGCACTCGGGATCTTCACATTTGTATGGTCGTTTTCCTGTGTGCGTCCGGCGGTGCCGTGCGAGACTACTAGAGTCTCCAAAGGTCTTTCCACACCCTGGATATTCGCAAGAATGTGGTTTCTCGCCCGTGTGTACCCGTTGATGAACGTGTAATGCAGATCGCTGCGTCACAAACGTTGTAAGCTACTGTGTAACTGCGTGTAATCTGATAAATAATACAAACCTGAATGAACGTCTTTCCGCATCCGCCGTGATTACAAACAAACGGGCGCTCGCCGGTGTGGATCCGCATGTGTCTTGCGAGATCGCTCCTCCGGGTGAATGTCTTGCGACACAGAGGCTCTTCACATGCGTGTACGTTTACTGTCTTCTCCTTTTCAGCATTTTGCTCCTTATCTTTATCTTTATCCTTCCCCTTCTTCGACTTCTTGCTTTCGGGAGACCTTCTTGATGTCGTTGATGTAGAGGCAATGGGCTGTGGGGTGGGGCGCGATGGACTGGATAGAGGTTGGCTAGAACGAACGGGTGATTGGGCAGGGGTGGTAAGGGAACGAGATATGGGGGAGGTGCTTTCAGTCGATGGTGCTTGGAGATGCCCGTGAGTCGGATCTGTTTCTGGTTCGGTGTCGAAGTGTGCTGAAAGGTGATTCAATATGTCACTGATATCATTGAACTCTCCAGGCACGCTTTGGTGGGGATCTGATTCATCCGTCCGAGGTTTGTGTTGTGGTGAACATCTAGCATCACTCCCGTTTCGGTCGTCAGTATGTTCGTCATTCCGTATTTCCTCTGCGGTGTAAAGGAGGTCCAAGTCCTGAGCGCCACGGTCTCGAGCATCATCCGCAACGTAATCATCAGCATCGCCAGCCGTCAGAGAATGAAACGCAGGGGCAGTGCGCGTCGTACGCGGATTATGCTCAAGCTCCGCATCGTGGCACTCTGAGGACTCAGCAAGGCGCCCATTGGAAGAAGCCTGTGCGTGGGCTGCTTGCAACATGGCAGTGATGCTGCGAAGATTAAGACCAAGACCTGAAATAGCATCACCAACAGTTGCAGTCTCACTGGCCTTCGGTGTGCCATATGGAGTAGATTCCGGACCGGAGAGATCGTGGTCTTGCTCGGTTTGCGCCTGGCGCTGCTGCGCGGCAGCACTCAGGAGTGCAGCTGATGCAGCTGTCGCATTCTGGTGAAGAAGAGTAGCGATTTCGCGCTCCAGCATTTCCACGGAGAAGTGCTCTGGAGGTACCGAGGGGTCTAGGGAAAGGGGCACGTCGTCATGAGGGGAATGCGGATGGTGTGATGGATTAGAGAACGCGGAAGGGGCGTGTTGGGTGCCTATCACGTCGAGCTCATCTCCACTATGGAGATCTTCCTCGTCTGAGCCCAAAGGTTCATCATGTACGACATCTGAGAGGTCGAGGACCGGTTCGTTTTCGTCACGGTCCATAATAGAACTGGAGGTGCCTCCAGCTTGCGAGCGCGGACCTGGTAAAACAAGTCGAGATGTGATTCCTGTCAAAGATTAAGTTGATACTAGGCTAACAATCTAACAATTAAATTACCTACCGAAGTATGTACACGTCGCGCTGGACGATGAGCACGGTATGAATGGTCGAGGTTAACGTTTGATGTCCAATGACGGACGGGGCTTGAACATGATACACTTGTTTAGGTAACGGCATTTGTTCACGTGGCATTTCCCCTTGTGGAGGAGCCAGCAAACTCACAAGCGGTACAAAGACTGTGCTTCACACTTCCTTCGTTTCATGAACCGCGATTACGGCGAGCATTATGCCTGCTGCACAAACTAACAAACCCGCGAGACCAAAGGTCAAGCGATACCATGTTTGGAATGTCGTACTCTTTATTATGGGGACTCTCTTCCCCCCATTGGGTGTGTATTTTTGTGACCTTGAGGAATGATATTGCAGAGTCCTGACCGTGATTTGAATATAGCTGTGGCAGCGAGGTTCGGTATCGGGAAGGACTTCTGGCTGAACCTTCTACTCACGATATGCGGATATATTCCAGGTATGCGCTATGACAATATTCTGATTGCATATAAGTAACTCCCTTATCTCAGGACACGCACACAACTTTTACATCCAGGTAGAATGCTAGCCTATGGTTCTCTGCGTATTAGAATGCTGACGTCTCCTAATTCTCAGAATATTCGAAATAATAAGAATCACCGTCGTACCCCCAAATGGGCCCAACGATATGGCCTTGTTGATACTTCAACCATCAAGCGTCATGAACAGCGTTCCCAGTGGGCAGGGAGATACAACGACCGTAATCCACACTCCGCCCTAGACGAACAGCCACTGGAGGAAGGCCAAATGGCGCCGAGTCGCTCAACAACACAGGATTCCTCCACTAAACCAGGCAATGGCGGTGCTCTGTGGAAAGATGGTGATGAGTCATTCTACAATCCCGAACGCGAAGGTAGCCTGCGTTCAGCCGAATCTGGAAGTACTCGTTGGAAATACCCTGCCAACTTCAATGACACACTTCCTGGTGCGGGAGATGCTCCAGGGCGGAAGAAGAAAAAGAAGAAAGATAGGTGGGCGAGAACGGAGGATGCATATACTGCCCCCGAGAATAAGAAACGAAAGAAGAAGTCAAAGAATCGCTCCACAGTTGGCGATGGTGGTGATCTAGAGTCAAACTACTCACGCGGAACTGGATCGGCTGCTGATTTGGAGGTGCCAGAAGATCCAGCTGGTGAAGCGTACGGATCTGGGAGACAAGGCAATGGGCACGCAGCGGGGGAGAATGACCATGCTGCCGCATCGCAGGGCGAGAGCGATGTATTCAATCACGAATTCTAATACACACGCGTCCTCTAGATATCCTACATGTTTGTTCAATTTATTTATATGCCTCCAGTTGTTTTGAAGATCGATGCACATCATAGCTATCCAGACTGGCATCCATCTCCAATCCGTCCATGGGGAATTTTTGGACAACACACTCGATATCTCAAGTCCCTAAACTCGAACTGCTGCCACTCCACTCCGACGAGCCGCACTCGCCGGATCAAGGGTCCTTCGATTGTTCGATTGTTAAGCGTTCCGCATAGACCTGTGTTTCGTGTCCAGGGTCCCCTGTCCAGTGCAAAGTATCCGTGCCAATCGACAAACTTAGATAGATATTCAGGTTCGGATGGGAACGTGTTGTCTCAATTTCATATTAGCGTCATAGGTTTGGTAAGCTTAAGCAGGGGGTAAATTTAGAAGACAAAAAGAGCGAAGCGCTTGCGGCACAGCATTTGGACCAAGCAGTGAAGTCGGTCGTCATGCGCTCAGCGAGCGTATCAGTTGGTACAGTACTTGGCTGCCGGAGCTAAGACCACCAACTGCGCCACCGTTAGCATCTGTGGATACATACATCTTCTTCTAGAATAAATCAACGTTCCGAGGTATCGTATGGAAGCCAGTTAGGATTGTAGGCATCCGCTGTCTCGAAGGCTAGTTTCGGCATCTCCACTCTCCTTGTCCTTCCCTTTGTCTTTCTCCAGGCCAGACCCGTCGTCTAGGTATAGACGGTTCTGCTTTATATATTCAATAACAGCAGCTGGGATGAGGTATTGAACTGAGAGACCCCGACGAAAGAACAGCCGAACTTTCGTGGAGGAAACATCGTTCTGGACCAATTGGGGGATGGGATAGATGCTGTTCCGCCAGCGTGCCAAGCTGTCAGTCGCTTGATCCATGCTTGATCCTGTGCGCTCAATGACAAACGTGCCATAGCGTCCAAGTATACGATCAAGCTAAGGATCAGCGCATTAGCGTGGACCACATGCGAAACCCAAGTATAACTGACATCATTATGAGACCAAACACCGGGCTCAGACATAGTGCTGATCAGGTCGGAACCGGCAAGAAGCATGATCCGAACATCCCGATGTTCACCATCTCGGGTGGATACCCCGCCGAGAATCGTGTTGATCTCGTAATCAAAGTGGTCGAGGACGACAGCCGTGCGCTGATAATTCTGGAATGCTTCCCACGAATCTACCATTAGCCCTGATGACTCCTGCTCCGTAGCAAGGGTGCACATTTTAACCCTATTTCATGTATCAATAAGCATTTATAAGATATGATCGCGCAGCCCATAAGCCCGTACGTACCGGTGATGAGCGCGAACCAAACCAGGTTTCTCGTACTCCTCGCTGACTGGACTGAGATAACTACCAACAATCTCAAAATCCGTGTTCTGCCGAACAAAGTCATTGGCCATTTCGAACATTCGGAGATGATGATATGTGATGGGGTTGAAGGAACCGCATGCTACGAGAACGATAGGTTGCTTTGTGGAATTATGTAGAATTCTATTGAGACGATGAGAAGTGAAAGTATAGTTTGGAGGATTCGTGAAGGTAGTCGAGCTGCTTTGGGTGGTCATAGTAGTGGTATGAATTCAACAGGGATGAGGCAGCTCACCATTTCAAAGTATCCGTTCAGCCACAGGAATAACCTTCAATACTTACCGGAAACACTATATACTGACATTTTTAGAAGTTTATACTCACGCTTAATTTTATTCCATTCTAATTTAGCCAAGGGCGGCCCCCCGGACCCGGTACTCGCATGTTGCTCGCATGCAGCACTTGGACACTGTGAACTTCGGCTTCCGACTCATTGGACGTTAAGTAATCTTACCTTGTGCCGTCACATTGCAACGCGTGATCACTTCTTCAAATCAGCAGCTTCTTCCAAGGGAAGTTCATCGCGCGAAGATGTGAAATCCTTGATGAATAGCATCATGTTTTGTCCTCACGGAGTGTGCCCACTTCCCACTCCCCCTCCTACTACTACAGTGGCAACTAATGCTGTCGAATATTAGAGTATTCGCACCACTGGCAGGTGTACTGCTTGCCGCGCTTTCCAGTGCCCAGGTGCTAGTCGATTTCCAAGTCGCTGAGCCGCCTCCAGTTCCCAACAATGCGCAAACATGCACGACGATGATTCTCGAGTGAGTAAATCACTTCGAAGCATTCATGGGCTTCAAACCTATTGCCTCATACTAGGCGCACATTTGGGAACTCGTACGGAAAGTCAGTCAGTTTATGACTAGTGAAAATTTGTTTGGCTAACATTCCACTCCAGTCCAGAGATCGTAGAGTACACGTAGGTGTCTGTTCGCGTTTCATGTCGGTTTTCATCCGACTCGGACTCCATATAGTCCACCAACCGATTGCGGCGCGGTCGGTTCCTGGGCAGCAGTAACACTCAACTTCACAGTGACATCAAATGGGACCCAGTATGACCGCCTTGGAATCTTCACGTTCCAGAACACCGAAAGTATGTTCTGCCAAGGGTCACGCGCCAATTTTGATATTTAACGTGGTAGTCTGGCGCACTTCAACTCCGGAGCCCACTGAAGACGGTATCATTTGGACTTACACGAAAGATGTCACTCGCTACATACCTCTCTTTGCCAAGGACGGAACTTTCATTCTCGAGCTTGACAACGTTGTGACGTCCGATCTGAATGGACAGTATGCGAGTACGCGTGTTTTCATTTCGTCGCAGGCAATGCCATGCTAAGTTATGTTCAGCTACCCTTTATGCGACTTTCTACGCATCGTCCGGGGAATGCCCTACTGCTGGACAATCTAACATGATCGTGCCGATATCTACGATGCTGAATAACACTGGCAACGAGGCTTCAGTCCCACCTGCTTTTTCTGTACGCCTTTCCCTATGCATATCATAGTATCGCATCAAGTAAACCCTATCAGCTCAATGTGACGCTCCCGCAAAACACCGTCGAAATCTACGCTGAGCTCTATGCGTCTGGCAATGGCGCTGAGGAATTCTGGGTGAGAGACAGTTTGTCATGGATGACTGGAAGTCATATTGATTCTTCTCTCAAGTACTACAACACAGCCGACGAATATCTCGGGTATCTTCCACCTGGCACAACATATGGTGGAGGACCATTCCGTGAGGTTCGTCTCCTTGTGGATGGTCAAGTCGCTGGCGTAGCCTTTCCGTATGCCGTCATCTTCACCGGCGGTATAAATCCCTCAGTTTGGAGGTAAGGTCCATTGATTTCCCTGTGTGTCTTTCAACCATGTGGATCACAGGCCAATAACATCATATGGTGCAATCGACCTTCCTACTTACTTCCTTGATCTCACACCATTTGCACCGGTGTTCGCTGATGGCCTCCCTCATACTGTCACTTTGGACGTCGCCTCTGCAGAAGCGAACCACACTCTCAACCAGAACTGGTATGTTTCCGGCCTCATGCAGGTGGTCACGGACCCGTCTGGTAAACCCACAACGGGAAAAATCACGACATACGATGTCCAGCCCTACGCAATAACGGAGACAACAGCGAGCATCGGCGGCACGGATGTCAATATCACAGTCAAGGCTCAGCGCTCCCTCAGAATCGAATCCACCGTCGTCAGCGGTAGTGGGACGACAAATAATGTTGTTTTTCAGCAGAACTTGGACTTCACAAACACGCAGTATTATCTCAACAACACAAATACTCAGGTCAGGACCTACTGCTGTCCCCAATAAATTGCTCATCACTCAATGCATTCATCCCAGAACGTCGCGCAGACTTCCTCCGGCTCAGTCACCTCAACTCACAACGGAGTCTCAGTCCTTACTGACAACTTCGACTATCCGCTGTACATCAACATGACATACCTGGTCCTTACTAATACCGAGGAATCATGCAAGTTTCGTTCAACTGAACCTGCATTGCACGGCTGACCATTTGTGCCTCAAGTTTATACCACGTTTGACCACTCATATAACCGCCAGGTTGTCCCTGCGCCATTCATCTTGGGATCTGTAATTAGCGAGCGCCAGCAGACAGGTACGATCTCTTCTTCTGCGGGGAACATGTATTCATCCATATTGCAGCGGGTTACTTCACCATATCAACCACTGGAAATACTGGCAACGGAACCAGTAACAACACTTTTTCATACGTCGATCTCAAAGGCAACACGTATACCAGGGATGTAGATGCCGCATATGACGTGATCACCTACGACCAACAGAGCGGCAGCCTCGCCACCACCGCCCTACCCACGTTCCCTTGGCCTTCCAACTCACAGTCCATTCTCAGGGCAAGACTTCCAGGTGGAAAGGGGTCAAAGGTCGTGGGTAATCCGTAGATCAGTCGTAGCGATAACATCATGAATACATGTGGGTAGCTATTTAACGCATGGTACATGTAACGCCCAACAAGACCGTCTAAGCAGTCCTGAAGAGCACTATCCCGGCGTGCCAGCACCCTCCACCGCCTTAAATACAGACGCAACCCAAGTCTACAACACCTCAACGGACGACCAATGTATGCACGTGTTGAACGGCAAACAGCTCCGTGTTGAGACGGGGCCTCCAGCGTGGAAGCTGCGAAATTTGATGAAGATGACCATTATGTACCTTATCGCGATGGTTGAGAGCGCGAGAGCAAAGCGTCTAGAACAATCCAACGACACGCCCAGTTTGTGGGTCAAGTCCGACTTCCCAGAATCCTGTGTGGTTTCTCGTGAGATAGATTTGGAGAAAGCACACCTTATCACTCACCTGGCCTTGTGCCAAGTCCTGGCATGGTTTGCATGTCTCCGAGGATAGGGTATAGGAAGCCAGCTCCAGCAGATAGGCGCACTTCACGAATGGGAACTGTGAAGCCAGAAGGAGCATTTTTCAGGGACGGGTCATGAGAGAACGAATATTGGGTCTTGGCCATGCAAACTGAATGAAGGTCAGAAATAACTCCACAGGCCTGGGGACGGGGACTTACTAGGGAGGTTGCCGTAGCCTTGACGAGTATAGGTTTCTAGCTGCTTGCTGGCGTGCTCGCTGAGCTCAATACCAGCGGCGCGGTATATCTCCTTGCAGATTATCTCGATCTTTTGGGCGATGGGGAGGTTGAGGTCGTAGAGGAATTTGAAGCCTGATTCTCCTTCGCAAGTTGCAACGACTGCCTCGGCAAGGGCAAGTGCACCAGCACCACCTTCTGCCCAGTGGTTGCTCACTATCGCAGCATCGGCACCTGCAGCGAGAGCCTCTTGGCGGATGAGCTCAAGTTCCGCAGGGGTATCAGAACTACGCCAAAGTCAGCAAACGCTCATGCAAAAAAGGATACAACACGAACGCAAATTGGTTGATAGCAATGATGACCTTGACACCGAACTTCTTGGAGTTCTCGATGTGTCTAGCGAGGTTCTGGCAACCCTCCTTGAGGGTGACAAGATCCTCCTTGGTGTAGGTATCAGCCAAAGGCTTGCCAGGGGTCACCTCAGGTCCACCACCGTGCATCTTGAGTGCACGAGTAGTAGCAACGATGACGGTAGCATCAGGCTTGAGGCCGCTAACACGGCATTTAATGTTGCAAAATTTCTCCATTCCCATGTCAGCACCGAAACCACCCTCAGTCAGCACGTAGCCAACACGGTCAGAAGAGTCACCCTCCTCAGTTCCTGCAAGTTTGAGAGCGATGCGATCGGCAAGGATAGAAGAGTTTCCATGGGCGATGTTGGCGAAAGGACCGGCGTGAACGAAAACAGGGGTACCCTCGAGCGTTTGCATCAAGTTGGGCTTCACCGTATCCTTCATGAGAACAGCAAGTGCACCTCCAACACCAATGTCATCGGCAGTGATAGCCTCTCCACGCTTGCTCGTTGCGACGACCATGTTGCCAAGCTTCTCGCGCATGTCCGCGAGATCAGTAGTCAACGCCAGCACGGCCATGCATTCACTAGCAACAGCGATGTCGAACCCAGCCTCACGCTCGTGGCCTTTCTCCGTGGGGTTACGGCCGAGCGTGACTTTGCGCAGGAAACGGTCGTTTGTGTCGAGGACACGGTTCCAGGTGATAGTCTCGGGGTCGATATCAAGGCGAGCAAAGTGGTTGACTTCCTCAGGCGTCAGGTCGTTGGGGTTGGTCTTGTCGATACCAAGCTTCTTCAAGCGTTTGAGCATCAGGGGCGCGAACTCACGCTTGCCCTTCTTGGTGGGGACAAGACGGCTGAAGAGAGCCTGCAGAAACTGAGCATGTGTAACGGCCAGTTTTCAAACCTTACAGACCTTGTCAGACTGAGTCTTCTCATGGAACAGACGAGCATCAAGAGCAGCAGCTATGTTCAATGTCAGAGATTGAGTGTCAGAAAAAGTCCAGTGAGCCTACCTAACAAGTTGTTGGCAGCCGTGACAGCATGAATGTCACCAGTCAAATGAAGGTTGAACTGAGCAAATAACATTAGGAAGACAAGGTATAAAGAGAAAGACGGCCTACCTCATCCATAGGAATTACTTGACTGTAACCTCCTCCAGCAGCGCCACCTTTGATACCGAATGTTGGTCCTTGAGAGGGTTGACGCACACAGGCGAATGCGGGACGTCCAAGATGTGCGCCCAGTGCCTGAGCAAGACCAATGGTAGTCGTGGACTTGCCCTCACCTAGAGGAGTGGGCGTGATACTGTAAAATATGTCAATGTCAAACAACAAAACGCGTTCCAGTGATGCCTACCCAGCAATGACGATGTATTTCCCATCTTTGCGGTGTGCCAAGCGGTCCAAGACGCTGAGCTCGACCTTGGCCTTGAACTTGCCATAGCTTTCAAGTTCATCTGGGAGGAGTCCCATCTCCTTTGCAAGCTGAGTGACGGGCTTCGGGGTCTGGGCCATAGCGATCTCGATGTCGCTGGGTACTTTTTCCTTGATGTCAAGTGCCAGGGGTTTGATCTTGCGTTCCCGAGCCTTTTGCCAGAGACGGACAGCAGAGTTGTATACATTCTCCATGAGCAAAGCGACGGTCATCGGGCCCACACCTCCTGGGACGGGTGTGATATGCGAGGCCACAGTAAACGCCTCATCATAATCGACATCGCCAACCAAGCGCTGACCCGACTTCTTAGTAGCGTCTAAAGGGTATTCATATAAATAACCGGAATCGCATGCCAAGACCAAAATCATACCTGGAATGAAGTTGATGCCAACGTCGATAACGACAGCGCCGGGTTTCACCCACGACCCTTTGACGTACTCTGACTGGCCGATAGCAGCCACCACGATATCAGCTTGTCTGACCTACAAGTGAGTGTGAGAAAGTTTTGATATCTGATAATCACACGAATGAAACTGACGATCTGTTCGATGTTCCTAGTCCGACTGTGGCATTGCGTGACAGTCGCGTCGCGACTTCTCAGGAGTGCAGCCACGGGGTTTCCTACGATATCGCTGCGACCAAGCACGACTGCGGTTGAACCGGCGATGGACACGCCTGTACTCTCCAGCAGACGAATGACAGCTGCTGGAGTACAAGGAACGAACATCGGAGAAGCAGCGCGCGAAGACAAGTGACCGATATTGTATGCATGAAAGCTATAGGAGCAACTCAGAAAATGTGATTTCCCACATCAAGACAACTTACCCATCAACATCTTTCTCGGGAGAAACCGCCTCAGTGACAGCGCGGGTAGCGTCCGCGTCGACTTGAGGTCCAAGAGGCAGTTGAACGAGCACACCACTAACAGTTTCGTCATCCGAAAGCTTCTTAACGACCTCGATGATCTCTTCAGCCGTAGCTGCTTCAGGGAATTTGACGTGATTGAACTTGATGCCAACTTCCTCAGCAGCTTTAGCTTTCATGCGGATGTAAGTGCTTGAATCGGGACGCTCTCCAGCTTGCACGACTACAAGCTGGGGCTGGAACCGAGGGTATTGGGCTTGGAACGCTTTGATTTTCTGCGCGACATCATCGCGGATTGACCTGAATGCACGTGATTTGGTTAGGACAGTATGAAGGTGTATGATAGATCGCGTACTTGGCTATGCTGGTACCGTCGATGATCGAGGCAGTCATGATTGAGTGGTTGAAAGAAACAAGAAGCGATCTTGAATGATTTCGAACCGAATAAGAGGAAGATAAAAGGAAAGGTCTAAATGGCGGGCGAGGCATCTTAATAAATGTTATATCAAGTTACCTCTTTTGGTTATTGGGGGTGCACACCCACGACAAAATTATACGCAACAGTAACTAAAAGATAGACAGTGAATCAAAAAAGATACACGAAAAAAGATGGGAGGCAGGAGATAAACACAATCTTCCCCATGTCCAATTTTTTATGGTCTTTTTCCCTTGCTACGTGAATCGAAGAACAGATTACCGGCCGAACCAAGACACGTAAGTTATTCCCACGACCCTTCTCCTTCCGAAAATTTTGGACGCTTACAAGCGTTTGTCTCCGTTCATAAGTCACAGTACCTCTCTCCTTCTCTTTACCTTTTTATTATCATGAACGCTGCACACGTTCGCCAGGCATTCCGTTCTTGCACGGCTTCACTGTCGTCGCGAGCAATCGGCCGTTCCTCACGAGATGCGCTGGCATCTCACGGTCGGCGAATAGCGCTTGGCACGCGACGGTACTCTGATGACAAAGCTCCAGAGCAAAAGTCGAACGCGGACGCAGAGATGAAGGAGGCAGAAGTAGACAAGACAGAAGTCACGCCGGAGGCTGAGTTGCTCAAAACGCTCAAAGCAAAAGAAGCCGAGGCTGTAGACCTAAAGGTTAGCATCCCCGCTCGACCGCTGGACGCGTCTTGATGGCTCCCCAGAGTCGGTTACAATATCTGCAAGCAGACTTTTTGAACTTGCAACGTAATGCTGCTCGTGAAAAAGAACAGCAACGTGATTTTGCTATCACTCGCTTTGCTGGTGACTTGCTTGAAACTGTAGACGTTCTCGCACTCGCCCTCAAGTCCGTACCAGAGGATATTCTTGCCCGATCCGATTCTCCATCCCCAGACTCGTCATCAACACCCAACTCAAAATCCGTCCAAACCTACCTTAAGGAACTGCACGAGGGCGTCGACATGACCCACCGTCTCCTACTGTCCACGCTCTTCAAGTATCACGTCAAACCGTTTGACCCTACCGGTGACAAATTTGATCCTAACGTACATGAAGCGTTGTATCAGGCTCCCGTACCCGGAAAGGAACCTGGGACTATCCTAGAGTGCCAGAAAACCGGGTACATGATCAAGGATCGGTTATTGCGAGCAGCGCAGGTCGGCGTCGTGCAGGAGACATCATAACCTACGTCATTGCCGCGGAGCGGGGTTTAGGTGGCCTCTCGTCACTTGTGGTGATGGGTATGCAGTGCCGAGTAGGGCAGGTATTGGGAGGACAATTAGTATGCTAGCAGGCATTCTAAAGCCTCTATGAGCGGTGTGGGTGGATAGCATGCACGATAGATATTATTTTAGCACAGTTAATTCATCGAATCTCAACTCCGAACCGATCTTGCAGACAGGAAACGACCTGGGCATTAAGAGAGTTGGCCTCATCGTTCGAAAGTGATCTACCAAGGGTAAGAAGAAAGCTTCTATAACAGACAGGGGCATACCTGTCCATCGAACGGTAATTGATCCTGTAGCAAAGGCTCTTGCGGTTAGTTTTCGGGTGAGTGAAATTGTCGATCTGTCGGACGTCAAATCAAGTCGCACTGAGTTCAGAACAAGACTCACCAATTTCACATCCTCCACTACATCTCCAGCGACGTCCCGAACAAGGTCGCAGAAATCATTTTCATGAAGTGCCTCGCCTTGGGGGAGCCAGAAGCTCACGTCCTTAAAGCATGCCGGGTATTTCGAGTACGGTTTGAACGTAGTGATTTCGCCTTGTTTAAACTGCGAAAGGAAGCGCGGGTCCTGTGACCAGAATAGACGAATATCGGGAATAGAGTATAGAACCATCGCTATCCGTTCGAGACCAAGACCGAATGCCCACCCCAGCTTGTCGGGAACATCTAATTACGCGTTATTCGTCAGGTTGTTCATACTAAAACATCGACGTACTTGCGTTATCGAGAGTTGCCTGCCGGACGACTCCACAGCCGAGAATTTCCAACCATTTACCACGGAAGAAGACTTCGACCTCAAAACTGGGCGTCGTCCACGGGAAAGTAGCCTCTATCCACCGCACTTTAAGCGGGTTATGTGCGGTAGCCCCGACGCGTCCACCGAACAAGTGTAGCATAAGACTGTTCAGGGACAATTTCAGATTCTTCGCGATTAATTCCGTATGCTTTGGGTCGTGCGCCGGTTGACAAGGATTCGTAGGTGATAGATGGGGGACATCTTCAATTTCTATACTGGAGCGTTCCAAATGAGCTGCGAGGCGTTCGTTGTCCTCTTCGATCTCCTTCATGCCTGTCGCGTTTGCTGAGACGATGCGTGCGCCCTCTGTCTGGTGAAATACAGGGTAATGCGACCCATCTATCTCGTCGCGCCGGTATACGTCTGCAGTGAGCAACCACTTGGTCTCTCCTCGTCCAAACACGTCTACTTCGTGTGCAGAGGTGTGAGTGCGCAACATGAGGTCTTTGTTTACATAGTAGCTGTCTGTTACGGAGCGACCAGGATGGTCTGCTGGGAAAGACAGCAGATCAAAGTTTTGGTAAGGAGTGACGAGGGGGGAAAGCGAGGATAGGTGGGCGTAGGAGGGGAAGTGTGATTCTATGAGTGCTCGGAGTGTGCTGAGGGGATGTGATGGCTGGGTGTGCAGCTTCAGTGGGAGCTTGGACACGATTGTAGGAGATATGTTTGTCATGTGGTCCGTTGGGTACTGTTCACCGAGTACAGTGACATGAGACGGTCGTTGGACACTGAAGTACCGCGACGGTACTCCCCTCCCATGAACGTTCCGCCATAACAATCCAGGTAAGCGCATCTATCGTGAATTATTTCTTACCAGAACCTTGCCAATGATATCCTCTAGGGTACGGACGATAAGTCACCCGACTGTTATTAACCTATGTTAAAAATCAAGTAGGATGCGTAGGGTTATTAACAAGCATGTTATTAACATGTTATTAACAGTCACGTGACCTAAAATTTGAAAATTTCGCTACAGCTACTACCAAAATTCGTCCCACTCGTTGTCCATGTCTTCTAGGTCAGCATCATCCTCCGTAGCATCACCTTGAGTGCTACACAGGCCGTTGATAGGACTTTCCTCGTGTTCATCAGACAAGGCCTTGGTGACAATTAGTGCGTGAAGGTTTGCATCTGCTTCAATGTCGAAGGCTGAATCCTCCGCCGGTTTAGCCGCTAGTGTCTCATCGAGCCAAGTGCCTTCTTCGTCTTCAAGGATTTCTTCCTGCTCATCTGTGCCCACAGATAGATAGCTGCCAGTGGTTTCGTGGCTTCGACGAGCAGCTGATTGTTTGGGTGAGGAAATGATGGAGTCAAGATCGCAGAATGAAATGTCTGGATGCCGTCGTTCAACCATTTTCTAAGGGGCATGAGTTATCAATACAGGCCACTGAATAAGACACTGACCTTTGGATCATACATATGCCATTGTCAAATCTGAGTCATGTCCACCAACGTCCGGACATGTTGACGGTTCCTGGCTGGTGTATTCATCCTCGTGAATACCGACATTGTTCGTTCCTCGGGCACAGATGAGGGCTTGATTGAATAAATTTTTTCTGCGATACACTGGAGATAAAGCTTGAGTTATGAGTAGTCAGGACTGGCTGAAACTCACAGCAAGTATGGAGCCTTCAGGTATCTTCGTCAAGTGAGTCCAGTATGAGAGGACGTCCTGACCAGCATCCATCATTGTGTCAAAAGGGTATTGTCCTTTCACATAGCGCTCGAACTGGCGAACGAAAGCTTCACGAACATCAGCAGCTGTTTGTCCTTTGAGTGTGGGGTTGTGCTGGGACTCATTAGGTTGATGTTTGGTGAGGAAGGCTTCCGCCTGTCGCCAGTTGCTTTGGACGTCCAAGAGAGTATAGGCTTGGCGCCAAAACGTCAGAATCCAGAATGGAAAAGGTTGTTCGATGTCGGCATGGGCATAGATAATAGACCGGCTACCACCTGATATTGCATGTTGCACCCCTTCTAGGAGCTTGTGCAGAACCGCAAGCTGGGGAAGCGGCTGCGTGCGGAGATAATCGAGATATAAGCTGTCCTCAGGTGGGGAGTCAGTGCTAAAGTATTTGCGCAATGGCAGAGCAGTGGTAATTGAAGCTGACGGGAGTGAGAATTGAAGGAATGACGAGACAGACAGATTCTTGTCTGGGAGAATAATAGATTGCACTGATACAGGAATAATGAGAATATCATCTGAGGCTTTTGTGTCGACGATGTCAGCCATTTCGAGTGCTCGACTGGTGCAAGAGGGAGGGAAAACAAGTTGAAAACTTCGTTGCGAGACACTCGAGTCCCATGTCAGACAACAGCTTGCTTCTCTGCAAGATTTGCGTTGCAAACTTCTAAGTCAATGATCTGCGAGGAACAGCAGAAGGTCGGAAGGCGACTCACAAAGACTATGGGGGTCAATAGACTTATTAGCACCATGTCACCCCCCCACGGCCGTGTGCCTGTTATTAACATGTTAATAACATGTTAATAACACACCTTTCTTAGCAGTGTTATTAACAACCCACTTTTCGTCCGTACCCTAATATCCTCGAGATGCAATTACAAGCCCACTTGCTGGTCCTGCTCATTCAAACTTAACGCGTTTGTTTGTGCTTGTTGTCCAAAAGCTTCAAACAAATCCAAACTTGGTTATGAGCACAGCCACCTCGAGCTCTGATGTCCCGAGTCGCCATCAGAGATTCAGCAGACTCAAAGGTGAACATTTTCCATGTATTTACCCGCTCAAAGCTAATCAAATCCAGGCCTCGACCAGCAAACGTAGACCCTCAAAAAGACGTCTCGTCGATTCTGATGAAGAAGAATTTGATGATGCTGCTGCAGACCGGTTTGAGCCTCCACGCGTCAAACGCTCGCGTACTGCAGAACTAGAACCGACCCCTCATGAACATAATGATGTAGAACATGATATGGATGTTGATGTTGATGGGGAGCTGGATGCAGATGAAGAAACGCGTTTCCTAGGGCATGATGCTAGCGATCAATTTACCGCCACCGCTCCAGTGGCTCCCGGTCAAGCTCGAAAGAAGAGTAAGGCGGATGTGAGTGCGAAACGTTTAAAGAGAGCGGGTTCTGGAACAGGGGCTAAGAAGAAGAAACAAGTCGTGTTCTCTGACGCAGAGGATGCCGAAGTCGACATTGATGACCTCGTGGAAGAGGATGATTTCCTTGACGAGCCTTTCCCAGATGCCGAGGACGACGATTTCGAACTTGAAACCGCACCAAAGCGTGGTGGAAAAGCAAAGGCGTCATCCACGAAGAGCAAACCTGCCAAGGCCAAACCTGTGTTAACGAAGGGTAGCAAGGCGAAAGCTGGAAAAGAGAAGGAAAAAGAGAAAGAAATTATGATCAAGGACGAACGCAAAATCCCTCCTTCTGGCATCCCATCTCTGCAGGCCTCTGAACTCTTTGTGGATAACGAGTCCTCCGCCCACCCATCGTCAGCTGTTGATCCTTCTGCCGCACCTGATCAATCCACCTTGCCACCTCCCGAACTGAAGAAGCGCAAACTCCCGACAATTAAGAAGAACAAACCACCTGCCTCAGCTGCTACTTCCTCTCAATCCCAGTCCATCGCCTCCAAGCCACCACCTTCGACCGATGATGTGACGAAGATTGGTGCAGCTGCTTCTCAGCAGCGTAAGGCAGCGGGTCTCATGGGGGCAGCAGACTTTGATTTGCGAGATAAAAGCGTGTACGCTGAACTCTTTAAAGGGGTAAGAGGGCTGTGACAACGCCTTTGCACATTTACATGATTATATTGCTCTGCAGGCTGGCGGCAGTACTCCTCGATCTGGACTCAACAGGAAAGAAAAGGAGGAAGAACGACGGAAAGAGTTGAGCAAGATGCGCGATGAAGCAAAGGCCAAACGCGCGGAAGAAGCTGTTGGTTTTTCCCCTGTCTCTTCGCGGATCTTTGTTTCTGATGCAGGCGCAGAAACATTTTTTCGATCTGCAGTCACAAGCAGACAAGATTGCTGGTTTTGAACAAAAATTCAGAGCGCCCCACAATGGTGTGGCTTTGCACCCGAACTTCCTTGCTGCCAAGTTCCGAGAGGAGTACGACAAGGAAAGGGCCCGTCTACGACATGGCAGGGAGCGAAGTCTGAGTGCCACGAAAGAGGAGGGAGAGGCTTGAGGCCTTCAGCCTGTCAGGGCTTTCATTTCTTGTATTGTTGTCTCTCGTACATTTTGCTTTCGGACACGCGACACTGTCAGCTACGCTGTAATTACATCACTGCAATATTAGAAACTTCGTGTACTCTCTGCTCGCACAGCCGACACTTCATCAGTGAAACGTCTTTCATCTTGGTTTCTGGCCAACGCCTGGGGGTGGCTTGTACGGAGAAACGAGATTTGTGGACGTCTTTGTTACCTGGTCGAAACAAATATCAAACCACTTCTTGTCTGCCTTGGGCTTGCTAGGCGTTGACTCTCCCTCGATGCTGAGCCCGGAGAGCTGTTGTTCTAGGGAGGAGGTATCTGGGAAGAATATTCGTAGTTGTAAGTGGAGCGCATTAATCACACCCAGCAGCGCCAACGAGTCCTTCCTGATTGTAGCAGGGTTCTGAGGAACATACAGCGATGCAACCAGTTCGTCGGACGCAGCCAGGAGTGCGTGTGACTGCAAAAGCAAAGCATCTAGAGCAACATTTGGAGGTTGCATGATCGGCGCAGAAGAAAGCAGATCCAGGAGGATACGCTTATGCAATAATGTGGTTAACCGCAGTATGGAGTGGACCTGACAAATGGCATGTTTAAAAAGAGCTGATTGGAAAGTAGCAGACGAGGGCTGTACATTTTTTGCGCGAGCCAGTTCGTCCTGATTCATCTTTGCTCCTGTGTCACTTAAACCAAGTTCATCCCAACCGTCGTCGTCATCATCACCCTCGAGATTGTCGCTTTCACTCCCTTCGACTCCTTCTATCATTTCAGATACCTCTCGAAGACCATCATCGAGAGCCCCTAGATCCTGTTTCCATTTTCGACAGATAGCAGATATGTTGTCCTTTGGAATCCCATTGGTTCCACGGGCTTGTGTGATGAGATCGTGAAGAGCGCCTGTACGGACTAGATAGTCTTCTCCTGCTGCGCCACTCCTTATCGACGGACCACGGGCAGCAAGGTTCAAGAAAGTCTGCACGACTGCACGCAAAGCCTCCAAAATAACCGTCGCATTATGCTGCACCTCCTTTATAAGAGTGCCCCCATGTAAGTCAGCATTCAAAAGATTGATGCAATGTGCAATGCTAGACGTGTATTTGGTTAGATCCACGATCACGGGGAGAGAAGCGGAGTAGGTGGGCGATGATGGTTTGAGCGCGAGAGCGAGTTTGGTGCTGGAGTTGTATATGAGAGAAAGGAGGGAGTCTAGGTCTTTTAGGATTACGACGAGGTCTGAGGTTTGGGGCTCAGGTTCATCTCGCTGATTTCGGGAAGCGAGTGCGGAGAGTGCAGCGGTGCATGTCTCGGACGCAGATGTCAGAGCAACGATGACTAGTAGCAACAATAATAATTCAGAGCAGCTCCCGTGAATTAGTAACGACTCACCTTTCTGCTTGTCAGTCATGTTCTGTTCAAAACGCATCTAATCAGTGCTGTATGAGAAGTACGCTTACGTAACGCTGACTGTTTTTCTTGCGTGTGCTGTAAAGCCTTGTAAAGCTCTTGTCGCAGCACTTAGCACCAGTTCCCTTCATACTCTCCAGTGCATGTCCGTGCACCTCCTGGTAAGCTAACCGTCGTCGCAATTGATACGTTACTAAACTGGTTATCTCGTAGCTACCGGGCATCCTGCGCGCCCAAGGGCGTTCAGTCGCTTCTCTGTCTCCAAAGTCATGCATATCGTTCCGCTCTTTCTCTAATTTTCGACCTGTACAACCCTACTCAAGATCTACGCTCGCATATACACCATCTCAACTAATAACCCAACCCCGGATCCAACCTCTAACTGCGCAGCCGTGTCTCCGACGCGCGCTGTCATTATTCCCTTGGTCGAAAGCATCGTCTACGCCTGCCCCCGCAGTCGTGGCGAAAGTTGCTCGTCTAGAAGCAGACGCTAACGCTAATCCAGATGATGTTGCTAAGCAGTTGTCCCTGTATCAAGTCCTTGTAGACACGCAAGTGAAAGCTGGGTATGAAGTAGTAATAACCCGTTGGGAAAGGATGTGCGAATTCGTAAATATATTTTGCATTTCACGTCAGTGGTACAACTCATCATTTATTTTGCTTTTGATAGAATTCAGCATCACCATTACTTCGGTCCGATGCGGCGTTCCAGCTGTATCTTACATCCTTGCTCAAGACTGGTCAAGAGGCATCTGTCAACTTAGCCGTTCGCCGACGCGATTCGCTCCTTGCTGCTTCAGCTGATGGTACTACTACCGCTTCAGAAACCTCACCAACCGATTCCCCTGCTACTTCTTCACATTCCCCGTCTGACGCTCCTTCAACATCATCACCGGCACCACCTCCATCCCGAAGTCAAGAGATTGCTTCCGATGTACTTGCAGGGCGCGCAGAACCTTTGCTCGCGACTTCTCGACTTGATGGTGCCCCGGCTTCCCAGAGTTCAGACATGGCAAATCTTGCAGCTGCCCTGAGTAAGGGTAATGGCGTAAGCGGTAATCCGATACATGTCACTATCAGTGAGCGTAAGTTGTCATCAACATATGCGAATACTGCATCTCACTTTACGTCTAGCGAAAGGGTCTACAATCATGCGTCTTGTGCGGTTCTTGGTTTTGACTGCCTTGGGTGGATTCTGTAAGTGCATCTCAGTTGATGAGCTTCAGATCATTAATCTCGTGTTTTCCAACAGTCATTCTTGTCATCTTGTCTGTCCTCTTGGAGAATTCTGGCCTGCTTAAACCCGTTCCTCGGCAAGCAGAGTTTGAGCCACTTCAACAGAAGACCATACGGTTTAGCGATGTTCATGGTGTTGACGAAGTAAAGGAGGTAAGCTTTGTGGTTATAAACTACCTGAAAAGACCTGGATTCACGCCCATTCAGGAACTTCACGATATCGTAGAATTTTTGAAGGATCCCACTGTCTTCGCATCTCTTGGCGGTAAACTTCCCAAGGGCGTCCTGCTAACAGGTCCTCCCGGTACCGGTAAAACGATGCTCGCCCGTGCCATCGCTGGAGAAGCCGGAGTGCCATTTTTCTTCGCATCTGGCTCCGAATTCGAGGAGATGTTTGTGGGTGTTGGTGCTAAGCGCGTTCGAGAGCTTTTTGCGATTGCCCGGAAGAGACAGCCTGCCATCATCTTCATCGATGAATTGGATGCTGTTGGTGGCAAGCGCAGTCACAGGGACCAACATTACATGAAACAGACCTTGAATCAGCTGCTCGTTGAAATGGACGGTTTCTTACAGAGTGAAGGCATTATTGTCATTGCCGCGACTAATTTCCCGGAAAGTCTAGACCTGTCAGTACTAAGCTTGGAATCCTTGGCACTGATGTCCCTGACAAATTCTCGTATAGCGCCTTGACGCGCCCGGGGCGCTTTGATAGGATCATCGCTGTGCCTTTGCCCGATATCCGCGGCCGAGTCCAACTCCTTCAACACTTCATGAAGGAGGTAGTCGCAAGTGTTGGTACGTTTTTATCTTCTGCTGTTCAGTGTAATTCTGTCACTAAATGATGATGGACTTACCGTTAGCTGTCGACCCCAAAGTGTTAGCGCGGGGTACCCCGGGGTTCTCCGGTGCCGAACTGCAAAACATGGTTAAGTGAGTGAAGCACACGCTTTTTTCGCCCTTCAGAGACTTGACACTTTAATGTCAGTCAGGCTGCCATACAAGCATCAAAAGAAGGATATAGTGAGGTCACATTAAAGCACTTTGAATGGGCCAAGGCACGCATTATTCATTTGCTGACTAATGTAGACGGCAACTTTCTAACCCTATCTCGCATCTATGTAGGATCGCATCCTTTTGGGAGCTGAGCGGAAGAGCGCGTACATTGACGAGAAAAACAAGTTGTTGACCGCTTATCACGAGGTGCGTCATGAATCTGCGTGGAAATTGCGATGTCTGATGTACGGTGGTAGGGAGGACATGCCCTGACAGCCCTATATACAGAAGGCGCTATGCCTCTCCACAAGGTTACGTGTGTTCCCCGTGGTCATGCGCTAGGTGTTGTACGTGCAGATGCACTTCAGAACTTGACGAATCACGCTGATTCTGACATTTATCAAGACTTCCCAACTTCCCGAAGATGACCGATATTCCGTAACGCAGACGGAGTTCAAAGCTACGATTGACGTTTGCATGGGCGGTCGCGTGGCCGAGGGACTTAGTGAGTTCTTCACACCCTGATCTCCCACAACTCCTGACTAGGAATTTCAGTTTATGGGACCGGGGGCCTGACAAGCGGCGCCTCATCCGATCTTCAGCATGCCACTCGTACGGCAACGGCTATGGTCAAGGTTAGCATAAATCAAATGATATCTCTTGGCGCATTACATCTCACTACTACTTGGGTTGTCAATCTGTAGAAATGGGGTTTTTCGGAAAAGGTTGGCCCAGTATTCTATAGCGACCAGGATGAAGCGATAAGCCCTGCAACGAGGGAGAAGATCGATGTGGAAATCACCAAGCGAGTAACTCCTGTTGAGGGTTGCTCTATTATGCTGACCATACTGCCGTTAGGTTACTGCAACAAGGCGAGGCGCGGGCAACCAAACTTCTGACGGAGAAGAAGGAGGAACTACATCGGGTGCGCACGTTTCTTGTTCCTGTTGCCATTCATGTCTCACTCGCTTGTCTTTGTGCGCTTGTAGCTTGCACACGCCCTAGTAGAATATGAAACTTTGGATGCCGAAGAAGTAAAAAAGGTCATTAAGGGCGAGCCAATACGGAATAACAGGGAGAAGATTTCTCACGATGAGGTCGCAGAGGTGGCGTCAGAGGAAATTCCTGCACTGACATGAGGTGCATTTACTTTTTGCACTACCATTAGACTAAGTTGGGGTTAGGACGTATAATGCATATTTGTATATCTCAGGGCTGAGTTGGAAGTACTCCTCACTTTTTATTTGGTTGTCTGTGCTTCGTTTTGAGAGCTGCAGTGTGCTCTCAATGACAAATGAAAGGCAGTCTGAAAAAAAATCGGGGACGGAAACACGTCATTTGCATCAAGTGACAAGGTGGGCTAAGTTAAGAGGATACCTCTGGCAAGCTTTACGCCGCGAGTCCTTTGGATCATTGATTGGTTTTGTACGTCAGTGGATCGTTGTTATGTGCAACTCATCATGTTCCTTGGTGTCCTCATCGCGAGTCATCGTGTCGTCTCCAATCCTCGACAACCGGACAGCGATCGTTGCTCTTTCACACAATACTTATTGCCGTCGCTATTACTATAGCATGCCCAGGCATGACTAGACGCCCATCTCGCGAAGCGTCATGGCGATGGCCCCCCTTCAGTCCCGTATATGCGTTTGGCGCCATTGATTAACCAGTTGCCAGAGCTGAAGTCGGATATGAATCGGTACGAAGGCGGCATCCTGCGACGTCACGCCACAACACGCCACGCACTGACAGATGACCTGGTTAACGAAGGTTTTGATGCTAATAGATGATGTTACCAATCACGTATTGAAACAGCAGCGGCATGCCACAAAAACTCGAGGTCAATCTATATCTAACAATAAATCCGGAGCATGCTCAGCTGATAACAACAGACAAATGGTTGCATCCTCGTAAGCTCTTCAATTCAACGTGAGTAAATTAACTTGACATTCGCGGTACCATGTGAGCAGTATTTAAATGCACATTGCGGAAGTCACTTATATGGCGAAGACGCCCCGCCATGGCTGCAGATTGAACAGAATATGGTGAGAGGGGAATATTGTTTATCTGAGCTGAATCGTGACCGCGTCAAAGATAAATTCGGGTGCCGTTTCCCGGTATAAGTTCACCGTCTAATCATGTATACTAAAAACAAGGGGCAGCTTCTCTGCCAGGCTGGTATTGGTAACGTGACACTCGCATGAATGTGGTGACTAAATTCCGTTGCAGCTTTTTGCTATTCGCGGAATGCAATGAAAGTTTTTTAAAGGTGTGTAGTCCCAACAGGGGAGGTCGTTATCACAGATATGCATTAGGTTCAAAATGATTTCCTGGTGCCGCATCGACCCCCAGAGAGAATGCAAATTTGGATGTGCCCGCACGCCACGAAATGCCGATTTCAGCGCAGGGTTTCGAAGTCGTGGAAGAACTGCCAGAGCAAAGACTATGTCATTGACGGCTTCATTTCATCGATTGGCAACTTTCTCCAAATATAGAGGGATCTAGAAAATCTACATGAGCTGTAGCCCTTGACGGCAACATGCGACTGTCATCTGATCGACCGAGGTGGGAACATCGGTGACTTGCAGGAGCACACAGAAATGTTCATGTAAATTTGGAAGTTGGGGGACACGTTGCTATCGCAAAATGAAGGAAAGTTGAAGAAGTTCTTCAGCAACAAACGACCTTCAAAATCAGTGATGATTCAGAACCTGGTTATCTGTGGTATATCCGAGTCAGGATGTTAGGATAGATGATATATTCGACAGTACTTGCAGATCATCGAGCGAGAAATTACAATCCACAGGCATCGGATAGGAGCTGGCTGCTGGGCCAACCTTGTCTCTTTAGATAATTTGTATTAGAGGTGCGAAGCCGCTAAAATGCTTCAAGCTGCTCTGACAAATCACGAGCCGGCCGCCTGGTAGGCCACCGCGACAAGGTTTGTGGACCGCGTCGTCGCTCGTAGCGTTCTGCCGCCTCAGCCCCCGACTCATTTAAATTTGACGAACGAGTCTGTCGATCTCACAAATGTCGATTTATTTATACAATTGCCTGAAATCCTGACCGCCTCCAAGCTTCAGAGAGATAAAATGGGATTTGATAATACCCAGGAAGAGAAGCTTGCCGGTAAGATCGTACCTTTTGGACGTTCCACGGAATGGATAATGGATCCACGACTTCGGGCAACAATTTCCTTGGATGACATACAAGCTCACGTCTCCATTGGCCTCGCGCTCATCGGCATGAACGTCGATCAATCACAAACAAGGTCAAAGAGAGAAATTTTCGCTCAAAGTTCGCACCGTCATCCCTGAGATTTTGAGACCCGTTCTTTTTTGCCAGAAAGCAGATGCAAAGGTCTAACCTATGGGTCAAAAATTGGTATGACACGGGAGTTGGCGGAGCTGTACCGCGAGATGAATCGTATGTAATAGTTAATTATACTGTGCGCCCTCTCGGCTTAAAAGCAGGAGCATTTGAGGGTCTCCTTGTCTCAGTTGTATACCAGTGTATACCTCAGCACCAACGACCTTCTCCTTCCCAGTTATCTGCGGTAAGCCCGAACCACCTGCCAATTAACGATACCGCCGGGAAGATCTCACGAAGTCACGAAAAGCAGTGCCTTTGGTAAACTCAAAAACCTGTCGCTTGCTTATTAGTGTTGTCCTACCTCCGCCGACGAAGGTAAGGACCCTCATTCAAACTTCTTCGCCACATCAACTGAAATAGCTTTGACATCATTTCCTTCTAGATGTGCCACAGACAGCTGCGATTCACGAAAAATACGGCGTGCGGTCATCTCACATTCCAAGGCGACACTTACATTGATTGTTTTGCACGAGACTGCAACCTCAGTACCAGTCATCCGACCCTCGTGCGGATCACCGGGGAGACCGTGCAATTGCCGTCGGTATTATGGGTAAGCCACACAACCATCATGATGGCTTTTTTGTTCCCGCGAAGCTTTGTGTCGCTTATTGTTATTCTCCCCAGCCAACCCCAGCGGCTGATCACACTAGAAGTACTTGTTCTCAACTCTAAATTTGGTTCTAGTGTTGATCCGTCATCTACTTTGTCCGCAGCTTCCGGGAACATGTCCCAAGTGCCCGCAATGACGGGATGCAACTCATCCGACATACCTTATCACTGGACGCCCGACGACAATTCGTATATATATATCACGTCTTGGATCACCTAATGTACTCTTACAGTGGTCGTCTTTCAGTTAGGTTAGGTGATTATATTCGCCACCTTAGTGGTTTTGAGGATCGCCTTCCCTAGAAATCATATCTCTATGTATGTATAGCTACACATCGAAGTCCCCCAACATGTCATCGTCAATCCCTCCGTCTCCATACTCGACATCCATGTCGTCTACCTGCTGTTGTTGCTCCATGAGTAGCGCTTGTTCCCTCTGCTTTGCTTGTGCTTTCTCAATATCTTCCAAGGTCCATAATGATACACCTGTCTGATTTTCGTTTGGATTCTGCGAGATTGTGCGCATGAAGAGCTTGGAAAGTGTTAAGGCCATATCCGTGGAGAGGTTAGAAGCAACCTCCGTGATGTATTGATTTATCCATCGGGGTAACTTGGCACGTTTGTCGGCACGGGCAAAACGCTGTCATAGTCGACAAGTTAGCCAACGATTAGTTTTCGAAAGATAGACGAACCTTGTCTGCGAACACCATGAGACCCCAATCAGTCTTACCCCGCAAGGACACGTCCGACACATTGAGCGGCGTTGCGCATGGCATCAAAACCAAGGAACTCCGACTCTCTTATCCGGTATGCATCACGCAAATACTCCAACCGTGCCTTTAATATCCGGCTTTCTGTGTATTGGTATGGCACCCTATTGCCTATGTTATCAGTTGGCTCTGATCTATCAATTGAATCACAAACCCAAACATGATCACAGCTCTCCCATAGTTGTGATCAAAATCGATACCCTCTGACACTTTGCCACGTGCGACCGACAGGAGAACAGCTCCTCGGCCATTGTCGCAAGCCTGCAATAGATCAATGAGCAACTGAACTTCTTTGTGGCATGGGCGTTTCTCACTCGGCGATAGTTTTCCAAAGCGATGCTCGTCTCGTTTGCATCTGGCGTTTCCACAAATATCAATTTGTTCTTCCAGACCTCGTTCAGAATGCCCTGAGAAGATGATAAATGAAGTTTCATCTTAAGGCATACAAATTTACCATATCATTCCAAGCAGCGACGATGGATTCCATGTAAAGGTAACTAGGGAAGAAGGCCACAATACCGTCTGGTACGATCTTGCTGTATTCGATAAGAATACTTCCGAAGTTGCGAACCACAGCAGGGTCGTTTCGGACTTCAAAACGCGAACTAATAGCGACTTGATCACTTCCTCGTGTGATGACCTTTCATTTTTCAGTGAAGAAGGGCATCAATATCGGTGTCAGGACTCACCAACGGTAGGAACGCATTGCGCGTGAGCGTCATGGGATATGTTTCTTGCACGACGGGGGTAAATTGCAGCATCTTTGGATACATGTCCAACGGAGAAATGGTTCCCGACGTAATTACGACGCTACTGAAATGCTCGAACACGGGTTTGATTGCGAGCGATGGGTCGAGGCATCTGAAATTAATGGTGAGCAGGCAATAAATTTCAGGATAGGCAACCAAACACTCACGTGAAGTGGAAGATGGGATTAGGAACGGTCGCGTTATCGGTTTCAAATGGCTCTAGAATGAGTAGAAACCCTGTAACAGAGTTAGGATTGATCCCAATGAGAATCAGTGGTCAAACCCTTTTCGTAAGTTGCAACAAGGGTTGCGAAACTTGCGACTTTCTGCAATGCTGAATGCTCATCTAGCCGATTCAATTCCAGTGTACGGATCATCGACTGTAGTCGTTCTGCACAAAATCTGATGCGGCTTAAATTAAAGAACACTGGAGGGAAGAAAGCAATACTGACCGCAGCGGTCGTCGCTCAATATAAGTGATATCTTTCAAGTGCTGTAGGAATGACAATGGCGTTTCGGCAACGACATGCAAAACGCGCATCCTGGTCTATGTAACTATCAGCGGAGTGTGCTGCATGGGTGTCGGTCTGAGCACCTTAAGATACTCCACAAATCGTTTCAAAAACGCCACAAAATGTTCGGCCTTTCTGATGTTACCTGGAATAGCTTCCTTGAGGAGGTCGTCCGGCAGAACTTTCCTGGCAATTTCAGTTGAGTGGAGGGCTGCTTTCTTTCTCGACGAACCTGGGTTAGCCATGAATGCGTCTTCGTCAGAAACGTCCGCCGCCGATTCCTGTAGCCCCTCGACAAGTTTTGCATACTCATCCTGCAGTTTGGCTGCGTCCGTTTTCTTGATTCTGAAAAAAAAAGGTTCTGAGTACCACCATCACAGTATAGTAAAAAAAACGCTAACTCGTCTATCTTTTCGCCCAATTTCACGACACTGCGAGCAGCTGAGTCTAACATCGGTCGGGTCAGGTCGATGCTCAATGACTCGATGCATACGTTGTCTGCGATGAATTATAGAAAACCCAAAGACTTATTCAACAAGGTCCTACCGATATTGTGGGCTTCGTCAAAAACAACGATGGCATCTTTTGATAGTTCTTTGGAAACTTGTTCGGCAACTTTAGGATCAAGCAGGTAGTGGAATGAGTAGATGATGACATCCACGAACGGCATCTTGGACAGTTGATTTGAATGATATGATATGATATTGACGTCACTCACCATTCGTCGAACTGTAAAGTATGGACATGTCTTAGTGTCTCGCCCGTGCTGAAGAACATCTGCTAGTGTCCATATGCCAGGCGATATTAAGGACCCAGGTTCGCCTTTACCCAGGTTCTAAGATAACTCAACACCTATGGAGCAATTGAGGTAAATTTCACTGTCTCACCTCATGCCAATCACATAATTCGACTGAACCTGGGTTCGCGCGACCTTTCTCACATGTAGCAGAATTGGTCAGGTCTCGACAACGGGCGTCGACTACCTTGCCCTTCTTCTCCTTAGAAACCTGGATAGATGGCACACCAAGAAAATGTCAGCTGTGGAACGGGCTGTGTCGTTACAAAGGGTACCTACATCTGGGTGTATGCAAAGGTTCTTCCTACTCGTGAGTCCAAGTCCCATAAAGCTTTCTTCTTTTCGTTGCTGTTCGGGCGTCTCCGCAAACTTAATCCGGTATGCCATGAGACGCTTCAGCTCGGCCAATGCTTTCTCAATCTCCGGAACCGTTCGTGAGCAATATATAAGTTTCCGTTTCGTGGGGTAAAACTAGCAAGACGTGTTCAGAAATCAGCTTCGATACGAGCTTCGACCGTACCTGTTGGTATGACACAATTAGAGACAGCAGTGAAACAGTCTTCCCTGTTCCTGAAGGCATCTCCAAAACGCAGTGCCCCTAGAGGAAAATAGTTAGCACAACAGGTCCAGGACAATATCCACGCGTGCTGTACTGTTGCGTCCAGGGTTCGCTTGAGATCACACATGTACGCATATTGTTCTGCACGCCACAGAGTCAGCGTTCAGGCATGACCGGCATTGGATGCACGAACCAGGGTAAATTCGGTCATAAGGGAAGATAATCTGAAGCAGAGGGCTTCAGCGTCAATTCTTTGCTAACATGATAATACAAACAGGTAGATTGTCGATGAAGAACTTCATGAACACTGAGCTCGCAAGTCTCAAGACGAACCAGAAATTATGAGTGTCGTTCGCGACGCGTGCACAATGTCGTGACACCGTGACGTGACTGTGACCATGAACGTCCATCGTCGTCTCAAATGTTTCTCCAGCACCACGTCGGGGCCAGGAAATACACTACGGTACCAATTTTTATTTGGAGCCTCTTAATACATTGACAGACAACTTGAGCAATTAGGACGGTACGTGATGATATAAGCTTCGTTCCTTGCGCTACTCACACTCAATCGAATTCTGTATCACAATTCACCCACCATCGCGGTGCATGCCCCATCAACTTTTTCATATAATTCGTTTGGCTATGGATAAAACGCTATTCATAAGAGTCATCTTGATTCGAGCACACAGCTAGCACATCAACGGTGTCAATTTGAATGCTCATGAGTTCGTTGTCGTAAACACCATCGTACAGAGCAATCCACTCTGAAGGCACCGAGCCTTTGAGATCGAAACATTTGCATGCCATAGTGTAGATGGCCGTCCACTCCTGAATGGGCTCATATGTTCTGGTCCGTGCGGTGTCCTCGTATTTTATGGCGGTTGGGTCGGCCGGTGCTTCTGGCCAGTGTTGCTCCGCAAACTAAATAAGCCAATCGTGAGAGACTGCATATCCGTAGTACTGAACATGAGACTGTCGTTCCGGACGGACGAGTTTGAAGGGCCGTCGTCTCGTCAAAACCCCAGTCTGCTGAGGGGTTGCGATCTTAAATGAAGGAGTTAGAAGTGGTAGGAGAAGAGGTCTACCTGTAGGGCATGCAAAAACAAGCCCCAACTCTTGAGAGGCTTGTTGAAAGTGTTATTTCCAAACGTCTCGAACAATAATCCTGCGGTGCACCAATCCAATTGATTTTTTAAGGGGACTCGTCGGGACTCGGCATATGTAGTGTTCACCAAGCCACAATCGAATCCATCCAATGGTAATGCTGTGGGCATCAATGGACGATGCAAGGTTCGGGCCCACAATTGTCAAGCATACCGAACTTTGACTAGCGGCAGGGCGGTATACAGGTTAGACCAAGTTAGACCCCATCGATGATCGATGATCGATGAAGAAAAGACATCACCCATCCCATTCACAAGGGGACTTGTGCAGAAAATGTCGTCTGCCTTCCCTGGGATTAGTCTCCCCCAGACCCAATATTATAGAATGAAGGCAGTCGTTGGTTATCATGAAGGTGCATAACTCACTAGGCCAGGAAGCCACACTCTTCCATGATAACCGAATAGCGACCAATCCGGAACCTCTGCATACTCCAAATGCTACATCCGTACGGAGCTGCTGGCCGAGCACCCCTGCACGCACGTGCACCGCTCCTAGTAGTGGCGCAGGTACAAGCTCGACGCTATATGGGCACGAATGACGAGGCGTGAATGCAGCCTGGAGAGATCGAACGAGCGTGTGAAACTTCTGAACAGTTGCTGTCTCAAGCGACTTAGATGATAGATCTCAACAAATCGAGCATCTGTGGTAGTATACGCCAGCCTGGTCACGAGCCTATCAAGCTATCTCATATTCGTCTAGGGCGTAGACTGCTGGGGAGAAGTTAGAACTAGTACGTCACTGCGTCACCCTTGGTGTTCATACTGTGCTGGGAACAAAATTGCAGTTTTCTGATGGATCAAATGATTCAAATCACCTCCTACCTGGCTCACTCCCCTAGTTATCACAGATCCACGATGCGAGTACAGCATCAAATCACCAGAATTGCGCCCGCGCATTGCCTTCTTCCTCCGAGCCGTGTCAGGGGGTCTGGTACTGCGCTGTCCTTTGGCGAATCTCACAGTCGGTTCCTTATAGCACTGAGTTGGTCCCTTCATTTCCAAAGATGACCAGATGTTATAACAGTGTTGCGCTCCCAAACAGCAGCCAAAGTCCGAACTCGCGACACAAGAAATAGCACCATGCCGTTCATCAGCAGACCCGCCAGCCACCCTTTCGTCAGGCAAATTCAACTATACAGCAGCACCCGATGGCAAAGGACATCGCATTACTCGCTGCCGTCACAGCAGCACGTCATGGTACCCGGTATGGGTGATCGCAATCAGGGACTTGGATGTTTCTAATTCGAACATGGCTTCGATGGCGTGCACTATTGCATTACACAACCTGCCAGGCTCGATCTGCTACCAAACCACCACTGTCACGTACACTGCATACGCGTCAACCCTATCCCGGAGACATAAATGAATGAGTGCGAACTCATGTGGACGCTGGCGGCAAGTTGATAGCTCCTGATTCGCCCATCAACCCCGCTAGGCCTCGTGTTTGGACCCGTGTCTCAGACTCTTGATTGCGCAAAGTGCTCCTGCACGCCACCTGTCATCTGGCCACAGCCCGACGACTATCTTTACCTTTACAGCATCTTTCTAGCTTAATCTATCAGCATGATGATCAATGGCCTTACGATGGTCTTTGTGAACCGACTCAATTGAAGCTGTAAACCGGGTTTAATATGTACTGAACCTAACCACCGTTGATCGATCGTGAGTCGCGGCAATATTAATAGTACGTCATAAGAACACATTCTACTCGCGGCACCTATTAATAATCTAAAGTTACATCGATGGTTGTAAAAACAACTGTACTGGAAGTCCGGTGCAAATATACAAGAAGGGTGATATCATCGTCAGATTGTGAAATAGTGTGTACATGAAGCACCACATTCCGAGAGCAAATCAAAATAGCATCCACTCAAATATCAGGAGAAGTGTCTTTAGTCCGCGGCAATCGCCTGGGCCGCAGACCCAAGGACTTGCTGGACAGTACTCGAGCCGGTACTACGTAGAGGTTAGTACATGTCAGAATAAAATGACTGGACTACGAACGTTGAGTAACCATCATTGGGGGACTCGCCAGTCGTTGTTGAAGGAGTGGATGACTGTCCTGGGCTACTGGGCGTAGACTGCTCTCCGGTGGTAGTAGGGGGGGAGACGGTAGTACCCGGTGCAGCTGTAAGGTTAGACTGACCCCATTGGTATTGAACTATGCCGTTGAGTCCGGCAGCAATGCCGGCTAATCAAAGATTCGTAAGGCTCGAAAAAGATACCAAGGGTGAAGAACGCACTGTTGAGCCATGTCGTGTAAGTGTCTGCTTGCTGTTGGTTGGTCACACCATAGGTTGCGTTGGAACTCGCTGGGAGAATAAATCAGACATCGAACTAAGCGTAACTTGTATCAAAAGCTTCTCACAATTGTCGGAAGCAAATGGAGCAACCGTAGAGTTGAATGGCACGAAGCTAGGAGCATTGGACTGCGTGACCAGACCAAAGCCGGTGAGTACTGCAGGTTTTCCAACGCTGAGACAGAAATCAGACATCAAGATGCATTAGACGATCACAAGACCTGCTCACGCAGTAGCACTTTGGGCCTGGTAGGTGATCCACTGGGTGCCATCTTGCTCCACGTTTTGCGAAGGCGTAAGGTTCGGGTCATCAGTACCATAGGACTGTTGGTCAGGGAATAATTGGAAAGATGAGAACCCGATATCTGGAATGTTCGAGATGTCTTGACTGTCGACGCCGTATGAACCGTCATACATTGACCCCAAACTCGGAGTCGTCTGCCTCTTGGTAGCTGTCAAACATAATCAGTCAAGAGAATGCTACTACAAGTTCCACATACCAGTCGAAACCCATCGTCCTCTTACCCGCACACCGTCTTCCACCAGAGTCCCCGCGCGTTTCGCAGCTTCTCTGTTACGACGTCTCCTCTCAGAACGTTCTCGAAGAATCTGCTCCTTGGTCACGGGAGCTACTGTGCGCTTCTTTTTTCCGGGAAGCGGTGAAGTCACAGGTGCTGGTGCTGGAGTCAGAGGGTAGAGTTTGGGACAATTTGTACACATGTACCCTCCAACTCTATATTAGTGGTCAAATGGTGCCTGGGGGATGCGAATGACATTGTAAACATACCCTGAAGAGATGAGGTGGTTTGGATCGATGCTGCGAATGTGAGAGGCTACCGTCGCATGCCAGGTCGTGATTGTTTCTGTTGTACAGCTAGCAGATGCAGGTAAGGTAGAGTTGCATCTGGATGAAGTGTGTAAAGCCGAGCGGCTCCGCAACATAAGGAGCCATTACGTACCTGGCATCATTGGCCAATTCATAGCTGAATATTGATGGACTATTTACGTAGCGGGAGACCACTTGAGTCGTGTAATTCATGAAAGACGTTAATATCGACTCGTTGGTGTAGAACTGGTCATGAGTTTCGAGGCCAAATTGGCGAACATACAGATCCATGCCACCTAAAGCCATCGTCAAAACGATGCAGGAGTTCAAAGTTCGATTAAGACCAACCGTAGTTATTAGACAGATAGTTGCGAGGAAGGGTATTATTAGTGCCAGGTGTGACATCAAAGGCGGTGCTATTGATAGGAGGCACCGTCGAGTTCAAGAGCGGCAAAGGGTACCAGTTGTTCGTGAGAGATAGAATGACATATAGGCCTTGCTGCTCGGCCATCTGAATGACTGTATCGAGCTTTTGGAGGCCATTCGACCCAGTGTTGACGGAGACGGTACTATTGCGAACAAGCTGGAACCAAGTGCCATTCACAGGAATAGTGTCCACATCTGACCGTAATGGATTGTCATCGGTTACATCGAAGGTATTTAACAGCGAAATATACCATTGAATGCCCATAATCTGACGACCTTGATGCCAAGAGCTGATATGTTCGCAAGCGAGTTCCATATATCCTCGTTCGTGTTTAGCGTAGGCAGCCAATAAGCATTAGTACCGATGTACTTGAAGGCACTGATAGAAACTAATCAGTACGAGATCAGTAGTTCAACAGATATTGATTCATACCTCCCATTCACCACGAAGTCAGAGCCACTGGTGCTCACAAAGGTACTGGAATCCCTTCTAGCAGTAGTCTGTGATGGGGTAGTAGCTACCGCGGAGGCCAAAAGGGTGCTGAAGAACAATGACACCCAGGGGAGGAAGTTCATGATGGCGCTTACTATACCCACCAGAGGCGACCCGATAGAAAAGGAGAGGCGAGGAATCCAAATGATGCATGCATGCTATAAGTAGGGGAGACCAGCTGACCCTGGTTCAGGTGAAGCTTCTACGCGTGCCTGACAGGAAGGCGCGCCGTTTCAAGCGAGAACATGTGTGACGGTGCTGTCCGATTTAAATTGAACCGGGCGTCAATGCCGGTATTCAATTCTTGAACGCGAATGGGATGACAGGGCATGTGGTGCCAAGAAGTATTTTCTTCTATTCACTCTTAGAGCAAATGGAGTCCTAGCTGCGTCCATAACCTGGTTCCCAGAGACATTCATGGTGATGCGGCAGAATAGACATGCGTCGGAAAAGAACGGGAAGAAACATTCAGGATGTTTCAATGCTGCGATCTTGGAGTGATCTTGGCATCAAGGAAGAGGCATTACCGTGACCTGGCATTGCATTTTCACGAGGTCGGCTGACACAGCCGATTCAATTGACCTACTGCGATCATCATGTACGGATATTTCTCTAGCACGTACGCGTGTGTACCGTATAATATAATACACAACATATTTATGTAGCATTTTACGCTGACGGGCGGCTCTAGTACAGACGGTAACCTTTCTCTGGAGGGAGCGGCGAGAGCCAGTTAACGCCGTATAATAACATACCACGTACATGATAAGTAGGAGGTCTTGATCTTTTCTGCATACTTCAGATTAAGTAGTATATAATACGATCGTAAGCACTGATTGACTTAAGTAGGAAAAAGGGCGCGACCAGTCACGTGAGAGATCATCGACATCATTTCTAGGCAAGACAGAGTTGCATGTTCAATCCTGCTCATGTGTTCCTAACTTGCAGCTTCCCGTACCAACGACACACTGAGCACTAGCGCTAACCGACCGAGCCTCTCGTCAAGATAGTCATATCTAAAACAATATCCGAAAACACGTTCCCGCAACCTTCCGAAGGCTTCTGCTGTTGAACAAACAGCCTCAATGTTCAGAGCACTTACAAACTTGCCTGCTCGCCCGTTGCGTATCTATGCACCCCTAGTGCTACGAAATTTTCGGCTCAAATCACAGAGTACGAGCAATCAACCCACGTCCTGGCGAAAAGATGCAGGCGTGGACCAACCCAATGTGCTCATAGAGGACCCATTCACCCGGTCGACATTATTCACTCTGGACTTTTTCAAGCGCCTGGCGAAGTTTTCTCTTGTGGGTATTCTTGCACTCGGGATTACGGGCTGCACGGCATTTGAAGGTATACACATGTGGGTGGAGAACGTCGAGCTCGCATGCGACCAAGATAGCGAGGTGCGCAGGTGGGAGTGGGATCACGAGGCTGAGAAATGGTCAGGCGGGGAGCTAGGTGGGACGGACTCGGCACTGGGATTCAAAGGAAGACATGCCGTTCGCAGTGCATGGATCGCAGAGAACTGGGGAACGGGCTCGGGAGCGATCATCATCCGCTCAAATACATCTTCGGGACGAGGCTCACAGGGTGCAGGTAGTCTCAACGTCATAGAGGCTCGCCTAGAGGTTGCCCAGAATTTTATGGCTCTTGCCATCAGCATTGCCGAACGCAAGATGTCATCGGGAAAGTTACGCCCACAAACTATGGGTGAGCTACTCGCCCGCCACGCTTCTATTCTCGAGCGTATGGGGACGAGGGATGCACTTCTACAGTCCCGGGCCCAATATGAGCGAGTGTGGGCTGGATTGCCTGTCAAGGGCACAGATGCTGCACGGGTTGCATTGAAGCTCGGGGACCTTGAGCATCGCCTCGGGGACTTCGAAGACGCACTCGCATGGTGGACGCGGACCATCAACCTCACCCAGGGCACTCAGCAAGCGGATCTCTCCGCTCCACGGTTAACCCGGACCGTCCCTTCATCTCCGTCTGCGCAACGCACGCTTGCGTCCACGTTGGTATCACTTTCCGCCTACTACTCCACAACTGGCAACCTCAAGCAAGCACATCAATTACAGGAGTCCGGACTTGATCTCCTACGCTCCATTCCGTCTCCTTCCAGGATTTCAGCAGCATCTCCGCCGCAGGCATTGCATTCACTATTCCTACTTCACAGATCGTCTCTGCTTTCTATTCATCTCGCGGAAGTTCTCTACGCCCTTCGCGCAGCACCTGAACAGTCCATACAGTGGCTCACGCGAGCTGCAGAATCATCCGAGCGAGTTGCTCTTGCCCTTGCAGGTCTCCCATTCACCCATCCTGATGCACCAGGCTCATCAATTCCTCATCCGCCCGCCTCAGAAGCATCCCTTATTCCCGTGTATGTAAAATCAACTACAATGCGAAAACCAGCAAAAAGCCTCCTCCGCGATGCTCGCCGGACGGCTGCTGAAGCCTGGAATCTTATGGGTATACTGAGGGAGGGCGAGAAGGATGACGGAGCAGAACGCGCGCTCGAATGTTATGAACGCGCTCTTGGGTGGGCGGGTGTCGCTGCAGATCTTTCTGGCGGTATTGGTGAGCCTGGGGAAGGCACGCCAGAAGCAGAGTGGAAGGTACTTTGGAACAATTATGTTCGTGTGCGCGAGGCGATACGAAAGCAAGCGAAACATTGAGCCCGAGCACTATCAGATTCATCCTGTGCTCTTGTTGTACTAGTTTGCAGGGCCATTTCATGTATCTTATCTGCATTCTATTACTCCCATTCAAAACCAATTACGTCTCAGTGATATATGTGATGATTATGAGTTGATCATGGTCAAGTGATGTTTATTATTGCGCCAGCGGTAGGTGGGCGGTCGGACCAGCTCATGTTGAGTTCATGCACTAAAATCAACGCGAGCCGGCATGCAATTATCATAGCGGCGCGGGGCGCGTATTCTCCGTTTTCGATTCTCCCCTCATTCAAGGTCATCCGGCTGCCACCTCAACTTGAAGTACCTATGGATCGACGATAAGGTCGCAGTGATCTACTTTGATTCGAAACCGACACACGCAAAAGCGAGGATACAAGTACAAAAATCATACAGGCCTGCACGGCATACCCCAGTGTACTTCTGATGATCGATCATCATGATTAGATCAAGGCCGGTGTGCAAATTATTACCCACTGCTCGGTAGCAATCAATATTAACATCTCCCATGCTCGCCTATGCATGTGATCATGCATCATCGGGTCTAGCTGTGGATGTCGACATTGCATGTACATGTTCTGGATTGTTCTGCAGCTGATATCACTTTCCTGTCGTAGTACCCAACCTTTGCATGATGTTCCGTGGTGTAAAGGTCGCTCCTACATCACACTTTCAAACGTGGGATTGATGCCTCTTTCACCTACAAAAGATCGTGAACGAAAGCGGCCGAGGCTCTCGTTCGGATCCTATACACGCGGAGTGGGAAATGTATCTCCTGGTATCTCCGTCACCGATTTCCGCATCCATTTAGTGTGTCACAGCGTTCGTCTGCGTTCAAGTTCGTCCGCGTCGTCGTGTTCGAACTGTCCTTTGAAGAGATGGGCGCAAGCACGTTCATCCCTTGACTGCACACGACGTAGTCCACGGATTCTTGCCGTCTACCATTACTTACGCCCCCTCCGCCACCGGCCTCCAGGGCGTCGCTCTGGAATCATCTGATGCCTTTCATGCCTACCCTATTTTTTTAAATAGAGACGGGAATTCTTGCATGCGATATGTGTCAAAGCCATCTAAAGATACGTGATTACCGGTTTCCAAGCCGCACGTATCCTCAGATCACGGAGAGGTTCGACTAAGCGGCATCTAGGCATACCTATCGCACGTAAGGCTTGCTAATTTCAGAAGTTTCTTGGTGAACGCGATGATTTCCAGCGCTGGCGGATGACGCGCTTCTACAAATTCCTGCAAAATGGTATCATTTACCTACCGTTAGTGACGTAGAAGGTACTGGGTCCGAGGACCAACTCATCAACTTTGGTGGCGAGATAAAGATTAGGGGGCGGTGTTTGACATCCGTGAGTGCTCGATCGAGCTCGGTGACTAGTGAACATGCGGACAACTTACTTGTTGACTATGTTATTGTAAGTAAGCACCGCCTCGTACCCAACTTCCGCGAACTATGGTTTCCGCAGCTGCAGACCGTTTCTTGGCCGACAAGGCTCCTCCAATCTGCCATGTCGAGGTTGCAAAGTCATTCTCACAACTCACGTATGTATACTACGTCAGTTGCAAGAGGCTGGTTGTTGAATATTGTGCAGACCCAGGGAGAAGCTCTACGCTCATTACGTTGGACAAGCGTCATGGGCAGGCGCTCGGATCATCCAAGAACAGTGGACTTCCTACGCGCTGAGGCTCTATGATCTCCTCATCCTCACCTTCAGCACCGGTGGAAATTTGGCCAATCTGGACGCACTCAGCGAAAAATCTGGTCTTTCTTCTCAAGATTTCGAGCAAGTACTGCAATATTCTTCCCAGGCAAGCAACCCTCAGCCAGGTCATGTACTTCGTGCAATTGGCTCCTTTAAAAGGTTTTGCATGATTTGGTGAACTACAAGAGTTTCGTGTTTACAAAGATCGTACCTCGCGTTTCCGAAGAAAAATTCGCCGCTGTGGTCGAGAAGTCAGCCAATGCAATCCCGTTGTGGAATGCGGTGAATTGCTAGATGCAAATCGATGACCAAAGCTAACGTACTAATCCAACCAGTTGAAAGATCATATCTATGCACTGTCGCCTGAGAACTCCCTCTCCATCGGCAAACCAAAGGATGGGCATATCTCCAACTATTACCTCGGTCAAACTATCACGGATGAGGAGGTCGCAGCCGTCCAAGCTGCCACTGAGAGGATCGGAGTCGACGTGTTGAACACCCGGTAAATAAGTTAGTATGCGCAGAAGTCGTTGCCCTCTACCGTGAGTTTTGCTATCTCTTGAAGTTGTACGATTACTAAACCCGCGTCGCTTTCAGTCGCAAGCAACCTGGCGATCCTCAAGACTTTCGGCGCGATTCCACACCTCTCACTGATTGTACTACTTGCTGACACCTCCAACCGATAAGAAGACTTGCAACGATATCGTTTATATTACTTTCCTGCAAACGGCACGCGCAGGGTTACGTGCTCTTGAGTTCTATGACCCTACAATGAAGAAGCATGGACAGGTGCACATGCAAGCTCGGTGAGTCCGCCTCTTCCAAGTGACATGAAATCTGACTGTCTTGGCACAGCCTTGAATCGCACAGCACATGATTAAGGAAGGCCTAGTAACCCTTGAAGAGGTCCGTGGTGCAGATATTTTGCTAGAGAACCTGTACATTCGCGTCAGTTTCTTTGCACTCCACCGTCAGACCAGAGCGCCTAGCTCATACCTTTTGACCAGCTTGACCGCCAAAAATCCCTGATCCATGGACGCGCTGTTGCAGGAAAGCTTTTCATCGACCTCCGAGTCCAGAGGAGCACAGCTGATGGTGCCGGAACACGGGACTTCTACACAAATCTCACCACGCCTCTTCAAGGATGGGAGAGCGAGATTCGGGACGTCGTTCTCAAGAAGAAACTGGTGCGTGCTGATCTTGGAATGAAATAATGTACCTCATGGTTCTGTAGCCTCGCAAGATGATGCTGCAACCCAACACTGTCGTTGTGAATGGTCAAGTAGAGCTGAAAGAATATCCCTTGACACCCGCCGGTATGATCGAGAGCTACATTGAAAGACGATTATAGTCGATGAGCCTTAATTGTATGTAATAACATCTACCACGTTTGTGGACGGTATAATGTAGCATATGTATTAAGTGATGTGTATCAAATGAACCTGTGCTTAACTTCCGAAGAGCTACTACCTGATTAATGACGCGTTTGAGGTCACGTGTTTTCAAAATACAGCTGCTCGCCGATCTCCTTCCCGTTTACGATGATCGACGACCTTGGTTCATGGTCGTCGCCAGTACCTCGCCTAGTTATGCGCAAACGCGTTTATAGACGTTCATCCCTTGGCTGCACATGACAGAGTTCGCGAAATTCTTGCCGAGTCTACCATTGCTGACGCCCACTCCTCAACCGGTATAAGTCACCCCCAGTGCGTCGCTCGGAAATTATCTGATGCTTTCATGTCTATCCTATTTTCAAAAATAGAGATGGGAATTTGTGTGTGTGGTATACAAATTAGATACAAAATGCGTTGACCAAGCCATCCAAAGATCCGCGATTACCGTCTTCCAAGCCCACTCAGGCCCCATGCAATATTCGACCTGCACGAAATCAAATCTGCCCAATATTCTCAGCATCATATCGCGGATAGACGCCCCACTGAGCGGCATCCACCAAGCATATCTATCGTAAGTAAGGCTTGCGAGTTTCAGAAGTTTCTTGGTGAAGCCGATGATTTCCAGCGCTCGTGCGTGACGCGCCGCTGCAAATTCCTTCAAAATGGTATCATCCACATCCGGATTCTCTGCAGACGCTTGAATGTGTTTTGTAACAGCCTCTGCAAGGAAAATAGCGTCCCTGATAGCCAAGTTCATGCCCTGGCCACCTGCAGGTGAATGTATATGGGCTGCGTCACCGACTAGGAGAATAGCAGCGCCAAGACGCGTGAAGGTGCGGTCAGCGATGGCTGAATGGGTTCTGAAACGTGTCGACCAGACCAGCTGGTCGATCTTAACAGGTGTCGGATTGAGAGATGGATTCGATGTTATACACGTTGGGCCGTATGTGTCGATCAGATCCTGGATGTACTCCTTCGGTGGCGCATGGGGTGGCTGTCCTTTCTTCACCGGTACGGCACAACCTACGCGGAAGATGGATTTTGTAATGGGCTTTCCATCTCGTGTCAGCTCGGCATTGAAATGGTTGCCGAATGGTGTGAGCATGAAGAAACTGTCTGTGGAAACTGTGCCATTGAGGTGGCCCTCGATGGTCAGTGGACCAACAGGTTCAGGCTCGAACGTAACATCTGCCGCGACCATTTGTTCCAATACGTTATTGACCAGGTTTGGGCCTGCTGAGTCAGAGAACCCTATACCGGCGATGGTACGGATCTGGAGATGATCGTTAGACAATTTACAAAGCTAAGCTAGCGGGCACTGGTCTCACAACTGAGCGGGCGCCATCTGCACCGATGATATATCTAGCTCTGACGACTTGACCATCCTCAAAGGAGACGTCGGTGATGCGAGGATCCTCCTCATTCTGTTTCATTCCAACTACCCTGTGTGGACGCTGCACTTGAATCCCAAGGCTCTGCAGCTTCTGCCCAAGCACAAGCTCCGTCACATTTTGAGGGGTGAAGAGTGCGTATGGGTAGGCGGAATGTTTCTTTAGAGGGTCAAATCTGGCCTCAAAGATCTGCGAACTGCGAGATGTAATTCGGATGCCTTTCCCCTTGATGGCTTGAGACAGTACGCCATCTGCTGCATCGATGCTGGCTAAAGCCTATGATCATAAGGTCATCAGTGGGCCTTCTTATGAACGCTCGGGTGGCAGCGTACCTCAATGGTTGCAGAGTGTATGGTAATAGCCCGCGATGCATTCTGTCCTTCGACTATGGCATCGACGATGACGAAATCACGACACCCGTGGTGGGCGAGAGAAAGTGCAGCTGTGAGACCAGCGGGGCCTGCGCCGACAATAAGCACGGTGACGTTCTCAGGTAGAGACATTGTCTTGAGGAGTAAGAATGATAAAGTGATAGAGACGATGAGTTAGCTTCAGATGGCTCTTGCACCTGATATTTGAGGCTACCCATAATCAGGTTCTGACGATTCGTTGTGAAGAATGATTTACTGTTTCGCGCACTTGGTCGGCCGCTAAACGGACATGGATTACAAGGCAGCATCCTGCACGGACTGCGACTGTGGGTAAATGTGTGGTCCATGAGCAACTTGGAGTGACAGAAATTGTCCGGTCCTGGCGGACTCAATGACTCGTGAGTTTGGACTGGGTCCCATGTGCCAAGGGACTCATGTACAATGAAGGACTAAAGTGCTGCGACGGAGGGCAACGTCATACAAGTTATCCCACACATGGGTCCCTGCCGAAGTTTGCGTCCGTTTCGCGCGATGAAGCCAGGACGCTTATATTCCCAGATGAGTCACTACCGCAGAAATTACGGACCGGCTCGTCAACTTCAGTCAATCGATGTTGGTCGACCCATGGGTTTGCGATCAGTGAGCGTTTGAGTCCCCATGGCTGGACACGCGTCGGAGTGGCGGACAGCTCATCGACATGGTGTAAGTAAGTAGGGGTACAATGCTCGGAAATGTCCGTTCAGTCAATGTTGTCGGGATTCGGGACAGGAAAGTTGCATAACCACTTCCACCTCAACATTTATTTGTGAGATTGTACGATCATCTGCAGTACCTTGCATTCTCCCAGACTTACTGTCTGAGTACTCCTTTATTTGTGTCACGGGCCAAGTATTCAGGATGTCCACCTCTCCTGCTGCTGTTCCGACTACCCCAAGTCTTCACACGGGGGAGTCTTATCAAGAGAAGGCTTGGAGAAAATTCAAGGAGCAACCATTAGTCCCTGTCGGTGCGCATGAAGAAATGTTGTTGCCAAATTATATGGTTGTGTTGACTTTCTGCATTGTCCCAGGTACACTTGTGACGTGTGGTGCACTGATAATGGCTACGGTCAAAATGAGACGCGGCGACTCCCAATCTCTGAATAATTGGCTACGTGTTCGCGTCATCGCTCAAGGTGCAACCATCGCCGCTGTTTGTGCAGGAACCTATGTACTGGGTTCAACTGTCGGCGACGAAACGAAAGAGACGAGACAACTCGACGAGATACAGGCAAATAGAGAAGCTCGTGCCGGCAGGGAGCGAAAGGAGTTCGAGGACCGCCTCAAAGTTGCGGAGAGGCAGTGGAAAGAGACTCAAGATGCTCTGTCAGGGAAGGACTTAAACACGAATATTGCTAAGGGTGGCTCGACCTCCAAAGCATCGCCATCCATTCAAGGCCAAATGTCTCAGAGTTCTTCGTCACAGTCTGGCGCAAGTTGGTGGAGGTTCGGGTGGCCTTGGGGCGGATCCTCAGCTTCCCGAAGTACTTCATGAAACGACAAGAAACCTTCGTGATACACAACTTTCCGAGCTAGAGGTCATTCTCTTCCACGCATCATGATACAGCCGTTACGAGGCAAATCCAACAAACTTGCATTTCACTGTTCAGTAAGAAAACGGCATGACGTTGAAGCTTCGACGGGTGACCGGCAACAATCAACATTCAAAGTCATGTCATCTTCCTACTGTTGTCCATATGATACTGGTGGTTACCATTAATCTGCGAAGCGCGGTGAACATGATCTCTATTCTGCTTTCATTATCCACACCTAGTATCTGGTGGTATCTTGGCTCACGTATCTCCTCGGGTACGCATGTCACTCTGTTCCTCAACTGCCAGCCGCCAACCACCGTACAACTGATTCACGACTGCACACCGTCTTAATACTGAAAGCTCCTTCACAGCCTCATTATATGCCTGTGAAAGCTTGACGGGATCTTGTTCCGTCTGAGGCAATCACGTCAGAATACTACCCCTTGTAGCATCATGGAGTCAAAACGTACTTGCATCCCACGGAATGTGTCCTTCGTCCTTTGAACGAAGTAGTTGCGAAAGTTATATGAACGGAATGATTTCGTTGTCCGTAATGTGGAGGCATAGAGACCCAAGACGGCCTTGCGAGAAGGTGGGGTCACCATCGTTTGGATACAGAAAGATGAGAGATGTTAGGTTCGCTGGGGCGGCCGGTTTGCCCTCCCGTTCGATAAATTCCCACACAACACAGTGCACGTGATGGGCAGCACGGTGGGGGTAAAAAGATCTGAAAACGGGAGGTAAGCCGGTGCTTCTGGTTTCCTATCGCTAAAACGTCCGAGATATAGCTACTTCATATCACTGCCTTTTGCGTAACGTAGGACGACGTCCAATTACGAGTTAATATAGCAGCCTGGCAGGAAGCGTATCTAAGAACTCGTGACGATACACTTCTATGCAAATTTGAGCCAGTGTAATAAGCCCGGTGGCTTACCTGAGTTCCCATAATCAGCATAAATACTGTCCGAGATAATGAAACATGAGCTTTCATTATCACTGCTGCCTTTTGGCGTAACGGTTAGGGACGACAGTCTTGACTACTTACAGCCAGCTTGTCTCGGCCATGACTTCTCAGCGAGACAGAATACTTCGGGTCCGTCGAGGCGTCTCTCTCGCCGTCTACATAATTTGCTGCGCCAGAAAAAAGTGGAGCAAGCTCATATGGCGTCGACGTGAATTGACGGGATCAAACACTCCGTCCTTACGATATCAATGCCGGTGCTGTCTCCCTTCATGGCCTTCGCTTGCTCTTTTCACGGTATCGTGGGCATTGAGAATGCCACACCCTATGCTCTGGATAAAAGATGGTTTTGGAAGATGGATGCCCTCTCGACGCAGATGACTCCACTGGTGATCTCCCTGTCTTTGTTTTGCATGTACACAACTTACTGAGGCTTACTAGTACTATCGAGTCTGCAGACGTAGAACCAAGTTTTGACCAAGTTGCAACGTTCAACATTTCCTCGTCAAAGCAGGTCAGGTGTTTTGCAGTGTGCAGTGTACACAACTTATTGATAGCAAGTTCCCGCATGGATGGTACATGAAAGTTCTCTTCGAGGTTCGTCTACGGATATGCATTTTTGGGCTTCACCTGTCGTCTGACCTGTGTCTACTGATCTGGCAGCGATCTTGACCGTGCACAGGCTGATGGGGCCGCACATACTAATTCGACTCTACCTATGAGACTCGAGACCCTGAATCAAGCGAGTATTTGTCAATATGCACAAGTGTGTTTGACCTTGTACTGTTGCAGGCCTAGCTAATTTTATCATCGTAGTACCTTTTCCCATCCCCTGGACAAGCCTGTAAAACTTCGCCCACCGGTGCCCTGATCCCACGTCTTCTCGCTATCACTACAGAGCACTCGCTTTGCAGCGCCATGATGCAGCAGTAACGATCCAAAGGCTGGATATGTAGCTTACGTAGTTTTTCAAGGATGAACCCCAGGCGTTTACACACGATGGTGAGTTGTGTCATGACATGTTATTAATCTGTCTAACAGCTCGTTGAAGGGATGATTGTTGTTATGCGGTATAGCGTCTCCCAGATAGGTATACAAAGGGTATAACACACTTGAGCATGCTCAACATGCATACATTGTAGCTTTTGCGCTTGGATATGTAAGTACTGTGTGCCGTATCATCAATAGACGTCCTCAGAATATGTGTGGTGCTCAGCTAATGCTACCCTGGACTGCGTCAGCACGGTACTATATCACCTTCGCATTGATGCAGCACAACCCTTGGGACCGCAAATGACAGCGCTTATCTCGAGGGGTGACATCGTATTGACAACTTCGCGGTGGTATGTGGTATTCAAAAGTCGTCAGCCAGGCGTCTACCCCTTCTGGTAGGTGACTCCTAGTTCGCCATCTTATGCAGCCCTGAAGTCCTTGATTGAATAGGTTTCAAGCCGGGAAGGAGGTGTCTATGGCCAGTGAAACTATATACTATAGCTACCCGTCTCGTGAGGAGGCCATTGCGGCGTTTCAGGGAGCGCAACAGCAGGGTCAGGTAGAGTATCGTGTCTGACGGGTATATCTTGTATGATGTTACTGGATGAATCTATGCTTCGTTGCTGTATCGAAGGTCAGTCAGTCTTGAATCCGATTACAGAACTGTGTAAGTTGTCGGATTGACTTGCAAGCTGTAGGAGTGATAGATCACAATTTGTAGCTCTGGGCTGATAAAAAGTCATCAAAAGTTATATGGTGTCCGCGTGTATCCCGGATTTTCGAAGTTAAGCCAGCATCCCGGCAGTCAAGAGCGAGAAAAAGAAGCGCAGCCAGGAGCTGAACAGCAGTTTCCCATACAAAATATGATTGCAAACCGGTAGATATTGTAGGAAGCCTCACACGTATCATGTAGAAAGTAATTGTCGAACACGATTCAAAACAAATTGAGTTGTTGGGTTGTGAGAGGCATACAAAGGGTAATTACTGTATTTCGAACACGACTGAATTCCATCCCCAAAAATGATCAATCATCTCCTCCCCAGCCCACTCATCGCCCACGCCATCTTTGCCTGCATGAAGCCAAACTTCCCGCCAAGCCACAACACCCAGTCCCGCACTGTAGTAGCCGAGATCGGAAACACCCACGATATCTTCTTATCTTGTGTCCCCATAACTGAAAGTAGTGTCTTTGTAAACGCAATCACTTCCAATGCGCGTTTATGCCTCTCCTCCGCGAATTCGCGCAAGATATAATCAGTGTCGGTATTGGAAGGTTGTGAGGCAGCCGCGTTTATGTGCTTCGTAAGAGCATCTCCAAGAAACACTGCGTCACGGATGCCTAGGTTCATGCCCTGACCGCCGGCAGGAGAGTGGATGTGCGCCGCATCTCCAACGAGAAGGATGATGCCACCGCGTTTTGTGGCGGTGTCATCAGGCGCAACGGTAGCACCCTCGAGCTCGTCTCCACCAAGGCGAGTGAATGCCTTGTCGGCGATCGCAGAATGTGTGCGGAACCGAGTTGACCATATAACTTCCTTGATGCGGACTGGCGTGGAGGCGGGATTAACTGAAGCGCCTGATGAGAGGATCGTGGGCCCAAATCGACTAATGAGATTCTGTATATAATCCTTGCTTGGTGAACGAGGAATCTCCCCATCCACCACAGGAACGCCTGAGCCAATGCGGTATATTTGACCCTCGACTTCCTGGCCGTTCTTAGCAAGCAATTCGCTAAACGAAGTCGGCATAGGAATGGAAAAGAAGAAGCTTTCTGGTGACATGGTGCCTATGAATCCGAAGTCGTCGTCGTTTATGCCTTCGCATACAACGTCCGCAAGGACCATTTGAGTCAGGTTGTTGGTCCTTTCACCCTGCTCGTCAGTCTTGGGGTCCGAAAAGCCGATACCAGCCATCTGACGCACCTGTCAGCGGCAAAGAAGGAAAGAATACATCAAAGTGAGTAGTAAAAGTTACTCTATGAGAAGAGACTTACAACAGAACGAGCGCCATCTGCACCGATGACATACTTCGCGGTGATGATCTTCCCATCTTCGAACGTGACATCAGTAAGATTGTCATCCTTCTTGTTCCTCCTCAAGGAGGTGACTTTGCATGGCCGGTGAACGGTCACGCCATAGCCTTTGACTTTCTCGCCGAGAATATACTCGGTAAGATTCTGTGGGATGATGAGGGCATATGGGTGACGGGTGTATTTGTCGAGAGCCGAGAAGTTGGTGGAAGCAAGTTGTGATGCGCGGTTGCCAATATTGACACTCCTGACTTTGGTTCCCTTCGCCACAATCTCTTCTCCGCTATTTATGGTGTCTAGCGCCTAAGTATGTATCATGACCGTGAACTCCTATAGGCGAGTATGCAGGTGTACCTCTAACGTTGCAGCATGAATGACCAGAGCGCGTGAGGTGTTCTCACCTTGCTCGACAGCATCCACAACGACAAAATCCTTGAAGCCATGATGTATGAGAGAAAGCACCGCAACAAGACCAGAGGGTCCCGCGCCAACGATCAAGACAGTTGTACTGTTTGGTATAGTAGTCATGGCGGCCAAACGGGAAGGGACTCGTGATGCAAAGAGCGACTCAGTGACTCCCTTTTATGCTGACCGAAAGACGCGCATAGGTGCGGCAGCTGCGAGGGCAGCGCACGAACAAGTCTTCTATTAAGTGAAGATAGAAGTTCTATCGGTAGTACAGTAATACAGCGGCATTTGCGTTTGCAAATTTCATGCACTCACCTGCAACACAACATTAACGAAAATCGGCTTGGGCGATGCTTCGTAGTCTCAAATTTTGAAGCACATCAGATAAGTCGTTGTTGCACGATGAATGTTCACTAAATTTGAGCCCTTATCACCTGCACACCAGTCATTAATATTTGCGTCGACTCGAAAATGGTAAATTTAAACGAACCTCTGCGATCAGTTCGCATTACGAAATTACTAATTGATGACAGATGCTCAATGACAATGCCTAACAGTTGTCCTCAACGTGCGAGCTTTGAGATGGACTGTGCATGCTTGGCCATGGTGAGATGTGAGTGAAGTTGATTGAAAGGCATTCTCATTCATTAGTGGTAGTCAGAGTGAACGATTTTCAGGCGATTCAGCGTTCGATTACGAGATGATTCGAAATGCGAAAATCGTGTGAAAATCGCCAGTTACTTTGAACACCGTGAGCGACGCGCGAGCTTGCGAGTACAGACCTTATTTGTATTCTATGTAAGTCCGAGGCACGAGGATGTAAGCCGACTGCTTGGAAAATGGGTCATGGCAAGGGGTCGCCGAGCCGCAGGCTCGGCGGGGAACTTTCCAGGGGTCGAGTTTCGGGGGTCGCAAAACCATACCAGGGGTAGAGGGTTCGCGGTGCGTTTCAACACGCGGAATCTTCATTTTTACTTCACTGACAACACTGACAACAGAGGACAGTTTTTTCCAAGGTGAGTCTGTACATGTAAACAACTACTGTGGTTCTACTAGAGCCAGAGTCGGCGTCAGTTTACGCATGTCCAATTCTTTCCGAAGAACAGGTGCGTCGCAACATTCCTCCGAGATTCGATCATTTATTAGACACCTTACTTTAACCCAGGGACAATATTGTAGCTAGCTGCCGAGCTAGTAGCACCGTGGGCACCGTGATTTTTTTCTGTTGCCTTCAATCGGCATTATATTGACTGATTCAAGTAGTTTGTATACACAGTACGTACCATACTTACAACATCAGACCGAGTTCACCGAGCTCATTCACCTGCTGCACGCCTTCCAATCTCAACCTCAGCACATTCTAGCACAGCCTCATGCATGCTCTTCACTACTTCCTCGGCATCTTTGAAGGTGCGCACATGCTGATACACCTGTTGTACCATTTTCATCTGAAACCCTGCCCTGTCTGCAAGCCTTTTCACTTGCTCATCAAACCCGAGTTGGGCAAAATCCCCAATGTCGCAAACATGAATATCGGGATTGAAGATAGCAATGAGTTCTGAATCCGAGCCCGCACCAGTAGTGGTAGTTTCATTGAACTGTTTCTCTTGCGAGGCATTGTTTGCCTGAGCCGTGGACTGGGCAGTTTTATCATTTTGGGCTTGGGCCTCCTCTGTCCGGGCTAGGTATTGGGATGAGGGGCGGTGAAGATGTACAGGCATTATGTAGTAGTATACACTAGTTGTTTGTTTAGTAGAATTAACTTTTGAAATAACAGTCGGCACACCCTGAAAGCAGTGCAGTGAATATCAGCAATATTATGAGTTCTTGATGGCGACTTCGTGGTAGCCACCACAATATTATGAGTTGGATCAAATCAATTGAACTAGGACACACAGTGACACACTGCAAGAGTCGCAAAGGTGATAGTAGTAAAGTATACAGTCTAGACCCCTAAATTGTGGCTCCTTCTCCATACCACAAGCTTTAGTCACCAACACTTGGTACTTCGGCAGACATGTCGGTCTTCGAGCCCAAAGTAATACTAGCCCTCCTCAAGAACTCAACAGCCGTCCCACCACTCGAGAAAAATTCATTTGAGAAGAACTGGATGAAAAATGCAAGTCCAAGTCTGCCAATGTGCCAAGACACAAAAAAACACACTGTGCTGATGCAACACGTCATTTGCAGGTAGAAAGACGTGTTAATGCATGGAAAGACTCATGGAACCACAAATGGAATCTGCAGCCAGAGTTTCAGCTCAGGTGGGAGGCTGAGGTCATTGAATATGTGCAGTTTGTGTGGGAGAAAACCCACCCATGATCGAAGAAGAATGAGCCAAGCAGACTGGCCTTCAATGTTCCTTTGCTTGGTCCTCAATTTCTGCCGCCAACTTATCTGCATGTCCATAAGCATCCAGGTGAAGGAGTCATCAAGCCAGTTGTACAATACCTCAAGCCTCTCAACATCATCCATCCATTTTACTTCCGACACCTTGCGCAATGCCCTCGATGCAGTTCCACTGATGACACAGTTTGGGAGGGTTGGACCAGCACAGGAGCAAGAGAGCTCCATGGCCTTTACTGCGAGGAGCTTGCACTAGGCACCCAGTTGTGCTGCAACATCTGCAAAGAGTCAGCCAAGGACACATCCATGAACGGAACTCACCAAAGTCAATGCGAAGCAACCGAGGGTGACATTAAACAATCTTACTGCTTTGCAACGACGAGTGCTGCATTTTGGAAATCCTGGGAGCACTGAAAATACCTCGTAAGTGTGCATGTTGATGTCATCGATAATCTGACGCATTTGGCAGGTGGTATACCGATCTTTTTCCACTGCTGTGCATTGACACGCAATCTGTTTGATATCATTGTTGAGTTATGCCCATCAACAACGTCAGCAGGCCTCGAAGAGCATGTGAGGCATGAGTATTTTTGAACAAGATTGAGCACATCCAACTGACATACCTGCACACACAAAGAGCTTCATCTTCTTGAGCACAAGCGCTGTATGCTAGAGTACCTAGAGGAAGTCAGCACCCACAAGCACCAGAATAAGAACACACTCGGAAAATACTTTGGTAGTGCCTCCGAGTTGAGAATGAGTGGTGTCCTTCAAGTGTTTTCAAACCCCAATGACTCACTGGCCTATGGTGACAAGTCAATCTCGTGAGAGACAATAACTGAGGTCTTCATTGATTTTTTGACCTGCTGTGGGTGAGGAAAATAGACTCTGTCTAGCGACCCGAAGGGTTCCGGTCCTTACTAGGACTGGGAACACAAAGATGTGGAGGGTACACGACGAGTGGAACTCAGCGTGCGACGAGCGGAACTACACGGAACTAACGGAACTAATGTGGAACAAACAGAACAAACGGGAACAAATGGGGGGAAAAGAAACTATGAGCCTGCAGGAGGATGATTGGGCAAAGTTGGACCAGGCTTGTGTCTGGTACTTGCTCCAAGTTGTCGGATCTGATGTCAGGTGTTTCAAGTGGAACTCACGGAGGCGGGAACGTTGCAATGAGATCAGGAATAGATTCAGGAAGATATTTTAGACAGTGAGTGGAGTACTGGGAAGTACTCTGTAAGTGGAAGTGGAGTCAAGTCTATCAGAAGGTAAAAAACTAAGATCCCATCTATTGCTACCTATATAGGAAGGGGTTCTGAAATGTGCTATGCTACAACCAGGTGAGGCTGTGAGATAAGGAACCGGTCCTGAGTAGCGGAAGGATCTGTATAAGTATCGTAACACATATGAAATGAGATAGGAACATGTTAGTAACATGGGGAATGTAGCTAGTACTCACCAACAAGGATGGAAGGACAGGGACAGGATGGAGGAGGACATTCTGAAGGCTAAAGGGATATGATGCGTGTGGTACGTGATTGTTCTGCTGGGTTCTGCTTGGTCCCGTGTAGCAGATGGCTCAGGGAAGATGCGGATGGGTAGCGGGATGGTAGCGGAATGCATGGGAAGATGGTGGTAAGGCATAGGAATTATACGGGATATGGGCCTACAGTGGGGACATTCCCCACACCTGTGGGGGACTCAGATACTGACTGTCCCTGGTCAGCACTACAGTAATTGACAGACTTAGCAGGATTTCTTCTCAAAGAGTCACATGATGTGGCTGTAATGGACTGAGAGCACGGAACGCGGCTGAGGAAGCATGATGATGATGATGTTGTGCGAGAAGTTAATGGAACGATGGAACAGAACACGATTGAAGAAGCTTGATGGTAATGATGTCGTGTGAGAATTTAATGGAACGAGGGGTTGGAATGCGACCGAAAAAGTTTGATGGCAATGATGTCATGTGGGACAGAGGAACGAAGGGTCGGAATGTGGCCTAAGAAGCCTGATGGTAATGCTGTCGTGCGGGATGATGGAACGAAGGGCCGGAACGCGACTGAAGAACCGGTTCCTCAATGTAATGGGGAATGAAGGATAAACATGGGCGCTCCTTGCATCTGCCGCTTCTATCTGTCAACTTTTCACCCCCAATCGCCCACTAAGTCCCCCTCTCACAACTATGTCGCCTTTTAGCTTTGCTGCCTTCACTCCTGCTGCACCCCCTGACTCAGGTAAGGATCGGATCCTTGTGGAATGGAAGGGACTGGAGGAGAGGGTGATTGCTGAGGCTAAGTGCCTCCTGGATGATAAGGAAGAGCTGCAGGATGAATGGAGGATGTGGTGCAAACATTGGGCCGATATTATGGTGAGTGATCTGTGCTATTCTGTTTGATATGGAACATTACTCCTCCGCTTCTAGAGAGTGCTATCCGACTACACTGACCGGGGCCGCGCCCAGAATGTCACACTCGCGATGTCCGATGAGGCAAGGGCCGCTGGGATTGTCGCTAATGAGCAGTACAAACGATGGGGTCGTGAATGTGAGGCCCTTGAAGTGCACATGAAGGATCATGAGTCCCGTGAGGTGCAGATGGGTATTGACTCCCCCCCATGTGCCCGTACCGGATCCGCCCCTGCGCAACCGCCATCAACGGATGGGACGGGCGGATCTGCATCCCTCGCCCCCCAGATCAACCATATGAAGATGGAGGTTGCTATCCCGTCCAAGGTATGTCTATCCTGTTGCCTTGCGTTTGGTGCTAATCCATCTTAGTCCACCGTTGCTCAGAAGACCGTTACTCACGATCCACCCTGCATGCGTTGCGTCAAGGTAAATAAGCCGTGTGTAGGTGAGGAGAAGCGGTCCTGTAATGTGTGCAATGCGGTCCATCAGAAATGTGAGTATGTGACATTCGGAAAGGCGACGGGTATGTGATCTGAGTTCCGGTTGTGTTCCGCATGTGCTGATGGAGTGTGCGGATAGATCTTAAGGGCAAGGTATCAGATGCGCCCACCCTCTCTGCTAGTGCTAGTGGATCCCTCTGTCAGACCGTCTCATCTCCTGGCTTGGCTGTTCCGTCTGGCAGTGAGCCGGAAGTCATTGAGGCCCCTGTGAAGCGCACCACCCGCAACACACGCAAGGCAGCAGAACCCAAGGGTAAGGGTAAGGGTAAGGGTAAGGTGAAGGAAGTTGTCCCTGCCACCCCAACAGTGGGGGAGTCGTCTGATGAAGTGTTGCACTATGAGAAGGGCGAGATCGTGAAGGTTCAGCATGAGTTGCACATTGTGAAGGGCCAGCTCATCAGCCTCTATGAGTCTGCCTACAAGATCTCCACTGAGGTGGGTCGCTTGGAGAGGCGTCTTGGGGGTCTCCTCTAGTTAGTGGATCCGCTCCCCTCCCGTATATACAATGTCTTCAAAATGTCCGTCCGTCATATCTGTACAATGTATGCGTTTTCTTGGTGTTCCATCTGTGTTCCGCATGGGTTCCGCATGGGATCCGTCTGTGTTCCGTCTGTGTCCCTATCCAGATCCTCACTGATGCTATGGGATAATGGGACTGTAAGTAACATATAAGCGGGTATGAGTCAGGAAGGAGAAATATAACACTGTCAGCCTGTGGACTACACGCCCAACTTGTCTTCATTGATCCACTTCCTTCCTCTATTCCTTGCCTGCCATCCATGGATCCAACGGGCCTTTGTCTAGTATCGAACGGAACACCTGGGAACTACAAACGTGCATGGTGCGGCTTCATGTGGGAGAAATAAAACGGATCCTTGTGGTTTATGCATGCACATATAGTCTAATCGGATTGAATGGCAAATATATAGTGGGAACCTGTAGATATGTAATTTCTTTCTTTTTAGTATGTGGGGTGGATAGAGATGGAACTAAACAGAACTGAGCGGAACGAGAAGGATTGAGAGACGGATCACCGGATGAAACCCAGGGTAAAACAGAGAGTAGTGCTTCTGTGGTGTATTTTTGTTTTGACGGTATTTTCTTTTTCTTGGATATAGGATGCAATCAGGTTGGGGGGTATTTACTAGTATGAGTGTTGGGTGGTATGGGGATGATGATCATTATGTGCTGGGGTCAGGCTCGGGTTCTTCTTCATCTGGCTCGTTGGTATCTCCTTCAGCCAACTGGTCTAATGCGTCATCCTCTAGTCTGGTGATAGTAGTAATGGGGATGCGGATTGCACTGCGCGGGTGGTATGGGAGTATGCGGAATGCTGCATAACGAAGTCGCAATACTGACCCGTCCAGTTCTGCCAACAGGTACAATCCTCCTGTCGTCCTATGAAGGATGACCATCGGTCCTATGAAGGACGTCCATCGGTCCTAGGTACTGGGGCTTCGTCTTCCGATTCAGCTCCAACTCGATCTGTGAGTTCCGGACTAGAACTAAACTACCTGGGAGGAAGTTGTAATCCTTGATGGAGGTGCGGAACCTCGCTTCGAAGTCCTTGACAGATTGGTACCTTGCTTTGAGGACTTTACCCTTAATCACGTCAAGGTCCTCCCGACGCTTCTGGAGTTGCGTTGCGCGCTGTGGAGAACATCCCCACTGTAGGCCCATATCCTGTATAATTCCCATGCCTTACCACCATCTTCCTGTGCATTCCGCTACCATCCCACTACCCATCTGCATCTTCCCTGAGCCGTCCACTACACAGAACCAAGCAGAACCCAGTGGAACAATCGCGTACCATGCGCATCATATCCCTTTAGCCTTTGGAACATCTTCCCCCATCCTGTCCCTGTCCTTCCATTCTTACTGGTGAGTACTAGCTACATTCCCTGTGCTACTAACATGTTCCTATCTCATTTCATATGTGTTACAATACTTATACAGATCCTTCCGCTACTCAGGACCGGTTCCTTATCTCACAGCCTCACCTGGTTGTAGCATAGCACATTTCAGAACCCCTTCCTATATAGGTAGCAATAGATGGGATCTTAGTTTTTTACCTTCTGATAGACTTGACTCCACTTCCACTTACAGAGTACTTCCCAGTACTCCACTCACTGTCTAAAATATCTTCCTGAATCTATTCCTGATCTCATTGCAATGTTCCTGCCCCTGTGAGTTCCGCTTGAAATGCCCGCCATCGGATCCGATGACTTGGAGCAAGTACCAGACACAAGCCTGGTCCAACTTTGCCCAATCATCCATTAGTTCCCTGTTTGTTCCCCATTTGTTCTGTTTGTTCCCCATTTGTTCTGTTTGTTCCACGTTAGTTCCGTAAGTTCTGTGTAGTTCCGCTCATCACGTGCTGAGTTCCGCTCGTCAGGTACCATCCGCATCTTTGTGTTCCCAGTCCTAGTAAGGACCGGAACCCTTCAGGTCGCTAGACAGAGTCTAGTCTTTGCTTTCCTCGCACTTATGAGGACCTGCTACCCAGTAGCAATCCCCTCGGGACGAGTATTAGTCTCACACCCTTGTTAGACATCTGAATCACCCCAGAGTCTATTTTCCTCACCCACAACTGGAGCCCACTGCAAGGGGACCATCTGGGACGACTAGCAGGTCACTTAGACCCACTCTGGCTCATTTAGACCTCATGGAACTACAAAAAGCATTCCAAGACCTTCACTTATCGCCTGAAGATATCCTCGTTTCAGTCCCAGATGACTTAGCACAACACTCCCAACCCCCGATTACCCTGTCGTCAAGCGACGAAAGTTTGCATCTTACTCCGTCTAATTCCTCCTCATCCGTGCTTTCATCTCTGCCTTCTACATCCGCTTCCATTCCAGGGCAGGAACCAGAGTTACCAAGCCCGCAAACCTCAGACCCGTTTTTTCATCCGCTCGCGTCGCACCCAGCTAACAATATCCCTGCAAGTCCCCATCCAGCCAACCCCCATACAGACCCTTCTGTCCCGACTCCCCCGGCTGCACCCACTTTCATTTCCCTTACCCCCATTCAGCTCCTGCAACCGCAACAATCTATTCCTATTCCATTACCCCTGGTACCTATGGCTGCTATCCCCTACAGGATGCTCCTTGGTGGCACAAGTGCTGCTCCCAAGTTTGATGGAACCGCAGCACAACTCAGCCGTTTCCTCACAGATGTCGCCTATCTCACAGATCAGGCCGTATTGACTGAACCGGAACACATCAAAGCTGTGATGCAGTATGCTAATTTAGATGATGCTGAAACATGGGCCTGTCTGCCCAAATCTAAGGGATTAGTCCTCGCTGCCTTTGTAGCTGCAGTAAAAAAGTTATATCCGGGTTGCAAAGGCAATCAATGCTTCACACCAGCGGACCTCACAGGACTATCAGCTGAGCAGGCCCGGACCCCCATGCACTCCCAGGTAGAGCTCGGGGATTATTATAGGAAGTTCCTCTGCATATCCACATTTCTCATAGACAAGAAGCGCCTAGCAGAGACTGAGCGGGACCATCTCTTTTTAGACAGGATCTGCAAAGACGTCAATAAGCTTATCTGCGCCTGTCTAGCGATCAAGTTACCCAACCACCACCCCGATGAACCCTACCCAATAGAAAGAGTAATTGAGGCGGGAGAATTCCTACTCCCAGGCACCACCCCATCAACCCCACCAGTACCCACCAAAGCCCCATTTGTTCCACAGCGATTGGCCACTCCAGTACCCCTGGCACAACCAATGCAACCAATGCTACCGCCTCCGCCGATCCATCAGCAACCTGGTTTGGGAATGGTAATTAAACAGGAGTATGCATTCCGCCAAGCCCAAGGGCCTAGGCCCTGCATGTTTTGCGGAGGAACTGATCATTTTGTGTGGAGATGCGTGGAAGCGGAGACATACATCTGTGACGGTAAGTGTAAACACCACGCAATCAGTCGCCAGATTTGTATGCCAGACAGGGGATGGATCCCCGGGCATCCAAGTGAGGGTAGAACCCTAAAGGAATGTATTGACAGTCAAGTACAGGACCCCACATCTGCTACATCACCCCGTATCCTGTGGAGCCAGTGTGATCTGCCCCCCCATATGAATGTAACCGCAGGAATGTTTTGTCGCACTGGTCCCGACTTGGACGAAGAGGTTATGTTGGAAGTAGAACCCTCCGCATACCTGACCACTCAGGCGGAACCCGAGTCAGACGACAATGATGAGGACGCCCACTTTGTTAAGGCATTCAGCCTCGCATGGGCTGCAACCCAGTCTTCCAGGCCGACCCCCAAGTCTGACAAGAAGGGCAAGACCATCCGCTTTGATGGAATTGATGTACCCATGATGCGGTCACGTGCGGGGCCCGCCTCTAAACAACCTACTGTGATGGAGGAGATCGTATCCCCTGTGGTGTGGGTACAACAAGTGCAGCGGAGAGAAGTCAATCTACTACACAGTTGGGTCTTTGCTGCCTGCTGCCTCGCTTGGGAACAAGTGCGTTCGACCCTTAAGGGGATTGCTACTGGGGAATACTAGTCTCTGTCTAAAGCGACCCTATAGGATGAAAGATCTGCAAAAGCAGATGAAACGGATAGGATGCAAAACATACGGATTTGTCGGATGGAGCGGATGGCACTTGCGGATCGGACAGGATGCGAATCAAAGTCAAAGGAAGTTCATTAAAGGTTGGATGGATAGTGGGTATAAGTCAAAGTGACCTTCTGGTAAGGTGCAGGAAAAGTGGGAGGAAGTTACATGAAGTAAGTATTTTCAAGGAACATAGAGATATAGGTAGCGAGTCTAGACCGTGCCATAAGCTATCCGAAAAATACTGGAGTGTGAGAGGATATGTCTGTGTTCAGTCAGTAACAAGAAAATGCATGTGAGTACGTACCAATGAGGTAGAATGGACGTGGACAGGATGGATGCAGCGGATGCACGAGCTATAGGGGGAGATCCGAAGGTATCCACATGTCATCTGAAAAGCGGATGTATATCGGATGGAATGGATAGGTGTCGGATGGACGACGGATGGATGCCTGATGCCTCGGAAAAGTGGTGGATACGAGCCTAGCATAGGGATACTCCCTACAGCGGTCCAAGCATCGACCAGCAAGGGGAAGGCACCAGCAGTTGCCCCTGCTGCATTATTACCAGTTAGCACGCCTGCCCCGAAGCCCAGAAACACTCCCCACGTCTCGCAGCCACCGTCCGCATCTACCAGTTCATTTCCCGCCAATTCAACACGTACTAACACACCTTCCTCCGTTCCGTCGTCGAGCCAATACAGGTATGCATTTGAACTAGAAGACAAGGGCACGGACACTTGGGTCTTAAGTCAGGTCCTCAATTCCTCCGTCTCTGTTCCTGTCAGGGAGCTGTTCACAATCGCGCCAGACTTCCGTAAACAGTTCCAGGATCTTACTACCACGCAACAGGTGACGACCGGGACAGTCCTGGTAAATGGGCTCACTAGTTGCCCGGAAAA